ACCCCCCCCCCCTTTTATATATAAAACCACCTCCCTGCCTATCTATCTATGTTCCTCACCTCATTCATCAATACATTTACCCACAATTCCCCCCAACAAACAAACCCAACTAGTCAGAACCCTCCCCCTCTCTGGTGCAGGTGGTGTGGTGTAATGGTAGCACGTGACGTTGTGGCGATCTCCCTCCCCTCGCAGGGAATTTCTACACTTGATCCGTTTCAATCTGGGTTCGATTCCCAGCACCGCCAGGAGCTTATTCTTGGATTGGAAGTACAGGTGGTTTGAACCCATCTTATACGTCGATTGATTATTTTTTTTTGGGGGCGGGATTGAGAGGGCTTGAGACGAGGTTCTGCCTTTTTTTTTCTGTTTCTTCTTTCTTCTTTTTTTTTTTTTTTTTGGGGTCTTTTTTGATCTCTTTTGGGGGGGAGGGAGAGAGGGAGAGAGGGGGTATTTGGGAGAGAGAGGCAAAAAAAATTTAAGGTATGCAAAAAGTCAAGGTATGCGTATAAGTGGAATTGAACCACCTACATCTTCAATCCAAGATTGTGATTATCTTGGCGGTGCTGGGAATCGAACCCAGATTGAAACGGATCAGTGTGATGATTCCGGGGACAGAATTCCACAACGTCACGTGCTACCATTACACCACACCACCTTGGCCAGACTGTTGTACTGACTTGCTTGGTTCCTGTTGCTACAGGACGGTACAAAAAGGTCCATAGGTTAACAACCAGATAAAAAAACACATAATCTACAAAAATAGAAAAAAGATAGTTGACAAATCTAGCGGAATCGAACCGCCTACATTTTCAATCCAAGATCTGCTCTTGGCGGTGCTGGGAATCGAACCCAGATTGAAACGGATCAGTGTGGATATTCCGGTGGAGGAGGGATGCCACAACGTCACGTGCTACCATTACACCACACCACCTGCGCCAGACTGTTGGACTGGCTTGGCTGTTTTTGGCAACCGAATCGGATAAAAGACTTGATGAAGGGCTGGGCTGAAGAAGGGCAGAGTAGTGTCGAACCCGAATACGAGACGCCAATCAGGAGCGTAGGATTTTCGATCTGCGACACGGAGGCCGCGAAGCCAGGCACGGGCACGGCCCACTCCGCTAAGAAATGGGACCACCACATCAGGCAATATGCACCTCCCTACTATCTAAATAATAATGTTCCTGGTATAAATTACACCTTCAACCTTCACCACCACCACCACACCACATCTCACCCAATTCGCCCCTCCCTCCACGCCTCGATCTCCCCCATCTCCCTTCTTTACTGCAGGCACGATGGGTATTCTCGAGGCTATCAGAACGCCCCTTATGGAGCTGGCGGCGCAGCGCGGGCTCGCGGTCCTGCTCGGCGCTGGCGCAGCCGCGTTCGTGGTCCTGGCCGTCGTGCTGAACGTGCTGAACCAGCTGCTGTTCCGCAACCCGAATGAGCCGCCCGTGGTCTTTCACTGGTTTCCCGTTATTGGGAGTACGATTACGTATGGGATGGATCCGTATGGGTTTTTCAATAAGTGCAGGGCGAAGGTTTGCTCTCCCCCCCCCTTCCCCCCCCCCCTATCTATCTATATATCTTTGGTTTTTTTGGGGTTATGTGAATGGGGAATTTGGGACGGGTAGTGGATTGGCGCTGATTAGTGATATATATAGTATGGTGATATCTTCACGTTCATCTTGCTGGGGAAGAAGACGACGGTTTATCTGGGTCGCCAGGGGAATGATTTTATTCTCAATGGGAAGCTGAAGGATGTCAATGCGGAGGAGATCTATACGGTGTTGACGACACCGGTCTTTGGCTCTGATGTCGTGTACGATTGTCCAAATGCGAAGTTGATGGAGCAGAAGAAGGTAGGCTACTCCTCATGGGAGGGTTCCCCTGCAGATACTGACAATGGCTGTAGTTTATGAAGGTCGGCCTGACCACCGACGCCTTCCGCTCCTATGTCCCGATCATCCAGCAAGAAGTTGAGAACTTCATCAAGCGCTCCTCGGACTTCAAGGGTCAGAAGGGAACTGTCAACATACCGAACAGTATGGCCGAGATCACCATCTATACCGCCTCGCATGCTCTCCAAGGCAAGGAGGTCCGTGATAAATTCGACTCCTCCTTCGCAGACCTCTATCACGATCTCGATATGGGATTCAGCCCAATCAACTTCATGCTTCACTGGGCCCCTCTCCCCCACAATCGCGCACGCGACCACGCCCAACGAACCCTTGCAAAGACCTACATGGAGATTATCCAAACGCGACGTGCTGGGAAGGAGAAGAGGGGGATGGATATTATGTGGCAATTGATGGATTCGAAATACAAGGATGGCACGCCTGTCCCTGACAAAGAAATTGCGCACATGATGATCGCACTCCTCATGGCAGGTCAGCACTCTTCGTCCTCCACCAGCTCCTGGATCATGCTCCGTCTCGCTGCCCGACCAGATATCATGGAGGAGCTCTACCAAGAACAGATCCGAGTCCTCGGCCCCGACCTCCGCCCTCTCACGTACGAAGACCTGTCCAAACTCACCATGCACCAGAATGTCCTCAAGGAAGTCCTCCGCCTGCACACCCCCATCCACTCCATCATGCGCGCGGTTAAATCACCCATGCCCGTCACTGGCACCAAGTATGTCGTTCCCACCTCGCACGTTCTCCTTGCCTCACCGGGGTGTACGTCCCGCGACGAGGAATTCTTCCCCAACGCGGAACTCTGGGACCCGCACCGCTGGGACGCGGGATCTGGGGGTGTGGTTGGCGCCGATGTCGAAGAGGAGAAGGAGGACTACGGGTACGGACTGATCTCCAAGGGCGCATCCTCACCCTACCTTCCGTTCGGCGCGGGTCGCCACCGCTGCATCGGCGAGCAATTCGCGACAGTGCAGCTGGTGACTATCACCGCGACCATGGTCCGCGAGTTCAAGTTCCGCACTGTGGACGGGAGCAAGAACGTGCCTGCTACGGATTACTCGAGTCTCTTCAGCCGGCCGCTCGCGCCGGCGGTGATTGCGTGGGAGCGGAGAGAGCGGGCTTAGGTAGTAGGGGTTGGATACGGAAAATGTTGCATGGCTGGCTGCGTCGATGAGGATCATGAAAACGGCTTCTTCTTGCTTGTCCTAGGTACTAATAGAGCTCCTTTTAATATGGATTTTTCTTACGAGGGGGGGCGAGATGTGATGTGGTGTTGTATGTGTAGGTCAGCAAGTATATATACATAACAGCAAGGTCTATGCAATATATATTGGCAAATACAAAAGGGGGATATATGAAAACATATCTGCCGATAATAAGAAAAAGAAAAGAGAAGCAGAATCGCGATATGATCCGCCACCCGTGCAGATCTTCCCGTCTGGCGCCAGGAACGGGACTCGGGGTCCGAAAAGCACATGTCAGGAAAGAAACTGCCGCTTAACCGATTCATTGAGAAACAGACTGACTGCGCAGAGTGGGATTTAGTGGTTTTGTTTTGTTCTGCTCCCTTTTTCCTTTTTCCTTTTGATTATTCTCGCTCAAAAGACTTCTTCTTTCTCTGTTTCTTGCAGTTGGAAGGAACTTGGAACAAGAATTCTTCTTTCTTCTTACCCTTCCATCAGTCAAGGTACCGCGGGACATACAGTACTTGCTTGCTTCTACAGTACATGGTACATAAGGTATCGAAGCCTTCTGATACGATAACCAGCTGATAACAAACGAACGAACGAACGAACAGCATCCGACAAAAAAGCAAACCGCGCCCGCTCAGCTCAGCTCAACAAAAGCGAGCTCCAATCGCCGCGCTCGCCTCGGACCACACGCCCAATTTCTACGACATCTGCAACTCGTCACAAACTCCCTCGGCCTCCCTCATTCCCCCCACGTGCCGTCACTGGCTCTCTTTATTTACTACTTGTCTGTTGTCTTGCTGTAGTCAATTGATTATATCCGCTTCTGGATCCTTTTTTTGATCTTTGCCGCATCGCATCGCATTTGCATTTGCATTGTGCATTTGCATTGGAGCGACGGACGAGTGAGGGTGGTATAAGAGGGCTCGATCCCCCTCTCCCCCCGCTGCGGTGCACCGCTCATGAAGATGGCCGCGCTCAAGGTCGAGACGCACGATGAGAGCGTCGTCGCCACGGGCTTGGACGCGCAGAGAAACTTGAATTATCGGAGACGCCACTCGTCGGTGCATCCGCGTCGGAAGAGCGCAGAGTATAATTTAGCTATGGATGGTGAGGAGGGGCTGTTGTTGAAGGTTTGTTTGTATTTTCCTACTTGCCCCCTTCCCCCCTCCCCCCCGCACCACCACGAACCACCACCACAACTGCTACCCCGCGGGCGTCTCGCATGGGAAGAGAGGGGGAGAGCAGGGATGAAAATGAATGAAACGACGTGGAAGAATAAATGCTAATCGTCTGTTGCGTCGCAGGTGGATATCTTCCTCTCTGAATTGGAGCGGCGGCTGGACGTCCTCGAGAACTATGGGAATCTCAACCTGGACACGGGGATCAGCAGGGCGTATGCCACGCTGCAGGCCGTGCGAGCCCGCTGCAGTCAGGTCTCGGGCGAGGTGATCGGCGCCGGGTGGAGGAGGGCTCGGGTCATGGTCGAGACGATCGAGTCGCGGTATCAGGATGCGCTCGCGGCCAAGGAGACCATGGGCGAGAAGGTCAACATCGGCATCGGCCTGCTGGACGGCATCCTGTCCGACTTTGAGGCCCGCGCCTCCAAGATGCGGGAGCAGGGTTTTGCGGGCGCCGCGGGCAGCCTCATGGATGGAGGCCGGCGCGTGGTGGATGAGGGCATTGGGAGGGCCAGGGAGGTGGTGGACGAGGGGATCGAGCGAGCCATGAAGGCCGCCGAGACGATGGAGGAGCACATCGAAGCGGCCATCCAGCGCGCTCGTGAGAATGGGCTCATCCGGTACGAAGACCTGCCGGTCCCCTGGCGTGTCAACCCGCACATCGTCCGGGGGTACCGCTTCAGCGCGTCCAAGATCGAGTGCGTGCGGTCCATGTTCGGCATCTCGAACGAGCTGGTCAACATCTGGTCCCACGCCATCGGGCTGATGATCGTGCTGGCCATCGCCTTCCACTTCTACCCGTCGTCGTCGAACTTCAGCCTCAGCACCAACACCGACGTCTGCATCGCGGCCGTCTTCTTCTTCGCGGCCTGCAAGTGCCTGGTCTGCAGCACCATGTGGCACACGATGAACTCGGTGGCCGACCAGACGCTCATGGAGCGCTTCGCCTGCGTCGACTACACGGGCATCTCGCTCCTCATCGCCGCCTCCATCATGACGACCGAGTACACGGCCTTCTACTGCGAGCCCGTCTCGCGCTGGGTCTACATGACGCTGACCACGACCCTCGGCATCGGCGGCGTCATCCTCCCCTGGCACCCGACCTTCAACCGCAGCGACATGGCCTGGGCCCGCGTCATCTTCTACTCGGCGCTGGCCGCGACCGGCTTCGCGCCCGTCCTGCAGCTCAACCTCACGCGCGGCTCCGCCTGGGCCTGGTCCTTCTACGCCCCGATCGCCAAGAGCCTCGCCGTCTACCTGGTCGGCGCCTGCGTCTACGCGTCCCAGGTCCCCGAGCGCTGGTTCCCCGGCGCCTTTGACTATATCGGAGGCAGCCATAACCTGTGGCATTTTGCGGTGCTGGGCGGCATCTGCTTCCACTACGTCGCGATGCAGGAGTTCTTCGCGCGTGCGTTTGAGAGGAAGGTTAATGGATGCTCCCTCTTCTGATTCAGCTTCGACTTCGGCTTCAGCTTCAGCTTCTGGCTTCTGGCTTTCTGATACGGCTGGGAGGCTACTTAGGGAATGGATGGATGGATGGATGGATGGATGGATGGATGAAATGCATGGATGGCTAGCTGTCTTGGCTTGGTAGGATAGGAAGAGGGGGGATCGGATCCGGTTCATATAGAGAGAGTCTTCTTTAGCATGCATGCATGCATACATGCATGCGTGATCTTTGGGCCTTTTTTTCGCCCTCCTTACTTACTTATCCTCTTTCTTACCCCCCCTTTTTATTTTTTGGGGGCTTTTTTTTCTTCTTCTTCTTTCTTCATCCATAGGGAGCATCGCATCACATCGCATCGCATGGCATGGCATGGCGTTTGGAAGAAGGGGTCATACAATACATACTATACTATACATTACTTAGATACATAAGAACATAAAATCAAATTAAACCTAAAGTTCATTCATCATTCATTACCTATCGTACCTAGACCACATAACTGCATAGGTACCTCATAGAAGGAGATAGATCCCTGGGATATGAGTAAATCCATATTTTTATTTTTTTTTATTTAATTTGAATTTGAATTTGAATAAAGGGAAAGAAGAGATATGGAATGGAATAGGATGGATGGGATGGGGTGGGAATGTGTGTTTTTTTTTTGAAGAGAAAAGAGAGAGGGGGGGGGGATGGGGGATGGAACTTTTAAGAAAATAGAAAGACAGAGAGGGAAAGGGGGGGAGATGGGGAAAGAGAAAAAGAGGGAGGGGGGGGGGGGAAGGGGTGATATATATAATACCCAAGGTAAGGTTACCTTACATGACATTAGATCCAATCCATAACAAGACGAAGCAAGCCCAGAGACAGCGCACAGATTCCCTACCTATATCCCGCACACGAAAAAGGAATCCTGAGATATTTTCTTTTTTTCCCTTTAATATTTCTACAATAACATACTAATAACACAAAGTACATCTCATGGCAACAACAAACTGAACTCCTCACGAGCGCTTCCCTCTAATGCCCACATCCAAGCAGCCGACGGCCCACGCAGCCACGAAGCAGCTAAGCACCCCGCCGAAGATGACCAGCGGCTTGCGCAGGCCCGCGAGGAACGGGTAGTCGTAGGTGACGATGACGTCGCGGTCGCGCAGGTCATCGACGATGTTGTGGGCGTGCAGCGTGAGCGTGGTGCGGCCCAGCGTGTCCATGAAGGTTTTGTGCAGGCCGAGCGAGGAACTGATGTGTGGCATCGTCGTGCTGTATTTGACGTTCCTGCTTGGTGTGTTAGTGTGGGGATGATTGATGGGAGGAGGGGGGAGAGGCGTACTCGGCTCCTTCCGGGAGGATGATGCGGAGCTCGATGTGCTCGTATTCTAGGCCCTCGGGCTGTTTGGGGCCTTCGAGGAATGGAACCTTGAGCACATAGCTATCGCCGCCATTTAACTTCCTGAGGAAGTTCTTGAGATCGGCATCCCATCCGATACGGAAGGGGTAATTCCACCCTCCGAAGATAGGGTATCGTGGTTTGATCTCGAGGCTGGCTTCCCTCTTATTGCTCCTGAATCGAGAGGTTGACACATTCCCAATCACGTCCGTGAAATAGGGCGTCAGACTTCCAACCTTCAAGGGGAACTTGAGTTCTCGGATCGCTGTGGTAGGGGGGTTGTAGTATTGCTGCTGAGCCCATTGCAAGCGTGAGAACTGCTTGGTGAGGTTTGCGGCTCGGTTGTGCATAGTATAGCGCTCTTCAAAGGCAATGTTCCCGCCCCAATGGCTGACTTCGATATCTCGCTCGAGGCGTGAGACATGAATGAGAGGCTTTGTAAATTCATACCGCACTCTGACAGGTTCCAAGGCCCCGGCTGGTACCTCGCCAAATGGGCCATATGTGAATTTCGTGCCCTGCTTCTGGGGTGATTCCGGCTCCCCCTTTCCTCCTGGGATGATGGTATATTCAGGGATATTTGCGGTACCAAACTTGACTTCTGTCTTTTGCTTTGATGTGACGTACGACGAAGGGCAATAGGCGGAGAAGGTGTAGACAAGGAACTGGTTCTCTTGTTGCTCAATTCTTGACGGGAGAGGCCGTAAACTGGATAAGAAAGAGTACGAGATGGCCAATGTTTGCTGAGCTTTAGGTGCGAGAGCTTTCGGAAGACGGACGCGGTAGAACTGTGTGTCACTGGTGATGGATTAGCTAGGTACATTCTTCGAAGGAGAAAGGACCGTAGAGTCGTTGCTTAGTCGTCGATTAGTCGTACCTTTGTGGGTCAAATTCGACAGCTTCAACTTCAAATAACCTCCCATCTGCATCCTTCTTGTCCTTCACCTCCAATCCTCCAATTGTCTCCATCTGCTGCGACGTAAACGGGATGAAGTACTCATCCTGAGGCGTGCTGGCGATATTCTCAATGACCACGTTAATCAATTCCCTTGGGTACCCCCTCTCTAAGTTGACGATATGCACCAAGTTTGCGTTCTTAAACACTTGTGGGGGCTTGAAGTTCGCAGGCAGGACGACTCGGGATGTGAGTGGTGTCGTCAGGTTGCCCTTCTCCGCGCAGACAGCTGCTGAAGCCAAGGAGAGGACGGCGGCCGCAATTGAAAAGAGCCTCATCTTGAATTTGGGGAGGCAGACCAGGCCTGGTATCAAAGAGGCGTCGAGAGGAAGAGACTCCAAATCCAAGTCAAGCCAAGTCGCGGGAAGCTTAGCCAGACAGAGTGTCCTCTCTGGATCATCCTAAGCGCGTGCGGGTCGAAGCGTCGAAGCGCGCGGATATTTTTAGCTGTCTGCATGGATTAGGCAAAGACCGGCATGGGCTGCCCCACGGATGCCATCACTCGTCTTTCTCTCCGGATTCCAGTCTTGAACTTCCAAGTTCCTGGGTTCCTGGATTCCTGAACAATTACAACCTTCGCTGCTCTCTCGCCGTCTCCCTTCTCTCCATCCTCCATCTTTTCTTATCCAGAACCCTCAACTACCAAGCGTCGTTGACCTGCTTCCATCATGGTGGGCCTCGGACCGTACGTATCCCCAGAAATTACCCCTCTCTCTAGGACGGCTTCATGAGCAATGAGGCAACCCTTACTCTCAAGACACCATCTGAAGAGTAAATGTGGCTCCAGGCTCATGAACCGTGTTCCATACCACGTTCCATGAGACCGTTGCTAACTTCTGGTGCAGAAGAAAGCCTCCGTCCCGGAAGGGTACGTACCTCAGTCGGCTCTGATATTGTTGAGTTATTCACTTGTCGCGTTTTGCATGTTTTCAGGATAGAGATATCCGCTTATCGCTTCTGAGCTTGTATGAGGAAGTATCTAAGCCTCGTGGGCTGTTGATAAACTGTCGATGGTCCCTAAACATCAACCCACCACTCTCCCCAACACTCATTGTCAACTTCTCATGTCAACAAACTAAGGAAACAAGATGTTTCCATTTCTCCAGCAACAATGGATGAAATACACAGGTCATTTAATGCGGATTTTCTTATCTTTCTACCCAACCCCGAACTTTGCTCTTGCCATTGTCCTCGGAGCAAATTGGCCCACTCGGGTCGACCTCGAGCTGAGATGGCCTCCTCCACTATCCCAATTCCCCATTCCCCCACTCCAACTCCGCAATTTTATCATTCTATCCCCCACACACAAGAGCGGAGCTTTAGGTCTTTCAAATCATGAGATCAGAAAAAAGCAAATAGATTTCAGCTCACCGCTATCACGTGACATCATCATGTGTGGGGGCCGTGTTTGTGGCTTGGCTTGGCTTTCCTTTTATCATTGATTTCATATTTCGAGACTATATGGCCTTGGACGCATAACTGACATGGCTTTCAGGTTCCATGGCCGATGTGCCAAGGGATTTGATGCAGGAGATCAAGAGGCTGGAGGAGTTATTCACCGTTGATGCTGCTAAGCTGAAAGCGGTCACGAAGCATTTCGTTTCTGAACTTGAGAAAGGTACGTCTCCTTTGAAAGTTGCCGATAACCTTAATTGACATTTATGCAGGTCTCAGCGTTGAGGGCGGTAGCATTGTAAGAAGAAATCATCGTCTCGTTTAAGCAATGATGCTAATTTACCTCAGCCAATGAACCCGACTTGGTGCATGTCCTTCCCAACAGGTTATGAGACTGGTACTTTTCTAGCTTTGGATATGGGTGGAACCAACTTGCGAGTTTGCGAGATCATTCTGACCGACGAGAAGTCAGAGTTCGATATCATTCAATCTAAATACCGAATGCCGGAGGAACTCAAAACTGGCGATGCTGATGAACTCTGGGAGTACATTGCCGACTGTCTTCAACAATTCATCGAAACTCACCACTCAGGTGAGAAACTCGACAAGTTGCCCCTCGGTTTCACCTTCTCCTATCCCGCAACTCAAGATTACATAGACCATGGTATCCTCCAGCGATGGACTAAGGGATTTGACATTGATGGTGTTGAGGGGCAGAATGTGGTTCCTATGTTTGAGGCTGCTCTTGCCAAGAGAGTGCGTTACTTAACCCCAGTTAAATTAATTGATGCTTACCCAGAAATAGGGAGTTCCTATCAAGCTTACCGCCTTGATTAACGATACCACTGGTACCTTGATCGCATCTGCATACACGGATACCGCCATGAAGATTGGCTGTATCTTTGGAACAGGATGCAATGCTGCTTATATGGAAGATTGCGGATCGATCCCCAAGTTGGCCCACATGAATCTTCCTCCTGACATGCCAATGGCCATTAACTGCGAATGGGGTGCTTTTGATAACGAACACAAGATCTTACCACGAACCCCTTATGATATCATCATTGACAAAGACTCTCCACGTCCAGGTCAGCAGGCATTCGAGAAGATGATTGCCGGTCTCTATCTTGGTGAGATCTTCAGATTGGTTCTTGTTGATTTGCACGACAACAAGGAGGTCCACATCTTCGAGGGTCAGAATATCGATAAGCTCAGAAAGGGTTATACCTTGGACTCATCCTTCTTGTCTTTGATCGAAGAGTAAGTAGATATCATTCTCGAACTGTGTTGCATACTGATGACATTCTAGGGATCCATTTGAGAACTTGTCCGAGACGAAAGACCTCTTCCAAAACAAGCTCGGCATAACAACCACTCACCCCGAACTCGAGCTCATCCGCCGCCTTGCGGAACTGATTGGAACGCGTGCAGCTCGCCTCTCTTCCTGTGGTGTTGCAGCAATTGCCTTAAAGAAAGGCTACAAGACCTGCCACGTTGGGGCTGACGGATCAGTCTTCAACAAATATCCACACTTCAAGGCTCGCGGTGCGGTGGCTCTGCGTGAGATTCTGGATTGGCCTGCGAAGAAGAGCCCCAGGGATCCGGACCCAATCGAGATCTTGCCTGCTGAGGATGGTTCTGGTGTTGGTGCTGCACTCATTGCCGCATTGACGTTGAAGAGAGTCAAGGAGGGCAACTTGGCTGGTATTCAACACCCCGAAAACTTCAAGTAAGCTCGGGTTGCATACGTTGAGATTAAGCAGCACACGTGGGCTTATGACTGCCGTGGTTCTTAGACGATAGAGAAAAAAAAAGGAGAGGTTGCAGCGGAGACTTTGGTACGAGGATATATAGCTCTCTTTTCGTAATCCATATTATAATGCAAGGGTATCTATCTCTCTGTCCATCCCAAAGTAACTTTTCCTTTCCCATTCCACTAAGACCTCTATCCCATGAAAGTACATATCGGCAGCCTATATAAATCAACCGCAAAATACCTCCTCCTGACCCCCTTCCACTCTCCCTCGCCATCCTTCCCTAATCCCATCCCCTCGAGATCAACCGGGACATCCGTGAACTCAACGTCCATACCCGCATCACACAGATCCAACTCCACAACCTTACAATAAACATCATAACACACCCTGCGATCCGCACCCAGGCCATTAAAGAAGCCGAACCGTCCTTCCGGAGACAAGAGCCCGACGACGTATTCCGAGAAGAACAGCTTAAGCTGTGTGTAATCCTCACCAAAGGTATCGAAATAGATAGCATCGAACACCTCGCCCGCTTCCAACAACTTGGGCACGATTTCCTGCCAGCGTCCTGAGTGGACTACGTATTTCCCTCCCTCGGGCGCGGACGCTTCCCACGCTGCGCCGAAATCCGAACCCTCCTCCTTGATCTTTGAGAGGACCGCGGGGTGCGCTTCGATGATGTGGTGCGATAGGGGAGAGGTGGCGCGGAACATACGATCGATGATACCCATGCCGAAACCGATATTCAGGATGCGAGCCCCCGGCTTCAGGTCTGGGAGGAGGAGATCCACGCTACGCCGCATGATGTCTGTTTCCCAAGCCATCATGACACCATTCGCATCTTCATCGAGCAATTTATCGTCTTCGAACTTCAGCGCGCTTTTCAGGTAGTCCTCGGAATTCACATCCTTCTTTGGTGGTTCCTCGTTTTTTGCTTCCTGCGGTTTTTCACCCGTTGTTATATCGGCATTCGCGTTGCTTTCTCCTTCTCCTTTCCTTACGACGATAACTCCATCTCCTTCTTCACCTTCTTCTTCTTCTTCAATATCCATCCCCTCATCCTCCTCCCCGCTCTCTAACGCCTCATACCCACCCATCAACCCCAACAGCATCTCCGCCCTCACCCCCGCCTCCACAACCAACTCATACAGCTCCTTCCTTCCCAGCCGCCACGCTACACACCCGGGCGTCTCCCCCTCAGCATCTAGATCATTCCAGATCGCCCCCGCCAGGAACAGCTCCTTCACCACCTCCTTCGCCTTTTCTATATCGACCTCCTCCCCCCCCTCCCCCTCTTCTCCCTCCCCCAAAGACCCAGCAGTCCCCGCAGCAGGTCCGCAGGCGCTAATAGCCGCGTGTAGCGGCGTCATCCCCGTCTCGGGATCTTGCACGCTGGCATTTCCTGGGATGCGGAGGAGCGGTTTGAGAGCCTCGAGGTCGTGGTTGGAGGCGTGGAGGAGGATGGTTTGCGTGTTTAGATCGAGGGAGGGCGTTTCGAAGGCTGGATCGTCCATTTTGGGAGGCCTGGGATCGGGATAGAGATTCTTGTTTGGGGTGAGGTGGTTGAGGATGTGGAGTCGTGTGTTCAAGGTAAGATATCTTTTTCTTGGTGGGGTGGAGCGGTGGGTGGTGGCAGAATAGCCGAATCGGGACGATAGGAAGGAAGGCGGGCCCAAAGACGGCGTAGCGAAGGTGGTTTTCCCCTCCTTAGTATCAATTGGGAGCTAAGATTTATATAAAAGAGGGGATATGTATAGATTGCGGATTCGTGTTTACCTTTTATGGTCTACATCCTACTGTCCCATATACACCTAACAATTGCCATGTCGATGTTGATAATAGCCAAGTAATTTACAATTGTATATCCCAACCCATATGCACCCCGGAGAATGCCATGCCGATATCGACGATAGGTAGTTTACAACTCACTCTTAATAGTCTTAACCGAGTACGATTGGACCCAATCCTTAACGTCCTGTCTATCCCTGTCGAGCCATGCTGCCTTTGCTCTGATCGCATCACAGCTCTGGGCAAGAGTTTGATCAAAGCCTTTGGTGCTTTTCTCAGCGAAGAATTTCTGTACACGTTCCAGACCTTCCAAGCTGGAGAAGCTTGACGTGCAGATCGAGACGACTGTGCCGAGCATACCCAGACCGGGAGGGAGTCTTCGTGTGAGCTCGTCCCAGTTCTCGGTCATCCAGTTGAAGAGAGCTTCGATACCCTCAGGATGGCTTCGAAGACCACTGATCGGCATGTAAATATCTTGCTCCTTGACTTCCCCACTGAAGGGCAAGCTCAGAGTCTTCTTGATGAGTTCTGGGTCCCTAGCTCGACCCAAGACGCGAAGAGCGGTGTTCCGTTCATCGCTGTTCTTTGAATTGCGGTAAGTTTCGAGAATTATGTCGTACTATGATCTGTTAGACATCACCCACATAGCAACGACGTATGACTTACTTCTTTCTTTCCACCATACTTTACTACAATACTGAAGACACTTCCTCTGATGTTCGGATGGATTGCTGTCTTATCGCCTGCGGCGAACTTCGCAAACATATCTTGAGCAGCTGCAATGACTTTCTTATCACCGGGCAACCCAGCACTGCCAAAAAGCATAGCCTTAAATTGCTGCTGAATGTGATCGTCACTGTCCTTGAACTCCCATCCATATTTGTGAGCCTTTTCGCTGGCAAGGTCACGTTGGAATGCTTCAAGCCCATCCCTGACACTCTGATCTTCAAATATCCAGGCTCCTTGGATAGCACTAAGACGGGTAAGGATCTCATTCCAAACGACAAACTCGCTCTCCGAATCAAAGCCCTTCAGCAAGTTCAGAACACCGGAAGTCTTCTGGTATCCAGAGGCTGCAAGTGCTCCTGCATCTGCAATCATTCCTGCACGGTCCTCGACACTCAGAAGACCGTCCTTGGCAGCCCTGCCGAGCTTTTCGAGGCGTGCAGGGGTGTATGAAGTCCGGTAAATACTGGTGTGGTCGGCATTGAGCTTGAAGAAATCAAAATCTTGAACCTTGAAGACGTCCTCTCGCTTCGACAGGACTAGATTTTCATCAATTCCATCCTTTGTGCGAAGACCCAAAAAGACTGGATAAAGAGTTGTGTCTTCTTCAGGCTTCACATCAGCGGTGCGAAGCAGGCGGTTTTGCTTTACATGGATGGTCTTGTCGCTCTCATTCTCAGTCACCGTGACCACAGGATAGCCGACATATTTAGTCCAGATGTCCATGATTTTAGCCACGTCCTTTCCACTAGCCTTGCTGAGAGCGTTCCAGAGGTCACCAGTTTGAGTGTTACCGTAGGCGTGTTTCTTCAGATACTGACGGATACCTTCCATGAAAACGTCTTCTCCCAAGTATTTCGAGATCATGCGGATAACACATGAACCCTTGGAGTATGAGATGGCGTCGAAAATTTGGTTGACCTCATCAGCCCGCTTGACAGGCACCTCGATGGGATGACTGCTGCGCAAAGAATCCAGGGAGAGGGCACCTTGAAGGGTATCCGTGACGTAGCTTTCCCATACCTTCCATTCCGGATAGAATTTGTTGCAAGAGTACCAAGACATCCACGTCGCGAAACCCTCGTTTAGCCAGAGGCCATCCCAGAAGTCCATGGTAACCAGGTTACCGAACCATTGATGAGCAAGCTCATGTTGAACAACTTCCGCAACACGTTCTTTGGTTGAGGCACCGCTCGTCGCTGGGTCGAAAAGGAGATCAACCACACGGTAGGTGATAAGTCCCCAGTTCTCCATGGCACTAATAATACATCAGCAAACAAGTCTCGTTTGAGATCAGGGGTAGTTTACCCAGCCGAGAAATCAGGAATCGCAACCATGTCCTATACCAGCCAGTCAGAAGAGGAAGCCAATACAACAAACAACTACTTACCATCTTGGGAAGAGGGAATTTGCTGTCAAAGGTCTTCTCATAGAACTCAAGAGTACGAGCGGCAAGCTCCAATGAAAATCGGCCATGCTCAATATCCTGGTTAGGCGGGGCGTAGACCCTGATAGGAAGTCTAAACTTGTCCGTTTCGATATAGTTGAGTTCACCGACAATGAAGGCGACAAGGTACGTGGACATGTTTGGGGATTTGTTGAACTTCACGGCCTTCTTCGTGGCACTGATCTCGGTTTCAGAAGCAACATCCATATTACTCAAACACGTGTGTTTCTTGTCAGCAATCAGAGTAATGGTGAATTCGGCCTTAAGTGCGGGTTCGTCAAAGCAGGGAAATGCCCTTCGTGCATCCGTAGGTTCCATTTGAGTAGTAGCCAAAATGCCCTGGCTGCCGTCACTGTTCTTGTATGTCGAGCGGTAGAAACCAGCCATCTTGTCGTTCAGCTGGCCAGTAAACTTCATCTCAAGTTGCGCCTTGTTTCCCTTGGGGATTTCTGTGCCGAATGCAACCGTGGTAGTCTGTTTGTCTTCATTGTGAGAGAGTTCCGGAGAAGAGCTATTAGGTATTAGACCAAACGAAATTGTCTCTCCAAAGAATAAACTGCCGTGCAGCCACTCACCTGATCGTCTGAGATCCTGAGAGAACCTTGGTGCTATGGACATCTATCTCCAGGGTATTCAACGTGATGGACTTGGTATTCTCAACCACATCCAAATCAATAACGACCGTGCCATCGTATGTCAACTTCTCGAAATCGGGTTCCAATGTTAGGTCGTAGTGCCTTGGTATGACATTGCCAGGCAGAATCTCTCTGCCATTCGTGATATCCACGCCCCCGCCCTCGGCCTCTCTTGTTCCATGCATCTTGCACATTGCGTGTCGGCGGGATGAACAGTATCGGGTTGCGGTTTTTGTAGGAGATTGTCTAATGCGATCTAATATCTGAGGTCGTCTAGAGGGTACATGTGAACTATATGTTCTGATAAGCCTGTGCAATGGTGGGCGACAAGAGCGCAACGCGGAGGGGTTGTTCACTTGATCTCTTCGCCCTTGACTAGGCTTGCAGGAATAAGTGGCGAAGAGAAAGGCTAAGGGCAAGGCTGACCAAAGAGAGCGGTGGGGAGGGGATGGGATGGATCATGGGGCTTACATGGAGCGGTGAAGGGGCTTGTTCGAACAGCTTGAGACGCTGCTAAAGACTCTTCTTCGAGTTGTTGCTGAGAAGGCAGAAGAAGCAGCAGGACGTAGGAAAAAAGGAGAAGAAGAAAGGATCGTGAAATCGACCACAGACGTAAGGACACGCATTGGCGCCCCAGAAAGGAAGGTCGAGTACACGCAAAGTGAGTGGCTCTCGACTACTCGTACACTACTGATAATCCTCGAACACCAAACGACATCGATCGTTTCTTGAGCCGGATGAACCAGAAGCCACCGAACCGCGGACGCAGACGAAGACAAAAACTCGGGCGCGCTGCAAGCGGAAGGCGGTGAGAGCTAAAGCCGAGCTGCTTCGGACGCGGAGGATTATGTCAGCTTACCTTATATAAGTTCTTATGTAAGCCACTCCCTCTTCTACCGCTTCTCTGCCTCTTCCTCCTTCTCTTCTCTCTTCAGCAACATAAGTCCTCCCAACACCACGCGATTCTTCTCCACGATGTGTTGGCGTACCTGACAATCAGTTAGACGTTGCAAGAGGAGATTTTAACCGCAAGTTTGAGGCGACCAAAAGCTTTCGAGCTCTGATTGGAAGTCATAGGAAGTCGGCACATTCTTTTTTCTGCAAATAATTTTGCTTTCTACTATATCCCTAGGCTATATTCTATTTGGATTATAATGCCAATGCCTTTGGGTCTGTCGGGTCCTCAGCACCTTTGTATGCCTTCCTATGCTATGTATCGTAGTACTGTGGCATGCTGTGGCATGTCAATAGATGAGACGAAAACAACTCACGAGTTCATTTCTTCCGAATCATCTCATATATATTCTTCCGAATCATCTCATATATATGACTGCCTCTTGTCATCTGACACAGATAGCTTTGTTTGCTGTGCCTCGAGTCTGTTCCGTCCTCTCCTTCCAAAGGGAGCTTCCAAGCCTCGTCTAGGCTTGCGTATACCTGCTCTATCTTACCTCCAGACTCCACAGAGTCCAGGGTCTCCAGGCAGACATTCGACTTCTGTATTCGTGGCCTCCCGGACAATCAATCGCAGGGTGTGCCATAAGTCTCCTTACCTCCATGCAGGGGCTCGACTTCGTACAACGCAATTCCTGTCCCTCCCCAGCCTGTGTCCAAACCAGATTGCTCAATCTTTCAAACCAAAATCCCACAACTCATCCCCCCTCCCCATCCTCAACAACCCCAAATTGCACCTTCAACCAAAGACTGCACCCCTTACACCCCACCGTAACCTCCCCCTCCTGCACCGCATCCTCCAGATCCCCTTCTCTAACCATGAAACCCCTCTCATCTCCACACCTACACCCCCGGAACCAAACCTGCTCCCCATCTCCCTCCTCAAACCCCTCTAAATCATCCAAATCCACCGTCTCTATCCCCGTCTTCCACTCCCTTCCCTCCTTCCCTCCATCTAACCCACGTGTAGCGGCGGCCCGATCAAGCGCAAGGGAAGCATCGTACGCAGCGCGAGCCTTGGGGTCGGAGAGTGTGCTGAAAGCAAGCGTAATCTGGTCAACCGTGTAGGTAAGCGTCTCCCCCGGAACCGGGTTCAGGGCAGGCTTGGAGGGACATTTGTCGGGGTGGTGCCGGAGGAGGGCGCGGCGGTACGCTGCGCGCAGCGTTTGCGCCGACACGGGAGGCTCGTTCGGGAGGGGTGGAGGGAGGCCGAGGATTTCGTAATGGGTTGCTGTTGTTTGGCGGGTCATCGAGCCATCTGAAGAGGGGGGTTGTAGCCTGCTGGCTATATGGATTGCCGCGGGGAGTTTTGTGATGGATTTGGGTCCTCCATTTCTGCAGCTTTGTTCGCCTAAGGCGTCAGATTGTGATGTGAGTGGCACGTGACCTATATTCTTTCCAGGGGGTCAAGCAGCCAAGTACCTTAAGGTAAGTTCCTGGAAAGATCTACTCGAAGGGCACTTCAACCCCTACCGCATTTCATAGTATCATTTGAAAAACCCAGGAATGCATCATCTTATACAAAAGCATATCCTCCGTCATATTTTCTACCAAGCTTTTCTCTGGCTCACTGGCCAAAATGCCAGGAATAAAGCCTTGAATACACAAGAGAAGAGGATTTCCTCTATTCTGGCTTCCTTCCGTAAACTACAATGCTTTCCAGAGTATTAGCAACAATATCAACCAGGAGCTTCTACATTAACTTACAGGGGAACATAAGCGTGAATGTCCCGATTCGGTACATCCCTCTTCGCTGCTGCTGTTAACTCCATAACCTCCTCCTTTGTCATACCCGCTCCCCTCGTTAAAACCGCCATACTCAGCGCTTCCATTCCCCTCAGTATATTCTCCTGACAATAAGCCCCAATTGTCTTCATACGTGCGCCCTTCGCCCATGGATTTATTGGCCACTGGAAATGCTTCTCCACGACATCCACAAACCCCGCTTCCTCGAGATATCGTGAATAGTTAGCGCTATTCCTCCAGGATGTGCCGAGTTTGTCCGCCGCGTCGAAGGTCTTCTCTTGCCAGGACTGGAAGGCGGTTCCTTGGAGAGAGTCGTCGATGGAGCGCAGGGGTATCACAAAATCGTGAAATTCGAGGAACCCGCCAGGGTTGAGAGCGTCCAAGGCAGAAGATATCACGAAGAAGGGGTCTTTAAAGCAGGTTACCAGGGCGCGGCCGTGGACTAGGTCGAATTTTTGGCTGTAATTCCATTCATCCTCGACATCGTCTACTTCGAAATGGCAATTCGGGGGGACGCTAGATGGGCTTGTAAGTCCTCTGCAATGGGCGAAGAGGGAGAAGGCTCACTATTCTGGTTGTATGGGACTGAGATCACTGCCAATTACGTGCGCTGAGGGGTACTTATTTGCTGCATAATGTTAGCCAAAGATGGTTATATGAGAATTGGAAATTCAAACCTGCTTCAATCGCCCAGATCCCCGTACCTATAACGCTGTCAGGATCGTTATATTACAACGTTATGTATGATGTACAAAAATTATTTAAATTATACATCCTTGTCCACGATGCTCATTATCAATGAACATCCTAAAGGAATCTTGTCACCTTTTTCTCAGACGCCTACGGTTATTGGGTGGAACGTGGGTTGCGATGATAGAAAGAAGAAAAGGGAAGAAGTAAATAAAGTATAGTGAGGGAGCAGTAGCACTGCTAGTAAAAGCTAGGGAGACACTGGCGATAAAAACTAGACACTGGAAGCGTTCCTTACCTGTCCCTATATCGAGAATATTATGCAGATTCTTCACTGGAGCAAGGAATAGTTCCTCAAAGAGCGTGATCGACCAAAGCTGATGTTGAAGATCTGTTGAGCTTTAGCAATTTAACGACACTTTGGACAAAAGCCCGTCTTACCAAGACGGTCCATCTCGGCCTAGTTTCATATAAACATGGTGAGGGTTGACAACCGGCCTTTCTTGAGACTTACCTCGTCGTTGGGTAGCAGGTATTCTACCAGCTCGGTCAGCCTAACGAACTGTAATAAGGTCAAGACAATACTTACTGCCCTCCTTGTATTTATGATATGTCCGCCCATTTTCCTCGACATAATGATAGATACTCGAAGTCGCCGAATACGTCGAAGGCCTTTTATGTTTAACTTCATGATCAACTGGCACAATCGTATGGAAAACCTACACAGGTGCCATATCGCCAAGGGCGGAATCTGCATCATCTGAAGAGTCCACCTATCCAAAGGTCAATCTCTATTCGAAGTTCCAATTGTTGCCCGGGCCGCTTGCAGTACTCACATTTAGATGTTCCAAAGCACTTTCATCGGCCGCATCACTGCTTTTGCTGCTTCCAGACTCTGTAGACAATGCTGCATTCTTTAGAACTTCAGCCGTGGCCTCATGGGCAGATGGCACACTCGCACTCGAACTGTCTGGCATCTCGTGGTCGTGGTCCAAAGAAGCCAGAGTGAAATAATGCTATGTATGTATGGCGACTGCACAAGAAAACCACAGACATTATGGGGCATCAAGGGAATATTGACGTGTGCGTAGTACAACGTATATGTACTTTGTACTCTGCACGTACGTTATGACCAAGGGGCCCAGACCCACCTTCCCCCTCACCCCCGAGTAGCATCAACACCGTTTGTCGATCAGGAATACTTCCCGGTCATACCCGCTGTGACAGGTGTGCTAAAAATGCACATAACCAGGACCCCATCACTGAAGAAAAAGGATAATGGTCCAATCACTGTTCCAGGTGAGCGGTTAGGTGGTGGGGGTGAACGATTGATCCCTGGCTAAAATGTTGCAACATGAATTGAGGTTGGAGTAACCGACCAACGGTTACATAGTCTATAGGTACTTACAACGCATCATTATCTGATAGATCATCGGGAAGCTGACATAGCCGTATCATTGTCACATATCTCGCCGTCTGGAACACTTTGCAGGTCTCACTTCAATTGGGTGGCTATGAGATCCTCGTTTCGAGCTTGCATTTCAAAGCCTTTCTAAAGAAGCAAATCCTCAAGCAAACGAGACATCGTATTTTGAGGGTTCCTCGTCAGAGATTGACTGTATTGTATCAGACCAGGAAATTCTCGAGAAAGGGAAGTGCAACTTACTCTTACGTAAATGAAGGGGTTGACAGACAATTTTACTGTATGAGAAACAGAGATCTCTAGTATAGCAAGAGAAGGCTCCGAATGCAACCAGCCGTTGTCCAAGTTGCCCCACGCTAAGAAGACAGGGGAGGGGCTTGAGTAAGCGAGGCAAAAAAGGGGTATAGTATACCCCTCCAACAACCGTTGGAACGAATGACTGGAAAGCTCTCTTGCTTTATCTCCGTGTAGCTAGGAAAAAAGTTGATTGGTTTTATTGATGTATCAAAATCGATACACCACTTAAGGCCATGTGAAGAATCTAGCTGGTGGCACCAGTGAAGCATCTAAGAAGTTGTTTTTTAATCTATGGAGGTCTAACGAAGGCACCTGTCTTGAGATATGGGGGAATCTCAAACGTTAGAGCAGGTGGCTATCATTGTCCTGCATATCAGCATCTGGACAATCGATCGTACATCCACGATCCGTACAAGCTAAATTGCCTTCCCAATGGGTCCATCAGATACCCATCCAGCACAACATATGCTCAGCCATCATCTGCTTCATCTTCATCCTCGCTATCCCTCCTCACAACTACATCCCTGATCTCTTCATTGACCAATTCTCCCATTCCTATACTATCTTTCAACACTTCCCTCGCCTCTTCAACTTGAATGTCCATATCTTCCATAATCAATAACACAGTGACCTCGGGAACCAAAACAGATTGCACAAATCCCGTTACACCTCTCGCGGCCATTAGCCGATCCTTCACTACTCTCTTCTTTAGTAAGGGCGTAAATTCGTGCATGATATTCTCTGAAATGACCCGTAGCCCACGTGACCCATAGTATCCGGGTGTCAGATTCGTTTCTGCTTTTAATAAGTTTCGATCCTTCCCTGCCTTAACGGTCTCGTTCAGAATTTCTCTGTAGTGGGAATCTGCTCCTCCAACCAGACTTTCAATAAAGGAATGGTGTTTGGAGATTCGGGCGTCTAGAGTATGCCAGTTGATTTCGGGATAGCCTTTCGAAGACCAGCCTTCTTTGGCATCCTTCCTTTGGTGATCACGACAAAACTTCTCCTGTTGGCGAGTATTCATCTCGCCATATCCTCTGAGTTCTTCAGGGTCAACAGGCTTCCTGCACATTGGACATAGAGCTAGCTGGGTTCTTGAGTAGTCGTATTCATCGAGTTGCGTGGAGATGGGACGTAATATACTTTTATCCTGCTCAAGAATATCATGTGCCTTTTCTGCAAGGTCTTCTTCCATATCAAATTTCTTGAACGCCGGCAATTGTGTGAGCGGAGGGTCTTCTGTGGGTGATATTTTACTTGGAGGTCGGCTGGGCGACGCAGCGCCTATGAGGGGTGATTCGTCTTGGCCGAAGGAGTCGTCAAAATCAAGATTCTCAGGTTTTCTGAATTTAAGCAATGTTTCACCACATTCTTTCTGGGGGCTGTCAAATTCGGTTGTGTCGACCTTCCTGAAGGTTGCTTTTAGAGGCAATTCTGCACCTGATTTCTTGGGACTGTCGAATTCGGTGGTATCCACCTTTTTGAACGTTAATTTCAGAGGTAATTCCGTATCTGAGTCCGTGGGGCTGTCTAAGTCAAGAGAATCTAGCTTCTTGAAAGCTGGTATTGAGAAGCCGTCGGGGTCAGCCTCTGGTGCTTTAGATTTTCGTACTTGAGGGGAACCTTCACATTACCAGAGTGTTAGTGTCAATGGTCAATCCAGAGGTATGTATACAAACATACCTTGCGAAGACTTGGGCTGTGAGCTTTTTGGATGGCTCATCTGACTTGATGATCCGTACGTCCTTCCAGTTTTTGGTTTCTTAATTTTGACTCGACCAAATGAATCTGCCATGCCATCACTGCCAAACTTGGTCCCATCTTCCTCGTTCTTCCTCTTGCTATTATTGCTAGAAATGCTCGAAGCAATGCTCGGAGGTGGCGAATCTATTCTCTTAGACCCTCTTGTAGCTCTTATGCTATTGCTAGTATTGGCTGATGGACCACTGCTCTTATTAGCCCGCGTCGACCCTCCCTTGCCTTTCAGAGGCTGCCGTTTTGGGTCCTCTGATCCACGTTTGACGAATTGGGTGCGTTGGATATCCCCACGGAGTGCCTCTTCGTCAGAAGAATCATCACTCCCGCTTTTCGGTGCTGCATATATATCCTCATCTGCCAATTTCTCTTCCGCCCTTGACCCCCCCACTCCATGCTTCTGCTTCACCTCCGGCGATCGTTGGGAGGCCCTGGGGCGCATTGTGTCCTGCTTCTTGGGAGCATTGATACTTTGCAGAAGACTGGGGGCTTGATAGCCACCCTTTGTTAAACCTGCACGCCTTCCGGGCTGGTTCCACTCCAGGCTATAGATGTTCATCGAGGACCGCGGTGGTGTCTCTCCATTAGTCGAGCTTCTGCAGTCTACCGTAAGCGATGGAGAGGCATTGCGGAATTGGTGACCGCATCAGGGATACCTATGTTTGGCCTTTCAAACTGACCACAGTAAGCTGGCCTTAGTATTCATGTCCAGAGTAAATAAGAACCACAAGGATTCAAAATAGTCCAACTGCGTTGAGAAGTCGAGAAACCCGAGGCCCTGAGGTTGAAGTTCGAGTTGGTCAAAGCTTCAACGCGACCCCTGGCAACCGTGTTCTGGCGCTCTCCAAACTGTTGTCTCTGATCTCATCTTCAACCCTTTGTTCAGACCACGCATTGAGAAATGGCGCTCACTAACAGAAAATATGCAGCCTTGCCTGATTTGGTACGCTGTTCTAATCGAACCAAAAGACTGTTTGCTAATATCTGGCAAAGGATTCTGCCCCAGACGTCTACGAAACTCCTGAATTAACAGACGACAACTCCACAGCCCCCGTAAGAACCGCCCTGGATATCCCCCCGAGCAAATACTAAGAAAGTCGTAGACGGATAGAGGTTATCCGCAATCATCGTCCTCCTCTTACAAAGACTTCGACGAAGAGGAGGATGACTCTCCTGGCATATCTCGTTCCCGTCTGCGTCCCGATGATGCCCGCGATGTCTTCTCCCCCGCACAAATCGATGCCCGAGATGTGGATTTTTCAGACCGAGTCACTGCGAAGAGGAAATCATATAAAGCTTCTACGCGCCGACAGCGAAAACGAGACGATGGCACGGAGGAGTTCGGTGATTTCAGCGACGAGGAAGATGGGGAGAGCTTGGAGAGGAAGCTTGCTAGATTAAAGAGAGAGATCGAGGAGGTCAAAGAGGAATATGGGAGGAGAAATGCCGAGAAGAAAGATGTTGTGGGTGAGAAGGAAGAGGTGGACGAGCAGGATATTACAACTTTAACTAGGACGCTGGATGAAATATCTGCTTTACAGGGAAAGGCCACAAGTGCAGGCGGGAAATTGGCAAAGGATATTGGGACTGGAATCAAGGCAAATGGACCTCCGCAGACTTTACAAGCGCCTGAGGAGCCAGCCACTTACACGGTGACATACGCACCAATCTATCAACAAAGCCATGCTCTGGCTAAGGCTGCGGATTTTGACGGGCGGCTAGCAATGTTAGAGAAAGCTCTCGGGTTAAATTCAACTGTGCTACCAACTATCAATGGAACGGGAGCGCCGAAAGCCCTTCTACCTACTCTCGACATTCTTCAACGTCAAATCTCACTCCTGTCCAACTCGACTCCATCATCTTTGGAGGGCATAAGTCGAAGGGTGCGCACCCTTATCCAAGAAGCCGAGCGACTTGAAGAATCTCGGAAATCTGCCAAAGCAGCTAGAGATGCCTTGAAAGCAGCCGGTGGGGACATTGTCGCGGAAGAGGGCGAGGATTCCGAACAGGTCGCAAAAATCAACGCATTGTACGGGACTCTCTCAACAATTGAGAATTTGGCCCCTCTTCTACCTTCTTTGCTTGATCGATTACGTTCTTTAAGGGCGATCCACGCTGATGCCGCCACGGCAAGTCAGAGCTTGGAGAGAGCCGAGAAGAAGCAGGCTGATATGGCTGATGATATCAAGAAATGGAGGGAAGGCTTGGAAAGAGTGGAAGAGGCTATGAAACAGGGAGAGACGGTAATGGGTGGTAATATGAAAGTTGTTGAAGGGTGGGTCAAAGAGCTTGAGGCCAGGATGGAGAAGTTGTAATGATAGCTTCGTCATACTGTGTTTATGTACTTGATACCCCACTTGAAGAACACTCGTACATCCCGCTGCGGGAATTTTAAGGAGTCTGTTCTATGTCTATTATATTGAACTTAAGTGAAGAGTGCTTTTATCTCGACATTGACAAAAATCGAGCCCCGGACATGTCTCGTGACGATGTAAGATTCCCAGCCCTGCGCCTCCGGCTATTTGTCCCAAACGACGCCTCCTCAATAACATAAGGCTGCAACATTCCGGGGAACAACCATAAACTGATCCAAGTTCCAACGCCTCCGCAGCATGGTTCATTCTTTGTAAGATACCTTCAATTCCTTCTTTCTATCCCCCTCAATTCACTTTAGAGATGGCGCTGACTGACGATATTGACGCCGCAGATCCGTACTGGAGTTATTCGAGCGGGACGCGTGGTCATAAGGCTGATCACAGGGCTCAGAAGGTCGAACATTCGACGGAGGCGCGAAGAAGAACCAACAATTGTATCACACGGAAGAAGAGAAGAAGAGATGGCGAGCTTTGTTGGGCAACCGTCCATCAAGGGCTCGACCGAGACCACGCGCATGGCGTTGTTGACGTTCGCGGCCGTCGGACTGCAGTACGTATACCTGCTAATTGGGAGAATTGCGCTGATGGGCTCCGCATAGAGTTACATGGGGCATTGAGATGACTTGTAAGTCCACCAATGCATATGTTGTATGCCTCTATATAGATATAGTCGTGGCTGACGGATGCGGAACAGACTGCACTCCCTACCTCCTCCAGCTCGGCCTCACGAAATCCCGCACGTCTCTTGTCTGGATTGCAGGGCCCCTCTCGGGCCTAATAATGCAACCAATCGTCGGAGTTGTCTCCGATGGCTGTACATCCACATACGGCAGACGGAGACCGTTTATGGTGTTAGGATCAATAGTTGTCGCAGCTTGCTTACTGACGCTCGGCTGGACGAAGGAGATTGTAAGCGCTTTTGTGGCGGAGGGAGAGTTTAGAAAGACCTGTACGGTTACATTGGCTGTACTGGCAATTTATGCTGTTGATTTTGCTATAAATGTTGGTGAGTTAAGAAGATAAGGTTTGGAGAGGGGGGAATGCTGATACGAGAACAGTTCAATCATGTTGCCGGAGTCTGATTGTTGATACCTTACCTATCCCCAAGCAGCAAACGGGCTCTGCCTGGGCAAGCAGAATGGTATCTGTGGGCCATTTGTTTGGATATGTTATTGGTACAATGGATCTGGTCCAGATCTTTGGCACTTCCTTTGGAGACACGCAGTTCAAGAAGTTGATCTTGATTGCAGCATTCAGTCTCATGTTCACGGTTGGAGTTACTTCGTGGGCTGTGACAGAACGAGTCCTAGTTTCTGAAAAGGACGAAGAACCCCGAGATGGGCCAATTAAGATCATTCGCAAGATCTTCAAGGCGACCATTCAGCTTCCACCAAGAATCCAAGCCATTTGCTGGGCGCAATTCTGGTCATGGATTGGGTGGTTTCCATTTTTGTTTTACAGCACGACTTGGGTTGGTGAGACGTATTTCAGATACGATGCTCCTCAGCATGTCAAGCAGTCGAAAGATGCATTAGGTGATATTGGACGAATAGGCAGCATGTCCCTTGTCATATTCTCCTTTGTCACATTCCTTGGGGCATTTATTCTTCCTCTATTGATCAGGTCTCCTGAATCAGAGAGGTTCACTCATCGACCGCCGGCGGCCATCGCAGAGGTTGTCACGAAATTCAACAAGTACAAGCCGGATTTATACACCGCTTGGCTCTGTGGACATTTGATGTTTTCAGGTGCTATGATTTTGGCACCTTTTGCCCATTCATTCAATTTTGCAACTACTCTCGTTGCATTTTGCGGATTGTAAACTCCACTCCCCTTTCACAAAAGGCTTCACTAATGACGATGGTACAGACCCTGGGCTCTCGCCTCCTGGGCCCCCAGCACTTTCATGGGAGTCGAAGTAAATCGCCTCAGCAGCACCACCCCCACCTACGAGCGCTTCCCACTTTCCAGGCGTAACTCCAACCCGAGCTCCTCTTCCGGCACGCCGCTGACACCACGCTCCCCCTTTCCCCTCCATCTCGAAAATGGCCTCTCGGACGACAACATTGCGTCCACAGGCGAGCTCTCGGGCCTCTACTTCGGGATCCTCAACATCTATACCACGCTTCCGCAGTTCGTCGGCACGTTTATCAGCATGATCGTGTTCAGTATTCTAGAGCCGGGAAAGAGCCCGGAGTTGGCTGATGATGCGGCCCCGAAGGAGCGTCTTGATAGGGATGGCCCGAATGCCATCTCGGTCTGTTTGTTTATTGGGGCGATTAGCACGGTGGGCGCGGCGTGGGCGACGAAGAAACTGAGAGATATGCAGTGATGAGTATGATGAGCATGATGAGCATGAGTGATCGTTTGCATTTGTTAGACTTTTCAACGTATATATAATCCCATGCTGCATTTTTTTTTTACAGACACATAACTTTCTAATCGAAGATTTTGAGAAGGGCATTGTAGAAATCATTCTCCACATTGCCGGTCTGTCTTCAAAAATTGGGAAGGGGGGCTTGAAACTTGCACCATAGCTACTCCTTGGAATAAAAATTCATCGAATGTTGAGGAGATCTCTGTAGCTTGCATCTGTAGACCCGAATAAGGATACTGTAAATATATAAGTCGAATTGGGGGAACTAAGGTAAGGAGTTCCGATTTATTTCTCTACCTACCTTAGGTTCCTGATACCTCGCAAGCGTTACACAGAGTGTATTTCATACATATGATAACTGCCTTGCTCAACAGGAACAACCCCCTTAATGCTTCCGCTTACAGGATCGGGGTTGGTTGGCTACCCCGATTAAGTTATGTGATTTGAAGGTTGACTTGGACATTTCAACGATTCAAGGACAGGTGAACCAAGCGATTACCCTTCTTACTGGGTCACTATTTTTCTTGACTGGCATACCTACCTTAAGATAATTTACAACTGAAGTTGATTATTGGGAGAGTTGGTTTATGTGTTACTGATAATTGAGGTAGAGCAGATACTTTGAGTAGGCTGGCTATAGAGTCCCTATGGGAGGGAATCTTTAATCCTTCTCAAGATGCTAATCCTCGGCACCATTCTCGGGCCAACCCACCAACCACCCGTAAATAATCGCACCTCACCCTTAAGTAGCAGGTAGATCTCGTACCTACTTAGTTCGCCCTTCAAGAACTTGTTTTTAAGTACGTTTAAAGATCGAATCTCCTGCGTCAACAGGTTGGAGCCCTTCAGCTCCTCAACTCTACTGCGTACTTCCGCACTATCCGGCGTCTCCTTGGTAAGGTTATTAGCCTCGTAAGTCGTCTCCAAGATCTCACCAACACCTCTCTGTCCGGGTCTCAAAACCTCTATCCCGGCGTATGCATATACCGTACTGATGACCTCCCAAGCCCCAATCGCTTTCCCGGGTTCCTCCATCAGCGCAAAATCAAAGTTGCTCCACCATTGCGGATCTAATAGCTCATCACCCTCCTCGGTCTTGTCATAAACAAGATGCGTGCGTATTCCGGAAATCTCAGGGAGCTGTCCGCGACCTAGCGCCAAGGAATCCTCGCTATTGAGCCCGAAGGATGAGTATTGCTGGAATCGCGTAATGCCGGTCATGCACGAGAGTACATCCATGTGAATTTTCACAAGGCCTGTGCCGTTGATTGTCGGGATGGATGAGGGGTCCTGAGCCAGGAAGTTGTGTAGACGAGATAAAGCTTCGCCGCCGGGGTAATTGAGGGAGGAGATTAGGAGCATGGCTGTACTTCCTGCAAAGCTGCTTGTTATTGAAGCAGCAAGAAAGAGAGCGCCGAAACTGTACAATATGGACTTTGAGCGCCGCGTCCAGATATAGGATGCGGAGAGCGAGGCAGCGGCCGTGAGAGCTGGTACAACGTATATGATGAAGCGTGATTCTTTATGTGGCTGAAGACTATAGATAGCGATGAAGAGGACGGATGGGACCACCAAGTCTCGTGATTGGAATCTCGTTGCGGGAATTATCAAGGAGAGGGGGATGAGGGCAATAAGGATAAGTGGGTTGAGAAGAAGGCGTGGGAGGAGAGAGCTGAAATAGTAGATATAGGGAGAGGTTCCCCAGTCCGCAGACTTTCCTTGAATGGCATTGTAGTAGAAGCCCGCAAGCTCGGGCCAGATGGGTCGTTGCCAGAAGTAGGAGTCCACGGGTATCGATATGGCGAGGGCGACGAGAGCGCTTATCAGACCCGTAGGAATGATGCTTTGTAGTGAGACCCGGGACTGGACTAGAAGAAAAGCCAATTGCGTGAATAATAAAAGCGCAATTTCCGAGCGGAAAATAACACCTGCAAGGACCAAGAGGAAAATCCCCAGATTACTTTGCCTCCTCTCGCCTGTGATGGGAAGGAATTCGCGGAGTGCGAGTGTAGCTATAGCATTTAGTACAATTCTCCTAAAATATAGTGAGACTCACTCAGTGCAAAAGCAAACATATTCGGCAGCGTCCTGGATGCATAATATATCACATGAAACTGGCTGGCTTGTAACAAGATATACCATCTCCCAACGTTCTTCCCAAATGCCTTGTCTAAGCCAGTCTTATATCTCAACAAAGCAGCAGCATTCAGCAGGCCTAGAACCGCTCGGACTATGACTTGGGCATGTTGAATACTGTCCTCAGAACCTGTGAGTAACAGTATTGGTTTAGATAGAGCGGCAAGGAGGAGCGCCCCGACGAATGTTCGCGGAACAGCGCCGGGAAAGGAGACATGATCAAAGTTCTGGATACCGGAGAAAGGTTGATGGTGTATTATGTCGTGGGTTGCTTGGATATTGAAGCTCTCCTCGACCTTGGTGTAAGGGGCTACCAGGAGGTGGATAAGAATGAGGGTCGGGATTAGAAGGTAGAGGATGAGATCTGGACGATAAGGTTTTAGCTTTGATCTGGGATATGGGTTGAGGTATATAAGTCTATAATTACCAGGAGCCTTCATCTTGCAGTCTCTAGATGCCGTGTCCTTAGAGTGGAGCTTGGAAGAGAGCTTTGAAGCTTTGCATAAGGTAGATAAGCCTTGAGCCTCCTATGGGCAACCCAATAGACGGAGAATGAAGACGACAGATGTCACTGTTGCAGTTTCATCATATGGCCGCGATATATGGAAAAGAAAATAAGAACAGTAGATGGTCTCGTGGAAAGAGATCCAAGAAGTCAAACCAACAACTAAAGGATTTGAAGACCATGGAGACACAGCAGGTTCGAACATCGAGATAGCCTCGCCTGGTCCGTGCACTGTCAACCTGTCCATCAAGCGGAGCCTCCCGCCGCAAGTCTGGCCACAACACCACCTCCACGACAGCCTCTCGCACGTCTCGAAACCCGCCAACACAGCCAGAAATGATGTTCTTTGCGTTTGGGAATTTGATATACATCTGCATCCTTCTTGTAAACGCCATAGCGATCCTATCCGAAGATCGCTTTCTCGCGCGCGGTATGCCTCCTGCCCCTTGAGATTCAGCTACGCGCCGCTCCCCCCCAATACCCTTTGAACCCCTTTCTAGATCCCGCGTCACTGACTGCAAAAACCACAGTGGGATGGTCTAACAGCGTGTCCGACCCCGGATTCGGCGGCTCCAACGATGCGAGCATAAAAAGCAAGCTTATTAACCTGATGACGAGCGTGAGGACTCTGATGCGCAGTATGTTATCTTCGCCCCTTATACAACGCACCCCACAGATACTCCCAAGGAGTAGTCTCCGGAAACAGCAGATGGGGGGAATGGGATGTGTTGCAGAGGAGAGGAGATACGTGGGGGAACTATGAGGATAATGGCTAATCCGCATGGAAAACAGTACCTTTGATTGGCATTAATACTGTGATTATTGTGTATGAACTCGCGCTGGGATAACGTGGTCGAGATACCGCGGGAAGGGCGTAGTTCTGGCACACATACACACAAAAGAAAAGGGAAGGAGAGAGGTGAATGGGCCGAGAAGTGTGTACGATACGAGTGAAGGTGTGAAATGTGCTCATGATATTGGGTGCTCGGGAATCAACACTTCAGGATTCATCCAGCATGGCGTTTTAAGGAGCGAGCAGCTTGTCGAGGAGAACAAACAAGACGGGTCCTGATCAGTTGAGAACATAACGACAGAAAGAATTGAAGAAAATACCCCAGAAGGCACGTCCCGTCCTCGATTATGTCAAATTCGTCTAATTTGAGCAAAATGTCTTTGGAGTTCTTTTACTATTCCGCCGACGAACTGATTCGTATCGTGATGGCTACTTAGATTATCTCCTTACATATTATGCTGTAAGTACCTATCCAATCGACAGATTCATACTTCAGCCCAATGCCCCGCCCCCCAAAACTCCCGTCGGTATTTTGAATACCATATGGTATATCCCCAGCCAGTACTTCATTTAATAATCCCGCCTCCCATTTTCGGCCATCCTGTATTTTATGATATTTTTGGGGCATTTTGGGTCGCCTCGTCTCTCCAGTGACCCCAGATGGAGCGAAATATACAGGCGCCCCCACCCCGTGAGCACACTCGATCTCATCAAAAGACCATCCGCGCCTTTCAGGGACCGCGGAACAGAGAGCTCCTTTTCTTTCCTAGCCCGCTGAAACTGAACCTCCCATCCCTCGCTGACTTCTGATTCTTCTCTGGCGGTCCGGGATCTCTGTCAATTGCCGTCTGATCATTCCCTCTAGCCTTCTCCTTCTCCTTCTCTCCGTTCTTTTCTTGCTTGCCTAAGAAACCGAAGCTCTTGCGACTCGTACTCTTACTCCGTCCGTGAGACTTCAAAGCGCCCTGGCCGAACGACTTATCAAGGTCCTTTTCTTTGATAGTAGGACCGCCATTCCCTATTCCTGCAGCTTCTTTTCTCTTCGACTCTTCGGCAGCGGCGGAAGCTTTGCTTAAAGCGATAGCCTTCTTTACATCTTCGGCTTGGGTCCGTTGGTATTCTCTTCGCTTGTTTTCCAACTCTTTCTTCGCTCTCTCTGCCTCCTTGGCCCTTTCTTTCTCTGCAGCCTTCTCGGCAGTTCTCCGGGCTTTCTCGGCTTCTTTGGACTCTTTTTGTTCCCGAGCTTTCTCTACCTTGCTCTTTACTTTTCCTGGACTTAATTGTGGGACTGCGGGTGATGATGCTGCGTGAGGGAGGACGCCTGGTACTGGTTTGGATGCAATGGGGGCCGGTTTCGGGAGCGGGTTAGAAATTGCGCTGTTGAGGGATACGAACTCACGCTGATCATCCTGTGGTGTGTCGGGTGTGGCGACTTGCTTGGGGGTAGAGGAGTCTGATTGAGGCTGTCCTAGAGCTATGTCGGCTCCTTGTGATGAGAGAGCAGCTTCAGCAAGACCTTCGGCATCTTGTTCTTTGCGCATGGCTTCGACAGTAGTCTCTTGGTAGAACAGAACATATGCACACGCTTGTCCAGGCCTGTCGCCGAAGAAATTCCGTACGTAGTGCTTATCTACGGGTTCCACCATTTCGTCGTCAAAAAGAAGCCACCCACGATCTTGAGTTTTGATGACCGAGACATAGTGACCATGGTAGGCGTTACCGCCGATGTGTACGACTACAGCGTACAACTCGTACAGGCGATCTGGATCCTCAGCGTCATCGGTGGTATTGAACATACGAAGGTGGTAAGGATAGACAACGCGGTGGAATAGTTTCTGTAAGCGGGTCATGTCTTCGGTATACTTGAATCTCTTCAAGTGAAGGGCTAAAATCTTGGGTAATCGTTTGATCTTCATACGCTTCGCGGCTTCTTGGAGTCCACCACAGTTATCGCAGTGAAATTTGTTCCTTTCGCAAAGCATCTCCTCAGCTGAGAATTTTCGTAAGCAGGATGTGACTGATGAGTGTTCCTCCAAATCGATAGGAAGGTCCAAGAACGTCTCGTCTCGTTGTGATGCTGTTTCGCATGTCAAGCATTTTGTCTCTGAAGTCAAAACCCCTTCGAATATTTCATGCACCCATCCTGTCCCTGGTGATCTTGTCCCGCTAGACAGCCCCATTCCAGAAGCTGCGGAGGTCACCGCAGCCTTCATTGATTGAGCTAGACCGTCCTCATTCTGTGGTGGATCCAACTCCTTAATCCGTTGAGCATTTGCTTCCACGGTAGATATGACGGCGTTCAGTACTAATCCGTAAAACTCGTGAGCATCCTGGTGCATCGATGTCCGGAACATCTCATTATCGCGCTTGAAGATCTCCAAGAATCTTTGCGGACTCAAGACACCTGACCGTGAAGAACTCGCAATCAGGGCCATGAATATGTCCTTTAAGGCCGTGAAAGTTGATTCCTCCATCCCATATGAACTCGCGTTGTCATATGTCATCTCCAATATAGGGCCTGTGAGCATAGCATGCTTCTTCTTGTATTCTGGCGAATCAGGTTTATCTTCCGGTCTCTGTCCTGCCGGGGGAGACAATGGTTGTCCTGCATTTATAGTTGACCTTCTCTTCATTGCTTCAGCGGCGGAAATTCCTTTGGCCTTTCCTGGAGATACCGCCCCACCATTCTGTACTGGAGCTCTTATAGGAACAACGATTTGCGGGCGTCCATTCGGGGTATCGGACGGAGAATGCGGGGGATATCTGACGACATGCTCTCGGAAAGGGACTGAGTAGTATAATGCTTGTAATATCGAATTGCAGTAACTGAATAAAATTAGCACCGTGAGGTTTTTCCGGGCTGTCGAAGACTGACCATGTATTGCCAAACTAGAGAGACATTAGTATTTGTTCTATGGGAAGCGTGGGGTAGTTGGACATACATTTTCCATGCCAAAGAACTTATCACTTCCATCACTTCTTATAGGCCCAGCATTTTGCAGCATCTTCTGCAGGGGTGTGAGGTCCGGCTCTGGTTCCGCATCTTTCTTGTTCTTGCTCGAGGAGGAGGTAATGCCGCCTGGGCTTGTAATTCCCTGCATAGCAGCACATTAGCAGAGGATTCGATTGGAAATTCCCAGCAGCAATTCCAGCCAGTATATCCATGAGACACTGCAGTGGGAATATCTGCGGTCGCGGGAATATACTAACAGATGACGCTCCCTTGAATTTACTGAATAGCCCAGACATTGTCACTTAGGTTGGTGCTCCTCGGGCGCCTCGAATGTTCACTTCGCCCTCTCCGCGCCGCGACACTGGCGACGAACTGTGCAGGCAAGAGCCTCGGATTCCGAACATGCGGGAGGCTTCCTCTTTGTCTCAGGAGAACCTGCCCGAGTCGAGAAGTCGACCGCAGAAGCAGGTTTGGATCTCTCGGACGCGGGACTCGGGAGGACGCCGAGACGCAGAGGTGCGGCGCACGGGTAGCGCGGGGACGGGGGAGCCTCGCGCGGAGCGCTGGAGCTTTTCTTTCGTGGGCGATGTTCGATCTTGGTGGCAGATTCTTGGGAGAAAGGGATAGGGATTGCCGGATGGAGGGGATAGGAAACCAGCAGTTCGAAGGGAGGCTCGGAGGGGAAAACGGCTGGACCTCGTGTGCAGGTATCTCCGATCCGTAGAGTAGCACGGTTCGTAGTGCCACTGTCAGTGTCAATTGAGGACTGGCAGACCGCGTACCTCCGTAGACCAGACCACGGGGTGGGAACCTGGACGGGGGGGTGGGAAGGGAAAAGGTGGGTTAAGAGACGCGTGAATGGCCAACGGTCGACGGGCGAGCAAGAATAAGCGAGGGGCCTTTTCATCATCGATCAGTAGTTCAGGCCAAGTCAAGCCAAGTCCAGCGTCAAGTCAGGTCGAGCCAGGTCAACCGTCAAGCCAGGCCAGGCCCCAGAAGCACGGAGACTTTCTAGCTTCACTTCTAGTCTTCTAGAAAGGCCCCAACATCCAAGGCCCGCCGACGCAGCCCTCGAATGCAACGACAGGACGCTCTGTACTCTGTGCCAAACATGCACAGGCGGCTGCAGATCCTCTCGTTCCCCCCGTTCGACGGCGGAAGCAGCTTACATTTATCGTAGGGGGACGGACGGTCTGCCACAGCAGCGAACTGCGCTGCGCGCGTGGACGTTGCGAGGCAAGGTACACTGGCTAGGATGAATTTGCCGTCTCTCCAATGAGTCCAATCCCACATCGAGATACACAACCAACAACCAACAACCAACAGCCAGCGGTCCAGCGACGTCACTGCCAGCCAGGAAGAATACCTCCTCGCATTCATGCTGTAGCAAGGTCCACACCCATGTCTGCCGTCTGCCAATCTGCCTGTCATGGCCTCACGGTGTCACGGTGTCACGGATCACGATCAGCACGATCCTCGCGATCTTAATGCTCCATTACACAGCCAAACCACCCCTCATCACGAGTAGCACAACATAGGGAGAACATAGGGAGTGTCCCTCCCCTTTCCGCCTTACGCACACATGATTCTTTCATTCGCCCATTGCTCCAGCACATGCATCGTGTGTTGCGAGAACTATGGCCCTTGTGGTCAAATCAAGACCCTGGAGAAGAGCATGGGAACCCGAACCGTGACCGTGGTCCCTATTCCCACGTTCTTTACTTTTCATGGGTACTGCACTGCAATCGTGTGGGGTCGGGGCGGGGAGCCCGCTTGGCTTCTCGACGTCTGAAGGCCTGTGACACGGCGGAGTAATTGATCATTGGATGCTCCTCGAAGATCTTATCAATCGCTATGCTCCATGCTGCACACATCGGCCCGGCTTGAGGGATGAGGAGATGTCGGTGCGACTGACAAATAGGTACAGTTCGCTCTCATCCCAACCAACAGGGAGCAGCAAGAATCCATACTTCGCCCGACTCGCTGGGATCGATTACCACGGGTGCTATTCCAGAATATTTCCCTGCGTATAGAGGTACATATCTGCTCATGCGCAAGCGATCTGGAACCATCGCACGATACCGCTGTCAAATTCGCATCAATTGAATTGCGCCCGTCCTCTATAATTCCCGATGATGGCCTCCTACCCCTCAGCTCTGTTCCGTTTGTGGCTCCCTACAGCTTTCTCGCCTGCGCCATCGTCTGGAAACCTGAAATGTTGTGCGATCATCGCAACTCTGATTGCCGCAACGCTTTGAGTCGAAAGCTGGATGACAGGCCGCCGTCTGATTGCCGTCCCCGCGAAGCCTGGCCCACGTGGCGCCGACAAGTGAGATCGACGCTTTCCGTGATCCCAGATATCGGATCTTGAGCTAGCGCCTGTGGGGTATAATAAGGCATAGACTTTTGCTTCACGCTTTTCACAGTGGAACAATCGCTCTCTTTTTACGCCGTTCTGAATTTAATTTCTACTATTCTTGTTACGTTCAGGTGATTGATTCGGAATAAATTGGAGGTTGTGAGGATGAGAAATGTTGATCTGAGCTGTTTTACCCCCGATGTGGGGAGCCTTGCTTATCGGCTTCTACTTTTATGCCCGAGACGATCTATCAACGCAGCCTCGCATTTCCAGCATCAGATCACTTGAGAGTCTCAAGTTGAGACTTTCATACCCCCTTTTTGTTGCATCCTCCTGCCGACGAAGTTCTCAAAGGAGCGAGGTGTAAGATGCGCACCCTTTTACAGGTCGTTGAAGCTCATGTCTCTAGTTCGGGCAGAACAAGCATTCTGGTCTGGATATGACGAATCCCTAATGGCGTTCTCAATCTGTTTATTGACTCCCGGTGAAGGGTCTAATCTAGGATGTCCACTCTATCAAGCGATGAATCTAATGGCCACGTGTCTCCCTCCCGCTCGTGCTCTTGAGCACACGGCCCTTCTTACTTTTTCCTTGTGGATGATTTGATCGTTCAAGACAGGATGATCAAGAAAGCATCACCACTTTTCATTTCAATTTCGCAATCGCCTCCCTGATTTCCTTCATGCCCTCTAATCGCGCCTTCTCGCTAGCATGAATGGCCTTCAAATGCTCCCTTTTCATCTCCTCGAAATCGTCATCCAGTTTTTGATGCCATGGATACAGTACGAAAACTTGAAAACTCAGTGCTGAGGTACCGATTATGAAGTTGGTCAAGGAGAATCCACGTGTGAACATCATTTTGGCGGCTGGCTAAAGGGTTAGAATTTTGTTAAGGACAGGAGTGAAGAGGGTGCTGACTAGAGAAGGGACAGCTCCGAGGCCCCTAGGAATCAACGTAATATGCCCAATCTCTACCTATCTTCTCCCCGCCTCTCCACAAATTCCCGTTTCCTTTGCTGTTCACGACACGTGACGGTGCAGGATCTTCAGAAATGGGGTTCTTGTACCTCGGGCGCCCGCGTTTCAACCCCTTGAAGATGATTCTGAGCCGGATTCAAGGACAACGGAGAAGTAGAAACTGTGATTTACGAAGGTCACTGGGGATCGAGCAGTGAAACTGAACTTTGAAGAGAAAAGCAACAGAAGAATAGAAAAAAAAAAGGACAAAATAGAAGAACGAAGTCAGTGTGGTGTTGAAGTGTAGGTAGGGGAGCGATGTGGCCTAACCGCTTCTGGCACGACTTAGTCCGAAAACCTCCGCATGTGCTGTGGGGAGTGGCGTGACTTTTCCTCGACCAAATGTACGGTGTATGTCGACCTGGATCAATCGAAGAAACTCGGTACCAAACGACGGTCGAAGATTGATTCGCGAAAAAATACTGTGTCTTGCGCTGGTTGGACTTGTTCGTCCTCTTCAAGTTAATCAATGATCGGATATGAGGGAAAAGGGGGGACTGTCCCTGAGCACTGTAGCGATGGCATTGCGGCTCGGCTCGACTCAACTCAACCGACCATTCGATTGAGATGGTTCCTTCCTCGGCCATGATGCACATCCTCCTGCACGGATTCGGTTCTGAACTCTCATGCCCCATGTTGGATCTGAATAGCTTAGGCCGTTATCAACTGCCATATCATATCAAACTCACCTTCCTGTTTCGTACCCAACTCCTACAAAGCAAGGGACACCGAGGCGCTGTTCTGGCTTGGCATTCATTGCGCTGGGCTAGGCGGGCAACGCTGAGTATCAAAGTCTCAGGCATGGAATATGGACTCGCAAAAAATCTTGTCAAATCGAAGACAGGCTCGGTACTAGAATCTGGAGAAGGACAAATTCAACCAGGAAGCGGGTTATACTTTTATGGCAGGTTCCAAACTGTTGATCTATTGCCTGCAAGAGCTGCGCAAAGTTCTCTTTCCTGGTGAGAAACTAAACATCACAATTCCAAAGTCAAATATAAGTCTAGGAACATGCAGGTAATTCGCACCAAACTGGAGCCATTGTATAGCTCATGTCAAGAGCTCTTCAGTGATTCCATAATTATATGGAATTTCTACGGAGGTACAGTGCCTAGGTACCTAAGTACCCACGGAGTACCTAAGTGATGTAGTGTGGTGGTTACTCGACCAGGAAAGACAACCCCCGCTTCGTCAACTCGAGCCCAGCCTGCTGTCCGTACAGTACTGTCTGAGCAATTGAAAGGCTTCACTTTTAGCAGAAACCTCACCCACATAAAAGGTCTGACACTTCCCACAGTTCTAACTGCAACCATCCTAATGCCTTCTCAGAATGTCTAGCACCATCTGGAACCCTTACACCAAATCTTACTACCTCGACTGCGGCCGCGATGGACTAATTCACGTTGTATCCGATTACATTGTGGTGAAGCTCCTTGGCGATACGGGAAAGGTCCAGACAAGATTGTGCGGCGCTTACGAAGGATTCCATGGAAACTTTCGCACACGAGCAGGCTATGTATGAAACTCTCAATGAGAATCCTCACAACGTCCTACAAAGCTTCCTACGCACAGCTCATGGCATCTTCCTTCCGCGAATGAATCAGGATCTTCGTTCTCGCCTCCGGCAATCAAACATTGCGGAGGCGGAGCAGTACCGGTGGGTTGCACAAGTCTCCTGCGCAGCTGGCTTGGAGGTCTCGACTACTTTCATGGTCACCTGCGGCCGAGAAACATCCCACTCGATGCTACAGGCAATGTCAGGATATGCGACTTCGGAAACATGACCAGGCGAGGACAGGAATATCCTGGCGCAACAGATCCTTTCAACCGATCGATTCCAGTTCACGCCGGTCCGGTTGGAGAGCAGTTCGCAATTGGCTCTTGCATATACAACATCCGGACTGGCCATAAACCTCTATATCATCTCAAGGATTTAGAGCTCAGGTAGGCTCTTGACAGAGACGATTTTCCCCCGACAAACGATGATAATCTTCTCGGTACTGTTATTTCTAACTGCTGGCATGGGAGATACGAGACATTGGAGCAGTTACACACTGGCATCGTCTCCCTACTCCAGAGCCAACATTATGACAATCGTGCCGTATTCAATGAACCAGAAGCTTAAGACGAGAGTATCTGAGTGTAAGGAGTTCGAGAAACAGAATCGGAGACTCTCGTCCGAAAAACCTCTTTATTGAGAGGTGGAGCAGACATTTCTGTTTGAATAGGCAGATTGGATTCAAGTAGAATGAGAAGGAAACCAACTATATGATGTAAAGACATATTTGCTCATCACCAACAAGGAACACTCCGGACACTCTCCAGCAAGAGTTCAATGTTGCTTGAGCGAAAGCGACCAACCACCACACGGGTCTTTATCCCTGATCATCACCCTCGGCGATGCGGTCAGAGCACCAGCCTTTCTTAATCAACTTGCCCGCATGTAAGGTAGGATATTCTCGCATCGCGAGCCTTGCTCCCTAGAATGAAGGAGACAAAAGGGATCTCGGGTAACCTTGGAGCAGGCAGAAGGTCCGGGACTTGCACACTCAAACATAAATCTCCTCCGTGAAAATAGAAGGCAGACGCTGATTGTAGAGCGGTTTGAGAGACGAATGGTATATGTCATGATAGATCTGCATTCCATATTAGACACGCCTTCGCCACGATTATGATATTGGTCTTTTTTGACTCTTTGGAGTTTCTCCGAGTGAGAGGTGAACATCCATCACCCAGCCCACAACCTCGCACACACTGATAAAAGAGAGCATGTGCTATTATGAACCCTAGAACAATAATAGAAGAAGACTACAAAACACAAATGAATCAGCTAGATGCGTAAATCCTAGTTATACCGTAAGTGAAAAGAAAAGGGAGTAATAAGTTATCATACTGATTGATACTTAATAACCAAGGTACAGAATAATTTCTCTCACTAAAGTGATGCCTCAGACAACTCCTTCCTGAAGCAGGGAGGGAATGAAGATATAAAATAGCAGGTTATTGTTTTCATGTTTGTGATACGCGGAGTTGTAGAGCATATTTATCTATAAAAAAGAGGGAAATATTTCATAAACCAATCCCTTTCTCTTCTTTGAAAGCAAAAAAAAAAAAATGTAAAATACGAAATAGAGAAGAAGGGAATGAAGAGATAGATGCCCGATGACTGAGGCGAGTGAGCATAACATCATTAAAAAGAAAAGGAAAAAAAAAGCACAAAAAAATTGAAAGATATTTATCTGTGACTTATTGACCTACGCAGGGATCGAACCTGCAATCTCTTGATTCGTAGTCAAGCGCCTTGCCATTGGGCCAGCAGGCCGTGTCTTTTAGATTGTGAATGAAGATTGTGGAGATGCTCATAAGAACGAGGGAAGAGAAGATTATGAGTAAAATTTTTGGGGGAAAAATAAAAGGCAGTAAGAGAGGACCTAGAGTTCCCAAAAAAGTCCAAAAAAAGAATGCAAACATCAGTAACTCATGACCTACGCAGGGATCGAACCTGCAATCTCTTGATTCGTAGTCAAGCGCCTTGCCATTGGGCCAGCAGGCCGTGTGTTTTGATTTGTGAAAGGAGAAGCTAGAGAGAGCTTCATAAGAGAGGGAATGAAAATTTTTATAGAAAGTTGAAAAAAATTTGATCAAAAAGAGGGTCTCTTAAGAATAGTGTGTAGAAGAACAAAAAAGGGCAAAAAGAAATGTGATTATTCACAACATGTGACCTACGCAGGGATCGAACCTGCAATCTCTTGATTCGTAGTCAAGCGCCTTGCCATTGGGCCAGCAGGCCATGCGTGTTGAGCAATTCTTCTCTTTTGACTATATATATTAGTCATCCTCGTAGACGCCATATTAGCGAAGATTGGTTGTGGTAGGGAAACATGATCTTTGCTCCGATGAATCCTAAAACAATATATCGTGAGGGTCAAAGAATTATGTTGTCGTGGTAGTTAAAAAGAAGAGGTTGGATTTGTTGAGATCGCTTTGGTTATTTATTTAACATGACGTATTCCCAGAACTCGCGGGGGTACGTACATTCATTGACTCGAGTTCGTATTGAAGTTTAACTGACTCAAGACGCGATACCTCAGCCTCAACTAGATTTAAAACTCCAGCCTCATGAAAACCAGATCAACCAGAATATGTATATTTGGTGGTACGTATAGTTCAGTCCCTTTCTCAAAATCATCAAGTCGCGACCTAGTCAGCGATCATGAATGGAGATCCTGGAGCCCATGATCTCGAGGAAGGCTACATACCGATTTGTATATATGTGATCGGCTGGGACCAAAGACACTGGATGGGGTTGGGAGATCTTGAGGGGAAGTTGATTGACTTGATCAGATGCGTGTGATATCTAGGTCTCTCAAGGATGAAAGTGACGAGAGCGAGACAACACGAGATATGCGTTTTGCTATCCTCGATATACTAGGTAGTTCATGTTAGGCCATATAATTCTGCTGCCTTCCAGCCTATTTCCCACCATCTGTTAAGTTCGGAATATGGGAGAAAGCCCATACGATCGGTATCCTGAGCATAGCTACTCTGGATCGAGAGGAGTAGGTCTGGCTCCAATTTTTGCGCCAGATATTTGGAGACAGCACAAGGAAGCACCGCATCCGTACAATATCCTCGGTCGGCTTCAAGGGAGTTGCAGGTATCGATATCGGTAAATCCCAAGCAATGGTAGCATCGACTTGATCTAAGTGCGTTACCATCGGTAAGAAATGCGACACAGTGGGTCTGCCTACGGAGTAAGGAGTACTCGAATTGTGAAGGATCGCAACTAGGGTTACGATGGTGGGGGCGCTGTACCGGGAGGATTGCGGGAGGAATGCGGATTCTTATATCGTTCTGTATGGAGAAGGTGTACTGCGGTTTCTCTTTGCTGATCCGCTTATGCACTCAAGGTTGGTATGGATACGGAACCACGAAGCGTAGTTCTTTTTAAGAAGGCTGGTATGGAATACGCATAGAAAGGGTAGGTGGTTTTGCTGCGTCGATAGCATCTTGCTGTCTGAGACTCCGCTGGGGTATTTTCTGCGCACGCTGCCACTTTAGAGAGGATTCCTGAATCTGTAGATATGGTGGCAGAACAGTCTCCATAAAAGTACTGCAACCACTTGATCGCGACGATTAAACTAATAATAGTGGTCTCTTGATTAGTTATAGACAACGATCGAATAAAGAATTGATACGCATGCTGAGCGCACTCCATGGGCCTCGGGAAGCTCCTTCTAATGTGATTGCGGAGCGCATTTTATTGTGCCAGCTTACCGCCTGAGTTGCCTCGCGGCCTCGCTCCTCCCGACGCGGCGACGCAGGAGAGCGAGCCTACTTTGCCAAACTGCTGCGCAGTACAGTTCGGACTGGCCTGGTTGATCGCCGGATCCTCCACCTTTGCCGTACTACTCTGCTCCGGCGATCAGAGCGCAGAGGATCAGAGCACAGAGCACAGAGCATGACTGGACATCCTCTCTATGCACAAGGACTGAGGAACATCGTTCAGCCTCCTCAAGAGCCTTCGAGATCTGCAAGCCCGGTGGAGGCAGGACGCCATGGGATGAATAGAGTTCACAATCGGCAGAGCCTTGCGGCGAGTAATACGGTCTTGACGAAGGCCTCTCTGGAGAAATCTGATGTCTGAGACAAGGAGACAGTGAGACCTGTTGAACCGACGTTTCACACCTTTCTTCAGCCAGGAGTGTGCGTGCAGCGATTGGCTGTCGTCGCGGGCCGCAGGTAGAATGCTGAGAGCCTGAGCCGGTCCTTAGTGCTTTACGGCAAACACGACGAATACAACGTAGTAGTGACAGGCTGATGCTTAACCCCAGGCGCTGCATACAGTTGGGCGGAGCAGTGGGCGCCACTCATACCCGGCTGATAGTACATTGGTATAATGGTACCTGACTGTCCTGGCGTGGTCTCCCGCACACGCTCCGGCGCTGGCCAATTGTTGCAACTTCAGCCTCGGCGGATCTGCGCGCCCTCTCCTGTCGACGTGAGTCCCTTGCAGGCCCCTCGGTCTTTGGTGTCGTGATGTGAAACAAACAACGGGGATCGACGGTGATGAATATCGCGATTCGCTCTGACGAATAAGCGGGGATTCAGGGAGAACGGGGAGGGGAGACAGGATGGTAGATCTGCTGATGGCGAAGAGCGCACTGTAGACAAAGCAACAGATATTCATTCATGGGATATGGATGGTGAGTTAGGAAATTTAGGATCGATTTGACGTAAGGCGGGCGCAGGCCAGTTGTGGTCAAGGATGGTTGATAGTTGATAACGTTGGGTTGGATGACGCTGCATATCAGCTGGAGTTCGTCTAATAGCGTGCCTCCATCCAGAGCTCAGGAATGGGTTTTGACGTCCAACCCCCTGAAAAGCTTCGCACCCCACACTCCTCGGCATCCAACCGCAGCTTCACATCGCTACTTCTAGGGGTCAGACATTCAGGGCTTTTCCAGGACCCAGTACCCAGTACCCAGTCCTCAGGGTAAAAGGGGGGGCAGGGCAGGTAGTATGCCTGTCTCTTCCTAGTGGAAGCCAGGAGAATGATCCTCCATGCACCAGTCTAACACCCTACCAAGTCCTCCCCTCCATAACTCAGATATAAGATTCCACCATGGCCTCATTCATGTCCTGTTTCTGGCCAAGCAGCCAAGCAGCCCTTCTTTTCCCTTTCCCTTTTCCTCTCCCCCACGTTCACTACCGGACATCATGTTTGTGCTTCCTTTGGTAAGTAACTACTCGTCCCCTAGTGGGTGATCTGATATCTGACCCCAAGAATGTAGATTTTGGCTGCTGGCAGCCTTTCCACTCTCACTTCCGGAGCCCCAGTCTCTCCCTTTTCCGGTCTTTTGAGGCGGGCAGCGTCCTCTCATTCCTTGCAGGGCCGCGCCCCAAGTGACCCAACTTCATACACAGTCTATGGGGGTAGCGGAGAGGTCTCAGATGGCTGGCCGGACCAGAGCGACTGGTTCCCATCCTTGGACGCGATGTGAGCACTACTCCAATTTCTATCTACTTCACACCGGTTCTAATACCTCCATTCAAGGTTCACTGCCAATCTCCCGGTCCTGAAGGACTCATGCACTCAATTCGGTGTCCCGAATAACTCTGATGACGAGATCGATGCTATAAAAAGCGGTATCCAATCCGTCGCCAGCTCTTCTGGCGTCGATGCTCGGTTTATACTTGCTATCCTCATGCAAGAGAGTAACGGCTGCGTGCGCGCGCCCACTACAAATTATGGGGTCGTCAATCCTGGTCTGATGCAGTCCCATGATGGGTCAGGAAGCTGCAATGACGGGAGTGTCTTGAATCCATGCCCACCCAGTCAGATCACCCAGATGATTGAAGACGGCACCACTGGCACGGCGAGCGGAGATGGTTTGAAGCAGTGTCTCTCAAAAGCGGGTGCCACGGACGTCAGCACGTACTACAAGGCCGCGCGTATTTACAACTCTGGCTCGATCGCAGCATCTGGGAATTTGGGTCAGGGCATCGCTACTCACTGCTATTCTTCGGACATCGCGAATCGCCTCACAAACTGGGCGTCTGGGCCAAGCCAGTGCGACCCCAGCACTATCGGAAACCTTGATGGGTCTTCCGGCGGCAGTGCTTCCAGTAGCTCCTCTTCGAGCTCGCCAACCGCAAGCAGCACATCCACGAGCAGTACATCAACGAGCAGTACATCCACAAGCAGTACATCCACAGGCAGCACACCCACATTCTCTCCCCCATTTCCACCGCCATTCTCGCCCACATTCTCGCCCACATTCTTGCCCACATTCTTACCCACACCCACAATCGGCCCTGCTGCAGCATCTCCCACCACAGAAGGAGGGGGGATCTTCGCTGGGACGTCTGTATCAGTAGCTACAGAATCAGCAAGTCTCCCCACAACCCCAGTTGTCACCATCGCCACACCAACTGCCAGCCCCACTGCTTCTGCTGCGGCCACATCGACAGGCCCATCTGTTCCCCTCGGCACAGGTACAACCACCTCTGGGGCAGCATTTGCTCCAGGGTCACCCTGCCCAACTGACGGAGAATGGAACTGCATCTCAGCGACGACCTTCCAGCAATGCGGTAGTGGAACTTGGTCTGTCGTCCAACAGGTCGCTGCTGGTACTCAGTGCACAGTTGGACAATCCTCAGCCATCAAAATTTCCGCTGCCGTATCAAGGCGGAGGCGTTCACTCGGCCAACTCTCGCATGCACATGCCATAAAGCATGTCAGGAACGAGGTGTCTTAGTTTTGACATAGTCAATCCTTCTTTGTATATATCTTCATTCTACTTCAGAAATTCAAACAATATGAAGTGTGTATCATAACAGTCGTTGCCCTACGAGTATTGTGATATGACAGGTTTTAGGCTTCAGACTTCAGAGAACCTTTTAAGTAAAATATTTGTCGACTACCTTGTTTTCTTCCTGTTCTTTCCTGCGCCCTCAGGTGCTGGAATGTTAGAGAGTAGGAATGTACCTTATGAAGGTTCAAGTCGTATGGTTCACGTGACTATATGAAGTAAGGGATGTACCTTAAATTACCTTACCTAGGTATGTATTCTCTCAACACCTATCTTCTATATACTTCCAAATAACTCATTTCCTGTCACATACGACCACAGACTGAAGAAAATAGGGCATCCCGTCCGCTCTGCCATACTCAAGCTTCAGATCGGCAGATTAGTAGTTGGGTGGGTGACCACCAGCGAATACCTGCTGTTGTATGTTTTTTCTTAACTTTTGCTCCTTTTTTCTCTGATTTCTTTTTATCCCCTTTGGACTTGTACGAGCTCTCCTGATTTTTTACGATCAACGTCTAGGTAATCATGAAAGAACCCCCTTTTCTCTCCGCAAGTTGGAAGTTCAATTAATGCCGTCTGTCCACCAGACCGATGATCCTTCTAACCCTGTATTCTAAGTCCCATTTCCTCTTTTCTCACCCGTTCATGACTTCCAAGTAGGTCGGTGGTAAACAGGCCGGATGGGGGCGACGGCGGATATTTTTATTCCTTCTTACTCTTGTATATGTAAGTTGAGAGGTACAGAGAGGCACCAATGTAAGAAGGGATGTACGAGTGAGCAGTGATGAGCCGTATATGAGTGCACGGTGAAATATTGATCCGAACCGGATTCCAACCTCAACAACCTTGAAGCAAATATTACTTCTTGACAGCGACCAAGATTCGATAAGGACCAAATCTATACATACGACTGTCATAACAACATTTGAGTTTGTATGACAGTTTTTGCCCTACCTCCTACGGTTTAATTCGTGATCTAGATACTGCTTAAATACCTAAGCGCCATTACCCCTCCTTGGCATCCCACCTTGGTCCTTGAATACCTCTTGCGCCGAATTCCACAGCTTCGACAACTCGAAACTCATATCAAAATGGCACCAATCTATGCCCCGTTCTCAGTGAACAGCTCTGGTTATCTCCAAGTCTCCCCCGTCCATTCCATCTATTATGAAGAATGTGGTCTCGCAACCGGCGTGCCCATAGTATATCTTCATGGAGGTCCAGGAGGAGGAATAGAGGATAGTGATAGGTAAGAAGGATCCTTGAGCACGGAGAAAGTTGCATCGTATAAGGGGGATTGTAATAATTAGCTAGCGCAACTTTGGGGGAAAGAGGAAAATGGGCTCTGATTCTGGTAATAGACAATACTTTGACCCCTCCCACTATCGCAGCATCCTCTTCGACCAGCGCGGTTCTGGGAAATCCACGCCTCACGCATCCCTTGAAGACAACACGACCTGGGACTTAGTCTCCGATATCGAGGCCTTGCGACAGCATCTCAAAATCGAGAAGTGGATAGTATTCGGCGGGTCGTGGGGCTCTACCCTATCCCTGGCCTACTCCGAGAAGTACCCTGAAAGATGCATAGGCTTGATTCTGAGGGGTATCTTCACGCTGCGGAGAGAAGAGCTGGAGTGGTTCTATCAGAAGGGGGCAGATATGCTCTTCCCTGATTTTTTCGAGGCCTATAAGGCAGTGATTCCGGTAGAGGAGAGAGGCGATATGATGAAGGCCTATTATAAGAGACTCACGGGAGACAATGAGGAAGAGAAGCTCAAATGGTAAGATATATCAATTCCCTTCTAGACATACGTCTCTGTTAACCAGCTTTAAAGTGCCGGTGCATGGAGCAGCTGGGAAACAGCCACAAGCAAACTGATGGTTGATCCCGAGTATATCAAGAAAGCCGAGGATCCCAAATGGTACTTTCCAACCCTCCCCTCGGCCTCTCTCATACCCCATACTTATCTTTCTTCTCAGGGCGCTCGCGTTCGCGCGAATTGAGTGTCATTTCTTCGTCAACGGCGGCTGGATGCGAGACGGTCAACTGATCGAAGAAGCGCACAAGATCAAGCACCTACCCATCATTATTATCCAGGGTAGGTACGACATCGTGTGCCCTGCCAAGACCAGCTGGGAATTATACCAAGCGCTGGGAGGAGAGAAGAACTCTAACGTCACGTACCAAATCATCGGCGATAGCGGACACAGTGCCCACGAAAAAGCCATCGAGGAGGCGTTGGTGGATGCCGCTGACAAGTTCAAGTCTTTGAAACCTTAAAGGATCAGAAGGAGCGCAGTCTCCTCGACTGGTCAGCACTGCTTTCGAACTTGTTCTTGAGACTAGGTAGGGATTATATATATGGCTGCGCACAACGAGCACTTGGGGATTCTATTGCTTGAGTCATGGATAGGGAGCTCTTCCTCTTGATTGTCGGCTTTCACTGTTGCTACTTCGGAGATGCTCTCAAATTCAAGATGTGATGTGCTTTACCTCTCCAAAGCCCAAGCCCCACCAATTCTGCTGTTGAAATTCTTAATGCGGCCCAAGGGGCAAATGCGATCAAGGTTGGGTTTTTGTAACCCGGGCGTGCGACACCATGTTATACCGAGTCTTATTAGTTGCGCAGCGCCACGCACTTTCATATATTCATCTCATCTTGGAAAGCAGTCATCTACTAGAAGCAGAAATACAAAGCGAGATCAGTCACGGTTCTATTACTTAGATACAATACACACCGCATCCACACTAAGACTGATACGCTTTATTCTTTTTCTTTTTTCTTTTTTCATGTCCCTTCCCACTCCTCCCTCCGCCAATCTCTTATCCCAATGAAGCCATTAAACTCCGAACGCAATTCAAGGATTGCAAGGACGATTGGTCCGATCCTCCCAACGCCTCGCCAAACAGAGCTCGCTTCTCTGTGAAAAAACAAAACTGCAAGACTATGGCCCCTCCTTCCCTTTTTTCTATTCAATATGCCACATGGAACAACCGCTGAATGTATCTTTCCCAAGTCTCCTAGTCTATCTCCACCACCTCTGGCTTCACCTGGTTACCCCTTCCTTGCATCTGGCTCTGATTTTGTGTGTGTTGTGGTCGTTGCTGATTAGACGTATGAAAAGGCGGGCGCTGAGGAGCCTTTATTTGCATTGGAGTCATCGGGGCAACGGGCGCCATTTGCGGTGCCTGCACTTGCGGTACCTGCGCTGGCGCTGGCGCTGCCTCTGCTTGTTGTGTTTGTGTTAGGTTTTGTTCCGACACCATGCCCCTCAATACTTCGTCAATCTTCTGTAATAACTCCTCGACCCCTTTCGGTTGAGCAACAGCATTGACACGCATGCCCTTCCAACCCTCACCCGACGAATTCCATATCGGCTTTAGCAACCCGTCGATATCATCGCCTTCCCTATCCCGAGCATCAGTACGTCTAACAAACCACCATGGCTCGCCTTTCCGTTGCTGTAGTTTGATCTCGAAGATGACTTCGCGGGGTTTAGGTGGCGATGAAGAGTCGGGCGATGCGCTAAGAAAGTTGTAACGAATGATATACCATTCTATGGCCCTGACGAGAACTAAAGCCTCTCCGTTGTCTGAGAGCGGGGTCCAGGCTGCTTCAAGAGAATCGAGAGCTCGTAAAGCGGGTAGTGTGAGTGGGAGGAGGTGAGCAACGCCATCAAGGCCTTCATTTCCATTCAGGACTTTGGCTAGGAGATCTGCAATTCGAAGGTGCGGATTCCCTTGCTCGAGAGAAAGTGTCATGATGTTGACGGCGGCACCAAAATCAACAACAGCCCTATACTGAACCAGACCACCCGTCTCACTTGCCTCAGCGGAGGCAGGAGTAAGGGAAGAGCCATATGAGAACACGATCTCCCCGAGAGAAACAGATTCGCACGTAAGGGTCTTTTCGTGCTTGTGAAGTACTTCAACAAACTCGACCAAACGCTCAATGCGGGTGGCTCGCTCGACGAGGGCTGGTATGACAGCTTCGCCAATTCTAGACCGAAGTCGGAAGGCGAAGGTTCCAGATTCTGCGTGGAAAGCAATATCCCGGTCGACCCTCTCCTTGAGTATACTGAGGGAGGCGGGTACTGGCACCATCATGCGCGCTTCTGTGACGATCATAGCAGTCTCTTCCTGAACTGCCTTCTTCGGTGGTTGGACGCCGCTAGAGACGGTCGCGTCTGGGGGTAACCCTTGTTGGTTCGGCGAAGAAAGTGCTTGCAGAACCATGGGTGGTAGCGACTCCAGGCCTTGAAATGTGAGTTTGACAACATTTCTCGCCCACGGCTGCCCGGTTCTTTTCGACTTGTTTTTTGACGGTAAGATTTCTGATAGTTTCACGTAGATTGATGGAAGTTGTATTGGCGAAGATATCTTGCTGCTCCTCAGTACGTGGTTAGCGCGACGGGCATGTAGTGCCTTCAGGTTGGCATAATGAGAAATCAGAGCCGCAGCAAAGATGCTGAGTGTCGACAAGAACTTATACGTAGGGATAGGTGATGTCGCTTTGATTGGTATCTCAAGGTAGTTGACGAGTTTTAACTCTGGCGGAGGTGCGTTGGGTCTGCCAGTGTTGGCTAGGGTGGGAGCAACGGCACTAAAGTTGTCAGTCTCACTATTATCAATAAGCACGGGAATACACACGTTTCAATCAACCACCAGCGCTCCCCACTCATACCAAGACTGACCGCAACGAACCACTCCTTGCTCCAGCCAGTACGACGGAACCAAGCGACTTGTAAAGTATCTTTTGGAAATACTGGTTTCAGTTCTTCGGGTTTGAGGTCTGGCTTTCTTATTCTGATCCATCCAACACTCAATCCATGAGTGATGATCTCATCCGCAGCCATTTCGCAGCGTAGCATCTCGATATAACCGTGAGCTTCGTTGGCGGGGTCCATTGATTTGGAGTTGAGCGCAAACTCCGTTCTTACACTGAGCAGCGATGCGGGTCCGAGTATGAATTTGCCAGTGATTGGCTCAATCATGACAGACAGGTACTGTTGGCCAGCAAATTGTATCTTCAATTCTGACTCTGACGGTTCATCCGATGATGTAGATAATGTCAGAGCCATTTCGCCTGTCGAAAACAGGGTTCTCGGCTGCAATTTCTCGTAGGTCGATTGCAGAATGTGATTGATATGTTTCGCAATGACGGTCTTCAGCAATGCTTCGGCGGAGATGTTGACGGTATCGAAAGGTATATCGGCGTCTTTGACCTCCTTCCCATCACGGAACCACCGTATGAAAAGCCGGCTGGTGGCTTTGGGATCGTATCTGCCGTCTTTCCGCCTCCCACTGTGAACGCCGAGAATGATCCAACTCTTGGGTCCCTTTTTGCCGTATCTATCCAGCCAGTACTGAATAGAGAGTGCTCTGTTCAGAGGCTCTACCTTCAACCCTTCGATCCATTTGCCCCTAGCAAGGTCGGATGCCTGCCTTCTGCATTCACTGATCTTGTGGGTCAGGACCATCTCGTGCAATAATTTATAGCACCCAGGGAGCCCATCCGTGAGTAGAACTGCATTCACCCTGCTTTCGATATGATATCGTAGATAGGGAGTAAGTTCCGGGAGAGTGGGCGAGAATAGGAACCGGAAATCAATGAACCAGAATTGTTTGTCCGGATCTTCGTCTGCAATGGTGAGATCAAGCTCGAATTCTCCAGCCACTCTGAAAGTCACACGACCAGACCCGATGGTGTAATCTTTAAACTGCAGCGGAGTATTATCGTATTCATGCAGGTTCATTCGTATAGAGAGAAGTGTATTTAGCTTCTCCAGCGTCTCCAGCACATCTGCAGGGGTCAATGGAGGCGGTGGAATGTACCCAAGCTAAATGATGTCAGTACGTCCTTCTGCAGCTCCAGGTCAAACATACCTCTGGCATCCAGGGCGCTTTTCCAGTTGATAATACCTGTAAAGCAGTTTTCAGGTCTGGATTGGGTAGCCTCGAATAGGGCAAAGTCCTCTTAAGCTGGGCCAACTCATGTATCGCCGTTTCATACAAGAGTTTTTTATCATCCAGGTAGAGTTTCAAATCTATCGTTTTGCTAACATCTTCGCTTCTCCGACTCCAATTCGTTATGACCAGTGCTTTCACCCAATCTGCGTGTGTATTCTGGGCGAAATTCAAAAGGAGTAACTTCTTGGCGACATTATCGGCGGAGTTGTCGTCTACAGAAGTAACGTGGGATGCGTTTCCATTGGCAGCAGAGGAGGGGACCGGCATCTGGGAGAGCTCCAAGATCTTCGCTTTCAGGTCCTCGTGCGTTTTAACTGCAAGACGCTGGAGAAGGGTTGACAAAGACATGTACCCGTGTGTGATGTGCGCGATCTCGGGGGGAAGTTGGTTGATCCGTTCTTGCAAATCCGGCGGGTTCGTAAATACTTCTCCCTCCAGCGCTTCCGCGAAGGCGCCATTAGCTCCATTGCGAGGCGTTGGGCTGATGGGTGTCATTCTCTGCTGAAGTTCAGCCCGCCCTTTCCCTTTATCTTGACCCTTCTCCGCGGTGTAGCTCCCTCCATTGACGCCGTTCAGCCGTTGATCCCGATTGTGGTTCGTATGCGACCCAGGCCTGTCCCCATTGTCCATGATGACTCCTGGCATAATATCTGGGCCTGTGTACCCTTCCTTCCTCTCCAGCGCTTCTAGCACACCCCCAACAGCCGCTCCTTTGGTTTCTATCCGCTTGGGCGATTCTATCTTGGCTGGTGTCGTAGAGGGCGAAGGGCGAGGTTTTCAGAGGTGCTCGAAGAGCAAAGTCGCATACGCTACCTTTGATGAGCAAAGAACATGGGAGCGCGATCGAGCCCAGCAGTTGATCCGACCCGAACTTTATGATCCCGCAGCTTCGTGCATGCGATCAATCGCGCTGCTGTTCTTTGTATGAGTGAGAAAACAAAGCGCGACCTGGCATGAGAAGAGGGCTGCTGGGCCGCGGAGAAGATCGCTCGTCGTGATGGAAGGCGAACGAAAGTGACAGCGGAGGCTGGCTCAATGTAGCGGTGCCTTATGCGGCAGAGGCGCGTCGATGGGTGGAATATTTGGTGAGGGTGGTTGGTGGGTGATGGAGTCTGGTGTGTTGTCGGGGGGGGCGGCTCCCTCACATCACAGTTGAATCTAGGATGATGGATGGATCTCCCATCGCGGAACTAGCACGGCAAGGCGCCCAGAACGGCTTAGCGCCTGGGACGGAAGTCACGTGACACAGCGGGCGATGGGAAGCGGAGCGGGAGCGGGCGGAAGTGCTGTGGAGGGCGATGGAGTCCTGGCCAGCTATCAAGTCACGAGTGTCAGACAACTTAGGTGCTCGAGTGCAGGGGAGGGCGGCGGGTTGAACGAGATCTGCGAATCAAGAGTGGAGAGGAAGTGATATACACATGTACTAGGTACCTCGATGTATTGCATTCATAGGTGGATGGGTAGGTACCTGGTACTAGTATGCAGACCTCCGCCTCGGAGTGTATGCTGTATATACGGCCATAGGCTGGCTGGTCGCTTTGATTCAACTCTTCCATATATACGTAAGTTCCTATCTCTCTATATCTGGATCTCTTTCTTCCCCCCCTGCAGCCTCTGTCCAAGGTGCTCGCAGCCTATCAACAATACCACACCGTCTCTGGGTCTGTCCCGCACTTGAGAACACGATTGAGCCGGTTGTCTTCCTCCTTCTAGGTATGCAGCAGTAAGGAGGAGCAGCAGCGCAGCAGCAGCATTCGCCTTGGCTCAAACTTGGCTCGTCTGCGTGTCTCAGAATGGCCGTGATCCCTGGGCATCGAGCCTCGCTCACTACTGTACATCGTTATTAGGTACATTCTCTTGCGCCGACTACCCTCCCTCTTTATCTCCTCGCCCCATGACCCGCCCAGGACGCTCGTTCTCGAGATCTTCGTGAACATCTCCTCTGTCCTCTCGTCTTTTTCCTCTCTCCGCGTTATTTTGTCGGTCAAGGCCGCTGTCGTGAACCTCCCTCCGGATACTAGCAAATAATGTCCGAGACGCCTTGGAGCCATTCGGGTAGCGCAATGCTGTAATCGCCTTGCTTACTGGCCCTGGGGTGTCGCAGCAATGGTGCCGCCCAGCGAATCCCAGCTTCGACCTCAGCGACCTCAGCAACTCCACCGTGCTTTTTCTGCCAGCAGTACCAAACACTCCGTCCGGTCGTACTCATCATCCTTCGAAGCAGATGACGAGCGCTCGAGCTCCGCCGACCACGAAATGGGACCCGAGGACGCCTTCAGAGATGATCCTTCTCAATACCCAGAGGAGGATACCCGGTTGACGAGTAGGAAAGAGCTGTCAGGATGGTATGCGTACGGATTCGCAGCAGAGGTTTTTGTAATATGTGGAATAGGTGAGCTTTTGCGATTTCTTTGAAGCTCTGTTGGTCTCAAGCAGACGTGGAGGTGTCCACATAGATCGTCCGGGGACTCCGCATACACATCAGGACTGGGTATTGGCTTGGAGATTACATGGTATATTGGGGAGAAACCTGGTGTCATTTCCGGGTTTTGAGGTCCGCGAGTGCAGGAGGAAGTCAAGTCACCGCACCATTTGGAGCTTTGGGGTCTTGAGGATGTATGCTAACGATGCGCTCCAGGTTCATTTATACCCATTACATTAGAACAACTGGCACGAGAGAATGGAGTTCTCCTTTCTGATCTCAAGACACCCTGCGGTTCGAGTTCAACATTTCCATCGCCTGACATGCCAGTTGGACCCTCTGCCGTCAAAGATCTCGGACAATGTGTGGTATACGTCCTCGGCCTGCAGATCAATACAGCCAGTTTCGCGATGTACAGCTTTTCATTGAGTGTTCTATTCCAAGCATTACTCGTCGTCTCAATTAGCTGTACGGCTGATCATGGCAACTATCGCAAGAGGTTACTGCTCCTTTTCGCCTTCTCAGGCGCCATAGCTACGATGCTATTCCTCACCGTGGTATCGAAGGTCTACCTCCTTGGAGCTCTTCTGGCCGTAATTGCGAATACGTGTTTCGGGGCCAGCTTTGTGCTTCTGAACTCATTCCTACCCCTCCTGGTACGGCATCATCCTAGAGCTCAATACCAAATACCAGAACCCAGCCCAGAGCCTCTTTCGACGATTTCAGAGCAACAGCCGTCTGAAGAATACCTCGATATGGCTGATTCAACCCCAACCCTTCTTCCTCCAGGCTCGGATCCTACTGCTCCATTACCTACAGGAGAAAAGCTTACATCCATCGAGCTGCAATTATCCACCCAGATATCCTCCACGGGAATTGGAATTGGCTACAGTGCGGGATTGTTCGTACAATGCGTAGCAATCGCCGTCATCTTCGCCATGAAAAGTACAACATTCTCCCTCCGCGTTGTACTGTTTCTTATCGGGGCATGGTGGTTTATATTCACCATCCCAGCCGCATTATGGCTCCGACCCCGCCCCGGACCTCCCTTGCCATCTTCGGATCCCAACGACCCATCAGCAAAACGTACCTGGTTGGCCTACATCGTGTATGCCTGGACATCTCTATGGCGGACTATCAAACTTGCCCGTCGCCTCAAAGATATAACCCTCTTCCTCGCCGCCTGGTTCCTCCTTTCCGACGCCATCGCCACGGTCTCGGGGACCGCCGTGCTCTATGCCAAGACACAACTGCACATGAAACCCGAAGCCTTGGGTCTCATCAACGTAATCGCCACCATGGCAGGCGTTCTTGGCGCATTCTCCTGGGCCGCCGTCTCGCGTCTCCTGAAATTGCGTCCTCATCAAACAATCCTAACCTGTCTCTTTATCTTTGAGATCATACCTATCTACGGACTTCTCGGCTTTCTTCCCATAGTGAAGAGATGGGGTGTGATAGGTCTCCAGCAGCCGTGGGAGATGTACCCCCTTGCTTTCGTATACGGTCTCGTCCTCGGCGGTCTCTCAAGCTACTGCCGCTCCCTCTTTGGTGAGTTGATTCCCCCTGGCTCCGAGGCAGCCTTCTACGCCCTCTACGCCATTACCGATAAAGGCTCATCGGTGTTTGGCCCGGCCATCGTCGGGGCGATCGTCGACCACACCGGGGAGATCCGACCAGCGTTCTGGTTTCTGGCTGCGCTTGTCGGCCTCCCAGCCCCGCTACTCTATTTCGTGGATGTGGACAGGGGCAAGGAGGAGGGTGCCAAACTGGCGGAATTCATCGAGGGGTTCAAGACAAGAGAGGGTGATGAGAGCGGGGAGCAGACGCCTTTATTGGCGGGTGATGCTTATAGAGCATATGAGGAGCGGGCACATAGAGATTGATTAATTCTTTTACCTTACATGAGCCGGTGTTGGTTGGCTAAGATTTAAGCATGCATCTGCATAGTTAATATGGCGTTTTGGGGTCTTGTCACAGAATCTGAATCCTGCAGTTATTAAGCGTTATTCATATGTTCCAAACTTTAATTCTCCCCTAGCAGTCCGCCGCCTTCCTTAGAGATATAAAAGACACACGACACGACGCGAGATTGTGAAGTCCAGCTATCTTTCCAACTCTACGAGGACAATGTAGAGCGTACCTTATCCGTTAGTATGGCGTCGCCCATCCATTTATCAATGTCCACCGCCGAGTAACTGCTATACAGCACGACGACATTACTCATCCCAATCACCTCACCTCGTCCAATAAATGTTTAAGTGAGTGACAATAATTAATAAAATGACACGACTATCCCATCCGATGAAAGCTGAAGGGACAAAAAAAAGCGAATGACACCACTTCACAACGACAAATCCAAAACGCAATAATGAACAACAACCATAGCGAATTTGTAGAGTGTAGTGTACGAGAGAATGAATGGGTAGAGGTAGAATTTGAAGTGGATTTATGGGTTCAAAGAGGTTGTGGGTTTGGATTTTATTGAATTGAGAGGCCACAGGACTGAACCCCCCCCCCCAGAAAAACCCCAAAAAAGAAGGAAAACCTCGGGCCAACAAATATAATTACTGAATCATCTTGATTGATCGAAAGAATTTGCATGAAATATGAGTATTTAATCAAGGCTAGATAGAGTTAAAAGAACAAAAAGGAAAGAAACAAATAGCTGGGTAGGCACTTCAAAAAAAAAAAAAGGTACGCCGATTGCATGTATCACATTACTGTGTATCGAAATACTCCAAAAAGGGAAATGAATGTCCAAAAAAAAATCCAAAAAAATGAGCAGGTCAGTCAAACTGAGCTGTCGGGAATTGAGCCCGAGGCGGGGCTCGAACCCGCGACCTTGAGGTGCCATTGATGCTTCAATTTAAGAGCCACACGCTCTACCGATTGAGCTACCCGGGCTGTTTGTTGGATGCACTTTTCTTATTTTCCTACTTAGAGTGCTTCGGCTATCACCTAACGCCCAGTTCGGCTTTGTTTGACCGCGTGATAGCAGCTTCAGATATGACAACTTGGGAAACAGCAGTTGATTGCATGGAAATAATTGCAGTCCTATACTGCTACTCCAATTGTGTTATTATTTTCTGTCATCAATGCCCAGGTGATATAACTCCTCTCACGTGCTAACCCCTCTGCCCCTCTCAGGGCGGCTGCAAGGGGCACGCGCTCTCCCCGATGATCATCTGATCTTGTCGGGTCTCGCTTAGGGATATCGGGATCGCTTATCCACGGCACCACGATAAGATAGGGGCAACAAGAAATGCAAAGCGGAAGTTTGCAAATGTTTGACCGCTTCGAACTATGACTACAACAAACTGAATTGACTGGCTGCCCGGCTTCCCGCAGAACTATTCGCGTTATTCCAGCTTCTTGATTTGGGTCTCGTCTCCTCTATCGTTAACTAATCTCTTGTCGTCGTTCTCTGGCTCCCTGGCTCCCTTGTTCCGCTACCCTTGGTAAGCTGCGCGCCCTTCCGCCTCGTCATTGTGTCAAGAGCCCCTCTTTAGACGCATTATATATATATCTGCATTGAACTTGAGAACTGCCCCGCGTCCCGCTCCGTCCAACTACACACTCTTTGAGCTCTCTACACAGTCATGTCTCCTCCTTCCGCCGTTGATATTGAGGCTGTGAGAGATACTGAAGCCATTGTGCTCCCAGATCCATTGACCGTCAGTGGCGTTGCGGCACGACGGGCCAAGGCGGGCAAGTTGGTAGCAGGCACCGCATCATATGCTTCCAGCGAGTCCTTCAAGAGTCCTGTCAGTCAAACTCTTACTCGCCATATTCTCTGCTAACGATGGCCGCATGCTAATCTATATGTAGGCACCCGGAAAACCAAAAGCCAAGAGATTCGACCGTATGTCATCCGCCTTTCCTACCACCGCACTGCAATCCCCATACTGACCACCAAAGATCTCCTTAGTCTCGAGAGCAGATCGAGAAAGCCTTCGAGCTTGAAAGGTGCGGCCAAATTCCTGAAGGATCCAAACTTGATCTCTCTGGGAGGAGGGTTACCATGTGCCGAACACTTCCCCATTGCAGAACTGTCAATCAAGGTTCCCACACCTCCACATTTCTCCGAGGAGGATACAAAGCAGTCGGGTGTGACACTGAACGCTGGGAAATATGACGTTTCTGAAGGAAGTAGCATATACGACCTCTCAATCGCCCTGAATTATGGCCAAGGGACCGGCTCAGCACAAGTCCTTCGATTCGTGACCGAACACACCGAGATTGTCTGCAACCCACCATACCAGGATTGGCAGTGTTGTCTTACCGTGGGTAGCACTGCGGCTTTAGAACAGGCATATCGCATGTTCTGCGAAAGAGGGGACTATGTTTTATCCGAAGAATATACCTTCGCCTCAGCTGTTGAGACCGCAGCTCCCCTCGGGGTTAAGTTTCTCGGCGTCAAGATGGACTCCGAGGGTCTCCTGCCGGAAAGCCTGGATGAGATCTTGAGCAATTGGGACGTGAAGGAGAGAAAAGCCAGAAAGCCATTCCTCCTTTACACAGTCCCTACCGGTCAGAACCCCACTGGTGCAACACAAGGAGTAGAGCGACGAAAGGCAGTCTACAAGGTCGCGCAAAAGCACGACGTCTATATCATTGAGGATGAGCCTTACTACTTCCTCCAAATGCAGCCCTACACCGGAGCCGGCGCCCCTCCTGTTCCCCCACCAGCGAACCACGAGGAATTCCTCAAAGCGCTGGCCCCAACCTATCTCAGCATAGACGTCGACGGACGAGTTATGCGTATGGATTCCTTCTCTAAGGTTATCGCACCTGGAACGCGAGTCGGCTGGATCACCGCATCCGAGCAGATCGTCGAGCGTTTCATCCGCCATAACGAGACGTCCATCCAGAATCCCAGTGGGCTTTCTCAGATGGTCCTGTACAAGTTGCTAGATGAGGGCTGGGGCCACGGTGGATACCTTGACTGGTTGATCGATCTCAGACTCGCATACACAAAGCGACGAGATGGCCTTCTTGCCGCATGCGAGAAATTCTTGCCCACCGATCTAATCAGCTGGAACCCACCCGCCGCCGGCATGTTCGTAAGTTACCCCCAAACTACACCCCAACATGAACTTCCGCCAACTAACACCTCAATAGCTATGGCTCAAAGTCAACTGGCAAAAGCACCCCGCCGCCAAAACCAAACACATCCTCGACATCGAAGAGGAGATCTTCCTCGCCGCCGTCGAACGCGGCGTCCTCGTCTCCCGAGGAAGCTGGTTCCTAGGCGAGAAGAACACGGATGTTGCGCCGACCGACATGTTCTTCCGCGCTACCTTCGCGGCTGCTACTGAAGAGAAGATGTCCGAAGCTATCGAGCGCTTTGCTGAGGCTGTTAAGGAGAGTTTTGGCGCTAAATAAAATCTTTATCCTACCCTAGGTACCTATAGAAAGACAGGTTGGAGATCAACGTCGTCGCTAGCTAGCTAGCTGATTGAGTAGGATAATCAGAGGAGACCTATTAGTTAGTTCCTAGATCTAGAATGCGTGTGGTTCTTGTTCTTTGGTTTGGTTTGCACTTGCATAGGTATTAGGTAGATCATCAGTCAATCAATCAATATCCTCTCAACGTAGATTTTCTTTATCCCTGAATATCAAGGGTCCGTGTTCAGTGCAAAGAGAAAGGGAGGGGGGAGCTCAGAATAGGGGGGTTTGGTAAACAAGCAATCCAGGCTCTCAAAGCCATCATTCTATTACCCCCCCTTTGCATGATGCAAACCTATAACTCTGCTTCTACAAATACCTAAGCAAGCAACTCATACCGTGTACAAGTCCAATTTTTTTTAATAGGTTCCGCACTATGCCTTTATCTGCTTTACTGCCTGCTCGTCCCCCGCGTCGGAGTAACCCATTTACTCGGCGACGCAAATGATTCCAAGCCCGTGTATTCCCTACGATCCTTAATCCCCAAGACGACATCGCGCGCCGCTCTCACGCAATCGTTCAATCCCACACCCGTGTACGAGTTGCCGGCGACGCTCAGCTTGCCCTCAAACGCAGCCATGAGTTGATCATGAGCTGTCTTCATCCGGCGGCTGTGACCCACGACGTACTGCGGGATACAGTCGCGTTGTAGGGAGACGTGGACCTTGTGCGGCTCCTCGTTGATCCCGAGATGGCGGTGGAGGACGTTCTTGGCCATGGCTGCGCCCTCCTCTTCATCTGGGTATTCGGCTCCCGAGAAGGTGTCCCACCAGTGGCCTCCGATCATCACGGTGATTTTTGTCCCGGCGGCGGTGTCCTGGCCAGCGACACAGTCGGAGTCGAAGACAACACCGAGTGCCATTTCGGGATTTTGCTCGAAGGGGATGGAGCGCGGGATGAGGTACCCGAATCCTTGCTCGGGGAGCAGGTGCGGGTCCTTGTAGTAGAGGTTTACAACCATCACGGTGACGGCGTGGATGCCTGCTAGGGAAGAGACGGAGGGGGTTAAGGTAGCAAGGGAGGAAGCGGGGAGGGTGCTGATGCAGTTGGTGTATGTGACGGGCGGATGATTGCTGGTGGTTTGGATCTGACCCCTTCTTAGCTCAGGTAGATAAAACAGAAATAAGATGGAACTTACTGTTACGCCTTCCGCCTTAGCATCATATTCGATTTTGTTGACTTCCTGGCTCATTTTGAATTGTACGTTTGGATTCGCCTTCAGGGACGTAGCCAATGCATTGCTCAAAGTGCTAATCCCCTCCTTAAAACTATATACGCTCGCTGAACGCATCGAATCGAGGAGTGGGCCCTGGAGTTTCGGCTTAAGCTGCTGATTCAAAATTATGTCTCGCTGCTGTAGCATAGGAGCGTTAGGGAGAGTGACTCGGTATGCCTTGGAGAAGCTTCCGAAGACTGCCTCGAGATTCCAAAGCCCGGGAAACAAGCTCTTCATGCTCAATTGATTGATGTCACCGGCGTATACACCATGTAAGAAGGCGGACACAATGTTGTTTCCTATATCCGTAGTTCCCAGTCTTCGACTCAAGAATGACCCGACGGATTCATCTTCTAGGCGGGGTTCGCGTTGGGGGCGAGTCCCTTCGAATAAGAGCGCTTTGATCAAGCCTCTAAACACAGGCTCTGTCAACACGGACCATGCTATCGAATAGAAATCCTGACCCGGCCCTGGCATTTTGACGAGGTGGTCGGGATAGTATATGAAGCGGTTTCGAGCTGAGTTGGAGGACATCGGTGTTATGAGAACTTGGTCTTCAAGACCAAGGTCCTTGATCTATAGCAGGAATTTAGCATTTGAATGAAGAGATGTGTATTTGAGCCTACAATCTCTAGAGTAACCAGTCCAGAAGGGGTGCCTGGTCGCAGACTCCTGGGGCCTTGCTCGAATAGAACATTGCCATTCCCAACGTCGACTTTCTTGCTCTGTAGCCATCCTCCAAGTCTGTCACTTTTCTCGTACACAGTGATCTTCGCATACGGAAGTTCCTTTGCCAGGTAGTGTGCACTGGCAAGTCCTGTTATTCCTCCGCCAAGGACCGCAATTCGGGTTCCGTGATGGGGTTGGCCTTCCCCCGTCTGGCCGTGTTGCTCTGCACGCAGGACATAATCATGATGTGAAGCGGCTTCCGCGGAAACAACCTGCAGCGAAGACGAGATACCATCTGCGGAGGCTCCACTCTGGGTATGGAATTGCTTGCATTGTTTCTCAAAACTGGGAGAAACTCGGCGTCGTCGAGAGGGAGAAGAGGTGTGGAGTGATTTCGAGCATCGGGAGAACGTCGGCCAGCAACTTCGTGCACTCTGGCATCTCAGTGATTTGAAGCACTGCCCGAGTAGTGTTCCCAGAGCATGTTCAGGCAATTGAGAACGCATTGCCTCGACTACCTGGCACTCTAGGTTATGTCATTGGACTGTGTTCGGAGAGTGAAGTTCATAGTAGATTTTCGCTTATCAATAATAGCTCCACCCGGTTTATCGATGTTGAAGCTTCCCCGGATTTTGGGCAGACGGGATTCCATTGGGCAACAAGTGCATACGAGCTGAGGGTACGCATTCGGGTTCACGAGATTCATAATTCACAAGTACTCAAAAGAAAGTAAGCAGGAAGGCTATCTCGAGTCTTTGCTCGAGATGCCATGTAGACAGAGTCCATTCTACCGAATAATGCATCGCCCCAGCTTGACCAGACAGAGATATCAAGAGCATTCCCCCAAAACGCCGACCAACACCCGGTTCCGCCAATGAAACTGTAGTACATCTTTTGTCCCTATCCGCATCGAAGTGCTATTCCATACAAAATTCATCTCCCTATGTGACCAACTCCGCGGCAGCATTTGGTGCTGGATTCAACCCCTCTGCCTCGCCCGAACCGGGTATAATGAGCTCCTCCTTCCCTTCGTCGGCAACGAACTTTCTCTCACTAACATGCTCCTTCTTATTGTCTGCTACCCAGACCTTATCTTCAAACTTTCCTCTCTTCTGACCCTCAACATGCTTGAATGTACATGTCGGGATCAAGCACGGGTTGTACTTGCACAGGGTTTTAATGTGCGTAAATTTACAATTGGGAGTCGTACAATCGGCGCCGTTATAGCAGATTGGCATCGTAGGATGCCTGAATGGGCAATTTGCGCCGTTTGCACAGTTCGGAAAGAATTTGCAGTCCTGTTCGGTTTGATGTGCGAGCTTTAAGGCGGGTGACGGGTGTCGGCCAGCACACTTATAGTTCTTGCAAGCCGCCCCAAAAGAGCATACATCGGTGGGATCGATAGCGGCTCCAGGAGGAGCTGCTGGAGATTGGTGCGCAAATGGACAGTCTTTTTTCGTACAGGAGAGGTTATATTTGCAGGTTTTGTCCGTAGATGACTCGGATTTGTCAGACTTGTCCTGAGACATCTGAACATCCATCGATGACGAGGAGTTTTCATTAGTGGCTTGTTGATGTTGTCCAAGTTGGGGTTTGTTTGAACCATTCCGAAAGCCATTATGCTGTCGAGGTGCCTGAACACGGTCGAACAGTGATTTGCCTTGTTGCTGCTGCTGAGAAAAGCCATTCATCATTCCTAGGTTCTGCATGGGTCCACCGCCTAGTATTTGTTGCTGTTGTTGGGGAGTCAGGATTTGCGCCATCATACGTGACTGCTGCTCAAGCATGGCGAACATTTCGTATTGCTGTTGAGGAGTCATGCCCATAATGTTCGCAGCCGCTGATCCTGGTCGTGCCGGTGCGCCAGCCATGCCGCCTCGTCCATTCATCATTCGGGGTCCACCTCTACCAGATGCTTGTTGTCGCGGCCCGGTCGGGGGTGCTCGGGGCATGTTGATTCTCTCATTCCCCACCTGTGGTCGCACGCGGTGAAGGACCGAGTCGTTGGATCTGTCCATCGCCTTCGCAAGGTGACCGAGCATTCGCCTATCCCTAGGATCCCTAGGGCGATTGCCAGCACCATTGCGCATTGACTTTGGGCCCGTAGGTCTATGGAACGTTAGTACACTTGGACGGTTTAAGGGGAAGGGTGCGATCTGGTGGATTTGGTGTAAGATCCACAGATAAAATTACGTACACATTGGTATCTCCGGAGGCGTCTCCCATTTCAGCATCTTGTGTTCCATTCGTTATCTGGTCCTGTCCCATTCCCGAGTCTCCAACGGATCCATCCCCACCATTTTGTTGTGAATTCAGCAGCTCGACTTGTTGGAACAGCCAGTGGGAGAAATCTCTCGCTCCGGGGTCGTCGGGTCCAAGGTTGAGAAGATCGCCGGATAACTCTGCAGCAATTTGCTCCTGTGTCTTGCCATTCACCAGCATGAGGATAATGTATTCGCTGAGAGCAGAATCGTCGTCGCCACCAGTACTCCAACCAACCTCCACAAGCTTAGGCTGGATCGCGGCATTGAGCGCATGAGCCAGAGGCGTATCAAGGGCGACTTCGACAGACATCTTGGAGGTCTGGCGAGGTCTATTTTAGGAGGAGGCAAAAGGACGTCGCTCGGAGGCCACGCGAAGATCTGACGAGAGGGCAGAGTAACTCTCCCAATGACAAAAAAGATCAGGCAGTGGGAGTGAGGACTGCTGTGTGCGATCGTCGGTCAAGTCGAGTTCGGTGGTGGATAAGGAGTCGCGATGTCGATGTCTGTCTGTTGGAGCGTAGTAAGGCTTCAACGAGGTGAAATCAATTCACGATGGTACGATCACGTGATGGGGCTATGACGCATCTGCTTAGCCTACTTTACTTAAGTACTATCTTAGTCATCCTTTGCAGGAACGATATCGAGTCTACGAGAAGAAGATGATTGTTGACGGGAACATGAGCCGCTCTTCTGTTCAAATCATCACAATTGTGGGTGCTCGGAAGAAACATGGGGAGACCATCCCCCAAAACCGCATTGACATGAACGGAAACAGAACGAGAAGAATAGAAGGTATATCAGCACGTGAGTAAACCCTGATGCCTCACAATTCCGGCCCGTCTCCAGCCTTGCCCGGCCATACCTCATACTCCGTGAGGCTTCCAAGTTCCAAGTCCAGCCTTCTTCCTCATCGTCCAACTATTAGGTTTGCAACATAATTCCTAGCTAGGGAACCTTCTAGAATTTGGATCCAAGTATACGCTCCGTGACCTCATCTTCGATCCCAGGTGTCCTGCCTCGGGGGGCTGAGGCTTTTCGGAAACCCCTTTCACCGACATCTTTCTCTATCAACTTCTTCAATGTCATACTTCTTGTTTCAAAGACCTTTATTCTAGTCGGTTCCGTCCGAGATGTTGTAAACTCGGATCAGATTGGCAACACAATTCAATTGTTCGAGGGACGATTTCTGTCGAAGTACAGAGCACAATAGTATTCTGGGCATCGCTAGCTGCATATCACCCTCCGCCTTCACCACAACGAGACGTATGACGCAGATTTTGGATTTCAATTTCTCCTCAGAGACATCCTTGATAGTCCCTTCCTCGGCCAGCCACGGGTTGGATTGGGACCTTGAATCCGATCCACGAACTACCGCACCTATATTTGGACCAACAAGGCGACTCTAGTGGGTTACCCTGCCGCATGACGGTGATTTCGGCCGAGAGTTATTCGTTGTGAATAAATGCCCTAGCGACTCTCTTCCTTTTCTGAATTGCCTCCCACTCGCGCGCCCTATCTTTCTATCTTCTCTGAATCCGATACTGAATTTATTATGTGGTCTCCGATCTACCTAGTGTTTGCTCTGTGTTCTGAAGTTCGTGCTGTGTGGCCGGCGCCTCAATCATTCACGAGTGGGAACTCGGTTTTGTGGATAGAACGAGATGTTAGAGTCACTTATAATGGTGAAAGTGTATGGTGGAATTCCTTTCTTGATGCCTCTAATAGCCAAACCGAGCAGAAGGTGTTGGGTTCACAGAACTCCCAAGCACCCGGGCACGGCGCCTTCACCAGTTCCTCAGTAGTGCAATCAGCAGTATCCCGGGCCCTCCAGACTATATTCACGCAAAGTCTGGTTCCTTGGAAATTGGTAGCACGCAACGAACTTGCAAAATTCGAGCCACTGGCAAATGGAGTTCGCAATTTCATCAGCTGTCTCAATATTACCCAGACCGGCACCGATACCACTTTCAAACCCTTAGCTGGTGAGGTCGATGAGTCTTACAACTTATCCATTTCCGAACAGGGGATAGCAGAGATCTCCGCAGTCTCGTCATATGGAGTGCTCCATGGCCTGCAAACCTTCGTTCAGCTGTTCTATCAGCATTCCACCAATCGCGGTATCTATACCAACATGGCCCCCGTTTCGATCATCGATGGCCCAAAATTCCAACATCGAGGATTGAACATGGATGTGTCAAGAAATTGGTATCCGAAAGCAGATATTCTGAGAACCATCGATGCGCTCTCTTGGAATAAGTTTAATCGTCTTCACTTGCACATGACCGATTCCCAGTCTTGGCCGATGGATATCCCTGCCCTACCTTTACTGGCACAAAAGGGGGCGTATCAAATCGGGCTCTCTTACAGTCCAGCAGATATTGAAGAAATCCAGACTTACGCAGTTCAACGTGGTGTTGAAGTCATCATTGAATTCGACATGCCTGGACACACAACTGCTATTGGTCTTGGCTATCCAGAGCTCATCGCAGCATTCGACGCGCATCCTTGGAGAACTTATTGTGCCGAACCTCCTTGCGGGACATTGCAGCTTAATAATAGTGCAACCGCGCCCTTCATGGAGACCCTATTCGGCGACGTCCTGCCAAGGATTGCACCTTACTCCTCATACTTCCACACGGGAGGAGATGAGGTGAACGCCCAGGCCTATCTACTGGACCCCACAGTCAGATCCAATGACAAGACAGTCATAGGTCACTTGATTCAAAAATTGGTTGATCGTAACCACGCTCAGATCCGTGCAGCTGGGCTCGCACCTATCGTCTGGGAAGAGATGCTCCTGGATTGGAATCTCACTCTCGGGGAGGATGTTATTGTTCAGACCTGGCTTAGTGATGCCTCGGTCGCCTCGGTCACAGCTGCTGGACACAAGGCGCTGGCTGGCAACTACAATTTCTGGGTAAGACGAGAGTCCTTTATTGTCTTTCACCTGCTGACGGCGGTTATAGTATTTGGATTGCGGCAAAGGCGAGTGGCTTAACTTTGGTAACGGAGCCTCGTTTCAGGAGAACTACCCTTTCTTGGATTACTGCTCACCAACGAAGAATTGGCGTTTGATCTACTCATATGACCCCCTTGGCGGCGTGCCTGTAGCTCAGCACCATCTAGTACTGGGAGGTGAGGTCCATATCTGGTCTGAGCAGACCGACCCGGTCAACTTTGATGGTGTGGTTTGGCCCAGAGCGAGTGCTGCAGGCGAAGTTCTATGGTCAGGACGACAGGATGCTAGGGGACAAAACAGGAGCCAGCTTACAGCCGCCCCCAGACTGGCGGAGATGCGGGAGCGCATGGTGAATAGGGAGGTTCGTGCCGGACCAGTGCAGATGGTCTTCTGCACCCAACACAATGCAACAGAGTGTTCTGTATAGGGGCATGGCTTGGGTTTTCGAGGAGAGCAGTAGACAGAGAGTCCAGCATCAGCCGTGTGGGGTATCTTCCCAGGGACCTGTAAAAAGCTTATATGTCATTGGCCATATGCTGTCCCGGCACGCATCGTGGTCTGTTTCCCCAGGTTTAGCTAGCTACTGTGAGCATCACCATATGTAGCTGATCGTCTCATCGTCTCCTCGCCTGATCATCGCATCGAGGCTGGCTTCGAGATCCGCGGGCTCGGGATCACATGTATATTCCCGGTCCCCGACTCTACTGCATGCAGCCGAATACCGATAGGACAAGATTGAGACACTTTGTCTGACCTCTCAGCGCCTCGGCGTTGACAAGCTCTGCAGCCTCTGCTGATGAAGATATATGTTCCAATCAAGTCGATGGAAATTGAGCTTCTCAGCCCCCCTTCCCCCTTATTCTCTTGATGAATTGGCGGTCAGGCACTAAAACCCCAACATCTTCCCCTACCTTTTGGCCCCCTCGTTTCCCTGATTCCTCTCCTTCCTCCCCGCCTTCTGTTCTGTTTTGATACACGGGAGACATGTGATAGCTCGGCATCTTATTGCTGTAGCCCTTGTCGTCATTCCGAGCTAGCCGTTTGATAACCTTAAATATGTGGCTGGTAAATAATACGCATGATCTACAGCATTTTGGTGAACTATTTACTGTAATTATATCCCGCACGTGATATCTAACCGCGTCTAGCAGTATACCAGATTCAGGACAGGAACGCCTTCAAGTCAGCCCCTTTCTACGGAACTACCAATCCTTCACAGAGTTGGCCGTGACTAACGTTCAGTCTCAGCAGAAAAAGAGAGAAGTTGAAAGACCTTTAGCACTCATAAATTCGACCCAGTTTGGCAAGATATATTATTAGATAAGATATGTGGAGTAGATCTCGGAAGGCTGAAAGGGGCACCTTAGGCATTGATAAGACTTGATTTGATGCGCTGCTTTCTGCGCGGACTTCCAGGTGGTTTCCAGCAAATCTATCTAAGGTTAGAGGTGTATTCTGTGATAAAATGGACCATTGATCATATCATAATAATTACACGTTACAGCTATAATTATTACGGAGGTCCCAGACGCCGCCCCCTGCCCTCCCGATTTACCCCACACTGCCACCATCGGCGCTTGCAAGTTGCGACAAGGTTCAACTTTCCACCGACCCCGTCACTCCAGCTTTGAAAGTCTACAAATACACCCAACCACCACTATGCTTGGGCCCGTGAAGGCTTCTGCGTTCTGGATTTCCTCTCGCCAACCCTGAACCTTTTGCAGAGTCATTTATATCAGACGAATAGTGCTAGACACAGACCTTGGGTATCGTTACCATGATTGAAGAGCTGCTTGAACAGACGTCTCGCAAGAGCATCGCCGCTACTGTCGTTGTCGTCTTGCTCCTGTTGAAAGGCATACAATGGCTCAGCACCGAACGTAAGATCCGTTCTCTGGGCAAACATGCTCGGAGGGTCTGGACATGGCTCCCCTTCGGTTCGTATACGCCTCTCTCCCTCGTTTCTGTCTCTCAACCCCGCTGACATGGTATCTGATAGATGCCGATCTGGTGGTAACCTCTGTCCGCGATACTATGGCGCACCACAACTTGAGCGGCTGGCGCGGCTATTTCTCCGCCTTCAGCTCCTCTCCAAACTGGACCGTGGAAGCCGCCCCTGGTGGGCGCCGTGTGATCTTCACGGCCGACCCGGAAAACATCAAGGCCGTCCTCGCGACCCAATTCAGCGATTACGGCAAGGGGAAGCAATTCCATGACGAGTGGAAGGATTTTCTCGGCGATTCGATCTTCACCACAGACCAGGAGCTCTGGCATGATAGCAGACAGCTGATCCGCCCGCAGTTTATCAAGGACCGAGTCAGCGACCTGGGTATTTTCGAGGAGCATGTGCAGATTTTGATACAGCAGATCAAGAAGAACGGAAGGACGTGGGATGGTAAGCAAGGGAAGGAACTTGATATTAGCGACTTGTTTTTCCGGTACACGTTGGATGCGGCGACGCATTTTCTGCTGGGGAGGAGTGTTGGCAGTTTGGAGGTGCCGGAACAAGAGTTTGCGGAGGCATTTGCGGAGGCTCAGAGAGTGCAGAACATTATTGCTCGTACTGGGTATTACCCCCTTCATCATGCGCTATCGCTATATTATGGTACCATGCTAATGTATCGTGGGAATATAGGCCATTTAACCCCATTGTCCCTCGCAAAACCTTCTTTGCTTCTCTTCACGTAATCAACGACTTCGTAAACCCCTACATCGAAGACACTCTCCGCTTGTCCCCGGCAGAACTCTCCACTAAGACCAAGTCAGAGGAAGGGTACACGTTCCTCCACGCTCTCGCATCTTATACTCGTGACCGCAAGGTTCTGAGAGATCAACTTGTGGCAGTGCTCCTGGCAGGGAGAGATACGACCGCCGCCACGCTCTCATGGACTTTCTATGAACTGGCACGTGCCCCGGAAGTCTTCCACAAGCTAAGACAGGAGATAGTTGCGCGTGTAGGATTGGAGAGAGCACCGACTTACGAGGACTTGAAGAGTATGAAATATCTGCAGGTACATACCTCATTTTCTTTTCCTCCTTGTCTCCCAAACCTCTTGTTTTGTCTTCCTGGTACAGTGAAGTTAACATTGGCCAATAGAACACAATGAACGAAACACTCCGCCTCTATCCCAGCGTACCCTTTAACATCCGCATGTCTCTCAAGGACACTACGCTCCCCCACGGTGGCGGCCCCGATGGGCTCTCTCCTGTTGGCGTTCCAAAAGACACTCCTATTGCCTACAGCGCACTTGTCATGCAGAGACGCCCTGATCTCTATCCTCCCGTCTCCCCCAACTTCCCACACCCGGATAAATTCTCTCCGGACAGATGGTTCCACTGGCAGCCAAAACCATGGCAATATATTCGTATGTGCAACTTCTCTTCTCCACTAGAAGATTGACCCCTCCCCCTTATCCCACCCCCATGATCAAATCCTCTCATCTATACACCCCCAGTCAAGACTAACAACCAAAACAGCATTCAACGGCGGGCCCCGCATCTGCGTCGGTCAACAATTCGCCCTCACCGAAATGGCCTACACGCTCGTGCGTCTCCTCCAACAATTCGACAGGATCGAGAACCACATGGACAAGGTAGACGCCGGGGACCCATGTCTGAAAGCCGAGATCGTCTTGCAGCCGGGCCAGGGCGTCCGAATCGGCCTCTGGAAGAGCGAGGACGACGGCGAGAAAGCCTAAACTACTTTCTTCCCAATTTCTCTGACTCACGGTTTCGAGTACGGGAATCGCTGATGTGTGTGTGTGTGGAGGAGTTTGAAATTTTCTTTTTTTTTTTCTTTTTTCTTTTGTGATGGATGATTGGAATGAAATGATGGCGATATGATCTTGAAAAGATGTAAATCCGGAATATGGATATGAATCTAGCTAGTTACTTAACAGCTTGCTCTTTACCTACCGTAGGTATGATATGGTATGAAACCCATAGTCGGGATTGAGATTGTAATTCCTTGAAAATTCCTATTTCCTTTAAAAAGTGTTCATAACATACCTTACCTACCTACCTACCTACGTCTCGAGAGAGTAAAGCCGTCGAGGAGTAAGGAGTCAAGAACCGACTGACTGACTGACTGACTGTAAATTGAACTCTCACCACTTACCCAGGTACCTATCTACCGTATCCGCTCCCTAAGGTATTCGCCTCCTATCTAGGTACCTTACCTTATCTTATCCTCTTGCAAAACTTAAATATTGAAGTTGGTTAAGGAAGCCGGCTCGCTTCTCCCTCTTTATTCAGTTCTTCACATGCTCTTTGAGGTTTGTGTCGGGAGGGCTAGGTAGGTAGAAAGCATTTTTGGTCCTTGGAATGATAAGAGTAGGTAGAGGTAGGTATTCTGGGATATGTGAAGACCAAGATTTTGAACCCTACAATCCTTCCACGCTTCCCTAGGTACCTATCAAAGGCCATACATCCATCCATCCATCTCATATTACAGCAGCCGCTTTTGTTGCGCAGCCATCAAAAAACCCCTGCACGCCCTCCCAATCCTCAACATCCGTCACCATCGAAACGTCTATTATTTTGCAGTTTCGCATTAGCCCACTTATTTATCCTTTACTTCCCCATCCTGAAAAAGAAAACAGAAGAAAACAAAATCACATACATTGATCAGGTCTCACGATGGCGAGACATCCCCGCTTCGGATCCACGCCATACGTTTGATACGCGTGTCCGTGCCCGGAATTATAACTCTGGTCGTCGAAGAAGATTTTATGGAGATCTATTTTTTGGGGGGTGATTAGTGAGGATGAAGCTGGGGAGGGAGGGATGGAGGGAGGGGGAAGAACCTCGCATGCGCCATTTTCCAGTCACGGGCCAGAAATAATCGGGGATTTGCTCCTGTTCGATAGAGATCCGGGGGCCGTGCAGAACGATTAATGTTTCGATAAAAGAATCTATGTCTGCGGAGGCAGAGGTGTGTTTGCGTATAGGGCCGGATTCTGAGGAGAGAAAGTCGCCGAGCTGGAGGATGTTATGTTATGTTATGGAAATGAAATGGCTAGGTATATCTTGGAGAGCAGGGAGGAGGGAGGGAAAGGATCTTACCTTCTTCATCCTATCCGCAGCGGCAGGCTCCCGGATATCACCTAGAAAGGCAACGATGCGCCAGCGGCCATCGGCAGGGAGAGCAGTGACGAGCTGGATAGCTTTCGCGTCTGCAAAACGCACGACCTGGGCCGTAGGGAAGCGTTTCCCGACCTCAATCGCCACCGCCGCGTCCTGAGCGCCCTTGTAATTCGTGATGGGCGATTCGGCGTAGCGTGCCGTGAGCCCGGCCATGTACTGGGCGGATTTGATAAACGCCTCGCTGAAAGCTTGCGAGACGGCGTTGAGCTCGCTGCCGGCTTTGGAGGAGGAGAAGAGCTTGGCGAAGTCGCGGTCGAAGGAAATGAGATCGGCGGCGACTTTTTCTCGCTCGAGGTTGTAAGTTTTCAGGAGGGAGGGGCTGGCTTGGTTTTTGAGGACCATGGCCAGTTTCCAGCCGATGTTGTAGCCATCTTGGAGGCTGGTGTTCATCCCTTGGCCAGCTTTGGGGGAGTGTGTGTCTGTGATATTTCGAAGTTAGTTGCTGGACATTGAACGAAAGAGGTCCTCAGCACCGCTCAAGGATACAATCAGGAGCGGAGCCGAGTATTCTATTCCAGAGACAAAACACTGTCCAGCCCTAGAATCAAAAATACGAGAGGGTTCCTTACGACACGCATCTCCGGTAAGAAAGACACGGTTACTTTCAGAAAAGTGATCCGCAAGACGCTGGCCTATTGAATATGCCGACCACCAAAAGGTATCTGCGATCTCTAGCTTGTAGGGGAAGAAGATGCGCTGAGCAGCAGCGTGCAAATCCTCGAGCTTGACGTCTTTACTCTCATGCGGCAACTCAATATACAAACGAACGAGCGAGCCCCCTTCGCGCGGGATGATCAGGAGACTGCCCGATTTCGACTGCAGCGCTGCCTTCTTCCTGATATCCGGAAAATCGGTGCGTGGGTAGATATCCATCACGCCCCAGATGGAATCGGTGCTGTCCCCGACCATCTTGAAGCCCAGGGATTTGCGCACCGTGCTATGCGCGCCGTCACAGCCCTTCGCACTTTCAGATTCAGAGCCCCATATGGATGTTGCGGAGAGTTTCTTCTCACCAGCGCATATTTAGCTTTGAAGACCTCTTCCCTCCCCTCGTGCTCCGCAACCACCGTCACAGGATGCGCCGCCGGGTCATCCACCAGGCTCTTGTCCACGCTGACGCTCTTGACGCGATATCCATAGTCGATCTCCTGCCCATTGAACCGCCGCATCGCATCAACCAGGAAGCTGTGCATACGCGCCTGGTTCAGGATGACATGCGGCTGATGCGACAAGCCCGGCGCCGTGTCCGCTGTGCGCCGCGTCCGCACCAGCTTCCCATCAGCGCCCGCCGCCGACCAGAACACCGTCTCCAGGACGTGGTACGCCTCCCGCAGCAGCCCGTCCACGATCCCGAAGCTCTCCATGATCTCGACCGTGCGGCACTGCACCCCGTCCGCCTGCCCGACTTCGAGAGGCCCCCCGCGAGCTTCCAATACTCGGCAGCGGACACCGCAGCGGGCGAGCCATGTCGCAGCGCAGAGCCCCGCGGAACCGCTCCCGCAGATCAGAACGTCTACTTCCTGGACCTGGGCCATGGACGGCGCGTGATGAGATGAGAAACGGATAGCAGAAAATGCAGAAAAGAGAAAAAGAGCAGAAACAAAATGCGGTCAGAAGCCAAAAGAAAGAACAGGAAGTGGGATATATGTAAATACAAACCATGCAGGACATGATCAACGCTATTAAAGAGCGGGAGGAATTCCCAGGAACGGAGAGATGTTCCTGCGCGGGGTTCGGAGTGCGCTTAGACCGGCTCAGCGACGCGGGAGTGCACCTATCAACCCCTTAATTTTGCCGAGCACCTTATATGACGGCCGATGGCCACCTCAAAGCCTACAAAGTTTAGCACAGGATATGTATTTCATATACTGCTACTGCTGAAGCTTGGCCTTTGAGATGTATGATCACAACGTTGCAAATTTATATAATAGAGACAAAGTTTGATTGAGGATATATTTCATCTGATTGTATTCAATCTCGCCTGCCTGTTCGGAGCTGTCCAGGAGAGATCTTCATCAACTTAACAGTGAGCGTCAAGACCAAATGGCTGGCTTTAATAACAGCGAGTAGATGGATCATATAGATTTAGAACTTGATTGCCCCATTGCATAGAGCTGCATTCAGGCTCACCATAGCTTCTGGATTCCTCTCGATTTCTTTCTTCATGTTGTTCAAGCTGGCCTTGTGAGACTTGACACTTTCCGTGACGGTAGTGAACGAGCCATCACGGCCAATAATGAGCTCCGCCTGGTCGTTAGAGTAGGGAGACCATGGTTGGCCACCATTGCCAAAGGTTACCCATGCATCAATCATCTTCTCGGAAATCTGTTTGTCCGTCACCGGATCTTCAGTCTCATAGTGGAGAGGTATTCCGGCCAGGTACAATAGATCGATGGTATGATGTGCTTCACCGCTAAATGGGCTCGACGACCATTTATTCTCTCTTTCCAATCGGTAAGAAAAGAGCGAATCTGGAGAGGCGTTGGCTTTGACCGATTCTGCGGGTCCTTTGAATCCCGAGTCGGTTTGAAATTCAATCAGAGCGGGGATAAGGCTATTGAAGTCTTTGGATTCAACATCATCAAGACCGTAAGATTTCAGGGTCTCCGCGCTTATTCCAGATGTCTTGAGGTATTTTCCTAGCCTCTCGCTCCCTAGTGTTGCTAGCGCTTGGGCCATGATGATTCCCTGTTGAAGAATGTCAATTTCTATACCAGGATACGGCCTATTGCGGCAGACATACCTCATTGGTACAATATCCAATCATTAATGCTTTACAGAACTTCGGGACTGAATTGAATTTCGTTTTTGAAGGATAAAAACCACCAGCCAAATCTGAGTCATCCAACGATAATGAGACTGGAAGTCCTGGATATAGCTCCTTCGCTGCATCGACTAGTTCTGCAGGAGGGACAGATCGGAGTTCTTTAAGATCCTTCACTTTCAGTTGTTTTTTGAGAGCATCATAGGCCCCTTGATGGAGGTGAGAATTCAAGGGGAGAGGCCCCATTGTATTGGCAACACCAGATTGACATATCGCTCTGTCGAAGAGTGCCTTCCCGTGAAGTAGATGGTTGTGTACCGAAGCTTTTAAGAATTAGCATAACGAGCTATATCACAATATACAGCGCGGGGTTTAATATATTACCAGAGCCTGCACTTTCGCCGAAAAGCGTAATTCTATCGGGGTCACCACCAAAAGCTCCAACGGTTTCTCGGATAAATTCCAATGCTGCGGCCTGATCCCACAAGCCTGTCCAATGTTAACGAGATTCCCGTAATGTACTGCAAGAATGTCTATTACCATAGTTCCCTGCGCTTTCGTTGTTCGCATCCTCAAGCAGCTCTTGTGAGGCAAGGAAGCCAAAGAATCCTAATCGATAACTAAAAATCTTAGCTCAGTGTACTCTTAGTTATGACCCAAAAGCTCCTTACTTTATCGCAATATAGATCACCGGTTGATTGATCTTCTTGGACCGGGACACAAACTCAGTCCCTTCATAGACCAGCTCGCTGTTCTTCCCGACAGTATAGGCCCCCCCTGTGGAACGTATTCAATCAGCCGCACCTTCCACGGTACTCCAAGCATCCTACGCACCATGTATCCAAACCATGACAGGAAGCTCGCCCTGGGTATTGCTTGGCCGTATAATATTCAGATTGAGGCAGGCAAACTCGTCCTCGGGGAGGTCTGGGTCTGGTGGATGGCTAGGCACCGCTACTTGTGTCATTGACATCGGCGTCTTCGGCTGAGGGCAGATCGGGCTGGTACACGATATGATTAGCCTGTATTCCATGTCCCAAATGCATGTCCGCAAGAACTCACCCGTAGTGGGTTCCATCGTGTTCTCCTCCCGGAAACGGGCCTGCTTTTCCTGGTTTGGTCCATCTCTCTGTTACTGAAGCATATGGAATGCCCAGAAAATGCTCCACCTCGCCTTTTGAGGTTCCTACTACCGTGCCATATGAAGGCAGCTGTACGCGGACAACGTTTGCCATTCTGTTGTTGGAAGATGCGGGACGGCCTCCACACGGTTCACGACAGGGTTCCCAATTTCTGTTGCTGCGATCGCGACGAGGTTTGGAACAGGTACAGCCTTCTCATCGCGGGGCCATCGCTTCTAGTAATAAGAAAGCAGTTGCCGACGTTAATGCCGTTCTCTTGCAGCTTTGCGTTGGTGGGGGCGGGACATGGTGGGGAGTCTGGACTCCGTGTGGGGTTTCTGCGGGAAATTCTCCGCGCCGGATTGTCGCTGTGATCACGCCGTTGCTGCACCAATGAGCACGTGTTTGTCGCGTAATAAAGGGGGAGGGGTGCGTCGAGTAATCATGGGTCTTCATATAGATCCTCTCAAGCAACAGCAACAGGTATCATCACCTAGCATGATAGAAATTCAGAAACCGCATTAAAGCACAGATTGTATTAACCACAGAACCCCAAATTCTAGAGAACATCAATCACAGCAAACCAGTGAATGGCCTAGGGAACCTCAAATCGCAGCTGCCTTCAAAACACCATCAAGAAACTCAACATACTCCTTACCCCTAGAGAACAAAATCAAGTCAAGGACAACTCCAAGCTACTAAAGCTAGCTAATCGGATCCAGTCCCTCCACAGTATCTGACAAGCTAGCATTCTGCCTCAGTCTTTTATTCCTGCGCCTCCTGGCCTGTCGTACATTCGCCATCTCAATATCAACATCCCTAGGGCGGTCACCTTCCTTCTCGTTCCAGGTCTCGCTCCTGGATAGCTTCTCATTTTCACGCACCCAATAGAGGGACTCCTCATCCTCAAAGTCCGGATGGGCACGCGCGAGGTCAACCCCCACAGTCGCCTCGTGGTCCCATACGTCCAAGACCTCGGGCAGAATGCCCACTTGCTCGTGCAGAGCCCATCGGACGCTGTTGGAGCGGCATAACGGACAGGAAAACGTGTTAATGCCCGATAGGTCCCACATCTGGCGGACACACGTGTAGTGGAAGAGGTGGTTGCAGTGCAGTTTCACGATGACGTAGGCGGGTGCGAACGCTTCCTGGCAGATTGCACAGCCGCCCTCGTAATTGCAGTTGACTAGGCTGTAGCTTTCAGGATGAGTGCTTGCCACTGGGTGGATAGGGAAGAGCCCTGCCCAAACATTGGCTCTGCTCGAGGGACTTGGGTGTTGATATTTGCACTCTGGGTCACTTTTCTCGAGCTGCACCAACGTATCTATCTGTTCGTAAAATGTTTTAATGGGTTCGAGAAAATAATCTTGTGCCGCGGGTGCAGTGTCAAAAATATAATACAGTTGCTTCCTGCGATTGGTTAGATGAGGCGGTGTTGACAGGATAGGAGACTTGCCATGGGCGACGTTTCGACCAGTCTCTCAGCAGCAAGTAATCTCGTCTGTTACGATTGATTTGAGATATCTTCCTGAGAGGAGGATAGGTATCATCTTCGACATCTCCGGTGTATAGTGTACTCCAATCAAGAGGTTGATACCCCCCTTTGAGTGCCTGGGCAACTTCCCAAGATTCATCCGCAACAACGACGCGCTTTGAGATCAATGTGTCTTCGACATGTTCGTAATCCATCCTTCTGTCAAAATCATCTGAAACGGCAAGGAGGTAGGCCCAGAGCTGCCAGAGTCTGTTGACGTTATCAAAGTGCTGTCTGAAGGTTAGCATTCAACAACAATCTAATCTCACGAGACGCATAGTACCCTTGAGTAAATGAGAGAAAAACGTCTCGGGTCTGTGTTATATGCAAATGTCTCCTCAAGAGTAAAACCACGATCACTTGGTGTTGGACGTGACTCCGTTACTACATCTCTTGCAACACCAATTAAAGCTGTAGTGAGGGTCGTGGCACAACTATTCAATGCTTCGAACTCCGGAGGGGATTTAAGTTCATCCAAGCCAGCCTCGATTTTCCTGGCTTCGCCTTCGAGAAAGAACAGAGATAGTGCAAGGATATGCTTTATTTGCTGTCCACCATAATTGTGCGGTCCAGCATGAAGACTGCGGTAATGTAGAGCTCGTATCCAAGCTCTATGAAGTATCCACGAGACCCGCAGAGATGCAGATTCCAGGTTGGTGCCATCTGGAAGGGGACTCTGTTTCGTCTCGACATTATTTCCATCTGCAAATCGCCGTAGCCGACAGAGTTTGTCTAAGAGCAGAAAGGCGAACTTAAGATGATCCCATGTCCTGTCCATTGGAATCGGAGGATGCAACCCATTAGAATTCAACACACCTTGATTCATGCTTCCAATCCGAAGACTCTCGAGGACTATGTCCTGGCGTAGATGGCTAAGTGCCTCGGTATCCTGCATCTTCAATTAGAAAGTGGCATACATGCATCGAATACAGACAAGCTCAGCTTACCACCGGATGACCTGAATACGGCGCCCTTATCCAGTCCATGTTACAAATCAATTGTTCAACCTCGTCCAGCTTTTGTTGGTCCCAGCTTTTTGCGATGAGTGTACTCAGCTGCTGCAGGATATAGTTCTGATCGCCAGTCATATCTTGCCACTGGAACAAAGTCTTTCCTCCGAAGATGTCTATTGGAATAGGGTCAGGCCCTTCAGCAAATAGATGCCGATCTATTTGTCGATCGTGATCCTCGGTGACCTTGAGTCGTAGTTGGCGCGCCTTGACCCTGGCCTCTGCACGTTCTTTCGCTTCTCGAATTATCTTTTCCGCTTCATTTTTCTGTATTTGCAGCGCCCAGGCCTTTGGGCCTAGAGGGGATGTATCGGTATCAAGATTCATACCGGACATGTTCCATACACCTGACATGAGAGGTATACCGACCATGATGAGCCGTGGTTGACTGATTGAAAAGTAGCTGGTACCAGACAAGACAACATTGAAGATAATTAAAACATTTATTTGAGAAGATGTAGTCTGATCTAGACACAATTTGCATTCCTTGTTCTTGTCGAGGAATCTGGATCACCATCTTGCCGAATTCTTTGTCTCAAACGACGGATTAGTAGCTGAGTAAATTCTTCATCACGATACTTATCGTGGTAGATTTTGGCTTGCAGATGAAAGCAACCGTAATACAAACGTATGACTGAAGTACGATATATGACAGACAGAAGAATTCAAAACGAAGACATAGGTAGGTATACTTTGTAGATGATGGATAGGGAGGGAAGTTCCAGGCGGAGGAAAGTGGATGGCGCTGGCTTTCTCACGTTACATAAGCAGAGTCTCGATACCTCGGGACGGCCGGTCACGGAAATAATTGCGTGAACAAAGAACAAAGATCAAACGTCTTATTGTCTCCTTTGATGCAGATTTGGAGACCTTGATCACGACAGACGTGCTATCTCATTATGATCAATACACTACTCACAGATTCAGAATACTGAGAATGAAGCTATTCAGAGGTCACAAAAGCAAAGCGCGCCTGATTCCTCCAAGTCTTTCCTTGAGCTTCCTTCCTAGTGGTCAGAATGGCATTTATAGTCGAACGTTTTAAGATCACTGATATTAATTGCAATTTCTTAACTGTATATTGCTGTTTTCTCTGCTTGAAGAAATCCATAACGTTGTCCCTACCTAGTACGGGTTTACCTTCAACACAGGACAAAGTATCAGGTTCGAGGCCGATCCAAGGCAGTCTGAATTCTTAGAAGCTTAGCAATTCATGTTCTATGTCACATATTCTACCGAGCTAGGTTTATGGCACCGAATCTCAAGGATTCAAGTCCTTTTTGTAATCTTTTTCGAAAAATCCTGCTCTATTTCCCACATCCCAACATCTCCCAAGCTGCACCCTTCACTGTCCATTCACAAATGCTTCGCAAAGAACTCCGCTACCTGATTATAGCCTCTCTTCCACTCCTTCAAGTTATCTTCATTTTCCAAGTTCGCTCTCGCGCCCATCCATCCATGAAACATAGTGGGATATGTATCGACCTTTATCCATGCTATCAGCTTATATCACCAAGAGGAAAGAATCAAGAAGGATTGCACTAGGAATAATACTCACCACACCAGGCTTGCCCTCTCCCTCAAGAATACGCTTGTACTCCGCCACCACCGCGGGATCCTCTCCGTTACTGGCGAGGACTATATGCGGAATCGTGATCTTCTCAGCATCTTCCGCGGCCAATTTTCTATCTCACATATCAGTATCTAATAACCCAATAAAGAGAGAGACAAGAGGTACGAAAGGAGGAAGAGAAGAAAAGATATACCCAGGATGCACCTGCCCAGTTACGCTAAACAGCGTCCCCGGGCCCGAAGACAGCGCGAGGACCTTCCCACCCCAGCACAGGCCCAAACCGCCCCAGCTCCCAATCTTCTGGAAGCGTCCCTTCGCAGCTTGCACCACGCCCTCCAAGGCCGGGAGGAATGGCTCAAACGCCATAGCTTTCGCCATGAACGCGCTCTTCTTAGCGTCGTTCTCGGGACTGTGAGAGAGGATCAGCCACGCCAAACCATTTTGCAAACCAGGACCGGATGGAAGCGCGAGGCTGAAAAGGAATGAAAGGACATACCTAGGATCCGTGAACCATACCCCCTCCGCCTTGTCGCCCTTGAAGAAATCAGGAACTAGAACCACGGCACCGAGCGCCGCAGCCAGGCGATCCGCGCCCTGCAGCGTCTGGGTAGCGATCCCGAAAATATCATAGACATCGACGATACCCTTGGTGGCTATAGCCTCATCGCCGGTGATGTCTGGTTTGCGAGTCCGTTGTTAGCTACGCCCTTCTTTTCCATGTTGATTTGAGAACCATAAGATGGGAGAGCATAAGAGCATGGCATCCATCCCAACCAGTGAAATGCACTCAATGGCATCAGTAATAAAAGATGAAAGAAAGAAACAGAACCACGAACAAGTCTTCAATCCTCCCAGCTCCTCCCACTTTCCCTTCGGTTCATAGCCCACCGCGATCACAGGCGGGATCGTGTTGCACGCTTCGCACGTCATCTTTTACTTTTCTTCTCTTCTCTAAATCCTCAAAGTCGTCTTCTACGATTCGAATATCGCTTCAATCAATTGAATGGGTTGCGGGGTCAGTCTTATCGTGAAGAGGGGTCGGGCACGGATCTATCTATATCTGTTTGGGGTGTCGGCGGATTTAGGATTTAAGATACTGCATCGGCGAAAAAGATGGGATGAGATCGACAGGGGTATGAGGCTCTGACAGAAAATGGGGGAGGCACGGATCGCTAGATCTCAGTAGTTTGGGTGGAAAGTTTAGGGTCAATTGGGTTGAGATAGAGCGGCTCTGGTCTGCCCGATATTGGAAATAAGGGGAGCGAGGGAGCAAAAGGAGAAGTACCTTAAGGAGACGTAAGGCATGGAGGTACCTACCTACCTAGATCGGGTAACGTCACGTGAGCAGGAACAATCGAGGTGAAGACGGTTGAATGCTGAGCCTTGAAATGGCAGTGGCTGATACAGACTTGTCATCCCTGTCTATTATCGCCCGATAAGAGCACCGCAATAAGCTACGCCAAGGTTCCTCTTGTTCCTGCGTAAATATCATGCCCTCGTCTCGGAATCTACCTCCTCCAACCCATTCCACTGCTCCATATAAAACATCGTAACGTCATAAACACTCTTCGCCCCCCAAAGCCAAGCCTCCAAAGCAACTGCACTGCAAATCAATAAAAGTACGCATGCAAAGAACACCCGACCGCCCAGTCATGCCATCCTGCACGTATGATACGCGAAAACTCCTTCGCCCGTGCAAACCCACTGCAGTATCGTCCCGTTTTCTCGTTACGCAAGCCATCCGTCCCATGCTTGATATACAGAGTAGATACCGATCCGAGCCGTGAACCCAAAACGCCTTGCTTGCTTGCGGAAACCCAATGCAGAAATCTTATGTCCCCACCGTGTGTGCTTTACTCTTGCTCGGCATCCTTAACTTCGGTGATCCTCTCATCATCATCGAGCTTGCCGTACTTTGCTTTATACCTGTTGAGCTCCCTCAACTGTTCCTCCAACCCAGACAATATGTCATTCATTGGAGCACGTAATTGCGCCAGGTCATATAAAGTGCATTTACCAATGGCCAAGTGTCGTGTCGCGATCACTGCTATAGATGCCTAATAATTTACCCGTTAGCAAGGCCACTTGAAGCGTTCCTTAAAGAATGAATGGCAGTAGCAAGTTACCTCAATTCGCGAAACCTGATGAGTCAAAAAGTTGATTATGAATCGATCCGTGACTTCCCCGCCTCTATGTCTCATCTTTTCCAGCAGAGCCGTCTCCGGTGGCTGTAAGGGTAGGGTCTTCCCTCTCTCACCATCCAAACTACTACATAGCATCTCCAACCTCAAGCTGACCCTCCAGAGTGCCCAAACCGTCTCTTTGTCGACATTCAGCTGTGAGTGCGCAGAAAGCGTGGCTGGCTCATCGATTTGAACCAGCTTTTCGCTGTCCGCGACGTGTAGTTGGTACTGGATTCGGCCAGCCAGAGCATGCGGGTACATTAGATAGATATATTCCGGATTTTCTAGGCCTTTAAGTTTGCGCTCGCCCATATCTTTGACTTCGAACCCTTGACTGCTTAAGGAGCGGAGTTCGCGGCGAATAGTTGCTGACATTACATCGGTCTCATACGTATCTTCGGAGCCTGTGGAGCCGGAACGGTCACTCTCACTAAAGCTTTCCAGACAACGTTGAATTTCAGAGATGAAATCCGCAGAGACGGTAATCTGACCACCATCAGCAACGGCTGAGATCCTCGAAGCGCGGTTGACCATAGGCCCGAAGTAATCCATACGGCGAGTGACAGGGTCGATTTCACACACGGGTTGACCCCAGTGAATACCCATTCGGACACTTAGACCTCTAAATATGAGTTGATGTTCATTGTCGAAGACTTCTTGACCGACGACGCTGGCGAGGACTTCGGATGGCCATTGAACCTCGAGGAGTTGTTGCTGGACTGAAAAACACCAGAGAAGGGCTGATGTAGCGGTGGGGAATGAGACCATGAAAGCATCACCTTCAGTCTTCACTTCGTATCCACCAATGATGCGTAGCTGACGGCGCATAACTTCATTGTGAAGCTTGATAGCTGAACGCATAGCGCTGGGATACGTCTCCCACAGAAGAGTGGAACTTTTGATATCCGTGAAGACAATGCTTATTTCTCCTTCGGGCGCTTGGACTTCGGCTTGAAGTCGACGAAGCATGGAATCTTCGACCCCGTTACCCTTCTTTTTAGTTCGTTTGGGGGCTGAATACGAGTCATCGGCGAATTGTGAAGGATTGAACGATAAGCTCTGAACTCGGTTGGTTCGAGCCGGCATTCTCTTTTTCAAGTCGCTGACACCAATCATCATGACCATGAGCTTTCCGGAGGCACCAAAGGCAATGGCAAGATCACGAAGTCTTTGGGCTGCCCGCATCAGGTCACCGCGTTCATAGCGGGCGATATCGACAACGAGTTCCGGAGACAGATATTCCCAAAGCTCCCTCGATGCAATCAAGATCATCTCATCCTGCTCCTTGATAGTGACTTGAGTAATATGAGGAGCAGCCTGAACAGCAGGCATTATGTGAACATAGCCGAACGCTCGGGAAACCTCTAAGATATCGTTTAATTTTCCCTGCCTGGACACCCAGCCGCCAGCATCTCGGATGCGTTGGCGTTCATTGGGCTCGGCCGGGTCATGTTTTCGTGTTAACATCCGATGACCGCCTTCCGAGTGGATGAGCATTGCCTGTGCATCTCCGACGTTGGCAACGTAAAGTTCTGATTGTTGTAAGAACATAACGGTTGCTACTCCCCCCGAATGCAAATCAGCTTGACTAAGCACTGCGGGAGTCCCCGACCCTCGATGTGATAGTAGCGACCTTTCCTGGGTGCTTTGTGTTGCGGCAGTAGCCAAATCCTTGTTCAAGGAGAGGAATGCTCGCCTTAACGCGTCAACGGGAGTCTCATCTAGTCGTCCAGAGTTCAACTTTTTGAGTTCGTCACTGAAGATGGGACCGAAATTCTCGTGCAAATATTTCGCGATCTTGGATCCACCGCTCGACAATGCCTGGCCATCGAACATGCCGACAAGGGTCTGAGTCTCGCTGGAGTTGAATCGGGGGACGACCATGTCAATGATAGACAAATGCTCGTTCTTTCCTAGGGTATCTGCCATCCCATATGCTAATTGCCCAGCTACAGAACCAGAAGTACGAACCCTTCGGTCTTCCGTTTGATCCGGAATGGTAGGGATGGTCAAGGTCACATCCATTAAACCAAGAATTCGCAAATGCTGCAAGGCACTGAAATCAGTAAGATCCCGCCCATCACGGCTACCCATGCTTCCTGGTAAAGATGGCTTGATTTCCAGCCGCTTGTTACCTGAAAGGTTCAAGTATTTGAGATTGGTATTCCAGTTCCAGTTCCAATCATATGGCCAGTTGGATACGTTGTACTTGAGGGAATTATTACCGCAATCAAAAACGGCCAACCGATGAGCTTTGCCAAGTTCGGCAGGAAGGGTCTGAAATTTGTTCCCATTGATATGCAGAACCTGGAGAAGGCTGAATTCTTCAAAGTCGTCTGAAGGGAGAGATGTGAGTTCATTCCCTGAGAGATAGAGCTCGACTAATTGTGGCCAACTCTTGAGAGATCTATGTGGCATGTCATTGAGATCGTTGTAAGACAAGTTCAGAATTCGGAGTTCGCCCAGAAGAGTGATCTCATCAAATACATCATCGTCCAGTTGATTGTCAGCCAGATAGAGGTTTCGCAATGAGCCTGCAAACGTATTGATGAGTTTGGCTGAAGTTGAAGAATCCTTTCTTCCCATCATGGATGGGGGAGTCCTGGTCCCAGTGCTTTGGGAGGCACTCCTCGAAACGACAGACGTCTTGCGGCCCCCTTTCCCGTACAAGGAGACGAATGAGTTCTCCCTATCCGCTGAGCCAGGTACAGGAGAGCCTCCCACACTAAGAAGGCTGCTCGAAGGTTGGCTTGGTCTTCGCTGTCCATAGGCTTCTAGTGGACCCAACTCTTCAAAGCTGGAGTTTTGAGAACTCTGCCCTTGGATATTGTTCATAGGGCCCTGGATAACTTCGCCAGGAACTTGAGGCGGCCGTGAAGCCGGTTTTGGAAAGGTATCGAGGACGTTCGATGAGATGTTGAGCGTTTCGAGTTTGTTGGCCCACCATATTTCCATTGGAAGCTTTTTCAAGTTATTTTGCCGAACATCCAGGAAGCGCAGCTCCGTGAGACAACCAATTTCGGCAGGTAGACTGCTCAAGGCATTCCTAGCTATGCTGAAATGCTCAAGCTTCCTCAACTTACCAATGTAACTGGGTAACGAGACAAAATGGTTTTTGTCTAGCACCAGTTTAACTAGATTGGGCATCTTATCAAATACCGCGTCCGGGATATGTGCCAGTTTTGCGTTCGACAAGATCAGAGTGGTCAGGGTGGGCACAGAGTTGAGGATTTCGAACTTGGTCACCGGATTCGAATTGAGGCGTAGGACTCGGATCTTGGTAAATTCCGACTCGCAGACAGACACTGAGTTGTGATCTGCAGAAATTTGCTCTACCTTTGGCAGCTGTGCAATGATATCGATACTTGAAAGGGTGTTATAGCGGATATCGACCTCCTTTAGATTTATGAGGTCTGCAAAGGTGTCGGGAAGAGATCCTGCTAGCCGGTTGTTCGTTATGACGAATCGCTCAAGATTCTTCAATTTACCAATCTCGTCCGGCAGCTTAGAGATACCATTGAAACTCATGTCGATATCCACCAAACTTTCAAGCTCACACAGGAAAGTTGGAAAGGAATCCAGGAAATTTGAGGAGAGATTCAAGGTTCTCATAGATTTGAAACTCCCAAAGTAAGTAGGGAGGCTCCTCAAGCGATTGTTGGCGAGCTTCAAACTAATGAGGCCTTGCAACCTTCCAAGCTCAGCATGCTCTAATTGCTCAAGCCTGTTATTTGAGACATCGAGGATTGTAAGGCGGCTAGCTCGACTGAGACTGGGCGGGAGTTTCCATGCCTCATTGTTAACGTACTTGATATCGCGCAGATTTACACATGACTGGATGAAGTCCTTGGGAAGGTCAAGTGACAGGTTCCGTGACAGGTTGAGAGAGATGATTTCCGAGGCTTTGGAGTAGAGAGCGATAGGGATAGTGATCAAATTTCGTCCAGACAAGTCAACATGGCTGTACTTTTGTACCCGACCTAACCCGGGATCATTGGTGACCGATGCATAACCACTTTGTCTAGCGGGAATGAAGGAGAATCGACAGAGGTAGCTGTTGTCCTCCCTGCCCACATCTTCGATCCTGTCCCGCTCTTCATAGCCAGCCTGTTCAAGTAAACGTTTCTGGATCACAATAGGACGTTCACCAGCTCCAAGGATTCGCTGCAAGTCGTGCTTCTTCATCACTATCTGATAGTTTTCCAGGTTGTCCGTCATGTAGGTTTTCTTTCCTACTTGACTCATGATCTCGGTGACAGTAGCATTGAGTGGTGTTGACAACGTAGCAAACGTCCCATCGACCCTAAATATGCGGATGCAATAAGGGGGCCCTTTTGCGTCAGCCCTAGATAACAGCCCACTATCATCCATCTCGGGTAGCCGAGATTGATTCTCGTCATCGAGCCTTTTGACAGCCCAACTATCAGGGGCATTCCATCCTAAACCTCCACCGCTACTTTCTGCCTCAATCTTTGCCTCATCATCAACGTTTCCCGCAAATATGTTGTTGTCCAGAGGCGTCAGTGCCGGAGGCCTTGCTATTATACCTTCCATGTTCGATAGGTCCGTATCCAGACTGAATTTAGACGCGTGGGAGAAGTCATGTTTTTCATGGTTGTCCAGAAGAGACTCATCATCTCCACTTTTCCCACGGCCTCTCCTAAATGGCCCCTTCTTGAAGTGATGGTGTCCATGCCGTGAACTGCCAGCGGATGGACCATGGCTATGGGCCCTTGGGAGAGCAATATCTGACAATGTTGTAACACTTCCTTCCCGACTCCATGGGCTGTAGTCAGGGGGCGAGTGCGTTTTGTCAGACCTGGCTGGAGAGTTCAATGAACGAACAGAACTTGGGAGATCTTTCAATCGAGATGTCGCAGTCTCCTTCTCCTTGTGTTTACGGAACCGTCCTAGATTCAAGAGACTTCGCTTGCCATGTGTCGCGACAGGCGATGTTGGACCATCATTCACTGCCGTCGTGGCAGTTGCTTGGGTCCAACCAGTCATCCCGCTAGGTGTTGGGCTTTGCGGCCGTTGTGAGAGGCTTGAGTTGGATGAATTGGCCAATGTAGCTCCCATCGAAGTCGGGGCCCGGTCTTTCTGCCTATCCTCCCTGCTTAGTGACGGCCGCAAGGCCTTCGCCTCGTCGTAGCTTCTATTATGTCGGTGATTGTGCCCGGGTAGGTGGACGTGGGCAGATCGTGAAGAAGAGGAGGTTTTCGGTGGGTTTGGTGTGTCGCTCACGTATCGATCTCTGTCAGGGCCGGATAGACTCTCGCGAACAGGGGCGTCGCCATACTTCGAGATGTCCTATACGGAGATGTTAGAAGTGAGCCAATCACCTCGAGGGACCAAATCAACAGTATAGACAGCGCGAGATCCCAGATCCACGGGCGTAGTGAATCTCTCCAGGACCCGCCGCCTATCCACTGTAGGTGCCCCGCAAGGACGCAATAACTGACCTGTGAGTCCTGATACAAAAATGGCACAACATCACTGGACGGCACTGGTGTTCGCGGCCGAGATCCTACAGGTGAAGCGTCTCGTGTATTATCTGTCGCAGAGGAGAGGTTGCGTTCCCGGTGGCTGCGCGCGAAGGAGTGGGATCGAACTTCTTTCCTGTGGGAAGGAAGGCTCGTGTCGGATCCATCCTTTCCAGGGTAATCCTCCCCAAAGAAAGTTTGCAACTTCTTACGGGCACCACCAGCTCGACTCGTGCTCGACTTCGATCCCGTGCTACTCGCAGTCTTCACGCTCGCCACTGAAGGTCGCCTCTCGTTTTCATCAAAGTACGCATCGGCGGGGGATTCGCTGGTGTTTGTGTTTCCTGTTGCGGCAGTCCCAGGCCGGAAGCCCTGGGAGAACTGGGAGCCTTGCGATATGTTGTCGCTCGAATCATTGTAGAAGCTGGTTCCAGCCCCGGGCGAGGGGCTTGCATCCTTTCCGTTTGCTGACATCCACGGGGCCATCGGATTTGAGGGGCCTTGCAGCGCACTGGGGGGGTTATGCTGTATCGACGGTATGCGCCCACCAGATGTTTCCAGGACTGCAAGATCGCGTCTGTAGTTGCCGAAGCCGGCCATTCTATGATCCCGAGGGGATACATTGGAAGTGCTCGATGCTGGGGGCGATGGGGGGCGCGGCGCAGAAGTCGTCGGCGAGACCTGAGGATCGGTTTCAACCCTATGACCAGCGCAAATGCAAGTAGCCGTTAGTCAACAAGCACGTTCTGAGCGTGGATCCATGGGGGGGGCTGTGGAATCGCATTCAAGACACGATGGGAGGGGCCGTGTATGCGAGGGAAGGGCTTCTTACCTCTTCGCCGCGTCCGTCTTCAGCTGCATTGGGGTTCTTCTTCGCGATGGGCCATGGAAGAGCGAGCCTTTGACGGTTTCGCTCGATTTCCAGCTGTCAGTGCTCGCAGAGCTGTTGCGAGAGGCAGCATCATTTCCGGGCATGGTCGACCCCAGACTCTCAGCTAGGAGTCGGCCATAGATGATGGTAAAGGAGTGGTGAAAGGGATTGAATTGGGGGATGTTGCGGCGTGGTCAAGGGCTCCAGTGAGGCGTGGAGGCGCGGATGGATTGGATAGATGGATGGAAGGATGGATGTCATGAAGATTGGACGACTGGGTTGCAAGGGTCGAGGTCATCCTAACCTCCCTAGCAAGCATTCGGCAAGGGCCGGTCATCGACGGGTTGAGAACGTGAGAAAAGCGAGCGTGGGGGAGAGAGCTGTGGGACATACACGTCAAACGAAAGCTGAATAATCGATGTTTGGTAAGGAAGATATCTACTGTAGGAGTTTGATTTGATTTGATTTGATCTGGTTTTTCTGATCTGATTTGTATTGCGTTGTTGGTTGTATACCTATCTATGTCGATACCTACCCCTCCTTCTATAGGTCTCTTTTAAGACACAACGTGCCCTCTCTCTACGTAGGGACTCGCTATTACTCCGCAGAACACGGCCCACGGGCGGCCTTTGGAGGTCATGGCTCCCTTGCAGAGGTCACTTGATGATGGCAAAGGAGGTCGGATTGGTTGTCGATTTGTTGTACCAGCAGTGATGGAGCACAAGGCTAGCTATATCGATGGCAACTCAAGGCCCAACACAACAATACTATTCGGTGTGCTCTCTTGTTTCTTTCTCACAATGCATCGAGGTATAGCATCGTGATACAGCATTGTAGGGACAATAATAGAGACTACTATCATACGTAGTCCAGAGTATGAGACCAGGCCCAACATCGCTAGGACCGCGGATATCGTTATATCGAGCGTTTGCTGTACTGTCCTCGCAGCAAGCAAGGCAGTACTTCTAATAACAATGCGTACTCCCTGAAAACAAAGGGCGGCGTCCGTCGGCTTTTACCCAGGCCTTTTCTCTGTTCTGGGACTGGGACCCTGCGACGGTGGAAACCCTGAAAAGTTAGAACCCACTCGCAAACTTCGTAGCCAGGTCCCAGCTATGGGGCCCCTCAGTGCTAACACGTTGCTAACGAACGATGATGCGACCAGAGGCAAAGTACCTCTGTACTCCGTATAATTCGATATTCGATGCGTGTTGACCTGTCTCCCTCGCCAGTCTCCCTCCTCCGGGGCACGTTCCGACCAACGACAACGGGAGAATAGCCGACCACGAGTCCCAATGACCGCATACCGCTCTACGTGGTGTCTTTTCTTATTCTTGGATCAGCAAGATAATAGAATCTGTGCATAACGGACGGGAGATTATATCTGAGATATATCGCTCCAATCATCATGATCCATCCCTCGCGCCGTGCAATGACGGGTCGTGATAAGCGAATCCCCCGGCTTTCCCCAGCCTCGTCGCCTTGCCGAGTTCAGCCTCTCCCTTTTCTCGAGTCTCTACACCACGAGTGACGCGCGCGCTCCACTCCCAGCCTCCTCAGCATAGCAAATTGACCCTCCAATTCTCATGGCTCGCGATCCAGTGATTCCTATTGCTCAATTTCATCCCTGCGCGAAGCACTGCTGACGCGGATGTGATCCTTGGCCGGTGGCGGGAGGAGACATTAATCTCTGGAGCTTTATAAGACGACTTCGCCAGCACTTGCACGTTCTCGTGCATATCCCTCCCATTTCCTACACCCCTCCACTCCAAGGAGTACATCTAATCTCTAATTTTTTTCCCATCCCTCCTTCTCACTTCTCCTCATTGCAACCTTGCCAAGGATCAACGACATTGGCGTGCTTGGCAAACGGCCTGCCCTGCCCTGCCCGTCAGCCTCCAACTTATCTTCCTCTCCCCCCTCCTCTCTCTTCTCAGCTTTTGTACTTTTGCCTTCATGTTTTCAAGAGTAATCTTCGTAGTCGGAGCAGCATTGCTGTCTTGCACACCGACAGCTGCTCAAACCTACTCAACATGTAACCCCCTCCAATCAAGTAAGTCCCAGATCTCATTTGCTCCCCGCACCCACCAACAATCGAGCAGGCAACTGCCCTCCAGATACCGCCTTAGGCAAGGCAATCAATGTCGACTTCACCCAGGGCTCCGTCAATTCCTTCACGGCCTCCGGCAATCCTACCTATGATTCGAACGGCGTTTCCTTCACCGTAGCCCAGTCGGGCGATGCCCCCCAACTTACGAGTCTGTTCTACATCATGTTTGGCAAGGTCGAGCTTACAATGAAAGCGGCCCCTGGCGCAGGGATTGTGAGCTCGCTCGTGTTGCAATCGGACGACCTCGACGAGATTGATATGGAATGGCTGGGAGCAGACTCGACTGAGGTCCAGACGAATTACTTCGGCAAGGGAGAAGTTACAACGTACAATCGCGGACAGTTCAACCCGGCCCCCAACAACCAGGGCGAGTTTATTACCTACACCATCGAATGGACCCAGTCGCAGATTATGTGGTCGGTTGGAAGCACGATCGTGCGAGTCCTTACTCCAGAAACTGCGGATGCGAACCAATACCCACAGACGCCTATGCAAGTCAAGTTCGGGGCATGGTCTGGAGGGGATCCTTCAAACCCCCCGGGGACGATTGCCTGGGCCAGGGGACCTACCAACTATGCTGATGGTCCTTATACCATGATTGTTCAGTCTCTCGCTGTAACCGACTACTCCACGGGCACACAGTACAAGTACGGAGACAATTCGGGAGAATGGCAATCCATCGAGGCCGTTGGAGGAAAGGTCAATGGAAACTCGGGTGGAGCAGCGGCATCCGTGGCCTCGGCCGACATTCCAGCTGCAACCTCTGCCTCGCCTTCCATCCCCGCGGGCCTAGGAGGAAAGCCTAAAGATTCCACCATCACCCAGACCGGCTGGCCGTGGGTCGCCACCGCAACCACACTCACCACGGCAGGCCCAGTATACACGACGGCCCCCGGTGTACCAAGTGGCTGGGTGATCTCCTCAAACGGAAAAGTAGTCCCTGCAGATTCTGCAGCCGTAAGTATGCGCCGCCCTCTCCTTTTCGTTTTCCCCTCTTCCTCTACTAACAACTTATTAGACAATTTCCCCAGCCCTCTCCTCCTTTGCAGCCCCCTGGCCATCGCCCTCATCACCGCCCTCGTCCGGATCTGCTCTTGAAACCATAACAGGCTGGGACGACCGCGGTTTCCCTACCACGAGAACTGAAGTTGGTGGACGGGAAACCCAGTCGAAAAGCTATAATCAACAAGGGTTTCTGATCACGGGATCATCGACCATGGCGTCCGCTGCTGCTGCTACTGCTCCCACTGGTACGACGAATAGTCTCTCGACCAGCGTGTTTGGTAGTGTAGCGGAGGCGGGGAATGTCGTAAGTACGACTGCTAGCAAGGGGGCCGCGCCGGAGCCAGCCGCTTGGCATGGAACTGTACTTTGGGGTATAGCTGCTGTGGCAGTCGAGAGACTCCTACTTGGGTTCTTGTAGACGGAAGCATCAACAAGAGAATTGGCTCTTGATTTGGGACCGGGGTGGAATTGGCAACGGGAATTTGGAGTATTCAGGAGGGTTGATAAGGGTATATGATGGGTGAAAATCATAACGACGATACGATAATCAGTACAAATGATACCTCAGTGAGCTACAGAGCTTTCTTATACCGTAATAACACACTTTTATCCTCGCTCTGCAAGGAAATGCCTTTGATTCTGCCTTGGTGATGAATACGAAACCCTCTACACTTGTACGTTACACTACATGTCTCACTCAACCTCTGGTTGTAAATCGCGAAAACCGGGAGACCTTCTGCCTACCTAGGTACATCGAGGAGATGGTCGGGTCACCGGTCCCAAAGGAAAGAAAGAAATCATTGCCTCCTGGGTGCAGCAGTACCACTAAATGACACATGCCAACCAAAGATACAAAAGGAATCGATGACGCTCCGATCTTCAATGTCGCCCTCGCTGATGCAATAGAGTTCCCGGCGCCAAGGTTCCGAGGTTTTGTTGCACATCGCAATAAACGCCCAGCCCCTAGTCTTGGAGCTGTCCAGAACGGGCGATTGTCGATGATGGGAAGTCGGCGAGGTCGATGGAGGTCTGGCTCGGAGATAAAGGGGCGAGAGAGCGGATCATCGGTGCCGCGGGGTCGGGGTCTCGGCGGATTAATTACCGGGGGGAGATTGGTTGGATTATGTAATGGATGACTGCGCGAATCAGGGGATCACATGGATGGCAATAATGTCAGGCAGCCATTGTGATGGACTGAGGCGTCAACAGCCACCTGCGAGATCATCAGCCACCTTACCTAAGGTACCTTACCTTACCGACCGCGACGACGACGAGCAGTTTGAAGGGCAAATTATCTCCTGCCCATTATTCCAATATCGTATTGTCGCATCATTGCATGATTGTACCACTGGATTGGCTCATACGCGATCACCGGCCCAAAAGCGATTGCGACGTCCGACAAGCGTCAGGCGGGAACCTTTTGCTACCCCAGATCCCAGCATCAGAAGACCTTTCGCCACTTCCACTGCCGGCACCTTACACCTACAAAGCTGCAGCCTACAGCTCCCGCTTACACGCGGCTGCTGGACGCCTCGATGTCTAAGCAGTATAGCAAGCCATGCTTTGACTCTGCTTGCTTGCGTTGTTGCTTTCCAGTGCCTTCCAGTGCCTTCTCATCAGTTCCAGAAGTGCAAGTGAATGCTCGTGCTTGTGCTGGCTCCTGCTCGGTGATGCGTGTGTTGCGTTGCCTCTTGGCTGGTTGACGCATACTGTTTGCCTATAAGGTTTGTGTCTTTCTAAGGGCTATATATATTCCTTTCATATTTCCTTCCCAGACATCTCCCCTCTCCTTCTTTCATCATCAAGAATCATTCTCGTTTAAGAATAATCATCAATTCAAATCCATACATATCAACAAAAATGGCATACAGTTATCACCAGGTTCCCTTTTGGGACTTCTTCAATCCCCTCAATCATAATGGAGCCGGTGTGGATCATCCCGCCGCAGGCTTCCCTTTCTCCGGTCCTTTCACCCCGGCCGGCATCCCTGGTTTTGGGGGCTTCGCAGATGATCTCTTCACTGCCCGTCACGGTCGTCGCGCACGTCGTGGACGGCCCAGCCAGCGACGAGGAGCCTCTCGCGAACGCACCCCCGAAGCTTCACGATCTGGATCTCCCAACCCAGAGGAGCCTGAAGACGAAGCTAGAGACCCATCTCCACGCAGACACAACCGCCATGGCCCACATCACGGAGGTCGAGGAGGCTGGCACGGACATGGCCGAGGAGCCCACCGGGGTGCTCACCCATATGGTGGCCCAGGCGCTTTCGACCTGAGTGCACTCTTCGAAGCACTCTCCGGACACCCTATCGCACAGGCGTTCCGCACCTTCGCCGAACAAGCTGCTCAACAGTCGGGTACAACGGCCGCCCCTACGACTAATGACGATGGGAATACCTTCATGCCACCCGTTGATATCTTCTCCACCGATAGAGAATATGTCTTGCACGTATCCCTGCCGGGCGCAAAGAAGGAAGATGTCGGTGTGAACTTCGATCCCGAAAAGGGCGACCTAAACATTGCCGGCATGGTATATAGACCAGGTGATGAGCAGTTCTTGGAGAGCCTTACACAGAGTGAGAGGAAGGTTGGCATGTTCGAACGCACGGTTAAGATCCCGCCTGTCGGCGAGGAGAAGGTGGAGGTGGACGGCGATGCAATCACTGCAAAGATGGAAGATGGTCTTCTGGTTGTCACTATCCCGAAGGTCGACAAGGAGTGGACTGAGGTCAAGAGAGTTGATATTGAATAGTTGACGTTTTAAGCTCGCGGTTGGGTTGGCAATGGGTTTCACTTGGGTACATTGAATTTCTAATGTTTAACATTTCTTACTATAATGGCCTGATGGGTCAAGGAAAATACAAAAAATGTCATCGAGCAGAAGTTGAAATTGTAATTGCGAATTCCAGTCTGAATGTGTGAAACATAACGAGAGAATATAATCGTAGACTTTTGCTCCCTTTCGTAATTGAACCCCAAACACCTACACCGTAAACCCAAACACCTACACCGTAAACAGACGAGGAGACTTGGAAGTCAATGAATGAAAGCAGGGTACACAGCGTTAGTTCCAAGAACCCATAAACACCAAAGATCACTTTGCATCTACCATATATACTTCAGTGGCAATTCAGATCTATTATCAAAATCAGCTGTCGTGTGAACCATGACAGCCTGACAAGATAGGGGTTCTGGCTGTGTGGCGTAGTCAACGCCACTGTGGCTTGACCAATCCGCTCGCTTAGAACCCTTGAGGAGCGAAACGTTGCCCCTACAACCAAGGTCAGATAGTTTATTTGCCTTCACCCCTCAACCAAATCCGGATTTTTTTTTTTTTACATGTACACTTCTTTGACATCTTCACGCTAAACAGGATCTCGCTGCCTGCTTTGTGTGAGCTTCGAGCTTTGTCTTAGAGGTGCTGAAGCGAGGCCGAAGCATATTTCAACGTCATTGCTCCGTGATAACAACATCACAATAAAGAGCATTATTCTGCCACAATCTGGTTGACTTATCAGAAGAGAGGGGCATACATTTGAGTGCTCTCAACACTCTTCCCTTGGTGAATCCTCCTTTTCAACTACGAAAGATTCATCATGTCAGACTCCGACAGTCTCGATTACCTACAAACGGGGTTCGACCCCTCCAGCCTAACTGTGCCCCGCCTTCGATCAATCCTCGTCTCTCACAACATCTCCTACCCCTCAAGCGCGAAGAAGGCCCAGCTGATCGAGCTCTTCAATGAGAACGTGGTTCCGCAATCGCGCAAGATCCTGTCCGCGAGAGCCCGCGCGAGGAGAACCAGCAAGGGAATCACCAACGCGGATTCCTATGAGACCACGGTCGCCGACGAGGAGGAGTCAATGCCGCCGCCTCCTACTCCACGTCCGAGAACACGGAAACCTTCGACGAGAGTGAAGTCGGAGGAGAGTGAGTCGGATGCCCCGCTGACGGTGCGGAGTCCGGTGAAGAGAACGCCTCGGCCGAGCAGTAAACATGCGAGAGCTTCGGATACTGAGACCGGGACGGACGCCGAGAGTGTGATGAAGTCTGTTCGAAAGTCACGGAGGAGTGAGGCGCCATCGCGGAGGAGTGAGGTGCCTACTCCTGCCCCCGTCCCAGAACCGAAGTTCAAGCTGGAAGAGATTGATGATGGTGCGGGCTTTTCGCGGAGGGAGAGCGCTTTCACGTACGACAACCCATTTCAGAGTGGTAGCTCACCGCCAAGTGGGCTACGCAGCTCCAGCAGTGGGAAGGTTAGGAAGAGTTTGGGTGGTAGTAAGGATACTACGAGAAGGAAGAGCAGCTCGACAGTACGAAGACGGACCGAGGGACCTAAGGCAGATGATGGCATTTACCCGCCAACTTCTGAGACCTTCGAAATGCCGGTTACTAAGGTCAAATTGGGTTCTAAGGATACGGACGAAGCAGTTGTGGACAGTATTGAGCCAACAGAGGAATTCACACCGGAAGAGCAGCTCGAGCTGACTCGTGAACGAACAGCTAAGGGCTTGCCGGCCGTCCCAGAACGAAGACCCAAAACACAGAGACCGAGCAGAGTTGGCAGGGGACCAATTTGGACGGTTTTACTTACTCTGTTAGGTGGCTACCTAACTTGGTACAGGCAGGAGAAGCTTGCGGTTGGATACTGTGGAGTGGGCAGAGATGCACACCAGGTTATACCAGCTGGCGTCCAAGTTCCTGACTGGGTTAGAATACTTGCAGAACCACAATGCGAGCCTTGCCCTCAACATGCCTACTGCTCCGCCAATCTGGAGACCCAATGCGAAGCCGACTTCGTTCTCAAGCCACACCCTCTTTCACTTGGCGGACTGGTTCCTCTTACACCCACCTGTGAACCTGATGGAGAGAAAGTCCGCAGGGTCAAGGCGGTAGCCGATAGGGCAGTGGAGGAGTTGAGAGAAAGGAGAGCCAAGTTCGAATGTGGCGAACTGGTAAATGAGGCGGGTGTTCCAGAGCCGACGGTCGAAATCGACGCCGAGCTGTTGAAGAATGAGGTTAGTAAGAAGAGGAGAAAGGGAATGGGGCAGGCGGAATTTGAGGAGTTGTGGAGCGGTGCTATTGGGGAGATTCAAGGAAGAGAGGAGATTGAGAGCAAAGTTGACGGGTAAGTCTTTTAGTCTACTGGTCTGCGTTCCGTGCCTTTTTCTGCTATTGTATCTTTCAGCTGGCTGCTGTTATCTATGCTTGATGTCCCTGGTGCATTCCCCTGATCTTCTATTACACCATGTTGACTAGAAGACAACTAACCAGGTTCCTCGCTCCCTCAGAACCCACACCCTCATCAGTAGCACCTCACTCGCCCGCCTCCCCCTCACCTGCGCCATCAAACGATCCTTCCGACTCGCGCTGGCAAGACATCGCCTCCAGATTGCTACTCTAATCTTCATCATCGGGGCTGCCCTCTACATCCGGTATCTCATCCTGTCCCAAGCCGCCATTAATGCTGCTGTCCCTCACCTGGTATCATTGACCCTCGACCGTCTGGCCACCCAAGCTACACTCCACGCCCAAGACAAAGATGCCTATCCCGAACCCTGGATCAGCATCGGCCAGCTCCGCGATGATGTCCTTCGGGATGAGCACTCGATCAGCAAGCGCGAGAAGCTATGGGCGAAGGTCCGCAACATCGTCGAGATGAATGCCAACGTCCGCTCGTCGCAGCGCGAATCGCGCAGGGGCGAGATCAGCAGGGTCTGGGAGTGGATCGGCGCAGTTGGCAACCTAGAGAATGGCGAAAGAGAGAGGAGAAGAAAGAGTGGACGCGTCAGCTGGGGCGTTTATGATGCGCATTCTAGTCCAGTTAGTGGGATGGATGAAGGCCCGAATTGGGAGGAGGGAAGGCCCATCTATTGATTTCGCTGCTTCTTTCTACCATGTTTTTTGCTTTTACGTTACTTGGGAGGCTTTTTGGCCCGGTGGGCTTGTACGAAAGGCATGATACCTACGTCAATAGTTATTTGATGATTAATTGTCCCATCGAGTTTTATGCCTGTTTTCAATTGCCTAGTCGGATTCTGATTCTCCTGCTGTTACAAAAACAGCTACTATCTATCTGCCCGTGCCTGCTTCCTCTTGTTCTACAAGAATATTAAGATGAAGTAGGTCCTTTCGCTTTAACGCAGACGTCGTCGGCTTACTCCAGTTACTAGAGGTTTTTGTCCAGAGCGGCTTTCAGCTTCGTTATTACCTACTACTAGGTCTATATAAAGGTCACACATTCTTTTGCGTGTAGGGGAAGAGTTTGGCGGTCGTCTGAAGAAAGGAAGGAAGTTCTCTGCGTGCTACCCCCTTAAGCCTACCTAATAGTGTGTATTAGAATTCTATAGCTATTGCAATTAATTACTGTATCGTGATCAGATTACTACTCATTGAATATTTGTACAACTACTGAACTATGTAGATAGGTCAGCAGATACCTACCTACCTAGACGAGTCTAAAAAAAATCATCTACCTATAAAAATCATAAATCGTTCTTGTAGATTTGTAGTTATAGACATACAGACGCAAGACCTTGAAAGATAAGTTTCTCTAGGAAAGGCATACCTACCTAGATAGTAGGTAGTTGATTAAGAGGGGATAAAGTTATGTGTCTAGCCTCTAGGTCTCTGCTGTGTCTTGTTTATTTTACTTTCTTTAAAGAAAGAAATATTCGTTGTGAATTTTAAAGTATGTAAGGTAGGTAGTGATGAAATAGAGATTGTTCGTAATAGTATATTAAGGTATGTATTGTTATTTGACGAATAGTTCGAGAGATTACAATGACAAATAACATGTGATGAAACTACCTAAGGTACCTGTATACAAAGGAATTTTGTACGTAGATAGGTAGGTACGTGAATATAGTGAACTTCTATCTTAATCGTTAGGTACTGGTTTAGGGTGCCATTTGCACAGCGTATCCTATGAGAAGGGGAGGAGTAATCTGGTTCTAGTAGCATTCCTGCCGCTACCCTTTTTGCTACTATTTGTGTCCATGGTTTTGTTAGGACTTACTTAGGTGGTTAGTGACTTTTGATATGCTATGTAATGTGACTATGTCGTTCGTTTGTTCATTTGTTTGTCCTAAGTGGATTAGGAGTAAAGATGGCTTCTTTTCTTAATCAATTATTGTTTAAAAATTTTTGAACCTTTGAATTTTTAATAAATGAATACATATCTAAGATATCTTTAAAATTTTCTTCTTGTCTAAATTCTCGAGAAGGGTTTAAGTTTGTGAGTTCAGTTTAGGTTCTAGTGCCTTCCTCTTCTTTTCTTTTGAATTACTGAAATTAGTAGGGTTATGGATCGACAGATGGTGTCTTGATCTCAGCAATGCAGCATACCCCCCTGAGTCCCCCACCCCTCTAGAACCCATTTCCTTTTGCCCCGCATACCCGTATACCCGGATTCCGAGCTTCCCGAGACTATCTATGTTGGTGGGGAGTTGGTTATATGTGATAATATTGGGATGATTACTGGGTATTAGGCTCGGTTTGGAATTGTTGACCTAGATGGAGATATCAAAAGAAATCTGGTAATTTTGAGAAATTTGGATCTTTTACAAGAGGTGTGATTATCAAGCTTGAAGAAAAAAGTTGGTTGAAATCTATGATTTGGGATAGATGTAGCCTGGTTAATAACAACTGGATATTTATCAAGAAATCAGATAGCGTATCGTATAGGCGATATATTTTGGTCTTGATCAAGGTCTATAATAAGACATGTGGCAGTCTTGGTGGAGCCGATAGAATGCGGGGAAAAGCGCGCACTAAAGTAGCAGCGCAGCAGTGTGGGGAATGATCGACGTCAAATGGTGGGGTCTGTCAGTAACGGCGGGAGCGGAACCACAGCAAAAGGGAAACTCACATAGAGTTGTCCTGAGTTCTTGAAGGGCAAAAAGGTTGATTTGAGAAGAGAAAAGCCGACCTTTTAACTTATTAGAGGACTCGGCTATGGAAGGACCTCTTCTACGCCAGACTTCAGTCCAACGTCAATGCTGAGTCTTGACGTATTCCGAATGCTCAACGCGTTCCTCATTGGGAAGATAAGGCGCTGGTGACAATGGAAGTATCTTCTTCTTTAGCTGGCCGAGGCTCACAGGAAGATCATCTTACTTGTGATCAGAAACTTTGGTGAGACCATGAGATCTTGACACCAAGCCGAGGCTCATCCTGCAGGTATTGACCTCTTGTGAACAACATCTGCATACCCAACAGGAGTCGTCCAATAATTCAACAATGATTTCTACTCGGTTCTCTAACAGCATTGTTAGATTTGCGGGGTATGCGACCCACCCAACCAGATATCACCCTGAAGACATGGACATGTTGTAACTCGTCTGGGGGTTATGTCGCGAATATAAAAACGGTATTGGAGATCAGGAGACGTACTTCATATTTTCTTGTTTTTCTTAACAATAAGGAAAATACATTCAGAGGAAATTGAAACTCCATTTCATTATGGCTCAATACGGGATTCTGGCCTCTGTCGCTATTGGGGTCGTGTACCTAGTCGTGAACTCCCTCATCAGTGCATACTCACGCCACCGGCGTGCCCAGGAACTAGGATGCAAGAAGCCTGAGATCCGCCGGAATAAGTTTCCCGGAGGCATTGATTTTGTACTACGTCTGATCGACGCTACAAAGAGAGACCAAGTTCCCAATGAGTTTGTCAAGATCGCTGAGGAACAAGGAAGAGATACATGGGAGCAGTCGCTCTGGGGCAAGCCGCAGATCTTTACGACAAACCCGAAGAATGTACAGGCTGTACTGGCGACCCAGTTCAATGACTTTGAGATTGGAGAACAGAGAAAGCAGGTCTTCTTTCCGATGTTGGGGAGTGGGATATTCACGCAAGATGGGAAAGATTGGTAAGTATATTCATCCTCTATGTGCATTTTTGGCAACAAAACCTTCTTATTCCTTTCCCCCTTTTTGCTAGACAGCTATATCTTGACGCTGTACATATTACCTACTTTCATACAGTACTGTTTAAGCTGACAGTGATGGATCAGGGAACACTCTCGAGCAATGCTCCGTCCACAGTTTACGCGTGATCAGGTCGGCGATCTCGAACTTGAGGAATCCCACGTCCAGACGATGTTCCGCCATCTCGAGACTGATTTATCCGGATGGACTTCTACTGTTGACCTCGGGCCACTATTCTTCAATCTCACCATTGACTCCGCTACGGAATTCCTCTTCGGACAGAGCGTACAGTCCCAGCTTTGGTCTCTTCCCGGACAACAAGTCGCCAATTCCGAATTCGATTGGAAATCTATTGCAGAACATTTTGACGGGGGGACTGCTGCATTAGGTTCTCGTAGTCGGCTTTTCAAACTCTATTGGCTCTACAACCCAAAATCATTCCGCGACGACTGCAAGGAACTCCACCGTTTTGCAGACCACTGCGTCAAGGTCGCACTGGAGAGGGACAAGAACGGGACTGAAGCATCGGGGGAGAAGCAAAGATATGTTTTCCTCCAAGAGCTAGTCAAAGCCACGAAAGACCCCATCGCTCTCCGCAGCCAACTCCTGAACATCTTGCTCGCAGGGCGAGACACCACAGCAGGCCTATTGGGATGGGCATGCTGGAGCCTTGCCCGCAATCCAAGCATCTACCAGAAGCTCCGCGAAGCCATCCTCGAAACGTTCGGAACTTATGAAAACCCGCACGACATCACCTTCTCGCGCCTCAAGTCCTGTTCGTATCTCCAATACACGATGAACGAGACGCTCCGCCTCTTCCCCTCGGTGCCGCTCAACACCCGGCAGGCCATAAGAGACACCAGCATCCCCGTCGGTGGCGGGCCCAACGGACTCTCCCCCGTCTTCGTGCGGAAGGGGCAGGAGGTCACGTATTCCGTCTACGCGATGCAGCGCCGCAAGGATATCTGGGGTATCGACGCCGACCAATTCGATCCGGATCGCTGGTACGGCCGGAAAGCGAATTGGGAATACCTCCCGTTTAATGGGGGCCCGCGCATCTGTCTCGGTCAGCAGTTTGCGCTCACAGAGGCGGGCTATGTCCTGACGCGCCTCATTCAAAAGTTTGATAAGATTGAGAACGTGGACCCGATCTCGGAAATCAAACATCAGTATAGTGTTACGAGTGCCCCGAGACGGGTGTTGGTTAGATTGCATGAGGCGGGGAAGGTGTAAACTGGTGGGATTGGGGGGTGGAAAGGTTAGCAAAGGGGGGATGGGGGCTGGAGGGGGCTTTGGAAGTCCGATGATCATATACTGAATGATCTTTTGAGCAGCTCTTTCTTTGGATAGCGATTGCAACCACTTTGATAGTCAATATTGATCTTCATATTTGGGAATCTTTCAGTTTATTATTACTGACGAATTAGGTCCATGGTCAAGTTCTTAGACATCAATCAGTAAGTTGGGGCAAATTCCCCCCTAACACCTGTCTATTTGACTTCAAAACCTCAAAGTACAACCGCCTAGGAACAGCTACAAAGTACAACCTTCCTAGGTAAGGGGAACTACCAAAAACTTCCATTCTAATCTCCTTCCCAAGACAGACATCTCTCTTTATTCTTTAAACCTCCTCTATATGAACTAATAGCGGCCTCCCCTTCACGCCCCAGGCAACCCCTGATGCGTCGGATCCACCCACCTCACGCCCTCCGGTCTCTCGACCGGTTCCAAATCCGGCAGATTGACCGCGACCGCCTCCCCATCACTCCTCATCAAGACACACCTCAACTCCTCCTTCTCCATGGCATTGATCTCCTGGTGCGGCACATACGGCGGGACGAAGATGAAATCGCCCGGCCCTGCCTCGGCCACAAACTCCAGATTCTCACCCCAGCGCATCCGCGCTCGGCCGCTGAGTACGTAGATCACGGATTCCAGGTGCCCGTGGTGATGGGCGCCGGTTTTGGCGCCGGCGTCGATGGTTACGGTCCCGGCCCAGAGCTTTTGAGCCCCTACTCGTGCGGTGTTGATCGCGGCGGCGCGCGTCATGCCTGGTGGTTGCTTGTTAGCGGGAGGGAAGAGAGGGGGATGGAAGATGTACCGGGTGTTTGCGCGGTGTTGGTGTCGAGGGAGTCGGAGGGGATGACGCGCACGCCGGTGTGTTTCCATTGGTCTGGTGGGGGAGACGTGGGAGCTTCATGATGGTGGTGAGTTTCGGCCATTGCTTTTGAAGGATTGGGATTGGATAAGGTTGAGGGAGATGTAGTTGGTATGTTGAGAGTGGTTGTTCGATACTGGAGAAGTCGTGGGATAGAAGTGGGGTTGCGGGGTAGTGAGTGGTAGACATTCCGCTTCACGAGCCGAATTCATGTTGCCGGTCAAATGTTGGAGGTCAAAGGTACCTTGGATATAGGACATAAGTACATGATGCCTAGCTGCTTATTCAATTACTAACTTTATTGAAGGCACTCAATTTACTTTAGAACTGCCATTACCAACCAGAGGCCATCTAAAACAGACTCACCTCGCGGAATATTCATGCACCGAACCTGCCCCAACCTACATTACTAAACCAAATCTCTATATGGTTGAGTGTAGATTTCTAAATTCAAAGGAGATTAGTTAGCGTGTTAAGCTTGTGATGCCAAGTTTCTGGTGTGAAACTTTTGGGATATATCAGAAGGATTTTGATTTGTTGTTGATTTGGGTGAATTTTCCGCATGAGGTTTCCTTGGGTATTGAGCAAGTGCCAAAGCCAAGCCAAATCAAGTTGGCTGAGAAGATACCTACCTGGACAATTGTCGTTTAAGAACTTTCCCTGCAGCTAGGCTGCAGTACCAAAGAAAGCCGCGCAGGAGTGACTGCTGCCACTGGCAGATCTGATAGTGCAGCACTATTGCATTCAGATACAACTGTATGACTGATATCTTGCATGAAGAAATTCCCGATATTGCTGTTGGTCATGGCAATGCTGACATTGGTCGTCCCGATGGTGGAGATCACTTCAGCATCTCGCACCATAGTAGTATCAACAGATGAGCACGGTATTACCGCCCCTGCAACAACAGAAGGAAGCAAGTGCCAAGAGGAACGATAAGTAGAGAAACCCGATGACCTTGAAAACGCTGGCACTGGCTAGGGAGATGATCAACCGAGTGATGTTGGAGAAGGACACAATAACAGGACATCCTGGATATTTCTAACCATCCCTGATCTCATCCCCAGTTAAATCCTCTCCTCGAAACTGGAAATGTAAGCTCTGCTTTGCCTGCCTTCTCCAACCCTCATATTGACAGCAACAGTGACAGATAAATCCTGTCTTCTAAGCTTTCAATATCAAAATCTCCAAATAACATGCCATTCATGTGATCTGTAGCTCGAAAAACTCGTTGAGAACATGCCTACTAGCAGTAGGCTCTGTCCTCTAGGCGCAGACCCGTAGACGCCATTTGCAGTTGTGAAGGAAAGGGGAAAAAGAGCATGACCACTAGAGCAATGCTTACAGTCAGTCAAGATGGAAGTGTAATCTCTACAAATTCCTGGAAGTCTATGCTGTACAGTGGTTCTGTCCCAAAATAAAGCAGCGTAGGTAGCGCTCTGGGAGACATTGCCTTGTCGGCTTGATACATCCGTGGCTATGAAACACACGGGAGAAGCATACTTTCTGGCATAACTTTAATAAACAGCACTTAGGGTTGCGATCCCTTGTGAAGATCTCAGTTCCACTGCGAGCAGACACTTGCCCAGAACAGATTGCATCAGTTGAAGAAGTTGAAGAAAAAGGACTCTCGATAGCCAGAAGGTCACGTGGCGTTGCCCAGTTGACATTAGCGGCTGGATAAGGCTATCTTAGCGCCGTCCCGCCTAAAAAAAATTGAACCTTGAAGCTCAAGTTGAAGTTCTCTCGATAAAAACTTTCCGAACGACACCGCTCTTCTTCTCTTCTGCACCCACGAAGTTGAAGATTTTGACGATACCCTCTAGTGTTTGTACATCGCAGACATTGGTATCTGTATATCCTTCATTTATAAACACTCGCGATCCTTTTAAACAACTAGTTTTTTCCGATCAAGATGCCTCTTCTACCGGGTAAGTACTTCTGCTTCAACACGGCAATCTTGAACGCGATCTGACGTGAAACCATAGTCGCTCTTTACGGGCTTGAAGTCCCATGCGGCGATGTCCTCATCCCAGCAGTTCCCGACTTTCCAGCCACTGTGAGTAGATAAAAATCCTTACTGTCGTCGCTTTGCAGGCATGCGACTCGGCGACCGCGTCGGCCAAACTGAGATCTAACAAGATATAACTAGTTCCGCATCACTATGGCTGCAATTGATCCCACTGAACCAGCTGAGCTCAACGAGAGCACCAAGGACTCCTCCCGCGCTACATTGAAGATCGTCCGCCAAGCAGAAGGCGATGAGGATAACGAGGACTACATGCGTGAGCTGCTGGGCGATAGCGATAGCGGCTCTGACGATGAAAGCGAGAGTGACGAGGAAGCCAATGGAGGCCCAAGTGACCCTGCCAAATCCAAGAAGGCTAGAAAGGCCGCTGCTTTAAAGCAGCTCATGGAGTCCATCAACACAGGTTCTGACGAGGAGATGGAGGATGCCGACAAAGCCGACAAAGCCGTCAATGGCGCCAAGGCTGATAAGAAGGGCAAGGCCAAGGCCACTGACGACGACGAGGAAGAAGATGACGAGGAGGACAGCGGTGATGAGGAGCTTGAGCTTGAGGAATATGTTCTCTGCACCCTCGACCCAGAGAAGGCAAGTCACTCGGTACCATGTCTAATCACCTCTTACTTACACGTAAACAGAACTACCAACAACCCCTCGACATCACCATTGCTGAGAATGAGCGTGTCTTCTTCAAGGTCTCTGGCACTCACACCATCTACCTTACTGGCAACTACGTTATCCCTGACGACAATGGCCACAACCGCCACCATGAGGTCTACGACTCCGACTCCGACTCTGAGGATGAGGATTACGATCTGTCTCCTGATGAGGACGAGCTTGATCTCGATGATGAGGAGAGTGACGATCTTGACGGGCTGGAGGACCCCCGCATCACTGAAATTGACACCGATGAGGAAGAGGCACCAAAGCTTGTGAAGGCCGATGAAAAGAAGGCCGAGACCAAAGGAAAGAACAAGCGTTCCGCTGATGAGCTTGAGGAGGGCGCTTCTCTCGATGATGCCATGGACAAGTCCCTCAAGGATGGCGAGGAGCAGAAGCTTAGCAAGAAGCAGTTGAAGAAACTCAAGAAGAACAATGGTGAGGCCGCTGAAGCGAAGGCTGAGGAGCAGAAGAAGAGCGAGACAAAGAACGACAAGAAGGTCCAATTTGCCAAGAACCTCGAGCAAGGTCCAACCGGGTCTGCAGAAAAGGCCAAGGCCACTGAAGCGAAGAGCCTAGGCCCAAAGACCGTCCAAGGTGTTAAGATCGATGACAAGAAGCTTGGGAAGGGACCGGCTTGCAAGAAGGGTGACAAGGTCGGCATGCGCTACATTGGTAAACTCACAGATGGCAAAGTGTTTGACTGTAAGTCTTAAAATCTTCCTATTTATATGCTTCGGTGCTGACTTTTAACACAGCGAACAAGAGTGGCAAGCCATTTTCGTTCAAGCTCGGAACTGGCGAGGTTATTAAGGGATGGGATATCGGTGTCGCTGGCATGTCAGTCGGTGGTGAACGAAGAATCACTATCCCCGCACACCTGGCGTACGGCAAGAAGGCATTGCCTGGCATCCCTGCTAACAGCACTCTGGTGTTCGACGTCAAGTTGTTGGAGATCTCTTAGATTCCATTCCGAGGAAGCTTACAGTCACGCCCATTCCTGGGCCTTACGATATTATGAGGCCAAAGCCTTCTGTTGCCGACCCCTCTGTTGTACAATTTCTCACACTCTCATGTGGCGTTTTTGCAACTCTTTAATTTTGTATCTTATCTCCTATGTCATGTTTATTCGCAGACCTGTTTTGCATCTCCGACCTGCGCGGTTCTGTGATGAACTGTCTTGTGTGTGGACGGGAAGCAGATGATGCAAAATGGAATGAGGAGATTTGCATAGCATTACAGGCGCATTGTCAAAAAGTCCATTGGTTTTGTAGTATTTGCAGTGGTTTCCACATCAGGTAGTCAATAAACTTTTCTTACTTACAGAAGCTAAAGCTCTCCATGTGGTTTGCAACTGCCTCGTAAGTCCCTATGGACACAATTTTCGGGAGGAGCTCTTGCCAGTGAGAGCATCCCAACACTTTCGTCGCTCATCCTGATGTCTTCTATCAACAACTTCTTTACCATCATCCAGATCCATTCCAACAGTATCATCAACATTGGTACCCCGGCATTTCTAGCTCCATTAACTCTTACCAAAACATTCTATTAGCACTTCATCGCGATGAGGCGTGGACATAGCAAATCCAGCAAGAGGAAGTCTGCTAGTGGCCCCGGTTTCACCATCCATGAAGATGCAGCACCGGTCGAGCTCTCGCCGCCAGCGAACACGACCGCCAATGGGCCCATAACTCCCACGTTTCCTCCGGAACCTGAACTTAGGCCTTCAAAGATGCGGCGTCATGGCTCAAAGCTCCTGCTTGCCCTTCGTTCTATGACCAACAGTGGTAAGTCCATCACGTTCATTACCTATCCGCCTTGAGGTACCTGTCTGACCGATGAATTGAACCACCAGCTTCTACCGCATCTGCTGTTGAATCACATTCGCGGTCCCACGAACCTAGTGGCTTCGGCTCTATGCCTCCTATACCTCCCAGTATAGCTAGGAAGCTCTCCCTCGCTATCCTCAATTCTAATCCCACTACTGTCGTACATCGAGCCCAGTTCAAAAGTCGTCCCAGCGTACTCTCTCTTGATAAAGGAGCTATTGATGTAGGCCAGGAAGGTTCGCCGTCCACGAGCCTCTCTAGCACTGGCAAGTCATCCACTCCCCCCAGAGTTGAGTCGACAGGGAAGACTTCACTTGATTCGAAGTTTTCCATGAATTCAAAAGCAGCATCACAGCACTCTTCTGAAAACAAGAAGCTGGCTGAGAAGAAACTCGCCGAAGGTGGAGGAGGCTCGAACGAGAATTCGCTTACTCCGATTGCTGAAGTCGAGATGTTGGATCCAGAACCAGTACCAAGTAAGTCAATCACATACTCGTGTTCGTATATTGGTAGCTGAATGAATTAGCTGTCGTCACAGTCGAAAAAGCAGCCGCAGCCAAGATATTTTTCGAGTGCCATTACAACAAAGTAGCATCGGGTGAACCGACGCCTCGTTCTCTACGTCGCCTGCAACTCGAGGCTGCCCTGCACGAGAATATCACTTGCTCTCCAGCTGAGAAGGATGAGCAGCGCCGAGCTTGGTTAAGAGAAGAAAGTAACCATCTTCGAGAGACTAGAGTCATGAAAGTACGTGGTGCGAACGCATTGAAGGGGAAAGATATCACCTCTTCTAGTTTCGAGACGGTCAAAATTCTAGGAAAAGGAAGCTTTGGCGTTGTTCGACTCGTAAGGGAGAAGTCAGAGAATGGGTACGTGCACACGAATAAGCCTCATGTGAAGTGCTGACATGGAACCAAGCAATGAAAAAAAGAAAGAGATCTACGCTATGAAAGTCATTCGCAAGTCTGATATGCTCCGAAATAGCCAAGAAGGCCATCTGCGTGCTGAACGTGACTTTCTGGTCGCTGCTGAAGGTTCTCGATGGTATGTCCAGAATCATCCTCTTTCAAAGTACCATTTCAATTAAGTGGTCCCAATGGTCAAATTGATCACTCCAACCTGGCTTTTGACTTGAGTATCAAACGTTATCACTAATTGTAATAGGGTTATCCCCCTCATTGCGAGCTTTCAAGATCTTAATAACCTCTATCTGGTGATGGATTATATGCCTGGTGGTGACTTCCTCGGCCTTCTCATCCGTGACAATGTTCTTTCGGAATCTGTCGCGAAATGGTACGTTGCCGAAATGATCCTTTGCATTGAGGAAGCGCATTCCCTCCGTTGGATCCACCGCGATGTCAAGCCCGATAACTTCCTCATCTCTGCTTCGGGTCACTTGAAGATTTCGGACTTTGGTCTTGCTTTTGACGGGCATTGGTCCCATGACCAAGCTTATTTCAATAACCATAGACATTCTCTTCTCACCAAACTTGGCATCAACGTCGAAGGCGACTCAATTGACAAGAAGGAAGGTAGAAGTATTGCCGCAGCCATGAAGCTTGCGCACGTCCTCATGGGTACCAAAGATCGGCACGCGCGAGACTCTACCAGCAATTCCGAGTACGAGGGAGTTCTCAATTGGCGAAATCGGAAAGGTAATCGGACTCTTGCCCGATCCGTAGTTGGGACCAGCCAATATATGGCACCAGAGGTCGTGCGTGGTGAGCTCTACGACGCTCGTTGCGACTGGTGGAGTGTGGCAATCATTCTATACGAAGTACATCTTACCCCCTCGTAGTATTTAAGATGTCGAAAACTGACAGCTCGTAGTGCCTGTATGGCCATACGCCTTTCCTCGCGGAGGAAGGTGGGAGGCAACAGACCAAGATGAATATACTGGTAAGTATTCCATTTCACCTCAAACATTGAACCATTCCACATTGATCTACCCGTGCCACCCTAGAAGAGTCTCCTTCTATTCTTTATCTCATTAATCCATTGGTCGAGCGTGTCTCTTCTCTCATTTCAATCTGGACATTGGCCCAATCCCGCCTTGGCCTCGTTTGTTCAACATGATTTGACAGTTGGAGCTAACTTTTCAAAAGAGCCACAAGACGACGTTTGCCTTCCCTTCCAAGCCAGCCATCAGCAGGAGATGTCAAGATCTCATCCGAAGTATAATTCAAGAGAAGGACCATCGCCTTTGTTCCAAGCGTTACAAGACCAAAGATCATAGCTCTGGCTCTCGTCACAACCAAGACGTCGCTGGTCGTTGCGTGTATCCTGACGATGCCGAGGAAATCAAGGCTCACAAGTGGTTCCGAGACATCCCGTGGGATCGAATGCACACGATGGTCCCCCCTTTTGTTCCTAATATCAAATCCACCGACGACACACACTACTTTGATGAAGAGGATTCCATATCAGACTTTTCGGCGTCCATTCCCCGTGCCCCGCCAACGACAGAAGAGATTGCCGATGCCTTGAAGAAGTTCAACCGGGAGCTTCAAATTCTTGCGACGGGCTTCATTGAACGACCATACGATTCGATGAAGTTGAGAAAGGTTGAAAGAGAAATCGATGCATTCAATGTCTCAGACGAGCAGAAGAATTATTTGAAGGGATTTGTGAAGCGGTATGGACGCAAAGAAAAGAAGAGACCTCGAGACAGGCTATTACGGGATCGTGACTTCGCACCAAAAGTGTTGGAGCTACGGAAGAGAGGGGCGTTCCTCGGATACACGTATAGGAGGATCCGGTTTAGAAAGGAGAGTTTTGCCAGGGCCGGGGGAGTTGTTGTCAGCACCCCTGGAAAGAGGAACGGGTGGTACCGTGCAAGACTGAGCATCCATTGACAGATGGGATAGAGGTAATCGTAGGTGGGAACGGCTCGATTGGTCCAATCAATCAATATTCTTTCGCTCTCTTAGAGTTTTCATTTGTGCGGGGGAGGGTGTGGGCAACTGCAGAGATGTCATTGTGTAGTGCAAAACTCGGACACTTGTCAGGCCAACCAATCCATTGGTTTGTTTCTAAGTCTACAGGTTTGGCAGTTTTCTATTAAAAAAAGGGAAGTTAATGATGATGACTCGTGTGGGCTTACCGGCTATCAACAACCTTGCTCTTTCGGGACAGGGACCAACGACTATTGACGACATCGTCAAACTGTTATCAGTGTGATAACGCCACTGGGGAAAATACACATGTGTTTCTGGCCAGGAACAAACAAACAAAATAAAAATAAAGAAGACGTGCTGTGCATAAACCAGTATGTCAATTGTCTCAAGTTGAGCCTTTTCACTATTTTCATTTTCTCTGGGCAGTCACAGTCGAATGGCAAGTTTGGGAACATCTCGCGGAGAGGGCGGATAAGCTGGAAGGGTCCGGGGGGCTTCTTCTAGGCCCTACATGTGCATTGCATGGCATTGCATTGGCTTACGGAGGATTTCATTCTGGCTGACTGTGGATGGAGACTCGCCCGCGTGCCCAGAAGGCCCAGGCTGTGGTAGTCTGGTGTTGTGGAGCGCAGGATTGGTTAGGGAGAGCGCATGCGTTCCCGCCGGGTCCTGACGTCGATAGCTAGGTCCTGGTTCCTCTTTACTACTGACGTCGGTAAGCAGGTTCTACTGACGTCGATCAGTTAGGCCCATGTTGACAAGAGCCGGGCTCGTCAGCTTGCATGGTTGCTAGGTAAGTTAGGTCGTGGCTGGGCATATGTCCATATTTATTTGGGCGGATCCTCTCCTCTCATATGCCCTCGGCCTCTCTCGTTTTGTTCATCCTCAATCTCCTGATCTTCCTGATCTACCTCCCCAATAACGAGCACGACAACGAGAACGAGGGAACGGAAAAGCACAACATGGCGCCCGCAACACTCCTGAAGTACCACGCCCAGGATGGCCCGGCGGAAGAGTATACGCACGTGAAGACCGAGAGCTTCCACAATGCCAATACGCCCGCGAGCCCCAACGCGCGCAAGGCCCGCCACACCAACGTGGCTGGGACGGATAACAGCAAGGATGAAGAGCTCAAGAGCCCCTGGATCCTGCACCCGAGTCTCGTTCTGAAGGAGGATGTCTTGCAGAAATGGGGGAAGGGCGAGGGGGAGATTCCGGACCCGGATGAGGTGCTGGATCTCAAGGAGGAGAGGAAGGGCTGGCATGGGTATGTCGAGTGGGAGTTGTACCCGGAGCGCAAGGCGAGGGTGAAGGAGTGGATGAAGGGTTTTGATTTCCCCAGTGTATGTGTTTCCCCCTTTTGCTCGTTTCTCTTTTTGTTTTTCTTTTTAGGAGGGGAGGGAGGGGGAGGAATGAACAAGAATGAGACAAAGAAAGGAAGAAAAAGAATTTCGGACCAACATAGCATGATTGAGTGAGAAGAGCGCAAGCTGATCTAAAACCCAGGCACCCGAATTCCAATTCGTGCCCTTGCCGAAAACAAACCCGATCTTGGAGGGTGTCAGATGGAAACAATACCATTATGCCCTGGGCAAGGCGACCAAGGACATCCCAGCTGAGAGCTGGCTCTGGGTCCAGAAGGAGAAGAGTCCGGATATGATCCATATCCTGCAGTTCCCATACAACGGGGAGCCGCCTCGGGTTCGTACCCCACCTTGTCGCCTTATGATGTAATATATCTTGCTGATCAGTGAGCGCAGGATCGATTGGTGTCGACCGCCTTGACGACCAACGAAGACCACTTTGTCCGCAACCATGGAGGAATTCCAGAGATCGACGAAGATGAGTACTTCTTGGATATTGGCGGATTGGTCAACGAGCCCAAGCGGATCACCATGGCTATGTTGAAGGACGAGAAACTGTTCCCCAGACAGTCGAACATCGTTACCATTCAGTGCTCTGGAACCAGGCGAATTGAGCAGATTCATCAGTACCCTGGTGATGGAGATGAGTTGATTAACGCTCCTGTGAGTTTCCTTGCTTCTTTTTATTTGCAAGAAAGGAGAGGTGCTGATCTGTGAACAGTGGGGAGAGGGCGCAATCGGAACTGCTCGCTGGACAGGTGTCAGTCTCAAAAAGGTGATCAAGTACTGTGGCGGTCTGAAGTACCCTGACAAGCCAATGCACCTTGAGTTCCTCGGCGCAGACACCTATTTCAAACAAGGTGAGGTCTACAACTATGCCGTCTCCGTTCCCTGGCGCAAGGTCAAGGCCAACGAAGTCCTCCTGGCCTGGGAGATGAACGGGCAGCCCCTGCCCAAGATCCACGGCTTCCCGCTGCGTACCGTTGTCTTTGGATACATTGGTGCGCGCAGCTGCAAATGGTTGACGCGGATCAATGTCCTTGACGCTCCCAGCGAGGGACCCGTGCAAAAGAAGGAGTACCTGTACTACAACTCGCAGGTTGGGAAGCACAACGTTACTTATTCGGCGGGTTTCTCCATTCAGGATATGCTTGTTAGTTCGGCTATCATGAGCCCCGTTGATGCGGACCAGATCATCCACGATGGAAAGATCAAGATGCGTGGCTGGGCGTATAGTGGAGGCGGGCATTGGCCGGTTCGCGTTGAAGTCAGCAATGACGGCGGCAGCGTCTGGTATGAAGTTCCTCATGAACAGATGAGCGAGAAATACTTCTATGCCTGGAGAGTCTGGGAATACGATCTCCCCGTCGATGCGGAGGGTTGGCTGGAGTTGGTCGTGCGATGTTGGGACAACTCCATGAATACCCAACCTACCTTCGTTCGATCAGCATGTATGTTCTCACCCTCCCCCCTTCTCTCTCACTGGATAATCCGAAGAGCAAAAATACTGATGCGGAACAGGGAATTGGGATCTCCACGTCACGAGCTCGTGCCACAGGATCAAGGTCTTCAGCATCAACAGATCGAGACCCAAGACAGCCGCCAAGTTGAAGATGTACGAGGAGAGTGGCATCCCCTTCTTCCCCATTACCAAGCCCAGCGCTGTGCCATTAGAGAGCGATGAGAGATACGCCATCGAGATGGCGGCTCGCGGTGGTAGGGATCCCCTTGAGTAGATGGCTGTTGGCCGTTCTGTTTGGGGGGTCTCTTATTATGTAGATCAAGTGTTCTAATTAGCTAGGTAGTTATTATTTTAATAATATATATATGGAGTCTGGGTTGTATAATTCTTTACCTGAAGAGATTGGGTTGTAGAAAGGGTCAGTCTGTGAAAGGGATAGGAAAACCGGCTTACTTGACCAGCCCGAGGGAAACACTGGGCCCTAATTTCTTTGAAATCTTTGAATTACTCTTCCTGAGGATAAACTGTATGAAGTTGAGCCTTTCTTTAAGGAAGCTGATGCGGTGTAGGGATTTCCTGGAAGCTGATGTAGTTCCCGTGAGTTCAGGTTTTCGGTTTTCGGTTTCCGGGCTTTAAGGCATCAAGGCATGAAGGCAGCGAAGCTATCACGCTAAGATTTCCTAGCGTGGTATCACGTGGCACTGATATACGTGACGCGATTCATCGCGTTCGATAAGAAGGCATCACGACTCAGACAAAGAGGGGTGATATATTGCCGACCACAGAGAAATGTTGTACTTTGAAGTTACTAAGCTTTCACATCATGATCCAGAGCAGCTCTGATGATGTTGTAAGCCGGAAGATTTCCAGGAGTAAAAAAGTGAGCACTTCGCCACCGACACCATGGGGAGCTTGCTGGAGAAGAACTCGGAAGCCGTGCGGAAGCGGATCGCAAGCCACACGTTCGAAGATGAGGATGGCGAGGAATATGAAGCATCGGAGTTTGGGGGCTTTGCGGATTACATGCGTCGCAAGAAGATTAAGCTTCAGAACCTCGACGCTGAAGTCCGTTCATCTTCAGTCGGCAAACCTCAGATCTTCCGCGGCGTCGTGGTGCACGTGAATGGATATACTCAGCCCTCTCTGAATGATCTCCATCATATGGTGGTTAGCCATGGAGGCGGGTTTATGCAGTATCTGGATGGAAAGACTGCTGTCACGCATATCATTGCATCAAACCTCACGCCGAAGAAGGCCCTCGAGTTCCGGCGGTATCGCATCGTCAAACCGGCATGGGTTGTTGACAGTATAAATGCTGGCAAACTCCTACCTTGGGATGCGTACCGTGTTTTGGATGAAGGACCAGGCCAACGGTTGCTTGGATTCGACCAGGGGAAGATTATCAGTCAAGTGAACACCCAGGAGCGTGGGTATCGCGAGCAGACAAGTACTAGTTGGTATACTAGTCAAGTCAAGAATGCAGCGGACGATATCAATCGTGCTGGAAGTCATAGCAAGCAGCTGAGTGCAAATCCACCGAAGAAAAGCATGGAGATACCGACGCCAAAGGGCAACCAAGACAGCCCGGAATCATCTGGCAACTTTGAGATCACATCTTCCCTGGAAGATGCACTTATTCAAGCAGCTCACACTGAAGGTCCCAAGGAAGCAATGGTTGCAGAGGTCCAGTCGGAGTTTGGCTACTCACCTGATCTTGAGGATCAACTACCAGATTCCATATCACCAGCAAATGTTGAAGAATTTCACCCCCCTAGAGTGGAAACACCTGATGCTGGGACATCTTTGAAGACCAGAGGCTCTTCCGTCCTTCCGGATCAGAAGTCGTCTCGCGATGGGGACATCCCGCCCCCTTCCAAGAAAGCTAGAGTCATGACTGCTGAAGAGCATAATGCTCTTCTACTGGCTGACCCAAAAGTTCGAAAATCATCGACAGCAAATCCAGACTTTATCAGACAATACTATTCTGAGTCACGATTACACCACCTGTCGACATGGAAGGCTGAATTGAAATCACGGTTTCAACAAATGGCAGCGGAGAAGACGGCCTCCCAAAGAGCAGCTAAACGGAAACCAGGATCCAGACGCTACATCATGCATGTTGATTTCGATAGCTTCTTCTGTGCAGTATCGCTCAAGAGTGCGCCGGAATATGTTGATAAACCCGCTGTCGTTGCACATGGTAGCGGTACGGGATCTGAGATTGCAAGCTGCAATTATCCCGCTCGCGCTTTTGGTGTCAAGAATGGCATGTGGATGAAACAGGCATTAAAGCTCTGTCCTGGAATTAAAGTCCTTCCCTACGATTTTCCAGCCTACGAGGAGGCTAGCAAGGGATTCTACGAAGCTATTCTGGATGTCGGAGGTATTGTTCAAAGCGTCAGTGTCGATGAGGCTTTAGTTGATATCACCGCATTATGTCTACCTGCTGGTGGTTCTGATGGAGTTGGGATCCGGGAAGGGAGCATCTGGAGGGAACAAGAAAAGGCGGATGAGATCGCCAATGGACTTCGGAAACGTATCAAACAGAAGACTGGATGTGAAGTTTCCATAGGCATTGGAGGCAATATTCTTCTCGCAAAGGTCGCTCTTCGAAAAGCCAAGCCTGCAGGTCAATATCAGGTCAAGCCTGAAGAAGTGATAAACCTTATTGGTGAACTTGCTGTCCAGGATCTACCTGGAGTTGCTTACAGTATCGGAGCCAAGTTAGAGGAGATTGGTATCAAATTTGTTAAGGATGTTCGCCAATTAACGAAAGAACGTTTGGTGACCGTTTTGGGACCAAAGACTGGCGAGAAGATATGGGATTACTCTCGAGGAATAGATAAAACCGAAGTCGGAGAGCAAGTAGCTCGAAAATCAGTGTCTGCAGAAGTTAATTGGGGCATACGATTTATTTCTCAGCCTGAAGCCGAAGAGTTTGTGCAAAATCTCTGTGTTGAGTTACAGCGACGTCTCCACGAGCAGAAAGTCAAGGGGCGCCAGTTCACGATGAAGATTATGAAGAAGGCCGCAGATGCACCTTTGGATCCACCAAAGCACTTGGGCCATGGAAAGTGTGACAGCTACAGCAAAAGCATAGTCTTGGGGGTCCCTTCAAATAGTGCAGAGGTGATGGGACGGGAGGCAGTTTCGATCCTCCGAAGCTACGGTTTCTCACCTGGTGAACTTAGAGGTCTGGGTGTTCAGATGACGAAGCTTGAACCTATGAAGGCGAGTGATGGACTGGCAGATGGAAGTCAGAGAAGGATTGATTTTGGTAAATCCGTCGCACCTAAACCGGCAAAACAGGCAGTCGAGGATCCTATTGATGATCCACAAACACCAAAGAAACCCAGAGTTACTTGGAACACGGAGAGATCGCAAGATCCGGAAGACCCAATCGATGACTCCACTCCTCAGAAGTCAAAGGCTGTTGCGTCACATCTTCTGGAGGGCGACGATCCAATCGACGACATAGACAGTCCGAAAAAGACAAAAGCCACTCCGGTACACCCTGCAGCGGCTATTGCAAGAGCAAATGCCTCTGATCAGAGTGCGAAGAAGTTGAACCTCACTGGGAGTCAGTTTATCCTTCCAAGTCAGGTCGATCCCACGGTATTGGCGGAGCTGCCGCAAGATATCAGATCCAAGCTCGTGGCACAGAGCAAAAACAAGCCATCCTCAAAAATTCACACGCCTACTATCAAATCAAGATCTGGGAGTCCAGCGACCAACTCAAGACAAAGTCCAGCCCCCCAGAACGTGTCATTACCACCTGATTTCGACCCGGAGGTATTTGAAGCACTACCTGAGGACGTCAAAGCCGAAGTCCTAGCATCCTACTCTGCTCAAGAACCCCCAGTTCGAGAAGCCGCTGCTCGAGCACAAACACTCCTCCCGCAGTCACCACGGAAATCCAAGCCCCTCCCGGCGCCCAAACGGACCCCGACGAAAAAGCGCGGGCGCCCGATCGGCAGCAGGAACAAAAAAGAAGATTCCTCGTCCACACTCACACAATCCAACTTCGCCCTCCCCAAGCCCGCCGCCCACCCCATCTCCGAGTCCGAAGACACCGCCGATGCGCTGGATCCTGAGTTCCTCGCTGCCCTACCCGAAGAGATGCGTCTCGAGATCCTCGCCGAGCACCGACGGACGCGGCTCGCGAAACGCGGCGGCCTCGTCACCGCGACGACGAAGAAGCGGCGTCCTCCCGATCCGCCACCCGTCGGGCAGCGGAAATTACGCTTACCGCCAAAAGAACCAAGACCGACGTTCACGACGAAGGATCTTTGGAGGGAGAGCGAACTGATGGAGGCGGTGCGCATGTGGCATGGGGAGTTCCGGGAGGAGGGTCCGCATGTGGACGATGTGAAGGCGTTGGAGAGGTATCTGAGGAGGGTGGTGGTGGATGAGAGGGATCTGGCGAAGGTGAGGGCTGTGGTTCGGTGGTTGGCGTGGCTCGTTGAGGAAGAGGAGGATGGGCAGGGGAAGAAGTTGTGGAGGGAGGGGCTGGGAGAGATTAAGGAGTGTGTACAAATGGCCGTGAAAGAGAGAGGTCTGGGAGCTTTAGATCTGTAGCATTTCCCGCGGCGTTTTAATGAGCTACGATACACGACTAAGAATACCATTTCAAGTATAATCGATGTGTGCCCCTATGGCACCTGTCTGTCCTGAACCGCGTTGGTACTGAATGCCTCCCCCTCAAGAAATCCGGTACCGGTCCTGGAAACAAGAACTCCTGGTATTCTCCAGGTCTCGAAAGCAAATGTCCCAATTGTCCCTTCCATGCAACCCGATACCCAGGAATAGAAGTAAAAACCTATCGTCCTCGCTCGGATCCATTCCACCCTTCTTCCTATCTCAAACAGCACCCCCAACAGCAACCGCCAGCGCCACACCCAACGCCAACCAACAACCCCAACGGCCACGAAACCCCTTCTCTTGGACCGCCGCCGCATTCCGGCGTCCGCCTTTCGTCTGATAAACATTGACATGTAGCGCGCCGCCACAGATCAGGGACCCATTGCCCACGCACGGCATATCGCACAGCTCCTCTCGCACCGGCATGTTCTTGAGAGAGAAGAAATCGGAGCAGTAGCATTCCCTATTCGTCAAAGGGTTGGTCAGACGCTGCAACAGAGAGGGGGAGAGGGAAAGGGGGGCAGGGAAAAGGTGGAGGAGACGAACTGAGCGTATTCCACGCCGGCGAATTTGAAGAAATTACTAAAGCAGAATGCTAGGCACATAGGCACTGTCATTCCTGGGAGTGCCTCGTCAATGCCACCGCTTAGGATGCGTGGTCCGATTTCTTGGGGTGAGGTTTCGTTGTAGCAGCCGATGTAGTCCCATTTCTTGGTCGATGGGTAAGTGACTGCTTGCTCGGCGGAAAGAGGGAGGATGAGAAGCGTGGAGAGGAAAAGGAATAGAGACAGTGGGGTCATGGTGATGGATTGAAGAGAATAGAGTGGATTAAGTATCTTATGTTTTTTCTCAATGGAATTGCCACTTCGGTAGTGATACGTGGAGGGGAAGCCCGGACGTGTGTGGATTGATATGTAAACATTGTACCTATATCTAACCATGTGTAGGAGGTAGGTGCTAGGTAGTAGGTAGTCCCGGTCAAGGTTTCCCCGTGCAACGCCTCAGTACACCAGGAAATGTATGGATAGCACTGGCAATATATACAATGCTCCTACCCCGCGCTGACACTGACTACCCAAGATTGCCACACCAGCATGGAATAGTGTTCGCAAAGGGGTAGAAGGCTATGGCTTTTGAATCTGAGAGACATGTTTGCGATATGGCTATAAGTAAACATGACCAGCAGAACAGACAGACCTCTAAACATCCGTTATCTGGATTTATTATTGACCTCCATTTCTGTGATGCAGACTCCTGTCGCGCATGCTTTCGGCCGCTACACAGCGCACTGATTGATTTCTTTACTGTAGTGCGGGCAAACTTCAGCGCTGCACTTGCCCAGCGTACTCTTCAGCTAACAGAACTGCGCTTTCTCTGGGGCGAGCAAGGTTCCTTAATACCTTGCTCAACTTCCTCATGAAGTTCCGGACCAGGAAGGGTCGAAGAGTATTATTCCATGGAAAACTATCCCCTTTCATAGTATCCTTGACCCGTTGACTGTTGGCTAAGAGCTCCAAATCCAACGGAATGGATAGCGACACTGGTCGTCTAGCGGCGTAGATGAAAGCAGGTAATGTGATGACTTCGTGGAGAGACTATGGAGATACCTTCTACATGTATAGAGAGATCTGAGATCATTGATTATTCGAACGGTTCACAAGGTAGAAAGAAAGGAGAGAAAGCCGAAAATCAGGTCGACTTAATTATGTCTCTATGTACCCGTCTCTTACTCGGCGCGCTTGTCAAAAGACGTCGTACAGCTACCTTAGACTAGAATATTCACGCCTCTGAATGAACGGCGTTCGTTCAGAAGCAGGGTGGCTCTAAGATGACTTCTCTTGCAATATTTTCTCGGATTCTGTCCAGACACGTAGACGCGTCGGACGTGTAGAAGTTCAACTGACTCGTCTCACTCCGGATCAACGGAAAATTCCCATCGAGTGACTTTGTAATATCGAAGTCTTCTATTGGCAAGGGAATAAAGCAAATTACTTGACCAATATATTCTACTTCTTCAACTAAAAACTTATAGGATAGTTCTATACGATTTTCCTTGGAATTTTATTCGGGTTCCATCCCTGTGGCTTATGTAATGCAGCACCTAGAAAGACAGTAGATGCTGAAAATATTCCCTCTGATTTGGATTGGTTATATATAATCCTGGAATTATTTTTATGATTGAATTCTCAAGTACGAAGGTTTGCATTCATGGGAATTTAGTTTGTTAATCTATTGCACTATATAGTTCGTCAGAATAGGTAGGTAGGTCATGGAGATGTTGACGAGGTATATCGCTTGAGTACGGAGCAGGGAATCCGCCCCGCTGGTCTCGACGATCCTTTCCACTGCACATCGGTGCGAATAGAGGCAGAGGCGCTTCTAGATCTCGACTCGGATCTGATGGACGGGAATTGCTAGTCACGGACTCAACTATTTCCGGAGAGCGTTTGATGCAAGTCGTCGATGCTCGTGCAGGTATCCGCCGGTGAGGCAGGTCGTTGGCCTTGAAATGTAGTCGCGGGTGCGGACGCTGGAGCTGGCCACGGCCTACAGACAGAGAGGGACTGATGCTTCGCTGCGCTGCCTTGGCTGAGTCCTGAGGCCGTCCGATGGATCAATTCCGAACCTCTGGACATCTGATACTCCCAAGAATCAAGACCCTTTGAGCTCCCTTTGGGGCCTCTGATATGCCTGAGATGACCAACAACGGCTCTTCTCACAGTTGCATTCAGCCTGTTGTTAGAACTTGGCAGTGCGGGACACCTTTCGGCCCTTCCCCCAAAGCCACCTTCTCCTCACTCTTGCGGAGGTGGTGCTCAAAGCGACTTTTCCTCCATCTCCAGCGCCGCCCCGCAAATACGACGTTATCTTGCCTGACCCAGGTGTTGTCAGTCTCGGTGACAGCTGTGTGGAGGGAAGGATCGGCAGGGCCAGAAACTCGTCGCCCATGCAGACTGATCGGACGTCCCAACGTCGGCCTCGCCCATGTATGTATGATGTATGGAGTATTCCTTATGGACCCAGTGCCGGCGAGGGGAGGGGCCCGCCAACTGCCAAGCTGGTTCACGAGCCCCGCAGAGCTCAACTAGGAGGGGTCCTCGTTGAGCTGCAGCTCCCACCATCATCATACATAGCGGTATACCGTGATACCGTGATACCGTGATACCGCTGTGCATCGTGGAGCTGGGCGGGTCTAAAGCGTCTAAAGGAACTCAAGGATCTAAAGGATCTAAAGAGCATCAAGTGATGATATTACTGTCCCGGCCAGATGCTCGGTCCGACTACGACTGCGCTGCTCGCTGTTTGTCCGCGTCCGTCCACAGAGAGAGGCCTGTTCTGCCATGGCTCCCCCCGGCTTCCCCACGGCCCCGCGGGCCTTTACCCCAGACCTTCAAGGTTCGGATCGTGACGGTGAGCGACGGCCTGCAGCAGAGAGCTAGATCCGTCCGATTTATTATTTCGTTTTATCATTTTGTTATTTTGACTGAAAAAAAGGAGTCTTGCAGTGACCCCTCCAACTGTTCTACAGCAGTGGGAAATACAAAGAATTACACCACACTATGAGTTAGACAGCAATTTTAAACCCCTTCTTTTTTCAGTATTAGCGCTGTCATTTTACTGTTTCTGTTAGGAATAGTGCCTGACGATCCCCCTTGTAAAGGGTACAAAATAACCGCGGGGTCCAGATCGCGAATATTGGTCTCTGACTATATTTGATTTTACCGCCCCAATGAGTAACATATCCAAGGAAGCGACTTGAGCACAAGCTTTTGAGTGGCTGCTAGCACTTTAAACTCAGCAGTTTAAAGGTTGAATCTGTAGAGTCCAGGATCCTCTCTTAGCTGCTTTTTGGCTACGATGGCTCTCGGTTCCGGCGAGAACTCATCGATCATAGCTCCCAGCTCCCATTCCTCCCCGTGCTGCTTGCTCTGTAAGTGGATGCATGTAAGCACATGCCGATGTCGCATTTCCTCCTTCATTGCTTGCTGCAAGAACAATAACCCCGATTGGATTGGGCTGTCCTATATCCTGGGTGACATAAATCCCCGGACTATATAGTTCTGTGTCTTCCTCCCCCGCAACACGTCGCGTCCTACCGTCGATCAATTGTTTCTCCTTCTTCTGCAGAACCAGGTGAAGGTTCTCTGCCATCATAATGCGGTTCACCTCCTCTTCTGTTGCAGCCATTGCTGCATTGACTGGACTTGCTTCCGCTCAGTATGATGGGGAGACATCACCCCCAAGCTACCCTTCTCCGTGGATGCGCGGTGGGAATGGCTGGCAAGACGCGTACGCGAAAGCACAGGAATTCGTGAGCCAACTCACCTTGCTCGAGAAGATCAATCTCACCACCGGTGTCGGTTGGGAAGGTCGACCCTGCGTTGGAAACACTGGATCGATTCCCCGACTCAACTTCCCTGGTAAGTGCTTTGCATGCCAACTTATGCAGTCGAAGCATTATGAATCTGACATTGACTACAGGACTTTGCTTGCAGGACTCCCCACTTGGAGTTCGTGACAGTAAGCATCCCCCGGTACGGTATCAGTTTTCGTTGGATTAACAAAACTATCAGCGGATTTCAACTCCGGCTTCCCCGCGGGTATCAATGCCGCAGCGACGTGGAGTACTCGTCTCATGAAAAATCGGGGGAATGCGATGGGCATGGAGCACCGTGGTAAGGGAGTCGACATGCAACTAGGGCCAGTCGCAGGACCACTTGGCAGAGTCCCTGAAGGAGGTCGCAATTGGGAAGGTAAGTCTGTCTTTTACATGTCGTGTGACTCCTGTCATCGCATCTCACACATACATAGGCTTCAGCCCTGATCCTGTTTTGACGGGTGTGGCTATTGCAGAGACCATTAAAGGTATCCAGGACGCTGGGGTCATTGCTTGTGCCAAGCACTTCATCGTGTACGAGCAGGAGCACTTCCGCCAGCCCGGCGCGACTAAATTTTCCTACTCGTCGAACCTTGATGATAAAACTATGCATGAGCTTTATCTATGGTATGTGGAACTCTCCAGGTGAATCAATTTTTCCTAACGTCTTCACAGGCCTTTCGCAGATGCTGTTCGTGCCGGTGTTGGCGCTGTCATGTGCTCCTACAACCAAATCAACAACAGTTACTCGGCCCAGAATAGCTACATCCTCAATCATCTACTCAAGAATGAGCTCGATTTCCAGGGCCCTGGTATCTCACCCCCTGCCCTGTTATACCAATCCAATACTAATATCATCTAGTGGTCAGTGATTGGTGGGCACAACTCACCGGTGTTGCGAGTGCCTTGGCTGGTCTTGGTAAGCTATTCAGAGATCAATTTCAGATTAGAGTCTAATTAGCGCAGACATGACCATGGCTGGAGACCAGGGTCTCGCATCTGGAGATAGCTTCTGGGGTTCGAATTTAACGGCAGCCGTCTTGAATGGAACCATCCCCCAATGGCGACTTGACGACATGGTTGTCCGAATCATGTCTGCCTACTTCAAGGTTGGAAGAGATACTGCCCGAGTCCCTATCAATTTCAGCTCATGGACCTTGGAAACCGATGGTTATGCTTACCCGGAGGCAAACGAAGATTACACTCAGGTTAACTGGCATGTTAATGTTCAGGGTGACCACGCCGCACTCATTCGTGAGATTGGTGGGGCCTCAACAGTCCTCCTGAAGAACACTAACAATGTTCTTCCACTCAAAAAACCGAAGAGCATTGCAATTATTGGCGAGGATGCTCATGACAATCCTGGTGGGCCAAACGCATGTGGCGACAGAGGTTGTGATACCGGAACCCTTGCGATGGGATGGGGTAGTGGGACGGCGAATTTCCCCTACCTGATTTCTCCCGTTACTGCTCTTAGGGCCCAGGCCGCAAAGGACAAGACCAGTTTTGCAAATGTCAGCAATAACTATGATCTTGAAGCCATAGCTGCTGCCGCCACTGGCGCGGAGGTTGCTATTGTCTTCGCCAACGCAGACAGTGGTGAAGGTTACATCACCGTGGATAACAACGAAGGTGATCGAAACAATCTCACTCTATGGGGTAATGGCGACGCGCTCATCTCATATGTCGCGTCGCTCAATCCAAATACTATCGTCGTCTTGCACACAGTGGGCGCTGTCATAGTTGAGGAGCATAAGAACAACCCAAATGTGACCGCCATTCTGTGGGCAGGTCTCCCAGGTCAAGAATCCGGAAACGCAATTACCGACGTTCTCTACGGCGACGTCAACCCACAAGCGAAGACAGTCTTCACCTGGGGTAAGAGCCGCGAGGACTATGGCGTAGACGTGTTGTATCAGGCCACCGAAGATCCGCCCCAGATCGATTTCACCGAAGGCGTCTTTATCGACTACCGCCACTTTGACGCTGCCGGTATTGAGCCCTCCTACGAATTTGGCTTCGGGCTTTCGTACACCAACTACTCGTACTCCAACCTGCAGATCCACAAGGAGAACCCGGGACCATACGAGCCCACTACCGGGATGACGAAGGCAGCACCGACATTCGGCACGATCGATTATGACCCCGCGCATGCTGAGTTTCCCCCAGGATTCCACGCCGTCCATGATTACGTGTACCCGTATCTCAGCGGCCCAGTCCCAACGGACCTCCCCCAAAACTGGCCCGCTGGTTCCCAAGATGGCAGTCCACAACCTCATCTCCCTGCTGGTGGATCAGGCGGCGGTAACAGACAACTCTACGATATCATGTACACTGTGTCCGCTACCGTGACCAACATCGGCCACGTGAAAGGCACTGAGATCGCTCAACTGGTATGTACACACACGCTCCAATTCCCTCCCTCCTTGCTCTCTCTCTCCATCACACAACAAACGCTTACTCATTAATCCCATAATAGTACATCTCTCTAGGGGGGCCCACCGATCCCAAAGTCGTCCTCCGCGGCTTTGACGACCTGATCCTCGACCCTGGCGAGTCGGAAACCTTCACGTACCAGATCACTCGCCGCGACATCTCGAACTGGGACCCCGTGGCGCAGGACTGGTTCATCAGCGAGTATCCCAAGACCGTGTATGTAGGAGCCAGCTCGCGGAACCTGCCGCTAAGCGCCACTCTGCCGTAGGCAGGCTGGCAGCTCAGGGAAAACTGAGCGAGCGTGCTTGGGTTAGGGGTGAAGAGCTATAGATACCTAGGTAGGTACATAACATAAATAAGAAAGTTAAATGAATAATTAAAAACGGTTATTCAAGCGGAGAACCGCCTGGGAGTGAGTGATAGTGCGTCGGTTGAAGAGATCCATTCATTGTTCAACTTTTATCTTATGCCAGGAATGTATTCGAGGCTTAGCGTATATGTACGTTGTGATAAGTGTGTACAGCGCTTAGACCACTATCTAATTGCCAAGGTCTATATATATATATATCACTTATAAGGCTAGATAGGTACATCTATCTATCTACTCGTCTTCACACCTTTGATTGGCTGACCGACTTAACAAGTGCTCACCTATATACATACCAACCAAGCATAGTACTAGACGTCTCAAGTCTCTCTAATAACTGAGTGTAGTAATATAGGCATTATTTATTCAATTTCCTCAAAACATAAACAACCTCGTCAACGGTCAGCTAGTAAGTAATTCATATTCCATAGCCAACCAGCCAGACTGAGCCAGTATTTCTTGAGAACCTCAAATCACTACTAGCTAACATTTTATCTAGAGCAAGATTGCAAACCTGCCCTGCCTCGAGGCTCACAAACTTCTACTAGCTCGCCGGAACCGGCTTTAGAAATGGCGGGTTGGTTGGTATCTCTTATCGGAAAGTAGGTAGATATAGTAGCTGTCCCTGAAGGAGAAGATATTACTACCTAGTCTTCTGATTTAATCGCGTCGTTTAATGGGAACCAGATAGTAGCTTGCTGCTAGATGTCAGCGTCTACTCCTCTAGCGACTCAGAGCATTGGTTCAAATATCTGACTCTTTGAGCCTGATGTTGCTTCCGATATGTGTGGCCGTGATCAACACGCAGAGCAGTCGATGCTGGTCCAAGCTAGCGACCCCCACCACGGATGGATTGCTGGTAGTCGAAATTCCATTCCCACCAAATTTGCCATCGAGAAAGTCTTTGAGAGAATCATGGGCGAGGGACCGTTTGATGACGAAGAACAAGAAGGCCAGTGGTGGCAGCAACTGCTATTAGTTCCGGCAGTAACAGGTATGCTCCTCCGTCAACAGAACCGCCGTCGATGGAAGCCGGCCGCGTTGGCACATATGTTTGCCCGTCTGCCTGGACTCCAGGAAATTCATTACGAGCCTTGGAGGAAATGGTTCCATGCTCAGCAACAGTGGACGGACCGAGGTGAGTGCCACTGCGTCAGTTCATCGTTCTCCGCCACTTCTGTGTTCCAGTTACACTATTGGCTGCTGATGACCTGCTAATACTGTTGTTCTTTGTAGCTTTACGACTTCTTTTTGAATCGCTCTCTTCCGATCGACTACGGAGACTCGTACTCTTCGAGAATTTCGACCAAACGTACCCAGCTAGCTACATGAATATGGGCGGTGACCCTATGCGAATCCCATCCTCTCATGTTAGCCGGGCGGTTGCTAACGCCAGTCTCACGCTTGAACACCTCTCGGCGTCGTTCATAGTGGACGCTAGCCATTTTTTGATGCTCGAGAACTTTCCTGGAAGTGGCCCAACTTAACTTGGCTTGCGCTGACTTCACGACTGCTCGTGCCACAGGAGCGCCCGACGGAGTTGGATGACATGCTCCGGGCAGCAGCAGCAGCGGCCATGAAAATGCCAAATCTTGAAACAATGGAAATATGGAACGGAGAAAAGGGATTGGCGATGCTCTTCAGGTACCAGCGAGCTGAGCAAGGGCAACCTGCTGTATTAACCTGGAGAGGAACATGGGAACTGACCCTGCGACCTCTCGTGATCCAGGCTTGGGACTCCGTAGCACTGAGGCATCGCGGCCAAGGACATGTTATTGTCAAGGAGTTGCTGAATGCTGGTGCTTGTGTCAAGTCTCATGGTGATGCCATACGCCATTTGAAACTGTCAAGGCCGGTCATTCGCCCTGTCTCATTGCGGCAGATTCAGATGGAGCACATAATTCGAGAAGGAGTGCAAAGCTAATAGCCCAATATCTGCTACCAGTCTAGGAATATGCGGGATAGCTTACCCTGGAACATTTTCCTTGCTACAAGCACCAGCGAATTTCGAGGATCCAACACAACACAAGCCGAGGCTCAGCAAATTTTTGTAAGCGTAAACAGTGGGCAAAGCGCTCTATGAGCCCCCCTGAGAGATGTGATACATTCGACCCTAATGTTTCCTGCGACTCCTCCGCGCATTGGATTTAGTATCAACCTCGACAGTACTGGCAGTTCTTACCCGTACCCGACGAGTCTTCCTATGACCATGTACGTTAGAACCAACTTCTTCCCGAGCTTCTATTACAACCGACCCTGACAGCTGTTGTGGCTCAAGTGGAAGCGAAACATTTTTTGATGACTGTGGTGGAGTTATTGGATTGTGGATTAGAGCATCGGGAGATGCGTCTCCATTGTCCGCGGTTAGAATTGGCACAGAGAAGTCCTCATTGTTTGCCGCGGAACTCCTTCGGCATTCTCTTAATAATTGGTCAGTTGGATGCACCCCGTCGTCATAGGCATCGCAGTTGTCCTCATCTGGTGTAGCTGACAAGAGAGCAACGGAATCATTCGATGTTTGCTGCAAAGATATTAAAACGTTAGGCGAAGTTTGTGTATTTTCCGTATTCGCATATGCCCACAATGCATCTTTCCTTTTAGTTGCCCACTGGTAACCAATATCTTGAGCATTCCTAGTATGCCTGTATGCGGTTTGAAAGTTTTCGAATGAAGCACGAGGGTTATCGCAATTGAGTAGATATTGATGATACTCGACAGCAGTTGCGGTCTCAGTAGCTGCCTCTGCATTGCCTCTTCCATTGCCAGCCAAATCATAGGTCGTTGGGTGCGACGGTGTAGGAATCCGTACCGCGTGATGGCCATAGAAGTTAAGGATCTCACCATTGAATGCGACTGTGAGCGCCTGCGTTTTACCATAAAAATTGTCGTCGGACTTGCTTAGATATTTATGCTTAGCACGTGCTCCCTCCGTCATAAGCGCTCCATCATAAGCACATTGCAATTTTGCTTCCTTCGTATCTCCATTAGAACTCTTGAATTCAACAGCATAGGCCGGCATCGCCTCATTATATGAGGAAGGAGCAAGGTCTGCAGATAGAGCCTCGACCGCCCTTGGGGGGTAGTCAGTCTTGCGGTAGGACTCAACAATATCTGGTTGAGCATCACTAAGGCGTGTAGTAAGATGGTTATCCACTGCCGACCAGGCATGATTAGGTCTTTGGAAGTAGCCTGAAATTCCCCGCCCTGCAGTCCGTTTGGAAAGCAGAGGGTAGGCGGAAATTTCTACGGCAAGTTCGTTCTCATGATCCTCAGTAATTGTAAGATACTCTTTATAGGCCGATGGATCGGGTGGTTCAGACTCTCGTGGTTGGTCTAACAATTCTCTGACGTAGGCGACATCATCTGGAGCTCGTGCGTCGGAAGCAGCGTGAACGATGTTGTTTCGTTGCAGTTGTGGACCAAAATCCTTGTCAGTAGTAGTTGTTGCTGTAGAAGACGACCGGCCAGTAGACTTTCTCCCAGCAGACTTCCTTCCTCGTCCTCCCATTTTTTCCAATAACTTCATAGAGGTCTTTCGGCACCGTTCTCAATGGCTCTATCGGGTCCATCGTACGGAGCAGACATCATGCCTACCTGAGAGGGTCTGATATGGACCGGGCAGCGGCCGCTGAGCAGCTCGACGTTTACTGATCCGTGTAGAAGGTGGATTCATGGGGGGCAAAGGCAACTATGAGTAGAAGCGTGTGGTGTTGATGGGTTGGTGTTCATGAGGAGGTCCGGCCAAACCAGAGGCCCAAAAGTCAGAGCAAGGTGTGGCGGGATTTAATTTGCTGGCGTGCGGTGAAAGATACTGCATGCTCAAAAGCCAACTTTGCTCAAAAGCCAATCGGGCGTCGAAAGGTTTGGTCGATGGCGACACGACGAGGCGATTATGTAGTTGTAGTGTTCGCTGACGGGACGGGCACTATGCGATAGCAATCCCCCACCAACTCCGCGCGCCCCGTTAGCGGCATCGCTACTTTCCGGGGTATTATTGGCGGGGCACGAGCCGAAAGTCCAACGACGGGGGTCTGGAGGGGATCAGGGGATACTGGGAGCTCGTGAGACTGAAAGACTGGATGGGAGAACAAGACAATTCGTCGTAGGTGGACCATGGATCATGGGTATAGGTGGATGATATTTACTCTGGGTCTGTATCGAGATTCGAGGATATCGAGTAGTATTGATGCGGTACTATCCCCCTGGGATAGTATGTCTTTCTCTGCGGTTCTTCCCTGTTGCTATCCCGTATATATATGAATGAAGGATTGACAACTACGTTAGGTAAGTATAATGACCATCCTTTCAAATAACATAGTCAATTATCAGGACAGTGGCTCTTGGGTACTTGCGTCGATTCTCATCTATCAACCTGCGATATTTAATTTTTTCAACATTTCGTCCGTACTTGGGCCTACATTGACCTTTTGCGCATCTTTGCCCTCGACATGTCCATCTGGTTGCGCTACCACAGCGGCAGCGGCAGCGGCTTTCCTTGCTGCTGCAGCTGCTGCCCGTTTCTCCGGGTCTCCCTTGTCTTTGACCTTCTTCACTTTCACAGCAGCCTTCTCAGGGGGATAGGCTTGTAGTGCGATTTCTTGCCATTCTGGAGACGCTGTGTACTCAGCTTGGATTGGCTTGAGGAGCTCATTGAGGTGCTGTGTCAAGGCAGCTTTTAGTAATTGCGGCGTGAGCTGTAGGAAGTTAGTGAGGAGTCACGTGAGTGGATTGAAAACACTTACAATATCCGCGATATAATCCTCCTTCAACTTTGCAACGCTTGTGTAGACTAATGGTTCCTGGTCCTTCCTTTGTACGATGAAAGCCGGCTCCTTATCAACTTTCAGTGCCAAGGCTCTGAAGATGACATGCTCGACGAACGCGATGACCCCGTTCCCTTCTACCTCCTTTGGCACACACTTCGCCTTCTTCAGCTTCTTCTCGACCGCTTCCGGTGTATCTAAAAGATCTATCTTCGAGTCCGGGTCACTCGCACTCATCTTTGAAGCCTCTCCTAATCCGGGTACCATCGTGTTCATCAGATGCGCCCTGACCTTGTAACCGATCGTTGGTAGGTTCTCCATTGCAAATGTGAAGATCTTCCGCTGATCTACTCCACCGAATTGAGCGTCCACATCCAAATACTCCTCGTCTAATGCCTGCATCAGAGGGTAGATCAAGCCTCCCAGTGTTGGGTCATCAGTCTGCTTCACCACTTCCGCACCAGCCTTCTTTGCAACATTAATCCTCGTAACCCCCTCTAATTTGAACCTGTCCATAGTGTAATTCTTCTCTAGCTGGTAGGAACTCCCTAGCACAAACTCCAAGCGGCTGATATCAACACCCACGGCCCGCAAAGTGGCCTTGACAACTTGCTCGTAGTACTTCGCTCGGAATGCGACGAGTTCGAGAGGGGCTTTCATGTTGTCGAGGTAGGCATGAATATCTGCGAGGAGGATCTTGACATGGCAGCCAGCAGCCAGGAGCTCTGCGATCTTCATCATGGGGACAAAGTAGCTAGACAAGGCGTTAATAGAGTTTAATCCTTATTGAAGAAGGGCCTTTTTTCACCCACCCGCAATGGGGACGTCCCGTCGTTGCGGTACCCCAGTAGACCTTCAACGGGCGTTTCTGATTGAGGATTACATCGTCGATGATTTCGGGGTTGAGGACTTCGGCGAGGTTGGCTTTAATGAGGGAGATTGACTCCTCAGGGCTTAATTTCGAAGCCATCTTGGAGACTTTTGGAAAAGGAATAACTAGAGGACGTCGATCCGTTGACGCATAAAAGAGCGGAAGTCCTTGGAGAGTTTTGGAGAAGAATAACTGAAGGATGTTGACCTGTTGACTCACGGAGGAGAGGAGCGGAAATTCTTGGTGGGGGTTCTTGGTGGGTTGTTTGCGCCTAAGGCAACAAGGTCACAACTCCAGCTGGTTGACGATTGGCACGTGATATAGACTTTAACGACATCTCCTTTCTCTCGCCGCATCCCACTGTGATGTGCAGGAGAACCGGCGATATTTCTATATTTACACTATGTTGCACTATGGCAGCCCATCACTGTGATCCCTCACCCCCCAACTTCCCACAATACCCATAGCTTTCTCATCGCCATTCTCAACTCTTCCGTCCTGCAACACCTCGGCCAAACATTTCCATGGATCCCTGCTTCCACCCCATTTCAAAACGCTCTCTTTCATCCTCTCACCAGCTTCCCTATCAATGCTCTTGGATCCCTGTCCCTTCTCGAATACCACTTCCCATATGCGTTTCGCCAACACCCGATCAAAGAGATAGCTGTAGTACGAACTTCCATAACCAAACAAATGCCCAAAGAAACCCTGCCAGCAGGTCCCTGGAGGGTCAGCAGGAAGGACCCCATGCTCGTGCTGGAGAGAGTGATATATCTGCGTGCTATCGAAAGAGGCAGATAGGGGGAGGGTGGAATGATAAGCCTGATCAACCATCGAGAGTAAAATTTGGTTTTCATTGTCAGAGCCTTCGAATTTCTTATCCAAGGCAAGTCTTTCTGCTACCATTTCATATGGTAATGGTTGATCTGTTTCATAGTGTCGTGCGAAAAGGGCTAGGACTGATGGATCGGCAGCGAAATGCTCCATGAGTACGGAAGGCAGTTCAGCGAAATCTGTAGCGCAGCGAGTGCCAGCGACGTTTTGGAGGGAGGTTCGGCCGAGAATCGAATGGATTGCATGGCCCATTTCGTGGAAGAGAGTGCTGACTTCTAAGAAGTTTAGCAGTGATGGCTGTTTGCCGTTGGAACCAGTTGCGAAGTTGCAAATGAGAGCTATCGTTGGCAATTGTTTCAGGATGCCGGAGGTCTTGGAAGTTGCCATGCCGTCACTGGCAGACTCTTCGGGTGTCGCGAAGAGGGGATTATGCAAGGCCGCAGCTTCCTCGAGTTCCTGATCAGTGATTTCACGTGAACAGCGGAGTGTGAAATGCGCTGGGTTTGGTGATTTGCCAGGACGCGCAAAGAGATCGCAGTAGAGGACTGCAACATGCCCGTCTGTTTCTGATACAACGTCAAGGCGTCGGACATCAGGATTCCACGTCTCGCCTGGCGTCGTCTCGCGAGGAACGAATCTAACACCATAAAGGCGTGTGAACAACCTTGATAATCCTTGCATGACCGTACCAAGAGAAAAGTACGCTGAGAGGAAATCGGGATTCCGTGATTTCGACCGTGCCATAGAGAGAACCCGCGCCTGGTAATATTCTTTATCCCATGGTTGAAGAACTGGAGTCATAGCATTAGGATTTGCCATTTTGGCCTTCAGAAGCTCTGCCATCTCCATCTTTACTACAGGTCTATTGTCTTTCGACAATGCTTGCAGGAATTGGTTGACCGATTCTGGCGATTTTGCCATTTTGTCCCCAAGGGCTAAGTGGGCGTAGCTATCAAACTTTGCTAGCTTGGCCAATTCTGCTCTCTTTCTCAACAGTGTCTGTAGCCTTTCCAAGCTGGCGCGAGAGGAAGTTCGGGAGGCCATGAAAATCTCTTTCCTAACCTCCTCATCTTGAACAGAGCGTAGAGCAGCGATCGAAGGATAACCAAGGGTTGGTATATTGACCTGACCCCATTGAGTATATTTCCGTGCGAGCATAGGATCCATTCCTTGCAGCTTGCTGCTTTGAAAGGTCAAATACTCCTTCTCTGGTGCCATATAATCCACGAAGTCTTGGCCAACCTCGCTAATCTCCTGCGAAAGGGTTACAAAACGTTCCCTTTGTGATCGAGGCAGATCAATGGCTGATTTGCTAAAGTCTCTCTTCAAAATTTCTGCTACTGCAAGCTCTTCTTCGCTCCAACCAGACACAACTTCCGGTGTATTCATAGCAATATTTAGTTGAGTATCCAGCCCCTGAGTCGTATTCAAAACATTCATATACTCAAACATCATGGCATATGCTCTCGTAGCAGCTGCTTGTATCTTCGCGTCCGGATGTGTAGCTCGCACGAAGTCCGACAGGTCAATGACCCGACACAACAAGTCACTGAGTCTATCCAGTTTCCGCGCAACCTGCCTGTATTCATCCACTGAGGATGCACTCAGCACCTCCTCCACCATTCTCTGTGCCTTCCTCAAAGTCGTATTCGCGAACTCTTCGAAACCTCGAGGTTCCGTGAGGTATCGGTTTTTGAACAGCCCACTAGTTTCGCTATTATGCCCGTACTTGGAGGAATGTGAGAAATCCTTCCATACATTGGGCGAATCGAAGATCTGCCGTAAAGTCCTGTCATCGTGCTGGGCTCCAGGAGCTGCATTGTCGATAAGGACGGGTCTAGGTTCGTAGTACCGTGAAGTGGAAGTAGCAAAGCGCCGTGCTACATTGCTCTGCCGCTGGATGCATTTCGAGCATGTCCATGGTCGAGATATGGAGCTTTTGAACATCCTCCCACCGTATGGACTTCTCTCCTATATGTACAGAGGTTGGCGTTACTGGACAGCGGGATTGTCATCGCATGGAAGCTTTATGAAGTTCTCTGAGCCGCTTATGCAAGCTTGCATTAAAACACGCGACATCGCAAGCTTAATCGACCTCGGGACTTCACACCTCAACACCACTCAATTGCGCCTCCACATCAGCACCAATTGGGACATGGCTTCAAGATTCGTTCTGCGGCAGGTAAGATTATTGCTCACTTCAATTGACTACCGACTGACATTCCTCCAGCGCCTCGCGCCCGCAGCTGCCACTGCATTCGTTGCCGGCTTAACACTCTTCCCCAAGACAGCCCTTCATGCAGAAGCTCCGGAAGGATCAGAGGTACGTCTTGCGGCATTCTGGATCTCCAAGAAAAATATGCGCTGACTCCCCCCAAAGCCGAAAAAGCCCATTTACGATGACTACGATGTTGAACCCTCCTCCCCGTCAACACCCTCCAGCCAAACAGAGGTCCCCGCCAAATCGCCGACACCTACAGACCGTCTGGCCAAGCAGATCGGAAAGACTCGTCTCTTCCTGTACGGTCACGTTTCTGCCGCGGAAAACAAGATCAACGAGATAATGGACTCTGCCTTCAATCTCGAATCGAGCTTCGTAAGCACCGTCGCTTCCTTAGCACCACCTCCTCAATCCGGCGAAAAGTTAATGCCAGGATCACTCTATGTTCTTGTTGCTGCTATGACGGGGAGCATTGTGACGAGAAACCGGAACATTGTGTTGAGGGCTGCTCTTCCTCTGGCTGTCGGTATTGGCGCTGGATGGGTTGTGCTGCCAATTACGATGCGGAACATCTCGGATCTGCTATGGAAATATGAGGAACGATTCCCGGCTATTGCCGATGGACATATCAGAACCAGAGAGGGTATCGAGAAGGCTTGGAGTATGGCAAAGCTTCATTCTCAACTGGCCGTTAATGCTGTGGATGAAAAGGTTACTTCGGGTAGAGAAGCGGTAGAGGGATGGGTCAAAAAGGGCAAATGAATGGGGTCTTGTTAGCATTCAAGACACCATTTTTCGTAGATTACTATACTTTGTATAAACAATAGAAATTTCCTGCGTTCACCCCATAGCCAAGCGGACTGGGTGGTCTTCTATCAACAGCACTCAATCGCGCGCCTAGACTCGCCAATTCGAATGCATGTCCTCGTTTTCAAAATGTTTGCTATATACGGCAAGCCCCTCTCATGTCTGGCTGATATGGGTCGCATAACATCAATCCATCTGAAATTCTTCCTCTCGTCATTTAGTCCACTTTCCTCTCTTCTCGACACGCATATTTGACTGATGAAAGTTCATTCAGCCCTCAGTTATATAAATTCCATACCATTCTACTTTGTCTAATGGATCAAGTGTACTGCAAAAAGAATCCGGAAACTCGCAGAGGCATGACCTGCACACAAGATCACAGTCGTCCAGGAGCGACGTGTTAGGGAAAAGAAGAGGTGGAGGGCGGGGTGACACGAATGCTTTCTACTATCACACAGAACTTCGCAAATTAGTCATGCAGTCATATGGTACGATAGAACACGGAGCTTGAGGAATGATTGCGCGAGGGAATAGAGTTACTATCAAAGACATGGGCAGAAGGCGTCAATGGGTATCAAACAAATGAATAGACTCGCTACCGGTAAGTTCAGGTATTTACAGGTGTCAACATCAGCAGCTGGCTCTCCCCTTCATCTAGAGTAGCGTTGAAAGAGCTGTTGAAAACCCCCAAGTCAGCACCCGTCCAAACATTACTGATATGATAAGAACCCTGTATCCCGAGATCTGCCCATGACACCTTCACCCCTTGCGGTCCGCTGTACGTGGTCCCGAAACCCCCTTGGCCTTGGTCCGGTCCATAATTCGCAAGCACCACAACAGCAGTCCCATTATCACTAGGCCCCGCAATCCAAGCTTGCAGCTGCTGAGACTTGTTCTGCCCGGTTCCCGGATTGCGGGGCTGCATAGGATACTGGGCGGTAAACTGAGCGACGTTTAGGGCATTGGGGGCGCTCAGTAATCGTATGCCTAAAGCGTCGAGTTTGGTCATGTCGGATCCAGATATGAGATTCGCGCCAGCACCGATCCAGTGAGTGGCTATTGTCTCTCTCATACTGTCTGACACTCCTGTTATGCTCTGGTTGTTGCCGACGTAAAGATTATCCAAATCTGGATGAATCGTCAAGGTGGGTTGATCGCTGGCTGCAACCACTCCGCTGATGAAGTCGCGGTAGTTTTCAATGGCGCGTTGAACGGTCTTCCATGCAACGAAGCTCGAACTACCGCTGTTATTGATGTCTTGATCAGTACGCATGGAATCGGCGTTCGCTTCCCATATATCTAGGTATGTTGAATTGCGCTCCAGTTTCCAGGATATGTCTAGACGCATCGCTCCACCAAATCCCTTGATTGCATTGTGGTACGCTATCACGGACCCGGAATTGTTAGCTGGGAGATGTCCCCCGTTATCTGGTGATCCGGGGGTTACATAGTCCAGCTTTATGAGATCCACGCCCCTTTTGCAGTGTCAGCTATGTTGCAAACTAAAGCTAGATGTTACTACGTACCATACAGCAAACAAACCGACAACGGAGTCGTGCCACTGCTGTACACCATCCTTCGAGAAATCAAAATCACACCTAGCAAATCCATCATTGTTTCCGCTGAATGTGGCATTGATAGGTATATTGGTGCCATATATCATCTTGTCGCCATCATTGCAAAATGCACCAGGCAAGATGTATACGCCAAGTTTGAGGTTTTTGGAATGAAGGTACGACGCTAGAGTCGAGATGTTGAATATGCTCGAGTCGTAAACAATGCGGCCGTACTCATCGCCATTTGCGCCGACGCTCCAGCCAGAATCCAGGGAGATGTAGTAGTCACCCGTATCGAAAATTGAAGAAGGCAGATTGGCAACAAGAGCATCGGCTTGCTCTGTAACATGCTCTTGGTCGAATTTAAACGACGGGTTGATAGAGGGATTGGCTTGGAGCCCAAACGAGTTCCAACCTCGCGGAGCATTGGAAAAGCCATTGGGCGTGTTGCCTGTCTTTACGACTTTTAGGGGCGTTGCTTGGCTGACCGCAAGACCAACCCAAAGGAGTGACAGAAGTACGGGCGCCATTCTTTTTGAAGAGAGAGACATCTAGGACGAGTGTTAGCAAGCTGATATACTATGACGTTTGGAGTTTTCAACTCCAACGGGGACAAACGAAACTGAATACGTTACATTTCCAAGAGGATTTTGTATAAAGCGTAACTCATGAAGAGCACAAAGCGCTTGATCATAAACTAAAATAAAGCAATGAGGTACAGACAGGGTATTTATAAGAGGGTTATGAGGGGTATCTGATATGAACTCTACCTAGTCACTTGTCTTCGTGTGGCTCACCTCATCCTACGCTTTTTCATTACAGTACTGCGCTGCATTGGGAAATTCTCATCGCAGTTCTCGTCGTGTCCGTCAACACGTGGAAAAAAATTCTGATTGTATTCGACAATTACCCGGTAATAAATTGCCTGAATCCGGTGGAAGGAGTTGGTGGTTCATGCAGTGTGTTGGCCACGTGATAGATGTCACTGCAGGATCTGCAGGTGTATCAAGGGGTCTAGGCGTGAGGCAAAGCAAAGGGGTTTTGCCTATAGAAGAGACGAACTGAGGCATCGTTTCGCCAAATTGAACGCCGCCATCCTTCGGATACCCCGGACAGGGGGAGGCGCTCAACGAAGATGGTCTCCAGGCGTAAAGTACTGGCTCGCAACAAGGCTACCGCGGATCTGGAACAGAGGTAGAATCCATGGCCCGCCATGATACTGCAAAATGAAGTAATAGGAATGTAAATTATGGAAACTTTACTCCGTAGGATTAGTTTTCGTCTTGCATGTCGAGACTGAAGTATTTTCAACTACCAGACGAGAGGCAAGTTCGATAGTCTGTGACGCGACCTTGTAGTTCTTGCTAGAAGTTGTCGGTAAATGGCAGATAATCATTCTCTCGAATATGCTGTCATGAATATCACTTAATATTTGGTTTAGATTTCAAAAGACGCCGATAAGGAGCAAGTAAAGATGAACGAGACACTCAACTGGAAGCTTCAATAATTTTCTAAAGAGTCATCTGCGGTTAAAAGTTGGGTGAATCACATCTCTTGACTAGTCCGCAGATCTCAGCTATCATGGTCACCACTAAGTTCGGTAATTCGTCCATTGTGTAGAAAATCTGATACTATAAATATCTGCGGAAACTTGGGTTACCCTGAACCCATCGCGCTCATACTATGAATGGAATGCTTTCCATTCTCTAACCAGCGCATAAAAATATGTAATGCAGGCCCGACTGGGACCTTTGTGTATGCATAATCCCCACCAACTCCCAGGAAATGCATTTACCATAACTTTTGCTTGGGTATCCAACTGCCTAGAGGGTAAAGTCAAACTCCTTGAACGCCGCTTTGAAAGCCTCGATATCCCGCTTCTCTTCTTCTTCGGTTTGGGAACAATCTCTCCACTGAATCCGTTTCTCAAGACCAAGCAACTTTGCCAGGACGGTTCTACCAAACTGCAAAGAGAATCTAAGACTCTCGTCAAAGGGCATAATCAGGCATTTCGTACTACCGTCGCCAGCCTCCTCACTGGGCGGAGTCCAAATCCATAGTCGGAAGAAGTCACCCTCACCCTGACCAATTCCAGGATCTCGAACTTCGAATGGAGGGTACTTAAGATTCTCAGATTCAACACGGAAAGCGGCTTCAACCAGGCCTTTACGAATCAAATCTTCGGGTATCGGAATAAATTGCCAGTGAGTATGGACACCGTTGCCTTTGCTGATTTCGTAAGTGACAGCACCGAGCTTGTTGCCACTTGCTTTGGCGATCATCTTCTCCAATGCAACCCTGAACCTATTCATTTCTGCAAATGTCTTCTCCGTGGCGTTATCGTCATCGGGGATCAGAGCGAGCGTTGGTGAATGCGTAAGAGGAATGATAAGTGCATGGCCTGGATAATTGACACCCAATTCTGCATAGGTCTCAGAAGTGGTTAAGGGGCCCTTGGCAATTGTGAGGTAGGAATCCTCTCCAATCGACGAAATCAAATGTGTTGCGAGATTTGGATTTGATAGACAAAAGAAGCATTCGCCAGGGCCTGGTGGGGGTTGTCTTTGGCCCCTATGACCTTTACCTCGTTTACGTTGATAGCCGCGGTCATCGTTATGAGAGTAACGAGAATATGGTTCTGGATCAAGAGCCTTGCGCTTCTTCGAAAACAGAGGAGATGCGGTCGTACCAACCGGCAAAGGCGCCGTGGGATCAGCTGAAGCCGGAAGAGAAAACGCATACAAGGCCTTTTGCTTTGATGCATTTCCATAAGGTGCGAGAGAAATGAAGCGGGTCAAGGGTTTGATATCCGGTGCATCTTGAGTTGGATTATGAAAAAAGGGCTCTCTTTCAAAGAAGAAATCGGATGAGGAAAAGTGATAGCGAGGTTTAAGAGTAGCACAGAGATCAGAAATATGCTCCTGACCAAGCGGTGCCGTTACCCCATCGGGGAGAGGAATTCTAGACCCCTTTGTTATCGAAGCAGGCCATGTTGTCGTGAGCAGAATGTCTGCAGAGTTGGCGCCGTGCAGGGCCTTTGCGTCTCCAATGGTATGAAAAGGAAGGTACTGTTCTTTGGAAAGGCCTCCAACAATAGTTTCGTCGAGTTGTCCTCCGAGCGCAACGATCCTGATACCCTCAGAAGTCTTTGTGATGCTGCGCTTGCCGAGAAAATGGAGATTTGGGCAGATCTTCGTATCAATTAGCAAATTTTCCCTAAGTAGTTGGCCAAATAAGTTGGAATACCTCTTCATCTTTGTCAATCTTTTCAATTATTCGCTGCGGTAGAGGAGTCGAGCCGACGGTAAAATATGTAGGTAGGGGAATAGTAATGTTGCCGGAGAGAAGATTTGCTACATCATCGTTGTCCTCTGAAAATAAATTGCCGCAGACCAGAGCAAGTGAGAAGTTGTTTTTTGCATGCAAGGCCGATATCTTGGTGAATGCAGGCTGTAGTTGGCCATTGACGTCGCCGAGAACTATGCTATTCCAAGATGTCAGCTCCGCTATCTATTCGAGGCAAAGATTTGGTGAGGTGGGTTATAGAGGATATAAATGGTGAGAGACAGAGAAAGACAACATGTACTCACATCTTGGACGCCATCTCGTGGCAGAGTCAATTCGCGAGAAATGATGAAATCGATGTTGTCGCGTGGATAGTTGACGCGCCGGCGAGGTTTTCTTTTTCCATATCGCCAAAACCCAGGTACCTAAGATAGACAAGGCTGGGCTAGACCTGACTTGGCTTAGTCACGTGCCGATAAGAAAATACCGAGTGAAATAATTTTCGATTTCTCTTTCGAGGGTTTTGATAGGAGCTCACCACGCACTCGGAAGCTCTCGTGAGCTTTCAATACTTTCAAAATGCCGGTCGCATCTTCTGGGAGGATTGTAAAGACACGGAAGATCAAGAAGGGGACTCCTCATCAGAAGAACCATCGCTGGGAGTCCTTTACAGCGAAAATATCGAAGCTTAGCTCTCTCGACCCTATTCGCAGAGTCCGCCGCCATGATATCGACGCCGAAGATATTTCTACGAACACATCATACCTCAAGGCGGGATTGGAGAAATGGCAGGAACTCAATCTGTCCGATGGGTTCATTACCTTCTCCAATGAAATCGCGCCGATGTGCGACACCCTACCAGAAATTCTACATTTCGAAGACAAGATAGCTGAAATCTTGTTCGCATACATTGATAGAAGGGAAAGAGTGTCCTTGGAGCCTCTATTGGAGTTGATGACAGATTTTGCACATGATCTAGGAACCAGATTCGAAAAGCATTATGCAAAAGCGCTGGAGTTGGTCACATCGATTGCTGGCACGTCGCAAGATGTCGAGGTCATCGAGTGGAGCTTTACATGTTTGACATTCATGTTCAAGTACCTGTCAAAACTCTTGGTACCAGACCTGCGACCTACCTACGATTTGATTTCCCCTCTTCTTGGAAAGCATCGCCAAAAACCACACATTGCACGGTTCGCGGCTGAAGCAATGAGCTTTCTGGTGAAGAAAGCCGGGGCCCCCGCACACCGAGAAAAGGCACTACCCTTGATTGTCATACATGCAAAAAAAGACCTCCAGAGTATCTCGGACACTAAACAATCCGGGCTCTATTTCCATGGGCTGATGACACTGTTTGCTGAGGCAATGAAAGGAAATGGACTGAGTGTCCATACTTCTGGCCCCGCTATATTCAGATCACTTTTCTTAGCACTCGATGCGGAGGATTTCAATTCAAAAGACAGTTCATCTTGGATGAGTTTAATTGGTGGTGTTCTGACCAGCATAATACACCACACAAGCTCGGACACCTTCAAGGATATTATCGAGGTTGTCTTGGAACGGTCGAATGCAGTAGTGGATTCATTTACAGAGCTGAAAAATGATTTGGAACTACGCCGACTGCTCTTATCTGCTCGCACATTAGGAATCGCGGCAGGAGTTCGAAAAGGAACTCGAATCAGTGACTGGCCAGCCCTCCTCAAGAGCATGTCCTGTATTCTGCGGGCCATTTCGACGAATGCTAGTACGGTGCTCAAACATGACCAGGATTCTGATTTATGGAACTCCCTTATTTTGAGTGTTTCAATCGCTCTGCAATATGCCCCCATGGATGCCATGGTCCCTTTCATCTCAACATTTATGGACTCTTTAACTAAGGATCCACTGGCGAAGTGGTTTTTAACTTTCTGTTCATACATTTCTGAAGCAGAACCGGAACGCTTTCGTAGCATAGTATTGGCATATTTTCAAAGGTACGTAGTCCTATTATTTATGTGTTTTAGTGTACTAAGAGATTAATACAGATTTGTTATTGCACACTGGTCAGATGCAGATAACGGAGATACGCTATGTGTGTTGTTGCCCAAGATGGTGTCATCTGGAGTACTTCCCAGCAGTTACGGCAAGGATGGTTTTACATTGCCTCAATCCTGGCAGGATCAAATTGTGAGTAAATTTGAGAGGCTCGAGGTACAACCTTTTCCAGAACAGGCCTCAACTGCAGTGTATGACCGAAGTCCGAAGACATGGCATGATAGATGCCTGCCGAAGTATAATGCTCTCCTCGAGGTTTTGGAATGCACCATAGTCCACCCGTCAACGAATGCTAGAATAGCGGAAATCATTCTCCGCAAACTCAAACTAGCGTTAAGGCCTTCTTCCTCGCTCGCACCAGAAGAAGCTAATTTCATCGTTGGTCGAGGATTTACTGCTTTTTCAAGGATGATCAAAGGAGCAGTCGAAGCCGACAAGGCACTGAAACCATTGCTTCGTGCAGCTGCTCCTAGATATGCTCGCTTGCCCAATTTTCTGGAAGCATTACTATCGTATGAGACGAGCCTCAAATCATCGCCAATCCCTGCAGTAGGCAAGTCAAAGATGGATACGGAGGTAGACGGCGACTCGCTGATTCCCTCTTTGGTCTCGAATCTGTCAACTGGGTCCCATGATCTCCGCCTGCTGTCATTACGCCTATTAGAACACATTCATGGTGCTGAGCATGGGTCGACTTCGGAGGCCTTGACTGTCATGATCATGGTAGAGCAAACTCCACTTGATCTCCAGACTGCCCGTTCTGCTTCGATGCATATTCGCAAGCTTGCAACAATGTATCCTCATCAGCAGGTTGGGTGGTTGAAACGAGCTATTCCGTCATTCTGTTTTGGGATGTTTACGGTTAAATTAGCCCAGATCTGGGACGACGCCAGCGCTGCACTGAAGGACATAGCAGAGTCAAAGGACGGCGAAGAAGCTGTTGCAGAGCTCGCGTTCCAATGGCTAGAATCGCCATCACTCAGATGGGACGGTCCAGCCAGAAACATTGAGCAGTCGCATAATAACGGTTTGACAGATTTTGAATGCTCAAATTTGTTGAAACTGGATCAGCTTGCAAAAGATGCTGAGTTAAGTGTCTCCAACGCTCGAGACACCATGTTGAAAAAGTTTGAAGTTGCTCAACAATTAGTCGATCCCCAGCCATCTTCAGCGAGGGCACAGGCACTTCGCGTTCTTACTGCAGTCCCCAGCATTGCAGAAAAGCGATCTCGCAAGCTGGTTCCAATGTTCCTCTCATGGGCCAGTAAGCATGGGGAAGCGGCGGAACCGAGTGATGACGAACAGGAACCTGCTTCTAGCGATTGGACAAGAAAAGATCAAAAGGCTCAGCTCGATTTATTTGGCGCATTCGTAAATCCCAAGTCACTATACAGATCGAACGAGGTGTATGATGCTCTCCTGCAATTACTGGCCAATGGAGATATTGAAATACAGAAATCCGCCCTCAAAGGCATTTTTGCATGGAAGAACAGCAATATCAAACCGTACGAAGAGAACTTGCTTAATTTGCTAGACGAAGCGCGGTTTAAGGAGGAGATTGGTATTATATTGCAAGGGCAGACGCTGGTTCAAGCAGAGCATCGACCAGATCTCATGCCTGTACTTCTCAGGCTCTTGTACGGGCGAGCGATCTCCCGGAAGGGTGCTGCGAGCGGTAGACAAGGCATGGAAGCTCGAAGATCGACCGTGTTGCGCAATCTTGGAATTGAAGATATTGGAGGTTTCTTGGATATAGCACTTGGAGATCTGAAGGACATTGGTCTGACCAAAGATGGCCGTTTTCAAGAGTCTGTGCTTGAAAGGGACATCTTGAGTGCCAGAAAACAGGTTGGTTTCACCAACATGATTGAAGGTGCTTTGAAAGAGCTCGGGACCAAAGTAGCCCCCTTTGCTCGGAAGCTGCTAGAAGCCGTGCTTTACTGCGCCGTATATTCATCTCGGCGACTGCAGAACGAGCTTGACGATGATGAAGATGAGGGCGTTCAGGCAAGCCAAACTTCATTGCTCAAAGTCGTCCGTCAGACCAGCTTGAAGTGTTTGATTCTTCTTTTTACCAGTGCTGAAAACTTTGATTGGTCTCCATACATCAACATTGTCATCGACGAAGTTGTCCTTCCAAGGCTGGATAATCTACCAATTGAGACAGCACAGGGAATATCTGGTATTCTTCGGCTGTTCTTCACCTGGTCAGCTTCGCCAGAAACTGTCCTCTTCCTTGGCAGGAACTCTCAGATTCTCCCCAAAATCGCAGAATGCGTTGCCCCGCAGAAATCGAAAGACGAAGTTAGGGTATTCGCATTAAGTATCATCAGAAACGTTCTGAAACAGTCTCGTGTAGATGCCGAGGATGGCATTGCTTTTCATGTCAAGAACGATCTTCTCACACCCAACTTGGATCATTTCTTAACCCAAATTGGTGGTGTACTCCGAAGTCATCACGATACCAGCAAATCTTTGCTTGAGAGTTGTGTCGAGACTGTGTCTGAGCTGGCACCATTTGTCTCCACATCGACCCAAGCTCATAACTTGGTTGACGTTTCGATATTCCTACTCGACCAGCCTTCAAGACGGGTGAATCCCAAAACAAAGAGTGGCCTTCTCCTAGTTCTGGAGCACTTTGTGCCACTATATGATCTACAAAATGATTCGGAGCTGAAGGATAGAATGTACAACACTGTGACTTCACTGTTTGGATTCTTTAAGGATAAAGACAGCCGAGAAGTGCTATCGCGAGTTCTGATGGTATATTCCCAAAAGGATCCAGTTATCAGCGAAATTGCCGCACTATGTGTTGATCTCAATTCATTTGTTGCTGGCCGTCTTGATGAACCCGACTACGATCGGCGACTGAAAGCATTCAATGCCATCAACGCTCCAAGAGACCTGCCGTTTACGGCTCGTCAATGGAGCCCACTATTGTTCAACATGCTATACTATATCAAACGTGATGAGGAGTATGGAATACTCTCTTCGAACTCATCTGATAGTATCTGCCAATTCATCAACACTGCTGCGAATGCTGAAGGAGACACTGAGAAGCAAACGTTCGAAGGTATCCTGTCGACAATCCTGATTCCTGCAATCTTTTCAGGGGTACGAGAACCATCCGAAATCATTCGCCGAGAGTATGTGAAGGTCATGGCTCATCTAGTTCGAACATTTCCCACATGGTCAGAAGTTAACGATATGCATGGCCTGCTCGCTGGGGACGATGAACTAGAATCTTCCTTCTTTAACAATATCTTAACCGCAGCCAAAGGGCGACAGTCTAGCGCGCTTGGCCAGGTATCTGCCGCCGCGGAGAAGGGTCAACTGAGCAGCAAAAATGTCAGCCATTTCTTCATCCCACTCATTGAACACTTTATTCTTGACCGGGCGGAGGGCAATGAAGCTCATAACCTTGCCGCGGAGGCGACTGTCACAGTTGGTGTATTAGCCGGCTCGTTAGAATGGCCTCAGTATCGTGCTATGCTTAGACGATTCATTGGATACGTTGAGAGCAAGCCCGATCTCGAGAAGCAAATCATTCGACTCTTGGGTAAAATCATCGATGCACTTGCCCTCGCTGCCAAAGATGCAAACACTGATGATACGGAATCGCCTTCGAAAAACAGAGGTGCTTTGGCCATGAGCATGCCCAAGCAGCTAAAGCTGGCGGACGATCTTACCTCAAATATCCTACCACCACTAACCGCCTATCTTCACGACAAAGATGAGTCGAAAGTCAGCCTTCGTGTTCCAGTTGCTGTAATCGTTGTGAGGCTTCTCAAACTGCTGCCAGAAGAACAGTTGAATGAACGACTCCCGCCAGTCCTAACAGATATCTGTCACATCCTTCGAAGCAAAGCCCAAGAATCTCGTGATATGGCTCGGGATACCTTGACCAAGATCTGTGTTCTGCTCGGGCCATCGTGTTTTGGATTTGTTCTCAAAGAATTGCGTGGCGCTTTGGCGAGGGGTTATCAACTTCACGTGCTCTCGTACACCATGCATTCCCTTCTTGTAGCTGCAACACCCGAGTACGCTCCCGGAGACTTGGATTACTGTTTACCATCTATCGTGGCTATCATCATGGATGATATATTTGGAGTGACTGGGCAAGAGAAAGACGCTGAAGAATATGTCAGCAAGATGAAAGAAGTCAAAAGTAGCAAGAGCCACGATTCGATGGAGCTGATTGCTAGAACCGCAACTTTGAGTCGGTTGACCGATCTTGTCAGACCGATACAAGTCTTGTTGAAGGAGAAGCTCAACTTAAAGATGGTTCGGAAAATAGACGAACTTCTCAACCGAATCAGCTCTGGCCTTCTCAAGAATTCCGCAGCTCAGAGTCGAGATAGTTTAATCTTCTGCTATGAAGTCATCCAGGACGTCTACAATAGCGACAAGCCCCAGCAGAAGGCCAAGGAGGATTATCGACTCAAAAAGTATCTCATCCAAAAGGGAGCAAAGAAGAGTGGCGAGAACAGGGGCAGTACTAGTGTCTACACCTATAAGTTAGTCCGGTTCGCTTTCGATGTTTTACGCTCAGTCCTAAAGAAGTACGACAATCTTCGAACAGCAAGCAATTTGACCGGGTTTATCCCGATACTTGGAGATGCCGTCGTTCAAGCTGAGGATGAGATCAAAGTTGCCGCATTCAAACTGCTTACCACGATCGTCAAAGTACCTATGAAGGCAGCCAACGATGGGACGAATCTCTACAGAATCGCTGCTGCGGAAGCCACCAGAAGTTTCATGAGATCTTCAGAGACAACTTCAGATATTTCTCAGGCCGCCTTGAAATTTATTTCAGTGGTTCTTCGAGACCGCCGAGATGTGCCAATCAAAGATACTGCAGTCGATGAGCTTCTCGTCAGACTCAAAGACGACTTGACTGAGCCTGATCGCCGGCATGTAACGTTCAACTTTCTCAGAGCAGTTATGGACTCTAAAGTTGAAACAGCCATCGTCTACGACACTCTCGACTACGTAGGCACTGTCATGGTGACTAATAGCGACAAAGATACCCGTGACCTAGCTCGAGGCGCGTACTTCCAGTTCTTGCGCGAGTACCCGCAGAAGAGGAGCCGCTGGACCAAACAACTCGGCTTCATTGTCGCGAATCTCAAATATGAGCAAGAGGGCGGTCGTCTCTCAATCCTCGAAGTCATCCATCTCCTGCTCTCCAAATCATCCCAGGAATACGTACAAGAGGTCTCGGCTACTTGTTTCGTACCACTTATATTCGTATTGGCCAATGATGACAGTGAGAAATGCCGTATGGCTGCTGGGGAGGTTATCAAAGAGATCTTCAGAGAAGCCGACAAGGAACGAATGAGCACTTTTCTCACTCTCTTGCGGTCCTGGATCAAGCAGTCTGATAATCCCTCAGTGGTCCGCCTAGCGTTGCAAACTTACGGATTCTATTACGAATCCCAAACTACGGACGATTCTGATCTTACGATGTTATTGGAATGCATACAAAGCACTGTTGACACCGCAGAAGACTCGGGTTCGGATTGGGAGCAGATCTTCGCCGCACTCCAACTTTCTTCTATCCTCGTCCAGAAATTCCCCGAAAAGCTCCTTTCGTCCTCCACCGCCTCTCTCTGGCCAAGTGTTCGGAAATGCCTGTCCTATCCACACGCCTGGGTCAAAGAATCAGCCGCCAAACTTACCGGAGTTTACTTCGCTGATTTTGCACGAAATAACGCTGATACTTCTCTTGAAGGTCTTCCTCTCAAAAACGACAGGGGCTTAAAGCTGAAAGGAGATGATATTTCAGAGTTGATTAGAAGGTCCGCGAACATGTTCAAAACTCCCGCATTGAGCTCTAATCTCGCTCAAGAAATCGTCAAGAACTTATTCTTCCTCGGCCTTGTTGCCGGAGCCAACAACTTATTCTTCAAATATTCTCAGGATACCGCAGAGTCAGGTGATGATGAGGAAGCTGAGGATGAGGTAGCCGAGAAGAAAACTGCGCTTCAGTATCTCTTTGGAAGACTGAGTACTATTCTAAGGAGGGAAACCTCTCCGCCCCGTGCCCCTGGTCTCATACCGAAGACAGCCGCGCTGTCGCTTCTCGAACGCCTCGTATCCAAGCTCCCCTCGGACACCCTTGCCCCGTGTCTTCAAACAATTCTCCTCCCTCTCCACAATTTAACTGATCCTTCGATCCCAACTCCATACTCTACAGATGAGCTCTTCCGGTCTGGTTACGAAACTCTGAAGTCTGACGCGGAAGCATTGATGGAGGATTTAAAGAAAAAGTTTGGAACAAAGGACTTTAGTGAAGCGATGATCAGGGTTAGAGAGGGGGTTAAGGCGAGGAGGCAAGCAAGAACTGGGAAGAGAAGGATTGATGCTGTGGCTCAGCCTGAGAAATACGGGGAACAGAAGAGGAGAAAAGGGGAACGAAAGAAAGAACGTCGGAAGGAGAAGGGACAGGAACATGGGAAGCGGAGGAGGGAATATTGATTGCTACGTAGTAGTGCATTGCTTGGTGTTTTGGTATGGAAAATTTGATAAAGGGGTAACCCCCGGAGCGGGACATGGATTTCGAAAATTTCAATGCGAAGATACCTCGAAAAGTTGGATCTTGATGAGAGTCGCTACCATGGGAGTGTTACATATATACACATATATATTTTCTTTGCAGCATCGAGATACATACAGCCCAAGACCTCTTTTACTAAGTATTCGTATAAGTTATTCCCGAAACTCCTCTATACCATGCCGCTAAATCCACCTTGTACCCAAATCATATATTATACAATATGTTCCATCATCCCGTCGCCCTTCCGTTAGGGACCCGACACGAAGTCACTTCTCGTCTTGGAGGGCGACTCCAGGTATGGCATGGAGCACTGGAATATGGTAATTCCCATCATTCAAGTTTCCCCTGCCCCTCGGTCCCCGCCGCAGCAACATCATCCTCTTTCTTCGCCCTCTTCGTCGTCGTCCCATCCTCCCAGAACTCCAAATCTCCATCCTCGCTCAACGTCCCCTTCTTAACTAGTTGACCCCGTTCCTTCATCAAATCCTCAATCGTCATCTTCTTATTCCCAAAAATCTATTTCCTCGTCAGCAACCTAATTCCTGATCTGCAAATCCCTGTCAGGGAGAGATAGAATGTGCTTACATTCAGATGGTCGCTAATGACATGCCGATTCCTACAACCGGGACAGGCGATTAAGACAGATCCATGATGATAGCCCTGTTTTGAGATCCGATGCGTGCTTCGTGTGCCGCAGGGTGTGCAGGTGAAGGTCAGGTCGTAGGAGGGTTGGGGTGCACGTTCGGGGGTAGGTGGCTGAGGGCCTTCGGGCTCCTCTACGAGACGGGATTTCTGTGGTTGTCCGGGAGCAGGGTCTGAAGCGGAATTGAAGCGTTGAAAGGATGAGGAGAACGGTCTGAACTGCGAGCGTTGGGCTCGGAGGAGGCGAGGCTGAATGGAGAGACTTCGAGGAGTGGCATGGGAAAGTCGAGAGAGAGAGCGCAGAGAAGAAAATTGGGCACGCATTGTTCGCATTTTGAAAGCTGCTCTCAATAAATTGGGAGAGAAGAAATGGGAGATACGAGGATGAAGGATCTATACAAAGTAGCTCGAATACAGAGTGTACGATAGACAATTATCTCGAAATCGGATATAGATGCGGCGAAAGCTAAATCCACTAGTCCCAAAATGCTGTAGTTTCCGACTCCCGGAAAAATAAATCGCCGCGATCATATACAAATGGAGAATTGATTGGACTTTCCAGTCAAGTTCCCCTCTATACTGTACCCGAACCCCCCTCGCCGCCACTTTCAGAGACATTGCTTCTCTTTCGCCATAAAAACAGCGCAAGCTCTCGAGAAGCAAAGCAGTCGATACATCTGCTTTTGAACTGAATTTATCCAACACAACGCCTATCCACCCCTGAAGCCAAAAGCGCGAAATGGAACCGGGCAGAGCCTTGTAGCCCGGTGCAAGAATTCGAAAGTTACGCATTGTTTGGGGTCTTGTTGCATGGAACTTGCTGGGGGTTTGTGACGAACACCAAGGTTTTGGAAAGAATCTGAAAGGGAAAGATGATCTCGGGGCGTGGTAGAGGGAAGATTAGGCCGCCGAGGAGGGTGGGTTCTCCGCGTCTCTTTCTATCGTCCACTTCTGCACATCCAGTTTCTTAATCCGATCGACACCGAGTGCACATAGAAACGTCTGTCTCTACAGTATTACAGAATTACCACCAGGTCTCTCTTTCATCTGGCGGCGTGCTGTATATGAATGCCATATAGAGACTCTGTACGGTAGTGAACGTGGAAGACGGCTAGTTCTGTGATAGTCAAAATCGCAGCTCTGGATCACAGTTCTTGATGCGGCGCCTGGGAGATCATGGCTACATGGAACCTGTTCAGTGGCGCCCTGGGATGCGTGATTCCTCTGAGCCAGCCGCAATCCTCCGTATTTTACCTTTATCCAAAGCAGCCCTCCCTCTGTCCTAGTCTTCGCAAAATTCGGTCTGATCATGGCTAACTTCTGTTACTAGGGGCTGGGAGGTAATGCAGATAGTAGCGACTTCGATGCGATGTGGGATATCCTGCGGTCAGCACTCCGCGAGATCCACGAGAAGAATGCGTCAAAGCTCTCCTTCGAACAGCTATACCGCGCCTCCTATAAGATTGTTCTGAAAAAGCAAGGCGACAAGCTTTACGACCGTGTCAAAGAATACGAGGAACAATGGTTCGGGTCCCAAGTGATGCCAGCGATCCGCAAGCTCATTACCAATAACCTTATTAATACCACTGTGGGAGGTGGAGTCGCTGGGACAACTGCGAATGAGCGGCGTATCACCGGCGAGGAATTCCTGAAGGGTCTGAAAGCATCATGGGAGGATCACAATACGGTCATGAATATGACTACCGATGTCTTGATGTATATGGATCGAGTATACTGCGCCGATAACAGAAAACCGTCCATCTTCACCACAGCCATGGGCCTCTTCCGTGATCACATCCTACGCTCTCGACTGGTATCTGCCGATTCCGAGCTCACCACTTTCGATATTCTCAATTCGGTTATCTTAGATCAAATTTATATGGAAAGAGGAGGAGATGTGATCAATAGGCATCTTATCCGATCCTGCGTATACATGCTTGAAGGTCTCTACGAAACAGATGAGGAGAACGAGCACGAAAAGCTCTATCTCACTGTCTTCGAAATCGAATTCCTGAAAGCCAGCAGGATATTCTATCAAAATGAAAGTGCCAATCTCCTTCGAGAAGCAGATGCAAGCACGTGGTTGCGCCAAACAAAGAGACGATTTGCGGAGGAGGAGGCTCGATGCCAGACCACCATCTCCCTTCTCACAGCGCCCAAGATTGCGAGAGTCTTAGAGGACACGATGATTCGGGAGCACCTGCAGGATTTTCTTGCTATGGAGGGCAGTGGCATCAAGGCTATGATCGAAAATGATCGCTACGCAGACCTAACGCTACTCTACCAACACATCTCACGGGTGGACCCGTCAAAAGAGCCTCTCAAAAATGCGTTGCAGACTCGTGTGGTTGATCTCGGATCAGAAATCAACAAAACAATTCTCAACACCGACTTTTCCGCTGCTCCCGAGCCCCAACCCGAGGAAGGAGAGGCGGCCGCCGAAGGCAATGAGAAGCCAAAAGCTACGAAGCTCAGTGCCGCGGCGAGACAAACTGCGGCGGCAATTAAATGGGTTGATCTAGTTTTGCAGCTGAAGGATAAATTCGATAATATGTGGAAGAAGTGCTTCGACGAAGACCTCATTTTACAAACTGCTCTCACGAAGAGTTTCTCAGATTTCATCAACCTCTTCCCGCGGTGCTCGGAATACGTCTCCCTTTTCATTGATGATAATCTCAAACGCGGAATCAAGGGCAAGACGGAAACAGAGATCGATGAGGTCCTTGATAAGGCCACGATGTTACTACGATATATTCAGGACAAGGATATGTTTGAGCGATACTACAAGAAGCATCTAGCTCGGAGACTATTGCACGACAAATCAGAGAGCGCCGATGTAGAGAAGCAGATGATCTCAAGGATGAAGCTGGAAATCGGTAACTCATTCACCAACAAGCTGGAAGGGATGTTCAAGGATATGGCCATGTCAGATGACCTAACTGCTGCATATCGGACCCATATCTCTAATTTGGGTGATATTGACCTCAAACAAATTGATCTTGGTGCGAGAATCTTGACTTCAAATTATTGGCCAATGGAATCGATGGGTGGCGGAGCCACTATCGGTGAGGACGGCAACCGCCAAACATGCACATGGCCATCGGAAATCCAAGCGTTGCAAGATTCATTCAAGGCATTCTATCTCAGGGAGAGGAACGGCAGAATGCTGACGTGGCTCGGCTTCCTGGGTAGTGCAGACATCCGTTGTATTTTCCCAAAAATCCCCGGGAAGGAGGGCGTACTCGGTAGAGAACGACGGCATGAGATCAATGTTCCAACATACGGCATGGTGGTCTTGCTCCTTTTCAACGACCTCGCTGATGGAGAGTATCTATCCTTCGAGGAGATCCAACAACGGACCAATATCCCTCAACAAAACCTCATCCACATCCTCCATACTCTTGCTGTCCTCCCAAAATGCCGAGTTTTAAGAAAACACCCCGCGAATAAAGATCCGCCTAAGCCAGGTGATAAATTCTGCTTCAATGAAAGTTTCACGTCCAAGTCCGTCAAAATTAAGGCTCCGGTTATATCTGGCTCTGTCAACAAGGTCGAGGGTGAGGAGGAGCGCAAGGATACTGAGGATAGGAATGATGAGCATCGCGGCAATGTCATTGATACCGTCATTGTGCGGATTATGAAGTTGGTTTCCCTACCCCGTACCCCTTATTGAGCTCACTAACATGGCCGACACAGGGCACGTAAGGTATTCAGCCACCAGCAACTCTTTGCCGAAGTTATCTCCCAACTTTCGCAAAGATTCAAACCAGATCTTAGCATGATGAAACGGAGGGTGGAAAGTTTAATCGAGAGGGAATACCTTGAGAGGGTGGAGGATGCCAATACGCCAACATATCGGTACTTGGCTTAGGCCGTTATGGAGTGAAAGAACACGGCTATCAAATAAATAACGCTTTGGGGAATAAGGTGCTTGTATGAGAGCAAAAGAGCTGCTCAAATGATCTATGCATGGTTTGCTGGAGGGCCTTTATGGCGGTTGGATGGCGTACTGGTGTAGATGGATGGTCTTGACATGGCCTGGAGTCTGCGCAATCATGATGGGTGGGTAGACCGGGACTAGAAATCTCTAGGTCTGATATTAGAAAACCATGTGTATCCCTCTGAAACATAATTGCTGGTGGTTGAGATTGTGAATCAGCGCCCTCTCTTTCGTATTTGTTTAGATCTGACTGGCGCTCTATACTACTTGTAATAACAATGAGACCGTGAGAAATAACCCAAAACTTAATCTAGAACAGTACAATTGATCAATCACTTGAATGAAAATCGGTGACTTCTATTGTATAATGTTCTATTTATTACAGAATGTCCGGCTCTCAAGTCATCATGTGCACAAATGCCCCAATAAAACAGGTCATTGCTGGAATATCAATCAATATCATCCTCGCAGTATGAAGCTTCAACCATGACCTTGCTTCGCCCTTTACTTTCTCTGGAGGTCCATAGATGATTTTCTCAATTATTTTTGCAACCTATCCATTGCCCCGTCAGCTATCTTTTCGGCAATCCTTATCTACTCGGGCCCCGCCTCCGCAGACCCCCCATAATACCGAGTGTGTTTATACGTATAGTAATCATATGAAACGCCAACTAAAACTTACCGTAGGTCCAAACGCGTAATGCCCGAGGGTAAGTACTGTTCCCCATCCATACAAGGTCCTTGGAATACCAACGGCATTTTTCCACCCTAGAAAGCCCGTTGCAGCACTCAGCAGGCCAAAGCCTATCCATCCAGGCATTGTCTGGTACAAATAACTGTTCCAAAATGTTGAGATGGATTCTGGAGGCATGGCTGGCTGGAGAAGCGGGATTATGCTCCAATATTCGGTGAAGCAGAAGGTCACGGACGCGGTTGAGGAGAGGACAGGCACCAGCCGCAGGAGGCTTGTTGGTGGGACGGTGGTAGGTGATGACATTTTGGTTCAGAGCCAAAAGTATGGGCTGGGATTGTTTGCTATAGGTATAGGTAAAGAAAGGTACGCGAATTGAAGACTTAGGAGAAGGAATTCCCCAAGAAGCGGTGTATTTGAAGGTTGAAGGAAGTTGAGGTTCAACAGGGGATCTCGCATCACGTGACATAGGCCCCTCTCTTATCAGACGCGCTAAGACCTCGGCGCGACCGATAAGCGACTGATAAGGCGGCTAATCCGCGGGCGTTCCTGGAAAACTCTCGACCATCCGCCATCGCGACAAGACAGACGTCGAGTGAATCTCAGTCGCGCGTCTTTCTATTGTCCCCTTCCCATCCTATTGTCATTGTCTACAATGACAGCCAATCCAGGAACTCCCACATCCCACATTGCACTCTACATCTCGCTCTATTTCCTCTTCCTCCTTTGATTCTTTAATTCCTTGATTCCTTCTGCCTAAATCGCCAACATTCGGACACTGCGTCCAAAGACTCATCAACCTCGAGAGACTTTACCAGCAGTCATGGCTACTGCCGCAACAGCTCAGAGCGAGCCGTCTCTCAAGAGGCAGAGAATTGATCCAGCACCCACGGGAGAGCCGTCTCTCAAAAAGCAAAAGCTTGATTCAGCAATTGATCCGTCATTCGTATGAACCTCCCTGCGATATGCTTCCCTTGAGCCAATCCCCGAACTCATTCTAACGGGTCAACTTAGCAGGACCAGCCCACGGTAGAAGCCCCGGAAGCATCTATACTTACTCCCGGCGCCGTCGCAGACACGAGCTTTACCTTCACCCCCCCCAGTGTACGCCATTCCTCCTCCGATGCCACACAAGACTACATCCTCGACATTACCAAATACATCCCCGCAGGAAGCCTGCGAATCCAACGAAGCCAATGTGCTATCTCTTATGAGGTCTGGAAGTCCTGCGATTCCTGGGCCGCATTTGCTCACCCCCGCGATGTCTACAATACTCAGGGTGGAGAGTACTTGCTTAATAAGCTCCAAGAGCACTTGCTCAATTCACCAGTTCTACACCCATACAGAGGTCTTCTCAATTCGGGATGGATCCGCATGGAGTTCAAGTCGAAAGACCAGCACACTGGCCAAGTTCGAGTCTACCTCCTACCAGACGATGTGGGACGAGGCACAATTGATAGAGAGGTCACGTCTTTGCGCCGACCAATGCAGCAGCTGCTGACACAACTCGACATGTCAAAGTCCACATGGAAGGGAGAGTGGGATGAGAATACACCTATAGTACATGCTGATTCTTCTCTCGATGAAGAGGAGGGTGATAACGCCTCGCTCTTCCATATCTTCAACACTCTTCCATCGCCAAACCCAGATGCGGAGCTCGTCAATGACTACTACGCCAAAGATGCGATGTATAATATTCTTGACAGCAATATTCCAGGTTTGACTACCGAGCTATTTATGTACCAACGACGCTCAGCTGCAATGATGCTTCAACGCGAGGTACAGCCAGCCCAGCTTCTTGATCCGAGACTCCGACCAATGACCGACCAGAATGGTAGTAGCTTCTACTGTGACTTGGATGCCGGTTTTTGCGTGCGGGAGCCTCGCACTTATGAGTCTGCAAAGGGTGGCATTTGTGCCGAGACTATGGGTCTTGGAAAGACTTTGATTTGCTTAGCTCTCATTCTCGCGACCAGAGCGATGTCGTCTCAGATCCCAATCGAGTACTCAGTCGACACCATACCTGTTCGAAAAACTACAGGGTCCTTGCTAGATATGGCCGCTGCAGCCATTGGTCGAACTGGAACTCCTTGGCAGGATTACTTTGCTCGAAAGAAGGCAGAAGGCTATGAATTTTCTAAATGTCTTGACGCTATTCAGAGAGGAAAGGGCTATTACTTCATTCCGAGTCCCGTACGACGTCGAGAATCCCGCCACCCCGTCATTGTTCCACCCCGTAAAGTCTGGCTCACTACTGCAACCCTTGTGGTAGTTCCGGCTAATTTGGTCAAGCAATGGGTTTTTGAGATCAAGAAGCACACGGAAGGACTCAAGGTGCTTGTTATGGACAAGAATCAGGACCAACTCCCTCCAGCAGAGAAGTTGACCGAATATGATATTATTCTGTTCAGTAGACAGCGCTTTGATAAGGAAGCACAAGATGGGAGCGACAAACTTGGGCGACGTCTTACTAACACGTCGAAAGAGTGCCGTTGCCCATATATTGGAAGCACTAGGACTAGAGATTGTACTTGTTTCAGGGAGGAAGACGTGTATCGGTCACCTCTAAAGGATCTTCACTTCAAGCGATTGATCACCGACGAGGGTCACACATTTGGAAATACATCAAAAAGCTCAATCACGGAAGCTGCTACAGTTGTTCAGTTCCTACAGGTCTCAGCTCGCTGGATAGTATCTGGAACCCCTACTCAGGGACTTTATGGCGCGGAGGTCTGGATGGCTAACTCGGAAACCTCTTCGAACTGCAATTCTCCTGTCCGACCAAGCAACCCTAACAACCAATCCGGATTCGACTTGCAGAACAACCATACCGGAATTGTTCCAAACGTGGAAGACACAGAAAGCAACAATGAATTCTCCACGGAGCAGGAAAAGGCATTATACAAACAGGAACGCAAGGATCTCGAGAAGTTGGGCAACATTGCCACAATGTACTTGAAAGCTCGTCCATGGGCCAATAGCCCCGAGGACAATGATGTTGCAAATTGGTCACACCACATGATGCAGCCGCGCCATGGCTCGAAGAGCCGCGGTAATATGCATTGTTTGAGATCGACTTTGGAAGGCATGATCATTCGTCACAGACCAGAGGATGTTGAGAAAGATGTGGTCTTACCTCCTTTAAACCAGAGCATCGTATATCTCGATGGCTCCATTCAAGACAAGATGTCTTTGAACATGTTCTCGATGATGATCGTCTCCAATGCCGTTACTTCCGAGCGCAAGGACGCGGATTACTTGTTCCACCCCCGTCAGCGAGGAGCTTTGGATCTACTCGTGAAGAATCTACGCCAAGCTTCGTTCCACTGGTCTGGCTTTACTCTGGAAGATGTGAAAGTCACGACCGACATCGCAAAGGAATTCTTAAAGAATGGAAAAGTTCCTGTGAGCCCAGAGGATAAGACTCTGTTGGAGGAGGCTATTCAGGTTGGAGAAATGGTTCTTTTGAACAGGATCAGGAAGGCTACCAGCGAATGGCATGAAATGCCCATGTACATCCAGAACGAATGGCCGGAGGATCTTAGAGCTGCCTGGTCACTTGATGGTGATTCCGGAAACCCAACGTTGATGGGTGCCACGATGATCCATACATTGCAGAAAGCTGTCGGAGCTCGACTTTGTCAGGAAGATCCGATGGAAGGCCTCGTTGAAGCTGGAAGAACATCATTGAAAAGTGCATATCTGGCTGCAAACCCTAAGCCATACAACAGACCAGTTAGAAAGAGAAAGCGTGGCCAGGCTTCAACGAAGCCCCCAAAGAAGGCTGACCAGGGCCCGCCAGCCCTGGCCGGTGGTGTCACTGTTTCATCGGAGGATGGACCAAGTCCAAGGAAGCGAGCTCGAGCTTCATCACTTGGTGTCTCGAATCTTGGGTCTTCGCGCTTGACAGCGACGTCTGGTATGGATACGACCGAAGTTCTCTTTGCTTCTGATAGCTTGAGTGGGTCTCAAAACGATAATGAGAAGAAACAGGTTGATGCACAGCTCCAGCCTACCCTGAAACCAAAGCCCGCAATCAAGGGATTGGACAAGGCTGCAGTGGCTGGTACTCTTGATCCAGCTTCACCTCTGACTACTACATCCATCATTTCAACTTCTTCTGCAAAGCTATCGTATCTTATGGATCGCATTACCGCCCATCATCAAACTGAAAAGATATTAGTGTTTTACGAGTCAGAGAACGTGGCTTATTACATCGCCCAAGCTCTCGAGTGCCTTCACATCAAGCATCTCATCTATGCCAAGACTCTTCCTTCGGATCGCAAGTCTCAATACGTTGTTACCTTCAACCACACCGAGACCTTCCGTGTTCTTCTTATGGATATATCACAGGCCGCCTTTGGTCTCGACATGAGCTCTGCCTCGCGAGTCTACTTCGTCAATCCAGTTTTTTCTCCACAGGTGGAGGCGCAGGCTGTTAAGCGTGCACATCGTATCGGTCAGACAAAACCAGTGTTTGTTGAGACCCTCGTCTTGAATGGCAGTATTGAAGAAGTGATTTTAGAGCGTCGCAAGGATATGAGCAACGAAGAACATAACAAATGCAAAAATATCCTGGATGACGAGAAGATGTACGATTGGATTCGGAATGTGCGCTTTCTGCCACTCCCAACTGGCGAGATTCCTGGCCCGGAGCAAATGGCGAAGTTGGAGACGCCTGAACTTGTCTTAGGCAGAGTTGCTAGTTCAGTCACTGGTGCTGTTCACGATCCGGATGCTGACCTGCTGACCGAGATGCTGAGTCCAGAGGCAAAAGGGAAGAGGAAGGCAAAAGTAGCTTTCGGCGACGAGGAGGACACTCCGGGAACAAGTGCCGCTACCAAGCGCAGAAAGAGAACTCCAGCAGAAGGTCCCCCGATAGGCCCCAGGATGATGTCGACGCGAGAGGAATACGAGGCTTATTTGAATTCTCAGACAGAGGAATATTCTTATTCATCCTCTCCCATGGATGATGGAGAAGACGAAGAAGATGAGGACATTGATGATTTCGAGAGATACAACAAAGCTACAAAAAATCGACCTCAGCCTCAATATGGCGAGTATCCTGACATCAGCAAATTCGATGCCCCGCCTGCCGATAAACCAGCACCTCCACGCCCCCCTTCGTCTCAATCTACCCGAGGTTACTTCATGTCTTTACAAGACATGAGGAAACAATAAGATATCCTGGAGGATTTTTCGTGGCGCACGAAGTATTTGGGTGTATTTTGCATGTGGCTTACGAATCCAAGATGGCGCATAGGTAGATACCTGGATTGTTTTACCGGTTCTGATGATTAAGGAGGAGTATTCATGATGGCGTTTATTAAGGTTACATGCATTTAGGCGGACTTGAGATGCAATATGAACCTTGCAGGAACGCAATACCACAAGAGGCACGAGATGTACAATAGGACAGAAACGCATTAGGATTGTATGAGTAATAATAAAATACCATTGCCAAAAAGAAAGGCTCGTCTCTTTGGTCAGCACTGTCAATAATAAGTAAAGCGGCTCTTTCTCACCACTCAGCCTCAGACAGATAGAAGCCAGCATATCTTCCAATCCTTGAATAACCACTTACCCCTCCCAAAGATCCATCCACCATCATTCCTCTCTACTTCCTAAGCCTTATACTACATACAACATGATTTCTTTGAATCCTAGATTTACTTCCCTTTGCTGGGAAAAGGGTACGCACTATTTACTCTCTTATACAAAAGACAATATAAACAGAATGGAAATGGAAATAGAATAATGTCATCTTTCCAACATTCAAACTATATCACAAATTCCATATCGATAGATAATATAGATTCGGCTTTTTATGTTGGCAGACGGGAATCATGACTAGTCTGCATTAGCAACGGCCCCTGAACACGCTCATGTCTCGCTCTTAGTGTATAAGGTACCTAGTGTACCTTAAACCCTCTCATATTACATTATGTATATTTATCAGTACTAACAGCTAGCCATCTACCAATCCTGTATACCCTCCTCAGCCATGACATGCACCTCCCCGCGTGCCGCCGCCCTTACATTACTGATCTCCCACTCAAACTCCTTGAGTGCTCGGATTTCACTCCCCACGAACAGGCCACCGATCAATCCATCCAGGACGCCGAATCCTAGGCCCAAGGTGCTTAATAACATGAGTAGGAATGCGACGAAGTTTCGGGGGCTCCACCATACGGCTATGAGACAGCCGATGCTGATGATGAATGAGAGGAGGAAGTGGGAGAGTCGTAAGCGACGCTGTGTGCGCTCGCGGATGCGGTACTTGTGGATCATGGCGAGGATCTCGTCGTAGGTTTCGATGGGGAGGAAGGGGGGTTTGGTGTATTTGAGTTGTGAAGTAACGGATTGGTCAGGGGTGCGAAATTCTGATGTGGACGGGGATTGGAGGTAGATGCCGTTGCTTACTGCATCTTCTTTGACCTTGGACTCTGGTTCCGGCACTACGGATTTGGAATGGACGAGCGTGGCCTCGACGGAGAAATGGTCGCTGAGTGAACATTGCAGTTCTGGATGGCGGCTCAACATGCCGACTTTGGCAGACTTGACGACCCAGCCTCCAGCTTCGATGTTGGATGGATCGGCGGCCGTGCTGGCGAATATGTAGTCTAATCTCTTGGCTCTGGGGTCCTCTCGGTCAAGTGGTATTTCTATAGGTGGTTTATTTGGACCGAGTTTCTTTTGCTGGGACTTCTCCCAGCGCCACGTATTCAGTATGGTATCACAAGTCGCGCCGTTTTCATTGAGGTTGTATTCAGCCGTTGGGATTGGTCGTCCTCGAGCTTTTTCGACGGGGTCAACGGCCGAACCGATTGAGCAGTCGGGGTGTAGGAGCATCCAGACGTCGCGGACAGGGGCATGAGTGCTGATGAGTCGGTGGGCCAGGGAGAGGGGTATCATATTGAAATCACCAAGGCCGAGGACAAGGTGGCCGCGCTCTGCCGCTCCACGCATCAGTTTTGCAATTTCCCATGCCTGGGCGGTACGGTGACAGATGTACGAGTCGTTGGGTTCTCGCTCGTAGGGCGCGTGAAGCTGGCATGATTAGATTTGAAATATAGTTGAACGAAGGTTAAACTCACATGCGTTGTGAACACCTCCACTACGTCTTTCGCACCGGGGCCAAACCGTATTCTCGCACATGCAACCCCTTTTCCAACATACCAATCGCCTCTAAAGAAAGCAGTCGGTCTTCCATTCAGAGGATATCGAAACATCGAACTCTCTTCTATGGGCCATTTCGACAAGATCACTAGCCCACCACCAAATATACCACTGTGATAGAATTTCCCGTGTGGCAGGATATGTTTCGTTTGTTTGCGAATGCTTTGGTAGTCTTGCATGGTCCAACATTCTTGTAATCCAACAATTTGGGGCGCAGGATCTGCCTCCGCTATGCGCTTGCCAATCTCTGTGAGTCGTTCATTGCGATGCTTGGAGATAAACTTCAAGCCCCAGCAATTGAGGCTGATCACATTTATCTCCGTTGGCATTGATGTTCCCATGGTTCAAGGTTTAGGGGAGGAAATGAAAGAATGGGAGAAGGTTAGTAGGACGGGCAAATTGGTATCTTTAAAGAGAGGCATAAGACCATGGTCTTTGTATAGACCCAGGTCTGTCTTTGGCGGGTCTTCTATTTCGTCGTGTTATCTGATATTGGAGACGCGACCTGATTATTCGCGTCAAACCTTAATTAGACGCGCGGCTAATTTCCTGCCAGTCGCGTTCCTCAAAACTCGCGATATTGTTTCTTCAATGAGGGAGAACAGCAAATACAATGGCCGACTTCGACTCTGGAGCGAGTACCCCCGCGCTTGGGCATCGCTCCCCAAAGCGACGGCGAGTTTATGACGAGAGCGACGATTCCACGCCGAGATACAGGGATAGCTCCCCGGACGCACCCGCTGGACTTGACCACGGATCTTCGAACCTGAGCCCACGTCGAGACTCCGGCGCTCGTCGAAGATCAAGCTCTTCAGATGGCAGTATTGGCGAGCATGGTCGCGCATACCATGGCCATAATAGCAGCCGCTCCAGCAGTCCCGAGACACCTCGCTCGTCGCGCGACTCTCCTGTGCCTCCACCTGCCGCCCACAGGCCCCTCAAGCTGAACTACAAGCAGAAATTCATATTGAAGGGCCACAGGAAGGGTGTTTCACAAGTGCGCTTCTCACCAGATGGTCGCTGGATTGCGAGCAGTTCCGCGGATGGTACGATCAAGATCTGGGATGCGGTGACGGGGAAGCATATGCGGACGTTAGAGGGACATTTAGCTGGTATTTCAACGATTGCCTGGAGTCCGGATTCGAATACGATTGCTTCGGGGTCGGATGATAAGGCGATTAGATTGTGGCATAGAGCGACTGGGAAGCCGTATCCTGTACCGCTGTTGGGACACCATAATTATGTTTACTCGCTGGCTTTTTCGCCGAAGGGGAATATGCTGGTTAGTGGGAGCTATGACGAGGCTGTTTTCTTGTGGGATTTGAGGGCGAGGAAACAAATGAGGAGTTTGCCTGCGCATTCAGATCCTGTTGGTGGAGTTGACTTTATTCGAGATGGGACTTTGGTGTGCAGTTGTTCAACGGACGGCCTTATGTGCGTATCTTCTCTATTCCCAGTACATTCTCAAAAGCTAATCCTGGCTTTACAGTCGAGTCTGGGACACGGCAACAGGACAATGCCTCCGAACCATCGTCCACGAAGACAACGCCCCCGTAACCACGGTCAGATTCTCCCCAAATGGCCGCTACATCCTCGCCTTCACACTCGACTCCTGCATTCGTCTGTGGGACTATGTTTCTGGCACCTGCAAGAAAACCTATCAAGGACACGTCAACACGAAATACTCTATCGGCGGCGCGTTTGGAGTTGGAGGAACAGAAGGATTCATAGCGTCCGGTAGTGAGGATGGAGAGATCCTGTTCTGGGATGTGAGGAGCAAGGAGGTTTTGCAGAGGGCCAGAGGCCACGACGGTGTGGTGGTCTGGGTTGATACTTGTCCTGGCCGGTCTGGCACGCTGGTTAGCGGGGGTTTAGATGGGACGGTACGGATTTGGGTTAATGTCGAAGACGAAGACGTTGACAAAGTGAAGACTGAGCAGGAAAACGGTGTAGCCGCATTTGACCGGGATGACGGGGATGTTGATATGCATGAGGTGAAGGTGGAGAATGGCGCAAGTGATGATGATACCCCCGGAGACGAGATGAGCATCGACGGCCGACGAACACCAGAGCGAGAAGCTGAGCAACCGGTAAATGGTGGCCTGAACTTGGATGAGATGGAGGAATGAAGGTCGAGATCCAACATATGATGACTATGAGATCACATGATCCATACATTCACAAGCAGTACCATTAAATCCCAGGTGCCAGAGCATCCGGAGCTGGATCCCCCCCAACGACACATCCGCTGAGTTGAAGCTCGAGGGACCTCTGCACAGCAGACATTGCCTTCCTATCCAAGGCTGAGTCTGCAAGCCCTGCTGGGACCATGTGATCACAGCCTCGTTGCACATCTACACCTCCATGGCTGAGTTAGAACACAATGGGATCTTTCTCACCATATATTGCTTTGGACCACTCTACAGCACTGTCCACAAACTGTCCATAATTTAAAAGATTATGACATATGGCTTCAAAGCAATTGACTCTCCAAAGAATTAATGCTAGTGACATGCTTCACATGCTTCTGTCTTCAAATGATAACACTTTAAGAGCTGACACTTCTTCCTCATAAATGCAACTGCCAACTACCTATTATTCAAACCAATGATCAATAATCGTTCATAGTCCTCATATAGAACCTCCATGTGAAACCACCAGAAGACTTGATTTATTCCCGTTCCCCTCCCCGATGATGATACTCCTGTCATAAGCGAACCCCTGAGCGAGCCGATCGATTGATTGTTGAGTTGGCCCATCTTTGCTTCCACCCATATCTGAGGCTATTCCCAAATCCGCAATTCACAAACGGCTGATTCGATCTATTCACACACAAGTTAACGTTATAAACATCCTTGCATACTCCCGATACCACCTCTCTGGAAACCCCAGGGTCTTGACTCTGCTATATACTTCTGACCCCCTCCCCCTTTTTGTAGTCACGTGATGCTAATCCCATCTCCATCGAACGCCCCGGTCAACAGTCCCACGCTTGTCACGGATGCGATGTGCAACAAACTACCAAATGCCACGTAATGCTAATCTCACAGCCATTGAAAGCAACGTTCGCTGTTTTTTCCATGAGCGCTGATGCGATGTGCAACAAAATGAAAGGCCAAGCAGTGAGGTATCACGTGATGCTAATCCCGCTGCCCCCTTTTTTGTCCTTTTCGCTACATCTCACCCCTAAAACTCCTCAGCAGGTCATTCTTGCCACGGGTGAATATGGGAATAGGGATGGAAGCGTCATGTCAGAAAGAGGCGCTGATGTTAGGAGAGAAAGGTCTGTGGTTAGCTGGAGGTGCTGAAGAGAAGCGTCACGTTGAAATTCCTCAAGATGTCTTGGGGATTAGAAGCATGTGCCCGAAAAGTACAATTTGACTTTCACCTTCGCACTAAAATGGTCAGGCTGTAATACAATTCAGGGCTACCTAGGTAGAAAAGGAGGATACTTTCTTTTTTAATTTTTACTACCCCCTACCCCTATTTTTTTTCGGGACAGATCTATAGTAAATCTGCCAAGTTCATCGAGTTATCTAACTATCTACGCAGTCCGCATCAGAAACACCGACAAGAAGCAAGCTACACAAACACGCCTTCCTAACAAAAGCTCATTTTGAGGCCCATTTCATCCTCTAAACCACTCTTCAACGCCTGCACAGTATGCACAATCCTATCACAGCTGCCCCAACCCAAGCAGCACTCAAATAGTTTCCCATCCCCCATTATTAACATCCATCTCCAGCTTCCGAGAGATGACGCTTGGAATCCCGTGTGTTAGCCACTGATTCCTCAGCGCATCATAGCGCTTCTGATTCAAGAACAACTGCCTACTATGCCGCAATCCCGGGTCGACCTCACCGTACTTATCGATGTATGGAGCCACCACCCAGGACCCGGATTCGTAGTAGAGGTAGAAGACGCAGCATTTGCGGATGTTGATGTATAGACCGATATTCTTCTGACACCTATTTTACGGTGCGTTAGCAAGGTATAGCAAAGAGGAAAGGGATTTCAATGCTTACTTCAACATATGTTGTTGGGCGCCACCGATATGATGAGCGCGGCGGCCTCGGCGTGCAGGGCCTTCCTTCAAACAGCAAACACTCTGTCCGCAGAAAATTTCGCCACAAAACAAGCAGAGCATGGGATCTGATACGTCTTTGCCGGTAGTAGGACAGCGTCTCTTCATGGTTTCTTCCATCAAAGCGTCGTAGTTCTTGGGTAGCCCAACGAGCTCGAAGATGGCGGGATGGCTGATATTGATTTTGTCTCCGCTATCGTAATCTCGAGTATGTTTAATCCACCAATCCGCAAGCATAGAGATAGTCGATCCTGAATCAGGGCCAGGGATATGTGCACACATCTCATCAAATGACGGGAGGCGCAATGCTTCGGTTAGGCGTTCCAATTCGTTGGCATCAGGGATTGTAGAAATGTGATTTTGAAATGCGATCCCATAACGGACGTGGAGGAGGACGACGACCTTTCGAAGGAAAGCCAAAGCATATTTTTGCGCAACTTGACGACACGACTCTAACCCCCCCAGACCGGACTTGTTGGGAGATGGGTTGTGATCGCTTGCTATCTGGCCATCTGCATTCCACACCCCTGCACATAGCTCAGCAAATACCTGGAGTTCTTTAGGAGTCTCGTCGGGGTATTTTTGATCGAATATTTCCTCCCATGTCTCCAGATCTAGGTTGCGACCTATCTGTAGGACTACTTTGACTATCTCAGCTAGGTAGCAGAGGCGGACAAGATGCATGATCTCAATCTCGTCCACCGGTGCCAAACAGAGTGAGCATTCGGTGAGGAAGACAAAGATATCCTGAATCAGCAGTGGCTCAACCTCATAATTGAGACCTTTCCAGACGTCTGCACGGTAAGGTTCATTCATGAAGAGTTGATAGTATTGACGCTCGTAATCCTGGCAAAACTCCTTTGAGACTCTGTTATCCCCGGCAGATCTGATGCCGCCAATGGAAACGTAAGAAGCTGCAGTCTCGGCCAAGATTCGTAGGTGGGTAAGAGCTTGCTGGGGAATTGTCTCTAATAAGGTGCTACCGGCTGGTGCTGCAACTCCACGCTGTTGTATTTCTACAGCTGATATAGAGAAGCCAAGTGATTGAGCCAAGGTGTCACTACCACAGAAGTCGTTTGGGGAGATCTCGCTGACAACTCCAAGTGGGCCTGTTGGGTGGCTAGTAGGAAGCTCGTTCCTGATCATGGTATCCCTCAACCGGCGATAGATATCAACAAGTTCTTTCATGGGAGACCCGGAATTTGCCCCGTTATTGTTACTCGCAGAACTGGAACCATGACCAAGACTCTCGGGCCAGAGGGCATTGGCCACTGCAGGTACAGGAATTCCAAGACCTCCAGATTGAAATGGATTTGGTACGGCCGGCGAAACAGTGTTCCAAGCATCAATGAGCAGTTCGGACATCCTTGCGGCGAGGGGACCCGTCATCGACTCGTTATTATGTTGCATGAATACTGTCAAGCTTCGATTGGTGGCCCCAGAAGGTAGTTTGGCATCAATTTTATCATGCCTTATCCTAATATCACCCTCTCCAAATATGTTGGCGAACGGTTCCAACCACTCTTCAAAGGATGAACGCGTCTCCAGAGGCCCGGGGTATAACTCCTCCTTCGGTGGCCAGATAATTGGCAAAAAGGCGTTCCCCAACGCCTTACAAAGAGGACAAATGAACTCGTTCATGTCGAGGCGCTCAGGGTGGCGCCGCGCGAACTGGTGGTGATGTCGTCGATGCGATGCTTCGTAGTACACCTCGAAGCACTTGTAATGCATGATATGCCCACACCCAACGGATACAGGCCCAGGCCGTGTTGATTTAGACGGGAAGCCTTTGCCGATGTATTGACGTTCATCCACGATGTCGACGCCGCTAGATGTAACTTTATGGACTGGTTGTCGATTTTCCCCAGCAACACCAAATGGTCGAATACTGTCGGCAGACCGATCCAAGCTCAAAGGAGTCTTGACAACCTCTCGGACAAAATCTGGGTCTTTGAAGTCAGTTTGTCGCAATATGGTGCTTTTCGTCATCAATGCAAAAGTTCCATATAAGCGAGAATCCTTCCCAGTTTCTTCCTGACAGAGGATGCATTTCCCTGATGGGAACTGATAGTAAGTTTTGTGGTCTTCATCTTCAAGGTCGACGTTCTCATCTTCCATTTCATCTTCTCCCCAGTCGATGTCACCCTGGTTTTCAAGGAAATCCTTCTGTTGCTGTTGAAATTTCGCCATAACTCTGGCTTGTCGATCCAGTGCAGCTTTTTTCTTCCTTTCACGCTCCTCCTGCGTATTGCTACTTGCAGGTGATGCTGTAGATATTCTGTCAACAGGAACCCCTAACCGTGCAAAGGCAGTTTCGAAGGTTTGTGGGCGCTTTTGCTTCATCCTTTTCAGCACAAGAGCGATCTTCGGATGGCATGATTTGAACGCTTCCTTCTGAGACAGCATTTCTAGGACTGCGGCGATTGTCCTTGACCCGGGTGCATTGGGCATGAAATTGCTCCGAGCAGTGCTGGTAAGAGCGATATAGACGAACGATTGCAGAGATTCCTCAGACATTTCGTCTTCACCGATCTTGTCTTCAGCAACTGCAAGGAGAACCAGATGCAAGACCACATGCAGGAAAGTTTCGACTCTGGTGGCAGGGACGGTTGGTGTCAATTCCTCAGCCTTAAGGGGGTACAGGAGTGCATAGTAAATGATCTGGGCAAAGATCCCCGTCCTTGTGAAAGCGGAAAGGTCTGAGAATGCACCGGATTCAATCGGGCGAAGCTTGGGTTCAAACACTATATCAGAGGCGTTCCGACCTGTCTTCTTTGCCATCCACTGCTTGTAAGCATTTTCGGATTCCTCTCGCTGGTTCTTGCTGTAATGAGCAATGTAGGGATCGATATCTTCCAGGAAATGTTCCTTCAGCTCGAAAGTCCCAACATCATTTAGACCCTCCGGAGGCTTGAAAGTTGTCATCTCATCAAGGATATCCTGGCATTCCTCTTGGTCTTGGAACTTGTCGGGCAGCTTGCTGCAAATCTCCGAGAATGACAACGGCTTGAAGCAGAGAACATGAGTGATATCACGACGCATTGCAAGGACGTGGGGGCTTAATCCTTCTCCATTCGAGATTAGTGTAGTCCGGTCACTAATCAAAATGATTAGAAGATGGATCAGTTCTTCAGCAACCTCAAGGACCTGGCCATCTTCCAGCCCGTCTGACTTCTGTTCATAGATCCCCTTCATCCAATGCTCTAAGCCATAGCGATCGATCATAGAAACAAGCACACGAGCTGGTGAGCAGACAACCATGGCGGTTTGAAGCAGAAAGATGTCACGATGATGCGACACGTCTCGTTGTTGTACACCACGGTATGTGCCTTGCTGGTGGCGGAGGCTCATGCCATTACGCACCCACATGCCTGCCTTCATTTGTGCCAACCAGGCACATACACGCAATGGGTAGTCGAATACAGCCATCAAATGATCCTCCGGTGTGTAATCCTGGCTTGGCATGATTCGTTGTCCCATTGCCTTCGGCTTCTGCAGTAAATCTGCTGTCGTAAAGCTCAACAGTTGAATAAGCTGCTGGCGAGGCATGCTCTTCCCGCATTCAATGAGCCATGAAAGAGTATAATGAAGGGCATGATGAAAACTGATCGGCTGAGATTCTACTACGAATTTGACAACCAAATGTTGCAAGACGCTGTTTGACTTCTCAGTGGTATCGAACTCGTAGTCGCCGACCTTCTTGAACTTAATCTCATCCTTTATCTCTGCCTGGGTAAAGCGCTTTCTCTCGGTTCCAAGTGAGTTGAGTATGACTGCCTTTGCCGCAAGTCTGATAGCTCTGGAGACGTAAGTAAGGTCGTCGCCAGCGTCCAATTTGAAAGCCTCCGAGAAGTGCCTGCACAATCGATTGATTTCCCGGGTTATCAGCGATGCGCTGATCCAAGCATCTGTCTCATACTCAACATGCTCTCCAACGGCTCTGACATTCGGGCATATGCCTTGATGTAGCTTGACGAGATCCAAGAACTGCATCATGTATCTTTCTTCGGTGCGCAACTTCTCTTGGACGTGCGGCGAACTGAAGAGGTATCTCAGGTCCATGAAGAAATGATACATTCGACGATTTGTGACTGATCCAGAATCGAAAGCTAGAACAGCATTTGGAAAGACCTCATAAGGGTGCCCAACTTGCCGAGTAGTGAGGAAAGTGTATAGTATTGCCATCAAATTTGTCAGAAAGTTACCTCTCTCAACAATCTCGGCTGTGATGGAAGGTGTAGTCAACATTTGTAACGAAATGTTGATAATGGAATGATCTGGCTCCCGATCGGCAATAAGGTAAAGTTGTGCCAGGGTCGTGTAGAGACCAGCAAAGCGTAAGCCAAGGATGCGCTTGAACTGCGGAATCGTGACAACAGTTGATATGTATAGATCACGTAGATCAACTCGGACCCTCTTCCACATCCGCAGATCAAAAAGAATCATCCAATCAAGCCGCAAGCGCTGCCAGAGGTCCTCATGGATGGGAACCGAGTCTCTGTCAGTGAAAGCTTTTGGGGCTTCAAGCCAATATCGAGCAGGCTTTGGTGGTGCCTTTTCTCGTACAACGTTTCTTGGAGTTTTGGGAATATCCAAATTGGCTTTGGCATAGACATTATGTGAAATTAGCGGTTGCATTTCAGCAGTGTCGGAATCCGAAGGGGTAATATCTCGATCTCGTATTGGTCTCTGTGGTGGAGGAGGGGGTGGTGGTGGCGGCGGCCAGCCAGCCATAACAGCCTCCTCTACTTCGAGAGGATCCTCAGGTTCATTTTGAGTCATGTCGATATCGCCATCAGTGTCAGTCTCTGGCTGCATTACCCCCCGGAAATTACCCGCCCCTCTTGTTCCCACTAGGTCAGTATCAAAAGCTTCATCATCCTCCCCATCAGTAGACATGCCCCCATCATCTTCCATGACTTCTACCTCAACTTCGATATCAGGCCCTTCGTCGTCGTCATCATCAAGGTCTTGATCAAGATCAACAGTCGCAACAAGGGCCGCCTGCCGCAAGACCTCTTGTTGACGATGAATTAGCAAACGTCTGAAATCGTTTTGTTCATCCGTCTCGTGGTCATCAATGCCTTTCATTCCCACATCTCGATTACTTGCCTCGCTGCCAGTGCTCCAAGGCTTGAGCATCTCTTCACAGATAACCTGACGTAGGATGTCGTGGTCAGGACCGACACTACATTGAGCAATATCACCCAGCCATTCGATGATTGTCCCACACATCTGTTCTCTGAAAGTATCTCGCGCTGAGCGGATCGTGACCGTGACTTTGATTTGCTCGATCACCCTTGATACGTGAAGCAGTTCATCCACGTCGAAACTATATTTCACAATACTCCGACCGATATCATCCGTCTCGTGGGCTCGTCTCATACCCTCAGCCTTGGTGACTTTGCATGCTCTTGCAACCTGTTCACCGACCTCTATGACCGTATGCTTCTCGTCATTCCATAACAGCAAGGCAAATTCGCAAGGGTCCTCCACAATATCCCCATTATAGTACTGAGATCCGAGCCGTGACATCTTCTCGTCCTGTAGTATAGACTCCCTTGATTTCGGTAACCGTAGCTGCTCCGGGGAGCAGGAGATAACATCGCAGATGTAGTCAAACACCCTCCCAATCGTCATACGTATGCTCTCGGCCAGAGCCGGCGGTAGGGCTCTTGCTTTGCCCTTTTCCTTCCCTCTGGATTCATCATCGCGAGCTGTGTGTATCGAACAATTTACAGGGAGTCGCCAGGCCTCGGGATCTCCGCAATCACAGCAGCCGCTATTTCCCATCGACACACTGACGTATATCCTGTGTCCAGTATGGTCCGAGGAATTATAACACCGGCTGCAGAGGACACAGGTATCATCAACACTGCATGTCTTGCATCTGTATGTAGCTTCACCTGATTTGAAGATATGCCCACAAGCCTTGCCCCTCGCCGCCTCAGTGAAATCATCCTTGTCCACCCCAGCCTGGGCTTGTCTAAGCTTCCATGTTGCGTTAGCAGGCGGCCGAGCATTATCTGGGAAGAAGAGTCGCATGAAATCTTGACGTCCGCCAGCTAGAGACCAGAAGAGCGACTTTATAAGCTCGTTCGCCGCCTGTTCTGTGTATCGATTGTGGTGTACGCGGGGTAAGGTCTTAAGGAAGTCGCATAGCTGCAGTTCTTGCGTTGTCATTTGGTGCACCATATTGTTCTATGATTTTGTCTCCAGGAGACTGGCCTGCATGCCGTATTACTCGAAGCTGTCTGGCTCGAGGGTGTGTTCGTTGGTGGTGATGGACAATACTGTGAATGGCTTATCGCGAGAGAGGTGCATGGACGACGAAGTGAGATCGTAAAAATGAGCTTCCCAAGCGTCTAGCCCAATACTTGAGTATTCACTCAGGAAAACGTGTCACAGGTGAGACGATCGATGAAAAGTGGTGGCGATATGGGGGAGTGGTCAGTTGTGAGGCAACTTTTGATGTTGTCACACAATAAAGCTCGGTTCGTGAAAGAGAGAGATGGCTCCCCACCGGGACCTCTCGATCAGCCTGCACATCAACGCATATCACTCTACGTGTTAAAAGTAACGAAACCCCCATGCAGGCTAGGATGGGAGGTCCGGATCAGAAGCACACGCAATATTTCTGCATCGTTTGTTTCAATGACTTTCTTTTGTACACCAGCTATCAACGCTTTCTATCCCCCTTTCCCCATATCTATCGAATACAATAGCACTCCAAGTCTCTCGATTCCACTCGTTACCTCCTAAAGTTATATTCATCTACTCCTCATCTCCATCGCCGCTCTGGACGTATCTCGATCGGATGTCCTTCCATTGTCGCTATCCCAAGGATTAGTCTAGAACCCCAACTCGCAGAGCAAGTGAAAACGTACGCCTTTGTTGATGTTGTCCCAGATCCTATCAGTAGTGATATCAAATGCACTGTTGTCTGTCAGCAGACGATTCTTTGTTCCCGTTTCCCGGGGAGTCTGAACATACATCTCGAATGCGAAGGCGGATGCGAAGATTACGCCGAGGAAGGTGAAGTTCCTCTTGACGAAGGTGCTATAGACCAATTCTCATTAGCCATTGATTCCGGCCCATTACATATCATTTATACAGCGTTGAAGGGTTTCGGGGGTGCGGAAGAGGATCGGGAGACTTGCTTGTAGAGAGGGCGAGCGAGGGAAGACTGCAATTGAGTCAATCAGTTAAGTCCAAACTGCTCGGGATAGATTTCAGGAGGACAACATACCATTGTGATTTGTGCAGACCTTAATGCGGCGGAATAGACGTGGGAAGTGGTAGCTTAGCTGGTGATACTCTGAAGTTGAGTTTGCGATTCGGAAGCTGGAGGTGTTAGCGTCGATTCCGAAATCACGTGCGGGAAATAATTCCCGTTCTCTCGCGATCGGGACTTTCTGAGCCTCGTCGAACATTTCCCCCTCATGACTACTTGTTCTCCCACAATCCCCTCCAACAAGGCTCTGCGCCACTCAATCGCGACTGTTCCTCGTCTCCAGGCATAAGATTTATCCTAAAATCTTCAGGGCTGCCCACCAGCAGCAAGCCCAAAAATATGCCCTCTGTACCCACCCCCTCCAAGGCGGGTATAATTGAAAAGAACAACGGGGAGCGCCATATACCCTCATCTATACGCCCTGACGGCACAAAACGCAAAGAAATCAAGATCCGCCCAGGGTACAAACCACCCGAAGATGTTGAAGTATACAGAAACCGCACTGCAGATGCTTTCAGGAACAGGGGTAGCGGGGGGGTACCTGGAGCCGAGGGATTGAAGGATAATGCAGAGACCGGCGCGAACAGTAATAAGAATGCGAAAAGGAGAGAGGCGCGAAAGAAAGCAAAAGCTGCGGAGGAAGGGGATGGAAACGTGAAAGGGAGTGAGAAGAAAGATTGGAGGGAAAAGGACAAGCCGGATGAGAAAACCGAGGAGGTTGTCGATCCGGAGGTTGAAAGGGAGAAGAAGGCTCGGAACTTGAAGAAGAAGTTAAAGCAGGCCAAGGAATTGAAGGAGAAAAAGGAAGGTGGCGCTGCGTTATTACCGGAGCAATTTGCGAAGGTTATCAAGATCAACGAACTCATCCGAGAGCTCGATGCGTTGGGCTTCGATGCTGAAGGAGAGCCGAAAGCCAAAGAAGGAGAGAAGGAGACTTGATATCAAAACTGCAGTGGCTGCTGATTCCGATATGCGGTTTCTTTATTCTTGCATCTGGATCTGGATCTGGCATGGCGTTCAGGACTGGAGAAAGCTAGGTACAACTTTTGAGGGGCATTTGGGGGTATGGTGTACTGGGTAGATGCGTTACCTATGATCAGAAACAAATCGTCCTTGGAACCACAGCTAAGCTAAGCTACGACCTCAGAGTTTTGGAGTTTGCTATCCGTGGAACGTGAAAAGAAATGAGAAAGCTTCTGAATTTACCTCGCTATATCAGCAAAGGCAAGTATATTTTCCATAACTCCTCGAGTACTCTCCCCTAACAATAAACAGGCACTGGCATTTTGGGAGATAAGCCTCCGCTCATGACCAGAAACTCATATAAGGATTCGATGCCATAGTCGTTAAGATCAATATCCGACATCTCCCACCCCCTTTCACAACTTCGTCGTCAGAAACTCGGCCTCCACACCGTGCATCTTGCAATTACCACATTCCCGGATCTATACATCTGTTACCCACTCCACCTTTCTCTGCGCCCCCCTCCCCTGCAACATTTTTGCAACCAAAGGGATAGGCGGGATTGTCCCTTTTATCATGGCATTGAATGCTGGATCGTCTCGGAAAGCCCGCCCATATGGAACCAAGCTTCTGGTTGTCAGATAGAGGTTCCCATGATATCAAGAACGGTTCATCTGCCTGCTCTTAGTTGGGCGTGCTTCCAGACCCCTGTCGTTGGAGCAGAATGGAAATGGCCGCAGTCGGGAGAGTTGTGGATGTTGATGAGTTAGTTTGCTAAGAGAAGAGCGAGCATTGAAGAAAACGTCGACTATCAAATCACTGATTTTGAGATGGTATGAGACAAGATGCGTATAAGAAATGGACATGGTCTTTATCTCGACGATGCTTTCCACTGGTTCACAGTTTCCCACGTTCTGATTGTTTTTGACAATGCTCTTAGCTTCCCTTGAAGGCTGGGAAAACCAAATTCCAGGTCCGCTAAGCCTGACAGAAATGTAGATACTAGAAATTTAAAGCTTTCAGTGATTCCTCTTAAAAGACCACGGGACTTTGTAAGTCGTAGTAAGGTACATATGATGCGAAGAATACGTATGACATAAAAACAAGCTTGACCAGCACCGCTTCAATGTATAGGTACTCCTCGATTTCGCTTATTGGCCTACACAATAAGCAGACAATTTGCACAACAATCATCAGAATCAACGGATCAAGCTTCTACTATATCCATGAAAATGTGGTGACCCAAGAGGATGGATAAAGGAGGCAGGGAGGTAGCATCTAGGACTGTTACTAAATGGAATTATTCATTTCTGCCCCTTACCGTATTCGGCAGTCCCATCTCCAACTCTCCCACTCTTCAAGGACTATCGCGACGGGTTCTACAAATCCGTCTTCTCCCTCTTCCATCAAAGTCAATTCGAAGGTCTGGTTGAAGACTGATTCAACAACAACTTTCTTCATGGCCTCAGAAAAAGCCAAGATTGACGTTTGGCTGGACTGCGACCCGGGTGAGTACCTACCGTAAGGTAGATTTCGGCAATCCTTACCTTAGGCCTGACCTCGACCTTGACCAGAAATCAAAGAAATAGATGCTGATGCTTGGTGACAGGACATGATGTAAGAACCCTTCTTGCAGAATGTTTTTACTGCGATCAGCATGCTCCGTATATTATCTGCGCCTTTACCTTTTGCAGGCCTCTTTCGAATCGCGAGATAGGGAGCATGAGGTAGTCCTCGTCCTTTCTCCAGCCAGACCTCTAATCAATAGCCTTTATGTTGCTCATATGTCATTCTACTGAATTGTTCTTCTCATCTCTTGCCTATCTCTTTTGTTGTACTGCTATCTTGCTGTTTATATCGGTTCTCTGCGTCTTCTCCCCCCCCCTTTTTTTTTCCTTTTCCAGACCTAGGCTTCACCTTTCATGCTTCTGCCTCACTTAGCTTCCCGGCTTCGGTTTATATATGCATTGCTTCTACTTCTTGAGTTATTTCCAATAGATTTATATACCCAATTTTCCCCATCGAGGTTGAGCCGCTCCATTCGAGACTCTTGTCTCGTCTTCTTTACCTTTGCCTATAGGTTCTTGATCACCTCCACTTATATCTTCAATCTCTCCCTTTACATTCGACAACAGGCACAGTCAGATACCAAGCATTAACTGACCTCAACCTCTCCAGGATGCCTTTGCTATTCTGCTCACAGCCTACCACCCCGCCCTGAACCTCCTCGGAATCTCCACCGTGCACGGCAATGCATCCCTAAAGAACACAACCTACAATGCTAGCTCTTTGCTAACTGCTATCGGTCGACCTTCCATCCCCGTTTACCCCGGCGCAGCCTCAGGACTAGTGCGCCCTGCTGTCCACGCCGGTGACATCCATGGGGAATCCGGGTTAGACGGAACCTCTCTCCTCCCTCCGCCAGCAGAGCCAGCCAAATCCGAGCCAGCCATCGACGCCATGGCCTCCGCACTCCTCAAGACCCCGAAAGGTAGCCCATGGCTAATAGCCACAGGGGCTCTAACCAACATTGCGCAGCTATTCGACAAATACCCCGAAGTTGCAGAGCATATCAAAGGACTGAGCATCATGGGCGGCGCCATTGGCGATTCTTTCACCGATGCCGTCCTAGGAAAAGTCGACGACAAAGCCCGGATCGGGAACTGGAGCCCCTGGGCAGAATTCAACATCCTCATCGATCCCGAAGCCAGCCAGAAGCTCTTTTCCAACCCGGTCGTCGCGCGCAAGTCCGTGCTCATCCCCCTGGATCTGACGCATCTAGTATTAGCGACGAAAGACGTCCAGAAGCTCTTGCTCGGCGGCAAGACCGGGACTGAGAATAGCACGTTGCGGACTATGTTGGTGGAGCTGTTGACCTTCTTCGCAAAGACGTATGCGGATGTTTTCGGCATCACCGAGGGCCCGCCTTTGCATGATCCGTTGGCCGTGGCGGTGATCTTGGACGGGATCGCGGGGGAGGAAATCCCGTTTTATGATTTTGATCCTAGAGCGAAGGAAGGGGAGAAGAGGAGAGAGAGGTTTCATGTCCATGTCGTGACGGAGGGCACACATGAGGAGGCGCAGAAGGGCGCACAGACCGGGAGGACAATTGTTAAGTTGTTACCGGAAGGGGAGGAGGGGGTTAAGATCCCTAGGGGGTTGAATATTGAACGATTCTGGAATGTCATAGAGGATTGTTTGGAAAGAGCAGATGCGGTGAATAGACAGAACGGGGTTAAATAGATGATACCCAGACGATTGATTCATTTCAACGATCAATATGGATTGATAAGTGGCAGCTACCTATCTATGAACCAGCGGCTTTCCTCTGCTCTAGAACTCTCATGACATCCGCAGCATTATTAGCATCCCCTTTCCGCTTCTTGGGACCTCTTTTCCTCTTTGCCTTTCCTTCACCCCTTCCACCTCCCTCTCCATCATCCTTCCCGCCCCATTCCGATAGTCTGATTTTCTTCTCCTCAAAATCTTCCTCGTCTTCAAATCTACTGCTGCCAAAGCCCATATCCAGATCCTGTGCATCTCGGTCGTCCTGTTGCAACATCTTCTTCCGTCGTTCTTCCTTGGCCGCTTCTTCCGAGCTTTTGGCTTCTTGGGCCAGTGGATTAAGGGTAGATGCCTTCTTGATGGCAGCGAGGATGGTCGGGTCGGAGAAGGCTGTTGGAGCTTTGGATTCCTCCGGTTCTGCGGGTTTGGAATCTCCAAAGTAATTCCGGGGTGCTGCTGGTTGTATTGGTCGTGGTGGAGGTGCCATACTTCCAGGCTCCGGTTTCTTCTCTGGATTCTTCTTCTTCTCCTCCGACTTCTTCTCTTCCGGACCACCAGCCACTTCTCCTTCTTCGGCATCAGAATCGTCATCCTCAACGCCTAGGTCCGCCAATGGATCATAGTCATCCCCCGCATCAGCAAAAATATCCATGTCTTCCTCTTCCTCGTCGACCTTTGGGATCTCCGGGACCTCCATCCCCAATGGCTTGGCATCCTTGTCCGGCATGAGTAGGCCGTTATCCTTCTTCGATTCCGGTTCCGTCTGTATTTTCCTAACCTTCCTCTTCTCATTTCCATTTTCATCGACTGTAATCAGAACATCCCGACCCTTCCCGTCCCTCTCGATCCTACTCTCTGCTCTCCTCTCCCCAACCTTCTTGAACTTCGCTCCTAGACTGGGGCCTTTCGCTTCTTGTGCAGCCTTCCGCGCCGCCTTCAGTTCTGCTAGGATCTGATCTCGAGTACGCTTCTTCCCTGGTATCAAACCGGGAGGCGCCATTTCCCCTTTCTTGACCGCTTTCTCCTTCTCCACGGCCTTAACCTCCCTGTCTTCCAACTTCTCAAATTCCTCATCTAAATCCACATCCTCTCCTTCCCTTTCCTCTTCTCCATCAACCTCACCCCCTTCCCTCTTACTCTTGTCACCATTCAACACATCTTCACCCCTCTTGACCCTCTCCAGCAACTTCCAATCCAGGCCCTTGACTAAATGCGTACTCTCCACATCACCCCCCAATATCTCATCCCGCAGCTTAACAAAGGTCGGCTCATCAATCTGCTGCAACTTCATCATTTCCTCTAACGCCTTCACCCGCTCCGCCTTCTCATCCGCCGTCTCCTCTTGGCGGAGTTTCGTCCGGTCGATATACCCACTGGGGAGCTTGGCGCCTTTTGGAGCCGCGGTGCTGCGGAATTTCTTCGCCGGTTGTTGCGAGGACGACGACGAGAAGCGGGACTCAGCCAGCTGCCGCGCAAAATTGACTCCGCCAACAGATCGTCTGCATGTCCAGAGATCAGCGCGAATAGGCCATAATGAGGGGGAGGGGGCAGAGATGAGGGGCACGTAACGTACGGCGTCATGGGAATGGAGCTCCGCATGCGGGAGCCCAGAGCGGAGGGCGCGCCATCTCGTCGCGGCGTGGCGCCCAGTGCGGGTTTGCTGTCGGCGCTGGAGGAGGGCTGCCGCGCTGGCGTGTCCAGAACCAGTTTGCGGAACTGCGAATTGTTCATCGTGGTGCTCGTGAGGAACGTCGTTTGCGTTGCGAAATGTCAGTGTCAATGTCAATGGTGGCGCTCAGCCTTGTGTTGCCAGGCCTGTGATCTTAGCGCGGAAATGCGCAAAACTGCAGCTGATTGGCCAGTGTGAGCCAGGCGTTGACTGTTGGAATTATAGGGCAGTTTTAGGTATAATCCGGAATGTATGTAAATCATCTTTATATGGGCTATTTTGAAGACTTGTTATTCTGGCATGCCTTACTCAGGTACCTAATGTAAGTGTATGCTTCTTGTCTGAAATACCTAAATGATCTGAAGGAGTCCTCCTCCTCCCCAAATCCCCCCTAATCGTTCGGTTATGATTCATCTCCTTGGAATCTTCCCTAACCGCCCTCAATCACTGACATGAGATTCACTGCCGACAAACGCCTCTCACCTTTTCAAATAGGAATGTGAGTTTCCAAGTCGTTCATAGCACCAGTTCAGGAATGCAAGTATCACAGTAATTATTCAATATAAGCGGCACTTTACTTTATAGCATTTCATAGAAAGCTCGACATATCTCAGTCAAATGAGTGTCATTCATTGCGTTGTGTGTTGCAATACTAGGTACTGAGCTATATTCATAATTGCCCTTGATTCATATCCTCGTTGCTGACTACTCGAGCATCTCATTCCGTGTATGTCATTCCTTCTCAAAAGAGTGTTACGTGTAGCGAACGCATCTAGGCAGCGTTCTGGCGCTTCCTCTCATCGAAGACCTTGAGAGCCTCCTCGGCAGCCTTGACACCGCTAAGAGCCACTGGATGTATGTTAGTCATGAATATTCACGAATAGGCATGCGAGTGCTGAACTTACTGGCACCGAAGGTAGGTCCCATTCTGTTTGCGCCATCGACCTCGCTCAGCTCCATACCACCAACAATGAGACCCGGAACGACCTCGCGGGTTCTCTTGACAATGGCGTCTTCGGCCCTGTTCATGTCAAGGCCTCTCATGCCACCGAGCTTCTCGAGCTGCTGCATGGACACAAGACGCTTGACGGAGAAGGCACCGAATGGGCCGTCGTGACCAGTAGTGGAGATGATGACAGGGGCGTTGATAGTGTTGGGGTCCATGCATGACTGGTCGTCGTGGTGCATGCTGACCAGGGTCCAGTTGGTGACAACACCGGCAATTCGGACGTTTCCATCTGCGTCCTGGCGAGTGATGAGATCCTCAACAGCGGTGGCGTTGAAGAGCTTGACGTTGGGGAAGGAGAGGACCTTGGAGAGGAGGGTGGAGGTGAAGAGAGCCTGCATGAGTCGTCAGTAGGGATGCACCAGTTGGAAATCTGAAGGATTTGGGACATACAGCGTGCTTGACGACAACGAAGTCTCCCTCATCATCGTACGGAACACCAAGGTCGTTCAAGAAGACTTCGGCAGGCTTACGCATGACCATGGCGCTGAAGAGCTGGCCACCGAGCCAAGCACCACCACCGGGAGCGACACCAGACTCAATGATGGCAATCTTCAGGTCTGGGCGAGCCTTGCCAAGCATGTATGCAGTGCTGAGACCGCAAGACCCGGCACCGACGATGACAATGTCAGATTCGGCGTAGGTGTCAAGGTCGTTGAAGTAGCGGCGGGTCATGGCACGCGAGACCTGCGACTCACGGATAGGAGCAAACTTGAAGCTCTCCTCCCATTTGTTGGCCATGTCCTCGAGGGTCTGGGCCTTGTTGTTGTGGATTGGGACAGGCTTCACGTCGAACGCAGCCTTCAAGGGAACGCCGTCGGCGTGGCTGGTCTCAGCGTACATGGCAGATGGTGGAGACATGACTGTTGATTTGGAGGATCACGGGTTGAACCTAACCTAGTTAGTTGTTCCTCTGGTAGGGGATAGGGGAGAGCATGATCCTTTCGCTGGTATTATCCAGATCAAGTTCATAAAACCGTATAATCTCAGAACGAACCCAGCATATGTCATCAGGCCTCCCATCTCATCGGTGAAGATGGTGGAGGGGAAGCTGTGATGACGCTGAGAACGAACACCGGTTCATGCAAGATTTTACAATCGATGAAAATACCTTGATCCTCTTTTCAGGATAATGCCAATGTTTGGACGCCATGACCTCCTCGATATGGTGGGAGAGCTACTTTGTGCTAACGGTTCTGTAGTATGACAGAGAGTCAGTACGGGACACCGAGACCACTTGGACTTATACAAACGGTAGATTTTGATAGATAGATTGATAAGTGGCTGGAATGGCGAGAATGCGGATGTTGTGGGAGAAAAGAGAAAGAAGAAAAAAGGCGGGAGGGGTCAGGTCTATAGGGATATATATACTCATCACTTCATCACTCGCGAAGGAGGGGTAGCTCGTAGTTGGGCCCACAGGAAACCCGGCTGCTCGAGCTTCTCCGGTTGCTCTCATAGGCTATAGCCCTTCCTGTTATCATCATATCATATCGATCTGATTGAACGAGAGCTGAGGGGGATACATCATGTCTGGCCGTGATCGTCGATTGACCGCAGAGTTTCCCGCTCTGAGGGGACCCCAAGGGATGTGGAGAGCACACAGCAGAAGGCAATTGGACGTCACGATAGCGACTTCGGCGTAGAGAGACGAGCATTACCGTCTGAAGGGCTAAAGAACGCACATCTTTGGTGTTTTCAACCGACACTGGCCGAGCTATTCGGATGGAGGCGGGGCGGGCCTATGGAAGAGACATGCTAGAGCCTGGAACTGTAGAACGAACTCTTGGCCTTTTTTTCTCTCATCCGCTCGATTTTCAGATGTCAGTAATGGCAGAACAAAGGCGGTGGGTTCGACGCGTTGTTCTTTGAACTATCTAGTCACGTGCCACCGCGATTGCCAGGGGCCAATCTCACGCGTCGTCGCAGCTTCAATCCATCAACGACAGCCAGTTGGAGGATCGAAAATGCCTCGCCGATCGGGGCGGAACACTGATACCCAAGTTACGGAAACAAACTCCACCGAGGCTGTCGTATCCCCGAAGAAAGGACGGGTATTAGTGAAGGTTGAAGCTGCAGCAGAGGTTGTCACCAAGGTCGAGGAGCCCTCACCAGCCAAAAGTCTGAGGAAGAAGGTCAAAGCAGAGATTGCTTCGGAAAGCGAGAGTCTCGATACCGCCCCGAAAGCCCTCGCCGATATAAAGACCAAACAGAAGGCTCCGAAACGTAAAGCGAAGACGGAGGACGGCGACGAAGACGAAGACGCGCATGACAAAAAGACCCCAAAGAAGCGGAAGACCAAGGGAGAAAAGGAAGCTGAAGCTATGCCATTAGCCGTACGGACAGTAATTGCAACCTTGAAGCATGCGATGCACATCGGGGCTCATGTCAGCGGTGCGGGGGGTGAGTTCCCATGATCAATTGTTGCGGTGACCGGTCACTGATTCCTCGATTGTCTCAGGCGTCCACAACTCGGTGAACAACGCCCTTCATGTTGGCGGTAACGCCTTCGCCGTTTTTCTCAAATCCCAAAGGAAATGGAGCAGTCCACCTCTCGCCGCCGAAGCACGCGACCAATTCAAAGCCATGTGTTTAGAACACAAGTACGATGCAGCGAAGCATGTCCTGCCACACGGCTCCTACCTTGTCAACCTTGCCCAAGCCGACCCCGAGAAGGCTGAGCAAGCATATACGTGTTTCCTGGATGATCTACAACGGTGTGAAGAGCTTGGGATCAAGTTGTACAACTTCCACCCGGGCAGCGCCGGAGCTCATCCCCGACCCGAGGCCATTGCACGTATCGCCGCCCAACTGAACAAGGCGCATAAGGCAACCAAAAACGTGGTCACAGTGCTCGAGAACATGGCGGGAAGTGGCAATGTAATTGGCTCAACGTGGGAGGACCTTCGGGATATAATCGCTCTAATTGACGATAAGTCCCGAGTTGGTGTTTGTATTGATACCTGCCATTCATTTGCTGCAGGATACGATCTACGGTCACCTGAAGCTTTCAAGCAGACGATGGATAGCTTTGCGTCCATTGTCGGCATGCCGTATCTAAAAGCCCTCCATCTCAACGATAGCAAGGCACCGTTTGCATCCAACCGTGACTTGCATGCCAATATCGGAACTGGTTTCCTAGGCCTTCGAGCTTTCCATAATGTCATGAACTTTGCGCCTTTTCAACACCTGCCAATGGTCCTCGAGACACCAATAGATAAGAAAGGGCCTGACGGCAAGACTGTCGAAGACAAGGGGGTATGGGCCACCGAAATAAAACTGTTAGAGGGACTCATTGGCGCCGACGCGGAGAGTGAGGCTTTCAAAAAGGAAGAGCAGAGGCTGCTGGATCTCGGAGCGGAGGAGCGGAAGAAATTTCAAGGTCAGGTGGACAAGAAGAAGCAGAAGACCCTTGACTCAATGTTGAAGAAGGCTTCCCCTAAGAAAAAGAAGGCTCCGAAGGGGGAGGATGCGGAGGATTCCGATGCGAGTGAAGGCTGTTGTAGCCATTGAGGTTAAGGATATCGACCTCCTCTCGGTACATCGGAGTGCTGTTTCTAATAATATAGCTCCTGGACATACGGGAGACACGGCCTGAAGCTCACCGATGACATGTACGACTATACGCTTGAATGGCCGTTATTATTGATTGTTGGGCTTACCAACTACCCTCCCAGATTCGGCCGATATCGAGATCCAACTACTGCTAGAGAGGTCACCCTGACGATTCCTTGTGCGGCATGGCTCCCCTGGGAGAATCCCATGGTTTTATTTCGACAGCCTGCCTATATCGCGTAGCGAAATGACTGGACAAAGTTGTTTGGCTTACCCTGGAAATGTCTGGGAGCATGGAGACGAGAGTCGGGAATTACTTAATGGGCTGCTACGAGATACTGCATGCAGCTCATTCTTGAATCCACGGCGAGTCGCCGTATATATGGCATTCTAAACCATCTAATTATTTCAGACAAGATGCAAGGCTGTCCCTTTCCATGCTATTGGGATATGAACACACTCGTCCCGCGAGGCAAGCTCTGCCAAGTGCCATGAAGATCTTTCAATCTCTCCCTCGAAGGGACACATGACTGCTCTTTGTCAGCCCCCACGTCGAGCTCCAGAAATACCTTCTACATTTCCGGCACCGTTCCTCCTATCCTCGCTGTGATTTGTAGGTCAGGTCATTTTAAGATACCAAGTCTTACAAGGCAACCATAATTTGCCTTGAGACAAACACGAAGCCCCGGAAATCTAATGGTTTCAGCGAATATTCCCGTTGCATTGGGCTGCGCAAGTAACGCTGGTAACATGCAACTACCCGTCGGCCCTACTTCAGCAATTTGAGCGTCAGCCCATAAATCTTCTTTGCCTTCCTGTGCATCAGGGACCCCATGCGTTGTCTGACTCTAAAAGAAAAGAACAAGAACAAGAATAACCCCTTTCCATGCCGTGCAATGTCAGAGTCTTCGAGAAGTGGTTCGCAGACGTGTGTCACGGTACACTAGCAAGAGGCTATATAATCTTCTGGAATGAAGTCTTCTCCCTCATAGGTTTTCCATCGGTTTCTAGATAAAGTTATCGTCGTTCAAACGAACTATTGTCTGCTCATCGAACACGGGTTCAAAGTGCACGATGGCAGGATTCAGCGGAGCTTTTCGCACGTCCGTGGGCCGCGATGACTTTCTCCGATCCGCCGAAGATGAAGCTTACACGCAAAGCATCATCGCACGGTTGATGGGGACAGACTGGTTCTCTCGTAATGATAATGTCCGGCTGGGTGGTTTGCGAACAGCCTCTGCCCTTGGGGGACTTCCGGATAGGGATTCTCTCAATATGGGGGATGTTATCAGGAATGAGGATATTAGACGGTCAGCTCGAACCCGTTACTTATATTCCTCCTTTTTGACATGGCCGTCCAAACTAAGTGAGGGAGAAAGCTGATGGCTTAGCCTGACATAGGATCAATGCCGTTGTCCAAATTGCCAACGGCCAGGTTACGCCGAACATGAGAAACGCAGAGATCCACCCTAAGTTGTCAACATCTGATGGTCGTTTCCCAAGGGAATTCGATATCCCGAGACGAGTTGATGATTTTTTGACTATGGAAAGTGAGTCTTCATGCACAGTCTCTTCCCTCCCCCGCCCCGGGCCCAACTTGATCTCGTCTACCTGTATCCTCCATCTCTTTTGCTCCCCTTAACTTCTTTTGCTAACCCATATGATAGATAATTCCATAGATCGGATTCTAATTGCCTATGGCCTCCCTCGCGACACCTCCTCGTTCCGCAGACCAACACCCCTCTTACAAAATCGCGATTTCCTCGGTTTCAACCTCGAGGCGGCGAGAGAAGCAAAGCTCTTGACATTATTCGAGTATCTGGGCCTGGACCTTTGTAGTGAGAGGAGATTAGGCGGTGGCATGGGTAGGTTTAGTGGTGGTTTAGCGTGCGGGAATAGGGGTATCGGTCTTTGAAGTAGTAGATGGGCGTTTGTGTGCGTAGTATTGGATTGCATTCTTTTCCTTTGGGTTTATAACCAGGTGTTTTGCCAGAGGTCAGTCATGAAATATTGCTTGAGTTGACTTGGACTTGGGGGGCTTTTTGTGTATTTGGAAAATCCAGATTGAATGCCACGGCGTCGTATCATCTAAATAGCTTCTTTATTCTTTCCGGTTTCTTGTGATTTAGTCACATATCAGGCGGGCATCATCAAGCCAAGTCTCAGACAACATGTTGCTTGTTCTTCTCATTACCCTCTGATCCACGCCCAACCAACCAACCCACACGATAGTCACGGATGATTGATTACCCTATACATTCTTCAACCCCAACCCCATTCGAGCTCCCCCCCACATTTAGGGAAAGGATCTTGTTCCCCGCACATACAAAATACGAATAGCATGATCGCAGCGGGAAGATGCATATCTTATAGATGTCAGCTGGAGCAAACGAGACGAATGACTTTTGCTCCTCTTATTATGTAAATAGTTCCCTAACCTATAATAAGAATATCATTCATTGGAAGGATTACGAGTCCGTATCAAACGATTGAAAGACAATGTTTGCTTGCGTGAGGTGAGTCGGGTATAAGACAGGGGATTTAGAGGAGATGAAGAAAAAAGGATGGATATCAGGTGAGAATGTGATGTGATGATTCATATAAAGATAGGTAATTATGGAATAAAATCAAAAGAATGTGGGGAACCTCGAGGAATTGTCGTATTCGAGCTATGTAAATTGGAAGGTAAGGTATGAGGAATATAAGAGAATTAGATACTTCCAGGATATTTCCAGGATAGGTATTACATAGAAATCAGGACACATGATACCCTCGGTTAAGGGGATCCTACCTACTCATGTAAGGTTTATATAGTCTTTCTAGACCCCTTACCTTTACTCTTCAATCGAGTCCTTTCCTCCCGTTTGACAATGGGTTGGCACTTCCACGAGGTCTTGGAGATCCCTTGAACTATTGTCCTCGTCTATGTGCCAGGACTGGCTATGTATAGGCAGTTGAGATAAGGTTGTTGTCTGATATATCGTCGTTGTTTGATATATCGTTGTCATTTGATGTACCGTTGTCATTTGATGTACCGTTGTCATTTGATATACCGTTGTCATTATTTAGGTGTTTTCCATTGAATTAAGCAAAATAAGCAGACTAGAAATACGGTACAGTAAAACTGCCGTTCAATAAGTGTCGCGATATCCTGGAATGGATTACTGGCGTCTTTCTTGGTATCGTTGTGCTGTGGTAAAGGTTTCTTAGCTGGGACCAGCCAAGTTAAGGTTGAACTAGATCGACTTAACCGGAAAAATCATAAAGCAGTGTAGGTAGAAAGTTGTTCTCAATATGAGGGTTCTATTGAGAAAAGTGGCAAGGCTCCACCCAGCCTCGCCCCAAGGCTACACTGTAGCCTTGCGCTCTAAAATATGACACCTTCTCGCCATAACTGGGTTTCGCAAAACTGCGACGTGCAACAAAACTTTTTACCCACCTATATCTCTACCCCACAACCTCATATCAAAATTCTAAAGAGTGTGTTTTAACGCCCTGATATAGCGCTTCTTGAATATAATGATTTTATTTATCATAGAGCATAGACATTAGGTAAGGCTTTAGGGATTTGGCTCTACCACGCGCTAATTAGTGCCTGGGCTGCCTGGGCTGCCTGGGCTGCCTGAGGCTGCATGAAAGGTGAGATTTCAGAGAGAGATCGGTCACGTGGGTGTTGCTATAGGCAACCGTTCCTCAGGCCGGAAACAAACATTCGACGGTGAACTTACAACCTTCAACTTGTAACATTCAACGAACACCACGACGAAACGCCAAACACCAGACACGATGTCTGCCTCCGAGGATCTTATTGATTTTGATATTATTGAAAGCCAAAAGGAGAATATCCAATCTTTACCCGGAGGACGATCAGCGCGCACCCTCGCAAACTTGTTTTCTCCATCTCCTCTTCACAAATTATCAACACCAACACCCTCGGACACACAGAACCTCAACGATGCGATCAGGCAGGAATATGAGACCGAGCTGCTTAATATTGCCGAATCAGATGATCCTCTAGATATCTATGATCGTTATGTGCGATGGACACTCGATGCATATCCCTCTGCGCAAGCAACACCAGCATCACAGCTGCTTCCTCTCCTAGAGCGCGCGACCAAGACTTTTCTCAACTCACCACAATACAAGAATGACCCTAGATATTTGAAGCTTTGGTTATCCTATATTCGTTTCTTCTCAGACACTCCACGCGAGACATTCGCCTTCCTAGCTCGTCATAACATCGGTGAAAGTTTGGCGCTGTTTTACGAAGAGTTCGCGGCATGGCTTGAAGGCGCAGGAAGATGGACGCAGGCAGAAGAGGTCTACAAGTTAGGCATTGACAGAGAAGCGCGGCCAACACCACGACTCCTTAGAAAATATAACGAGTTCCAGGTCCGATTCTCGCAACAGCCCGAGAACCTGAATGAGCCATCATCTCCGGCCTTACCCACGGTGCGCCCTGCGTTGGCTGCGAAAATTGACCCCTTTGCTGCTGCAGCTCCACGAGATCCTCAAGCGCCAAGGCCCAACTCTGGCATTGGAGGATCATCGACAACAAAGAGTGGGCGCCAAAAGATCGCCGTTTTCTCGGACAACGATGCTGCTGCTCCAGCCTTGGCGCCAGGGGATGCAACGAAAGGATGGCAGAGTATTGGTTCTCTAGCAGATCGCAAGAAAGAGAATATAGTAGAGCCAAAGCCATGGGTGGGAGAGACCCTGAAGGCAGGAGGGAAGAAGAGCAGTACCAAAATTGCGGTATTCAAGGACGAGGCAAGTTCAACTTTTCATTCCACTCCTCGTCATACAAATATTGATGATCACAGGACTAATGATTGGCGATTTTGGCGCTTTGTAATTCAGTCTTTACCTCAAACCATGTGCCAACAAATTCCTCCACCTGCTATGCAACGAGTGACGGTGAATCCGAAGAATGGGAGGAGTGAGCATGTTTTCGTTAATCTTGAAGCTTTATACCCAAACCCCAACATACCGGGGACCGAATTATGTTTTGAAGAGTTGATAGCCGCTCATCGCGGGTGGCTTCATAAAGTGTGGAAGCCGGAGACCGCCCGGCAATCGAATGACTCTGCAGAAATGGAGGATAGAACAGAAGATTCTCATATCAGCAATGATACAATCAGCCGAGGAGTCTCGGAAAAGCTTACTATAGCTCGTGATCCTGTTATGATGGATGAAAATGGAGCGGTTAAAGAGCCCAGCCGTGAAGGGAAAATCAGGAGGATGAAGATTAAAGAAGTCAATGAGACACAAATTAGTGAGTGTTGTCGTACAAACACTTATAACCAAGCTCACAGGAAATAGTCAAGGCAAAGCTCTCATCACCGTCTGGTCCTAAAATGACAAAACGGAAGGCTGCCAAGGAACCCACCATGACTCTTCATACTCGGGCTGCTACTGATGAAATCTACGATATCTTCAGTCAGCCCTTGAAATCGGCAAATGACGAGGAAGACGATGACGAGACTGACGATGACGATGGGGACATGACAGATGGAGACTACACCAGCGGAGGTGAAAGTACTGGAACGGGTCGATTGGTCACCACCAGTGAAGCAGGAGACGACGATGAAACTTCAGATGTGAAAAGTGTCAGTGAATGGTCTGATTTCACTGCCAGAAAGCATATCCCAAACCTTGATGACGATGAAGACGACAACGACACACGAGCCTCCAAGTTTAGTGAGGCAGATGAAGACCTCGAGGCCATCGAAATTGAAATCCCCCAATCTTTAGAAGCACCTGAACCGGCAGTTGTCACCCCTGTCTCCCCAGAGCTTCCGCCAAATCCTCGGACGATGTTTGTTCCCATTCCCCCTGAAGATTACGAACCCCCAATTCATCCATATCGGGACCCATCCCAAGTCCCACAACACCGTCTCCCGTTTATGACACCAATTGCCGAAAAGACAGAATCATCAATAGGCCTTGCAACGGCAAGGGAGGAGAAGGACTACTTTGATTCGAGGACACCCAGCAAGTCCAATGGGTCAACTATGCCGCCTGTGAGGCCCATAGACGGAATTGGCAGTAGCCCTTTCAGGGAAATCGTTAATGAGGCTATGCCGGAGAAGATTGCGCAACCTCTTTTGGGCAAGAGTCTGAAGTCTACTAAGACAACCGCAGCGGCAGTAAAACCCCAAGCTGCTGGTGCGCCACCAACGAAAGAAACGGTCCCCAAAGGGCCCATTGTTAAAGATGCTCAATGCAACCCGGTAGATGACTACACTCGAAACCTCATTTTTGAGGGTCTACAGCCACCTTTGCGTACGTACGAAGGGTACTTCGAGCATCAAGACGAGTCACACGGTCGCGCTGCTGAAATCAAGAAGTTTTCTAAGGCGATGGCCAAAGTGAACAAGAATCCCAGTGATAAGACGGCAACCAACATCGCCATGCCACCGGTCTTGCGCTTTCCTGGAACAGACAGACAATACTTGCTCAAGCGTGAACTTGGAGCTGGGGCGTTTGCCCCGGTATACCTCATTGAGAACGTCGCTGTTGAAGATGGGCCTGAGTCAGATGATGCACCTAAAGCCGTTATGGGCAAAGGAGCATTCGACAGCGCAGCTCGAAGACCCCTTGAAGCATTAAAAATGGAAGATCCTCCCTCAGCATGGGAGTTTTACATCATGCGTCAGGCAAAACGACGTCTCGGTGTCTCCCGAGCCGCAGAAAGCATTGTCAGCGCCTACGAAATGCACATTTACGCAGACGAATGCTATCTCATCGAGGAGTACCGCGACCAAGGTACACTTCTAGATCTCATAAATATTGCACGTGCAGACGCCACGACAACAGGAGGAGTCATGGACGAAACACTCTGCATGTTCTTCTCTATCGAGCTGTTCCGTACTATTGAAGCCTTACATTCAAAGGGCATCTTGCATGGGGATTTAAAAGCGGATAACTGTCTAGTTCGCCTCGACCAACTGTCTGATTCCGACGTATGGTCAGCTAAGTACAGGAAAGATGGCACGGGAGGCTGGAACAAGAAGGGCATTGCACTTATCGACTTCGGGCGAGGCATCGACATGAAAGTCTTCCGTCCCGACGTGCAGTTCATCGCAGACTGGAAGACCGGGCCCCAGGACTGCGCTGAGATGCGCGAACTTCGTCCTTGGACCTATCAGATCGATTACCACGGCCTGGCCGGGATTATCCACTCTATGCTCTTTGGCAAATATATTGACACGGTAGCGGATAAAGGCACGGGCATCGGCGCCGGAGCGCAGAAGCGGTGGAGGATCAAGGAGGGTCTAAAAAGGTATTGGCAGACCGAGATCTGGAGTGCCGTCTTTGATCTGCTCCTGAACCCTGGGATGCACGTCGAGAGTGAAGAGGGGAGTCGATTACCCGTACTCAGGGGAATGAAGAGTATTCGGGAACAGATGGAGACATGGCTAGAGAGTAATTCGGAGAGGGGCGTGGGCTTGCAGGCGTTGGTCAGGAAATTGGAATGGGCTATAAAAGAGAAGAGAAGGTGATTTTTCCGAATGGTTGTCCATGGAATAATGAATGGGTGTCTAATGATGATATGACAGGCGTTGATTAGGGTTTTGGTCTTGGGTTTGTTTGGAGGCGCGATTGCCTGTTCTCTCTCTGCTTTAGAAGTTATAATGTTATGATGCATAATTCAATACTCCAACCAATAAAAGGGGAGAAGTTTTAACATCGAAAGCAAGAAGTTCGAGCACAGTGAGAAAAGCGAAAGCCCCTCGAAAAATATTCAATGAACTATCTATCTTCAAGCCAAAATTGGAATCAACTTTGAGAAACACTTTTTATTTTATCTATCTATCTATCATCTATATGCTGACAGAGTTTCCCAAGCGAGGAGGCGCAGAACATGATTTGATGTATAGATACATTCGAGGACGGCTAACAAGATAGAGATATCCGACTACGCAGCAGCATGACTCTGACACCAATTAACCCACTCAATAAAGAAGGCGGCCTGGATGCGGACCTCGCGCTGCACCCACGCGACCTGGGTATCCCTATAGACGTCTGCGATCTGCGCGACGGTTGCCTTGTCGACGTTATACAAGCTGGAAGCTACGAGGAGACTCGCGGTGCTTGCGGCTTTGGCGAAAGCGTGGGAGGGGTTCTTGGAGGCTTCGAGGTGGATGGCTTTCAGGAGAGCGAGTTGGGCGGGGATGTTGAGGTCTTTGGATGGGGTTGGAGAAGATGAGGAGGGATCGTCGGCCTTTTTGGTCCGCCGGAAGGATTTGGCGAAGACTTGGATGATGGAATGGGCTTTTGTGGCGAGCGCTTTGGTGGTTGTGGTGCGTATCAACTGGAGGAGAGGGAGTAGGAGACCGAAGGCTAGGGGATTGGTGGCTTGTTTCTTAGCGTAGATCTCGAGGAGGTCGAGAACGCGGGATTTGAAATTTATCATTGTCTCGCGGGCTTCTTTCTGTTCCTGTTTCTTGTTGGGCGCCTTTTTGCGCTGCGAGAAGACCTCGACGAGCTTGGCGTCGAGCGCCATCATTTCAGAGTCCGTCATGTCGGCATCGCTGTCTTCGGCAGCTTCTGCATCTTTGTCAAGACCCTGCGTGCCGAGGATTTTGGCGAGCTCTTCATTGAGCGCTTCAGCTTCCGCGTCATCCTCAGGGGAGGAATCGTCAGATTCTGAAGCACTGTCTTCGCCTTCTTCCTCCTCTTCGTCTAGATGTCCGTTCAGATGGCCTTCTTCGCCGTCCATGTCGACGACTTCGACATCCGAGTCCATCTCCTCATCTTCGTCAACATCCATTTCTTCCCCATTCTCGGGCTCCTGATCGAACATCTCTTGTTGTCCTTTCAAACTCTCACTTGACTCCAGCACATCCGTCATGAGCTTCAACCCACCGGCTGTGATAACATCCATGAAAGCAGTGATGACATGCTGTGCGACTTTTCGAAGTAGAGCAGATGGTTTGGAAATAAAAGATAACAGAAGCTCGACCAAGACTTCAGATGCTTCCACGTCCGAGTCATCGGTGTCTTTGTGTCGAATTAACTTGTCATAGCATAATTTTAACTCTTCCAGGACAGATATGGCATCGGACTCGCCATTATAGAGTTGAAAGATGACCAGAGAGTAGACTAGAGCCAGGGCTTGAAGGGGTGCCTTTCGTCGATCCTCCGCCTTTTTCGCCTGCTTCAACAGCTTCTTCATGATAGAAAGTGCATTGTCTTTCGCATCGGTGACATCTTTGTCCATCGCTACAGCATCGGGTGCGAACTTTTGCAGTAAATCGCAGGGATAATGAAAGGCTTTCAAGTCGGATAAGAGATGGGTGAATGCCGACATCAGACGATCCCGGAAAAGAACCCGAGTTTTCTCAGAAAGAGGTGGTGTACAAGCGTACGTATTAGTGTATGCAATGTTTGCAAGCATGGGGAGACCGGCCTCGCCGATCCAACCTGAGCTTTGAGCCTCATCTGTTGCATTAAGTCGCCGAATAATGTCAAGTGTATAGTCACCAAATAGCGTTCTACGCATGTTCGCTTCATCTGATGTGTCCATCCTAATTATAATGAGTCGAGTGCCAGTATGTGTAAATGGACTAGACTTACCTCTCAACATTCAGAGCCGGGTCCCGGAGAGTATCTATCACCTCTTTGACAGTCGTTTCGTTAATCCTGCTCAAAAGCTGATCGATAGTCTTGGTCTTGGTCACTCTGTCAAAATTGTAGGATCCATATCCTCCGATCAGACGAGAGAGGATAGTTGGGAGAGTGTAGGGATGGGCTTCCACGGTCTGAAGGAGCACCTTCAACGACTTGTCCGCTGCTCGATTTAAAAATCGATCCTTTTCCTGGATCTGATTGATGAGGCAACGAACAAGATTACGACTGAATATACTTGGAAAGAACTTAAAGTATGAACCAGGATCCTGTAGCACCTTTTGGAAGAGGAGGAATCCCCAAAATTTGCGCTCGCTGGATGCTGAACTGGAAAACAAGTTTTCTAGAAATCATCAGTACAGGATATGCGTAGGATGTTGTAAGCGCTACTGACCATCGACAGCAACTTTCCAGAAATTCTCAAAATCCGACAGAACACCGCCCTCCTTTGTCTTCTGGGTATTGGCAAACCGTGCCAATACAGTATTCCAGACGAAATGCAATTGAGGATTCCAAACTCCCGAATGTTTGGCTTGCTGAATCTTCGTCTCGCCATCATCATTTGAAGAGCTTTCCTTTAATGCCTTGGCGAGAGTCTGAAGGCGATCCAACGGGTTGCCAGTTTTGCCCCACGGTTTACTTGAAAACTTCATGTTCGGGAATCGATCCTTTGCCGTGATCCAGATCCCCACCCCCTCTGGTGTTATGGCTAATCCCTCATCGTAAAGCTTGTCCAGCGTATATTCTGCCTGAGTCTGGTTCATTTGAGGCAGCGCCTCCATGATAACCCAGCCACATTCTTCTCGGATCCATGGCTTCTTCTTCGCCAACTCCAGCAGCTTCTCCAATATAGTGTTCCAGGCCTCACTCTCTTCGGAAATTATCTTCGCCCGCACGAAACTTTGTAATCCAAACAGCAAGCCAAGGAAATGATCCTTCTCCTCTTGTCCGCTGGTATCTCCTTCTGGTTTCGTCCCCGCGAGCAGAAATCCTAGAACTTTGTCGAATGTCAAGCCAGGATATTTTTTCTGCACGAGCTTTTCTGTGCCAAACAATTGCCTCAGTATTTCCGTCAATACAACACCCCTTCCCAGTCTGGCGCCCTTTCTGCCACTTGCTAGTCCTCGGAATAGATTTCTTTGTAGATGTCGTTGCAATGTCAATTCAGGTACGCCATCCCCACCGAGAAGACCGGACACAATCGCATTGGCTGCATTGAGTCGTTCCGCACTATTTTCGCTTGAGAGGAGTTCGTAGAGTTGGCTTTCTCTAGGATTCAAAACGCCTTTGGGGTTGTCTTCGAACGGAGAAGAGTCGAGTGGGGGTGGAGAGGTTGCGGTTTTGGTGATGGCGTTTTTGGACTTATTCTGGTGCTTTTTTGCAGCAGGAGCTGCTGAAGAGGCATCCTGAGCTCCTCTCTTGCGTTTGCTACCCATGCTGGAGAATATTGTATGTTACGAGGACGAGTCTGCTGAGAAGGAGAAATCGATGCTTAGAGGAGCAATTGTCTGGGGAAATTCTTCGAAATATTTATTCTGCCGCGCTAGGATCAAACCAGCCGCGTTCCAATTGGACCAGGTAAGGCGGACGCTAAGGTAGTGTGCTTGTTACCTATAGTGGCTTAGCTCTGCGTCGCTCCAGCTCTCCCTCCTCTCAGCCTCATCGACAACAAACTACCTACCTAGGTATTTCACCAAGAATATTACTACTATCTTGATTCCTAAGTTTCATAAATCCAAGTTTCTAGTCAACCAACAACAACGCCGCCAACTTTTTCTCCTGCATTCGTCTTGCCGCCTCTTGATGTTGAGAAGCGGATTGCTGAACTTCAAAGGATGCCAGACGAAATTGTTTTCCTCAAGGGTAGAGAGTCATCGTTGTACTTGCGATCGAGATGTATCGGAAAGGAGAACTTTATAGATGGAGTCCATTTATATACTTTCAAGATGGTAAAATTGTAAATAAAAAAGATATTCACGCCAGGCTGCTCTGGTGAGTCGTGACTAGAGCTATGAAGTTACAGCAGCAACACATGGGTACCTTTGCTTGCATTCTTGAAGGGAGCTGCATCTGATAATTCAGGTCATTCTGGCTCTGGCCAAGCAGTGAGGTAAGTGATAGCCTTTCTCCCCCGTCTTTCTAGTTACGGATGGGCCGACATTTAGATAGTCTGGACTCTGAAGCGTGTGGAACTTAGAATACAATCCATAATGACCCAGATACTGATTGACTCAGACTTAAAGCCTACGAGTATAATCAACAATAACTGCAACTGATTTCATTGATTGATCGTTAGGTCGATGATCATATATATCATAATTATATTTTCGTGTCTGGTTATGGCTTCACCAGCTTCTTCATCATTCCGCTTTGTACCAAAGCCCTAATCAACTCAATGGTGATATCAACACCTGTTTTCACAGCAGCATCGTCGCTATCAACTGGAACGTGTAGAAATACCACTCTCCTTTCCTCCTCTTTCTGGTATAGATATGCCAGGCTGGAGTAGTAGATGAAATCGCAAAGATACCTGCCAGCATCTTCTGAGATCCTGACATCGGCAGTTGGCAGTGCAGTCCGCCACCTCCGCCATACATCGTCGATATCCACATCTGTCAAGATCTTCTCTGGCATGCCATGCCAGATCCACTTATCACCCTCCTCCTTCTTCCTCTCTTCATCTTCCAAAAGCTCATTATCCACATCTCGCATCACATAGCCATCACGGTGTCCGCGACGCTCTACGCTGTAGAACTTCCTAGCTGTGGCCATCCCGATGTGTACCATGTAGTCGATCTTCCGTCCCTCCCAGAGCTTCGGCACCAATTCCCTGACTGTTTTGTACGCAACCCTGATCGGTTCCGGGTGCACGAGGATTCGGACGGGTGGATGCTCAGCGATCAAGGAGATATTGGACGACCTAGGGTTCGAAGGTGGGAGGACTGCGGGGAGGGACTTCGCAATCTCCCACGAGGGGTTCAAGGGATACTGGGCTCGGAAAGGCTACGAACAGCTTGCGTTAGCATAAGGTAAGGTAGGTTTGCATCAGCTTCCCGTCCTTCCCGCCCTTCATCATGTTCATGCAGTCATGCAGCAATGCGACGACTCAGACGAGGTCCTATTCGGAGAGGGGCAGAAACGCACACCGTAGCCGGTAACCAGTACCGTGATCTCATCATCCTGATGAGGGATCCCTTCTTCGTTCGAACCCATTATTTCCCTTGCGTAGTCGTGAGGACGAAAAATGAGGGGGACTCTACTCAAATAACACGCACGATGGAAGCGTCATAAAGTGGGATGTTGATTAAAAGGCGCACTTATCGATAAGGCACCTTATCTAATCGTTGGTTCGCTTAGATAAGCATACCGAAACAGACGATTCAATTGCACTCGGCAGTTCGTCATCTAGTACTCTCTTCTATTACTCTTCACAATAATACAAAGGTGCCTAGTACATGTCTTTTAAGAGACGTTTGTCTTTTTCTGATCCCCCTTTACAAGCAAGATAGGAAGTTGGCAAAGCCAGGCATTATCAATTGCCCGATGTAATCAGCAGTTACCATCTTCGCACCTGCAGACTGCAGACTGCAGTCGGGGACTCAGGGCACCCACTACAAAAAGTCTCGGGACCGGATGGCCAGAAGAAGCAATATCTGGCAGAAGCAAACATCTGCCCCGAGCTCCCCCCATCCTTTGAGCAGGACCTGTTTGTAAAATTGTAAGTTGTAACGACTCCATTGATCACCGCGGATTATCAGATTCAATAGCGAGGCTTCCCCTTCCCGATCTATCTCGAGCTGGACCAGTCACACATCCCTGACCACCAGTATATTATCAATATGACGGACGGCCTTATGTCTTTCTCTGACTCGCGACTATTAAAAATCCTAAAATGAGCTCTTGCGCAATTAATGGATTATTGAGTGTTTAGCAGATTCTTACCAGTAAAGCAGTGCTCTGGAATTTTCTTCAAGAAGGGAGAAGGGGAGGAGATGTGGATATATTGAGATAGATACAATTTATTTATTTATAAACAACAAAGAACCTCACCTCCCACCCCCCTTCTAACAATATTACCCATCCCCAAGTAAAAAAAAGGGGGCTCGGCTAATCCCCTTTTCACTCCTATCACCCAAATCCCAACACCCCCCCCCCTAATCCACCCCTTAATCCGCTCGCTCGCTAATCTCAGTCAACTACGAATACGCACACCCGTCGTCTCCCTATCAATCCCGAATCCATAGCACAGCCGCGGCATTTCCATTTCCCATTTCTATTTCTATTTCCACCTTGCTCTTCCCCCCTCCAAACTTCCATCTCCATCTTCTCTCTCTTCAAGAACATCAAGACATTTCAAGCAAATCTCTTTCTCACCTATCTGCATATTCCGTATATCTAAAATAATCAACGGGTAATTCGCAACAAGCTTGATCTATCTATCTATCCTTTATCTGACTGATCACGAAATCCAGAAAGAGGAAAAGAGGAAAAGGGAAGAAGAAAAATGTGTTTCAAGACCTCGTGCCCGACTTGCAGTATGTTATTCCCTTCCTTCCCTATCTAATCTAATCTCATGATATTTCTCTTCATTATTTTTGGAAATTTTTTGGTTCTGGTTTTTGGGAGGGAGTTGTTGGGACAGTTTTGAGGGGTAGAGAGAGAGAAAAAGGAGGGGTTAATCTGATTACGTGGATATTTAGGCAAGACGACATGGCAAGGCTGCGGAAGCCACGTGCCGAATGTGATGGATAACGTGCCCAAGGAGGAGTGGTGCGCATGCACGCCGCAGGTCGAGAAGGAGGGTAAGAAATACCCTCCTGGAAAGGCGAGGTGATTTTGAGGGAGTGTGTCTGTGTGTGAGTGTGTGAATGATGAGTGATGGGATGAGAGCCGGAATGAATGGATGGATGGATGGATGGATGGCGTGGTTGGAGTTGACTTTCTGGTGGAGTTTGAGGGGGAGAGAAGGGAGAGGTTTGGAGGGAGGTGTTTTGAGATGATGGCGTGATGTTTAGAGGATGCTTGATGAAGAATTGCAAATCATTGTGATATCTATATCTCGGTCTATCCTCTATCCGTCCCAAAAGCATTTCTACGTCGTACGTTGACGTTGTACATCTCTAAATCACACGATGGTCATGGAATTCCTCTAAGGAACGGTTACCAACTCACCATCCTTTCGGAACTGACCACGGTGATATTGGATGGGCCACTTCACCTCGACGCCCAGCTTATACGCAACTCTGAACACCCACTCCGGCTCTCGTAAGAACTGTCTGGCAACCAACACTATATCCGCCTTCGTCTTCACCCCCCTCTCGTTCTCGATCTCGACCTGGTCTCTTGGACCCTCCTTGCCGTTCTCGACAATACTCTTGGCGGCTTCCGCCTCGGTGATCAAGCCCACGGCACCAATCAACAAACCCTTGATTCCGGCTTCGAGCAGCTCGGCGCGGATGCGGGCGGCGATATCGACCTGGTAATCAACGTTATGGCGCGGGATGACCTGCTTCTCGTGGTTGCCGCCGGAACTGACATCGAGCAAATCGACGCCGAGAGCGGGCAGGAGCTTCGCAAGGCGGATGGTAGACTCGACGTCCCAGCTCTCGGGCTCTCCAGAGTTCTCCATCCACTCGGTGGAACTAACCCTGACCAACAACGGCATGCCACTTGGGATCACTTCCCTGACGGCCTTGATGGTCTCAAGCAGAAGCCTGATACGGTTCTCAAAGCTGCCACCATATTGATCCGTCCGCTTGTTGCTGATCGGGCTCATCCAGGAGCAGAACAAATATCCGTGCGCAGCGTGGATCTCGATGACATCGACACCCGCCTCTACTGCTCTCTTCGCCGCGTCGCGGAAGCCGTTAATCAGATCCTTGATATCCTGAGCGGTCATCTCTCGCGGCGTGGCATAACCCTTACCCCATGGAATCGCGCTGGGTCCCATGACGTCCGCGGGCCAGCCGCCCACGTCCTCTGTTGCAAGGTCCGATTCGCCCCTGCCGACCAACCACGGCGCAAGCGTGCTCGCCTTGCGCCCTGCGTGGGCAAGCTGGATGCCAAGCTTCTGGCCTTGGGAGTGCACGAAATCTGCGATGCGGCGGATCGGCGCGATTTGAGCGTCGCTCCAGAGACCGCTGTCTTGGGGCGTGATGCCTCCATTGGGGAGCACAGATGTAGCTTCGATGATGGTCAGGGAGGCGCCGCGGAAGCTGAAGGCGCTCAGGTGTTGGAAGTGGAAATCAGTGAGGAACCCGTCCTTCGCTGAGTATGTGCACATAGGCGCGACCTAGAGCGCGGGTTAGTTACTAGGATTGCCATTGAGCACTGCAACAAGGGAACAAGAACTGATTGCATACCCATATGCGGTTCTGGAAAGTCACATCGCGGATCTTGATGGGCGTGAAGAGCGTGGGAGGATTAGGGGAGAGGGCCGTTCCGGCAGGTGGGGTTTGCGCCGGCGTGTAATAGGGCGTATTGGCCGCGGCCACGTTGACTGGTGCCATTTTAAACGGGAATATAGAAGGAAGGGATAATCAAACAGAACCAGATAAAGATACAAGAAGAAGAAAAAGAAAAGAGAGCAATGTACAATTCGCAGTAGATATAAGGGACAGACAAGCTTGGAGGGGTCGGATGGGCAGAAATATTGTATTTGTAAGCGGGGCAAGGCGGTGTAAATGTCGATGCCGAATATCATACCCGCGTTTCGCGTTCAATATCATTGCGACCGCATTTCGACAACTACAAGAACACCCAAATAGCTTTCTCTCAAAGCAATATCGAGCTTCGAATTGCCTGACGATACCAGAACTTGGAGTTACAAGTGAGCCTTGAGTTGGTAAGGAGGAACTTGATCTGATTTCATCTACCTCCGCGCGCATTGAAGAGGCAGGCTCCCGAGAACTGAAAATTGAAGAACTTGATAACAGTGGGCCTCGTTTGATCTTTCCTTCCTTTCTGCAAATCTGACAAACCCATATCGAATTCGGGGGTTCGGGGTTCAAGCAACCGCCAGTGCGGGTCGAACCAAAATACCATATCCTCTTTTGTCTTTGTTTTCAATTGAGCGTCTGTCTATACTTTGGATTTCCAGCGCTTTCTCTTCTTCAAGAGACTACTCTTCATGGGGTTTTCGATGCTATAATCCAGCTCATTAGCTGTGAGCCTGTGATTAGTTAGGACTGTGGTTTGCTCTAAAGCACTGCTAGGAGGGAGGTTCTTCTTCGATCACTTGTCCAATTCCCCAAGTCTTGACTCTCAAGTCCCAGATCTTCTCCCTACCCGATGTTATTTTATTATTTAACCCAAGACCCAATACTTTCTCAATAACTCCTCCTCTCTATTCCTGCCTACCATCTCCAACTCCCACTCCCACAATCCTCCCAACTTCCCATATGGGACCTTTCAATAAACAGTTTTATACTTATACTGTACAAACCCATCCCTCCTATCTCTCCTTTCATCCTATCTGTCTCTCATACATACATACATACATACATACAACTAACTAATATCAAATATCCCTCCCTGGAAAAACTCACAAGAACTACCTTACCTACCTGTCTAACATAACACATCATATAATCTCCGTCTCAAACGAGTGTGGAGCAAGTATCCAAGGAGATGCAACTTACTTAGTGTTTAGAGGCTGCTGATTGATGCGACGACGCTTCTGGTTCTCTTGCTATAGGTATGTTGTTATTGGATGGGGCTATAGATTTCTGCCGGGGAGAAGGGGGTAGGGGGAGTTTCCAGCGCGCAATACAGCAGCAGCCATGCGGCAATTATCTCGTGAAAGCTGTCGTTATTGTCACTCAGAGGATTTAATAAATAATTCAGATATCCGGGTCATTATATCTGTCATCAGTGAATCGTACGTATTGACAGAAGAGAGAAGAAACAAATCACATCTCATTTAAAGATCTATATATGGATATGATCTCTCTTAGCAAATTCACGTGGTACAGTTCAAAATAACTTAGCAAGATTATCATCCTTGTACGATTCTCTATGTAAGGCTATGTACAAGAAAGACATTCCTTGTCTGTCAGGCATTCAAGAGATGATGAATGCTGGGTCAGACAGCAAATATGTACGCGTATATTTTTTTCTTTTTAAAAGGTTCGTGGTCATCATGAAGGTATTCTGCCGAATTTCATCCTCGTTTCCATCCTTTCCTTTGAATCGTAACGGGTCGTGAGAAGAGAAAACGCCGAGAGCCCACCCTGTCCCTTTCCCAAACCCAGATTTAAAAGAACTCCTGGCTTTCTTGGAGGAAAGTCAAGTTGAAGTTGAAGTGAAGCCCGCCCTTGGAGAGAACAAATGAAAGACATTAGGAGGAGGTGGTGCACTGTTTATGCAACAAGTGATGCGTGTGTGCTGAATGAGAAGCAGACGAAATTCGTGAAGGGTCAGGAATGCCCGTGGAATCAGATTAACTCCTGCCAGTTCTGTATCCCCTGGCATCCCAGGAGCGTCAATTCGTGAACATGCCGTCGTGCAAATACGCAAAGTAAGGAAATATTATCATGACAGAAATCTGCAGATATCTGGTCGAAACTTTTGTTGAACGCCACCTTCTAATACTCGGATTATTTATTGAGAAGTCTCTCGTCGAGCAGCAGCCTCACGGCTCCGAATCTCCTTGAGCTTCTGATCCAGATGTGATAATCGCGACTGCAGCGAAGGCCCCTCGCCAAAATCGAAGGATTCGATCGATCGACGGGTTTGATGCATAGTTGCATAGCTACCGCGACGGATCGTAGCGTTGGCATCTGGGAAGAGGCATCGAGGGAATGTCTGGCTTGGGATCGACTCAGAGAAGGGAGATCCGAGACGGGGAGGACCGACATTGCCAGAAGGAAGGAGCTGAGAAGCGCCAGTAGAAGGGCCTGCAGCAGATCGGGATTCGATGATCTCAGAGGGTGTAAATAGATTTGGGGCTGTCTGAGATTTAGAGAAGAGGCCAGGAACCCGATTCAGTGGTTCATCCGGACGGCGGCGGAAGGCTTCATCACCAAGACTAAAGCCACGGCTTCTGACACGACGTTGATTGCTTAGAAGCGGGCCACCAAATAGTTGCTCATCGAGAATGCTAGGACGTATTACTGCTCCATTGGGGCTGAGTTCTTCCTCCAAAGGATGCTGTGCTCGCCGCTTCTGGGTACTGTTCAGAGAGCGAGACTCATCGAAATGAACAGGAGAACGAAGGAACGGTCGTGGTGGGATAGTATCAGATTGTGTGCGAGATGAAGGGCACTCCAAGACACTCAAGGTATTCGAGGAACTTGGACCATACGTATGGGCAAATGGCGAGCCTAATTTACGGTCTTGACAGTCATTGTTGAGTATGAATGATAGACCTCGTGATCTACCAAAACTATGAGGTCTGAAAGCCTCCCGTGGTGGAAAGCTAGAGGCGGCCGGAATATCAAACGGATCATCCGACGTTGCAAGCTTGGCAAGGGGTCCATCAGGTTGCATGCTCTCAGCAGTGCTGGTTGTCAAAGACAATGCAATATCTTGGGTAGTGAAGGACGAAAAGTATGGTGGTTCGGGTGTTCGTACGTGAGATCGGAACTGCTTAGAGAAAGGAGTAGGGCTGCGAGATTGAAGATGACGATGATGACGGACAAGATCCGAGTCCGTACTCTTGCAAAGTTCCCTCAAATGTGCTCTGGTCGCGTTGCTTGAGTGCGGCCACTGTGCATAGACTTTTGGGGTCTCTGCGGTAGGTGTAATGCTTTCGCCCTCAGACGGGGCCTCACGTGGCGCAGGGCTAAGTCTTGAAGATCGTTGAGCCGCTGTAACTGCCCTCGGACCCTTCCAGCTCCTCTTAGCCTGCCTAGCCACTCGGTGAACGATGCCTTGAGGGGGTATGGCACTGGGACCGATGCGGAAAGGGGTGACGGTGGGATCCTGCAGATAGAGGAGATATGTATCCCAAAGATGAGCGCTCTGCTCCTTGGTCCATGGGGCATCGGTTCTGGCCTTGCTACGAAGCTGCTTATTCAGAGGCGCAACTTCTTGAGCAGGCTCCTCACGGTATAGGGCCTTCCCCTTGCCTTTCGAGAAAGACGGAAACTGGAATGGATCCGCAAAATCAGAATCTGGACTGGTGCAGCTACCATCTTCAGATCGATGGGATACTCGGCTGCCACTGTAGAGTGAATCATCCGAGAAGTCGGAGTTGTTCGACATTGCGGATGCTGGTCTTTCCAGATTGTCAGGTGAGGTCATGGAATCCATCGACCAGTCTGGGCGTTGACAGCCTTCCTTCATCGACAGCGTAAGGATTGGCGTCTTTGGCGGAGACGCGCCTCTGAAATCGCGAGGTTGCGGGGAGAGGAAGCAGGACGTGTCGACCGTGAGTGCTTCACGATCGGCCATCTCGAAATCTTCTGATGTAGGAATGGCTGCTTGTGGTTCTTGTATCGTAGGGATCATTACATCTGCTGCAGCGACGGACGCGAGAAACTGTTCGGTCGGGGCGTGGAAGCTCGAAGCGTTGCGCCTCCGAACCTTCAGTCGCGTCGGTCGAGGGGCGGAAGGCGGTTGCAGTTCATCGATTGCCAAGGGCTCTGGGGTCGTGGGGCGATCTTCGTTTGGACGGAATCGAAAGTCTCGAGGAAGGGATGTAGACCCATTCGACTGTTGATAGAACATCTTGTGCAGGTCGGCGCGAGGTATGTAGTGGCGTAAGGGGGTCGTGAACGGGACGCAAGGAGATGATCGAGGGGGTTTGAGATTTCGGGTTGTACAGGACCGATAATGAGTGCGCGGTCCAGGGCGGTTGTGTTTACAAGAGAAATATAGTACACCAAGCTCTCTGAATGAATCGAATCCGAGAAAGGAAAATCGCGGTTGTTGGTGTATCGGGCCTCGAAAGTGAGCTCGGCGCGCGATCTTCGAGAGCGCGATTTGGCACCAGCGTCGAACGTGCGCAACAATGACGCTGCAGCTCTCGCTCGAGATATCTTCCTAGAAGGCGCAATCCCTCAAGGGCGGTACGGAATGGGCATCTGGGGATGGTGGTGGGAGAATTGAGTGGCTGGGCTTTGTGTGTTCGAGAGGTACCTCAACGACTGCGCAGCAGCGGCAGTGGTGGAATAGGGAGGATTGCGAAGGAGGATCGAAAGTTTCGAGAGATTTCAATCAAGCAAAGCACTTCAGTTGTCACGACAGCCAGTATGATGTTGTAGGTCGACCGTGCCAGAGACTCCGCACTTTTCTATTGCTCTTTGTGGTTGTCGTCGTCGTCGCGAAAGCGCGAAGTTGGTGTCTATTGGATAGTGTCGTTCACGACGTCGTGTAATTCTCCGACAGACGTTCTCGGCCGTGTCGCTGACGTCTGCTGGGTAACAGGCAGCTAGCAGCAAGGAGCAAGCAGCAAATAGCAAAAGGAAAAGACAAAAGGAACGAACGCGATGGAGATGAGGATAGGTGGGTGTCGGGCGGTCGCAGAAGCACAAGGCAGCAATGAGAGTTGAGCTGCTAAGGTTGCAAATGTCGAAGGAGAGCGCGAGCAAGAGAGGTAGAGCACTCAGTACTTAGTGGACAGTACTCCCATCGGCCAGTCGAGTGAATGGTAGGTAATGGTCCTGAGTGCGACAAGAATTCCCAATTGGCGGGTGAGTTGCGGTGTGAGGGGGGGGCAGAGCGCGCTTCTTCACGTCTTCACTCGGCACTCCTCTGATCCTGGCCCTTGTCCCTTCCTGGAGTCCTGCAAAGGCCTGTTCTCCTGGATACAGCAGAGCAGAAGGGATGGATAGGTGTTCGACGGGGGGGATGTGGAATGCGATGCGATGCGACGGGAGAGAAAGGGAGAAGAGAGCGAACGAGCGACGAGCGAACGAACGAACGGGGGCGAGTGGGCGCTGGGCGCTGGGCGCTGGGCACTGGGCACTGGGCACTGGGAAGACCAGAGGTGAAAGCGCAGGGGCCGAAGTGCGCGACGCGGACCTATGCAGGTGACGGCGGAGACAAGCGCGACTTTTCCCACTCCACTCGCGAGGCCATGGATTGTGGATTGTGGATTGTGGATTGTGGATTGTGGATTGTGGATTCTGGTAGATTGTGGATTGTCCAGGATCCAAAATAGATCAATCAGGTCTTGACCCTCTTAGGTGTGCGGCCATACATGGCTGTCCAGGTGTCCGGCACAGAGGGGAGGGCGTTGTCTCTTGTCTCTGGTTTCGCGTCAAGTCCGCGTTTCTCTGGTCTCTTTTTCCCTTTTCTTTTTATATCTCTTTTTCCTTTTCCTTTTTATACCCCCTTTCCATTTTCTTTTCTTTTTTTCCTTTGTTTATATCTCCTTTCACTCTTTGCCTCAGGTACTCTATTCTTGCAGTATTCTTCACCGCGGCATGCTACTACCTATTATTATATTATATACCGTAAATCCCTTATCGCAGACATGTTATTTCGACTAATTCCTGTATAAACTTCTGCTTGTGGCTTGATCTAATTACGTGCTCGCTTCACGCTTTCGATTCTTGGTATGGCGTCCCCACCAGACTTTTTTAAGTTTTAACCCTCAAACAAAGACTTGTGAATATCCACCGCGGTCCTGCTTATCGTCTGTCGATAGCCATTGATTTGCCCCAAGGTACCCCATGCCCTAGGTACATCAGGGATCCAGCACTTTAACCTACAGAGCGCCGAGCACACACAGGGCACAGGGCACAGGTGAAGTAGTAGTTGTCTGCGCTTACACCTCTCCCACCGCCATCAGGGTAAACAGCCCCCTTTATCCCATGCTCATCATCGGGGAACTCGGGCCTGAAGCTCTGCCTTCTCACTGCTCGAGGGATACAGGCGAAACGTCTCAAGTCAAGATTCAGAAGGCCCTTTGCCGCGGGCCTTGGTCATTGGGCCTCACATCGACCGTGTGTGACAAAACTCGCGGCTTCTTTACCAAACCTTGCCCTTGCTTTCCACTGTACAACTGTACCTACATGTGCATGAACCAACGTGGTGTTGTGCAAACGGGCGGTAACATGTTGCTCGGGTGGCTGATCAGAGTTGTGGAGATTCTCTACCCGCGTTACGATCTGCCTTAGCTATACTCCACTGTTTAAATCAGTTCCCTTCTAAGCCAAACAAGCTAATCTTGACGTCTCCTTGATCTGAACAACATTCTGTTGATGAGCGTCAATCTGTCTGTTCCCTCAAGCAGGCACCAAGTTTGGACTGCTGTCTCAAAGCCTACCTAGATGTCGTCTCACTAAACCTATCGGCAGCCACCACGGATATGGTTGGCTTTCCTCGCTCCGAAGAGTTGGCAATGCTGCATTTTCCGCCTCAGACACACTGATCAGTCCAGCCTATAGGCGGTGTTGCAACAAGCCCGACGAACACTCAGGCCGCGAATCCATAAGCATCCTCCGGACGATAGGCCTCTTCCCCGATCCCTGTCTTCGGCACGTACCAACGACATGACGTGAAGGGATCTCCAAATTCCCTTCGAGATGGTCCCCAACGGAAAGTCTACAACTTCTTCCATACCTTAGGAGGCACCTTCGGGATCTCAAAAGAAGATTGGGATCTCGTTATCGACGTTTTGCAGGCCAATCCGGACGAGATTCACTGCTGGATGAGCTTCTTTAGCACTCATCGCTGTACCCCTGACCCCCCGCGGAAAGCTTCCAGCGACGTTCGCTCCACGACAGACTATCAGAAACCCAGAGGTTCGAGGACGTCATTCATACCACAAGCCGGCTATATATATACCTCTTCCCACTTATCACTGCTATACTCGATTGAAATGGATTCAAGATAATAGCGACACCATCCGTGATATGCTAGAGTATTTCTATTCCCAAGCCCGAGTTCTCCCCGGACCTTGCAGAACCATCGCTCTACGACTGGACGCCGACCACGCAGAGGAGTGGTATAGCAGCATTGCTACAAACACAGCAGCAAGGCCCATCTATGGAACGTCAGCCCTCCTTATTCTTCACCCCCTACTGTTCGCATTGCTCAAACCATATTCATATGCATTGCCTTCCCCTATCTCGCGTATACATTAGTAAAGGAGCGTAGGGCTACTTCTTGTGCCTATCTACCATAACATATCTAGGATCTCGGCCGCCTTACATACTACAACTCACTGATCCAAGAAGCCCAAACATGGCCACCTAATCAACATCTATCAGATACAGGGCTGGTTTGAAACTCACTCTGGAGCACTCGTTATTGACTTCCTGGGGTTCAGGAGAATCTACATTTTGGCCTTGGTCTTTGATTCAAGAAACTTTTTTGTTTTATTTCTGGATACTAGCAGCAAGTAGCATTTTTAGTCTAGTAGCTTTCCCTGCTACCCGTACGTATATCTTAGCCTTACACGCCCGGAAAGAAAAAAGAGATATGAAACGCCATGACTTGACTTGCAGAGCTTTGTGACGCGCACGAAAAGCAACCTTTCTGTGCCCAAGTCGTCAAGAATAATCCCCATTCTCGCATCTTTCCACTCCCATCATCCCAATCGCAAACCCCCCACGGAGAAGAAAGAAAAAAGAATGGGAAATCACGTAATAGTACAAGACAGACAGACAGACAGATAGACTCGCCCACTCCCTCCTTTCCTACCGTCCATAACTAGCTCTCAGCGCCATCAACTGCGCCCTATCGGCGGGCGGCAGACTATCGATCAGCTCCTGCGGCATAGCCAGGACCTGCTGCATGAGGGCGTCGGAATCGGGGAGTGCCTGGGGCTGGGGTGGCGGCGGGGCGCGCGCGGGCGGGGGCGCATACGCGGGGTTCTGCACGGGCGGCGTGCCCATCTGCATGCCCAGCTGGCCGCTCATATGGGGCGGCGGCGGGGGGTATCCGGGGGGGTATCCATAAGCGGCAGCAGGAGGAGGAGGAGGAGGTTGTTGGGGCTGGGCGGCGTCGACGACGGAGGCGAGGGCGTCGGTGGAGACGAGACCCATGAGGAGGAGGGCTTGGAAGATGGCGTAGGAGAGCTGCGGAGCTTGGTGCAGGAGCTCGGTCGCTTTGGCGGGGTCGGTGGAGGTTAGGGTCTTCATCTGCGAGAGCACGTCGAGGAGTTGGGCGGGGGGGAGTGTGTTCAGCGTGCGGGAGATGGCGTCGGGGCAGTTGAGGCCCGGAGGGAGGTCGACGCCGATGGGGAGAGGGGGGAGGGTGGAGGTGTTAGGTTGGGGAGGCGGGTTGGAGAGCCCGTTGGAGGGGAGGGGCGTGTGTTGGTAGTTTGATGGTGTGGACTGTTAGAAGTGGTTAGTAGGAAGCTCGAGGGATATATATGTATATATAGAAGTAAAGCTCACGTTTTCGTCATCCCCGCCATCGTTTGAAAAGTCCACGCGCAGTTTTCGATTCATGATCTCGAAGTCATTGAGGTTCCGTACTGCGGATGCTGCTGAATCTGTTGAAGGGGGAGGCGTCAGCTGGGTCGCGCGAGGGAGGAGAGACAATCAAGAGAACGGACCTGCGTCTGGGTATTCTGCGAATCCGAAGCCTTTTGGCCGGCCAGTTTCGCGATCATAGACAAGTCGGAAGGAGACGACCTTGCCTGCGCTGCTGAAGATATCGACGATCTGCTCTTCGGTGAGGCCTAGACATGCGTGAGCGTCGTCGTCGTGGCGAGCTTGGGGAAGGGTTCGAATTACCATAGGGGATGTTCCCCACGAAGACAGACTTTGAAGGGGGTTTCGACATCTTTTGGAGTGAGCGACTGTGTCGATCTGGATGGTGCAAGAAAGAGGGGGACGGGAACAAGATCACAGGGAGCTCGCGACCAGATCTCAGGAATGAGGATCACTGTCGTCACCTTCAATTTTCTTGGGGAGATTGGCACAGAAGTCTTTGGAAAAAGTGGTTCTGGCTATTCTAATCCACCAGCCCGTCCTCAATATGCCCGACGTACTTTTCTTCACCCTTTGTGACAAGTTCCCCTGCACTTCATGCGCGATCGCAGAGTTCGATTGAGGTTGATATCGTTACGCGCGCCTAAATTTTGCGGAGTTTAGCGCGATGACAACGGGCTAAGCTCTTTTCGTGAGGTTGCTCTTCAATACTTTCGAGTCTCGACCCAAGTCGTCAACATCTCCCCCAAATCCCCATCTCGCAACGACGGGACGACTCTCGACATTCTGCAAAGATGTCCCACCCACAGGACGCATGGAAGCAGCTTCAGAGGATGGCCAATAGGGCCGGAGCCGGCGGAGGCGGACCTTCACCAAAGGGCATTGCCGGAGGTCTCGGTGGAACCATCCTCCTCGGAGGAGCTCTCTGGGTCGCCAGCAATTCCCTTTTCAACGTCGACGGTGGTCACAGAGCTATCAAATATACCAGAATAGGTGGCGTGGGCTCTCAGATCTATAATGAAGGCATGGCGCCCTTTTTGAGATCCCTTCGACCTCGGCATCGCAACTAACGTTCGAGCTTCACAGGAACGCATTTCAGGATCCCTTGGTTCGAAACACCCATAGATTACGATGTCCGAGCGAAGCCACGTAACGTTGCGTCCCTCACCGGAACCAAGGATCTTCAGATGGTCAATATTACTTGCCGTGTGCTCTCCAGACCCCGAATCGATGCCCTTCCCCAGATCTACCGAACACTAGGCACAGACTACGACGAGCGAGTCCTACCTTCGATTGTCAACGAGGTGCTGAAGAGTGTGGTTGCGCAGTTCAATGCTAGTCAGTTGATTACCCAGCGTGAGAATGTCGCAAGATTGGTCCGGGAAAATTTGTCGAAGCGTGCGGCGAGATTCAACATCCTGCTTGATGATGTTTCTCTGACGGTGCGTTCGTCCGACGGTTCACAGTTGAGCATATACTGATACATTCTAGCACCTTGCTTTCTCCCCCGAGTTTACAGCTGCTGTTGAAGCTAAGCAAGTCGCCCAACAAGAAGCCCAACGTGCAGCATTCGTTGTCGACAAGGCCCGCCAAGAGAAGCAAGCTATGGTCGTCCGAGCCCAGGGTGAAGCACGGTCTGCCGAGCTGATTGGAGATGCCATCAAGAAGAGCCGATCATATGTTGATTTGAAGAGGATTGAGAACGCGAGAGCCATTGCACAGATCCTGCAAGAGGCTGGTGGAAGGAACAAGCTGTACTTGGACTCGGAGGGTTTGGGTTTGAATGTGTCGGAGGCTTTTGAGGACAAATCGAAGAAATAAGGGTGTTGGTAATGTAAAAGGAACTCTCCACTGTATTCAAATCGGGCTGTGTATTTTATAAAATGAGAGGTACCTTTGATTCTCCCAGGCGTCGGAGCCAGAAGCACAAGTCAGTCCACTTTGCATCCTTTATTCGCTCTGGGCTCCTTCTATTCAGTTCAATTGGTAAGTCTCCTCCCCTTCTATCATCAAACTTCGTGGCCAGTTACAGCCATCCAAAGACCTTAAATCTCCCACACATCTGACTAGACTGGTATTACTACGTCTGAATGTGTCATTCGCTTGCCTCCTTCACATTGCATGTCCACCGAGCCTGGATTGTACTTGAGGACAGGTACCTGGGGTGATCCGGAAGAATGGGTTGCGGCTCCACCATACAACTTTAGACTGAATCATTGAGTTGGGGTTTGAACAGGGGTACTATCGTCGGGACAATGAAGTCCAGGATTGGCCATATGAACAAGAACGGCATCAGATGATCGAATATAGAACTATCGACCTTTTATCACTTCGAAAAGATTACGAGGGAGACTCGGGATAAACTCGCGGGATCACAATGCCCCAAATTGCCTATGGCATCGCAAGCAATGATGTCTACTACACCATCGATTCCCTGATCCAACAGCTCGTCAATATCAAAAATGAAACGGGGGTGTTCCTCTTAAAGCTCGACGGGCGGGTAATCGACACAAAAGGTTGGAATAGCTGGGAATGGACCCACGGTATCGGGCTCTACGGCTTATGGAAATACCACACCCTCACAGACTCCACCTCCTGCCTAGAAATCATCGAGGCCTTGTTCGCCGCCCGCTTGGTTCGCTGAGGGCGGCACGACGAAGAACGTCAACACCATGGCTGCGAAGCTGCCAGGCTCTGACACGATACCAAGAGCCTAATGGACTATGGCGGACGCTGATCGACCATCCCATTTGCGAAGGCTCACACGCGGAAAGTTCTGCCACGGCAGGATTTGCGCTCGGGATGTTGAAGGCGCTGCGATTGCGATATATACGCAGTGAGGAGTATAGAGAGTCGGCGGTCAGGGCTGGGAAGGCGGTGCTGGCGAATATTAATGCGCTGGGGGAGCTCACAGATGTGAGTTCTGGGACGGTGATGGGACATATGTTTCAGCATTATAAGGATATTGAGAGGACGATATGGCTTTTTGGGGGAGGGGAGGGGGGGGGGGGTTGAGGTTAAATTGAGACCGAGTTAATATTTTCATGAAATACGTGGTTCTAGCTACTGGTATAGGGCGGGTCTAGAGATGCGCGGTATAAATCTAGCAGAGTATCTCGATCAAGGAGGGTTGGGCTTTCTTGCCGGAGCAAGAGGAGAATAACTGTCGGTTATCTATCTGCCTTGAATACCTATAGGTAGTTTCATGCCACAAACAGCATTTTAAGTACCTAGCGAAAGAAAAGGCAAACCCTGACACACTTCTTCTCTCCAACTAGCCGAAAGGTTATGGAAACGACGCTCATTGAAACAACAACGAAAGCGTCAAGTGAGCTAGCTATCATATCTGGATCCAGAATATATAGCGGTTGTTGCATCGAAGAGAAACACGTGGACAGCCAGGACGGATCATGACCAGCGTTGGATCTTCCTCTCAAGTCATGGATGCCAATTTCTCAAAGCCTTTCGTCAACGCCCAGCGGCCTGTGAAATCCCCTTCTAGTGAAGGCCAGGTCGCAACACATAGATCCCAATATCGGGCCTGTTCTGTGCCTTCATGCCCGGCTCGGCCGTACTCTCTCGCGCAATGAGGTTTTACCTTCCGCATCCTTTCGCCCAGCGCTCCGAGACAAGCCCCAGCGTCGCTTTGAGACCGCCGCCCCCGACATCTGCAACGTGATACGGGAGTTCTGCGGTCCTCCACAAGGGAGAATCTGGAGAAGAGAAGGACCGACAGATTCCATACCAGGGCAATGTCTTTCCTCCCCCGCATTCGTCCAGATCGCGGGGCTTTTGCCCTTTCGGTCACGAGACGCGAATCCCGGCTGATCCATGGCCCTTCCCGCTGAGCTTGTTCAGACGACACCTGGTGATAAACTGGCAAAGGCACGTCGCGACTGTCGCGGGCGTTACCCTCCTCATGACCTAGGCTTTCCCACTCGTGCGCCACTTGACACCGAAGGGTGGCTAAGACGCGAACTTCTGGTTCTAGAAATGGCACTGTTATTGGCCTACGAACGAACTTGACCAGAGATCCAGATTCAGATCGTCCTGCTGCAAAGTAGTATTTGTTGACCAGAAGACATCCATATGGTCACCACCAAAAGGGCCGCAACTGTCTAGTGGCACGTCGTCAAATACTTCTGGAAAGAAGATGGAGAAGATGTCTATTCAGAGCTACGGAACACACACCTATGATCCCAACGACCTTTCATGATGCCGTCTTTTTGCTCACATGTCTTCTCGGCAGTAACGTTACCAACATCTAATAGGGCCGCTGTTGCTACCCTGCCCATGATTCTGCAGACTTTCCCATGCGTCTGCCCCCTAAACTCATGATGTATCGGACATACCCTCCACCGATGATATGGCCCCGAGCCTGGAAGATCTTGTCTTCACCTTGTTCATCAGGCCTTTGTTATATCCAATCAATTAGCCTAGTATGGACCGAGTTCACAAATGATCGAGTCTTTTATTATTGATTTTACCCTGCACTATGTTGAAGATGCGAGGCGGCAATATGAAGTCTCCTAGATGATAAATAAGTGAAGCCTATTCTCCTTCTATCGTGTTCTTTTGTTTCCTTTCATCATCTCCATTCTTGATACCCAGTCATAATGAAGTTATCCTGGGGCTTTTTGACGTGCTTGGGTCTAGTGTCCCAGGCTTCTTCACAGTCTTATTGGTATGAAACAATTGCACACCAGGGCGTATCCCCATACAACCCACAAGGATCGGCCTACCAAGTTTTCAGAAACGTCAAGGCATTTGGTGCCAAAGGTAGATATGTCGTAGCTGTCTCGCAATTCGTGATGGTGCCGCTAATCTCTCATAGGCGACGGAGTGACTGATGACACAGCTGCTATCAATGCTGCCATTTCTAGCGGCTCACGTTGCGTGGAGGGCCCTCCGCCTGGTGGCTGTCAGTCCAGTACTACTTCACCAGCAGTAGTATACTTCCCGGAAGGCACATATCTGATCTCCTCGTCCATTTTACCATACTATTTCACACAGCTCATCGGCAATCCAAATGCTATGCCAGTATTGAAGGCCACTGCTAGTTTTAGCGGACTTGGCCTTATAGACGCAGATCCATATGGGTCATCTGTCCCCGACTATGTAACCACCAACGTCTTCTACCGACAAATCAGGAACTTCGTCTTCGATACAACCAATGTTGCTTCAGGCACACAAGTTAGGGGAATTCATTGGCCCACGTCCCAGGCGACCAGTCTGCAGAACTGTGTCTTCCAGCTTAGCCAGGCGAGTGGAAATCAACACCAGGGTGTCTTCATTGAGAACGGTCGGTATTATTATATTGCGTGCGGTCCTTACTGACTGATTTACAGGCTCTGGCGGCTTTCTCACCGATCTGGTCTTTTATGGCGGATCTCCAGCTATGAGCATTGGGTCTCAACAATTCACATCTAGAAACCTCACGTTCCATAAGTAAGTCTCTAGTACTTCCCATGAGAAATCCACCTGACTTGAAACCAGTTCCGTTACTGCTATTTCCCAGTTGTGGGATTGGGGGTGGACGTACATTGGTCTCTCGATCAACAATTGTGGAACTGGGCTCGATATATCTGCAACAGGAACCGTAAATGGTGTTGCAAATGGCTTAGAAGTCGGTTCCGTGACATTGATCGACAGTACCATCAGTAACACTCCTATTGGTATCCGCACCTCCAGGGCCAGCGGGACATATCCTGAGACAGGAGGAAGCCTAGCGCTCGAAAACGTGGTACTTACTAACGTTCCAACTGCCGTCCAAGGTCCTTCTGGAGTCTCTCTGGCAGGAACTACGGGTACAATGACCATTGGTGCTTACGTTGAGGGCAATTCGTATAGTGCAAGTTCCACCACTCCCACTACTATTGCTGGGACTGTTTCGGCTTTCCCTCGGCCAGCGTCTCTCCTCTCTGGGAGCGATTACTACACACGCTCCAAGCCTCAATACCAGAATCTTGCTGTCTCTCAATTCTCTAGCGTCCGCACTGCTGGGGCAAGAGGAGATGGAGTCACTGATGATTCAGCCGCAATCCAGTCCATCATCACGTCCGCGACAGCCGCTGGCAATATAGTATATTTTGATGCTGGAATCTACAAGGTCACGACAACTATTTATATACCTCCTGGAGCCAAGCTTGTTGGAGAGACGTACCCAGTTATCATGGGTTCAGGCTCATACTTCTCAGATGTCAACAACCCACAACCTGTGGTGCGAGTCGGATCTACAGCTGGGGAAAGCGGTGTCGTTGAATGGTCCGACATGATAGTCTCCACGCAGGGTGCCGCCTCGGGTGCTATCTTGATTGAATGGAATCTTGCCTCCCCTGCTGCGACACCGTCAGGCATGTGGGATGTTCACACGCGAATTGGTGGCTACGCTGGAAGCGACCTGCAGGTTGCTCAGTGTGCTGTTGGGGCAGCTCAACCCAACACCAATTGCATTGCCGCGTTTCAGTCGATGCACATTACGCCTATTGGAAGCGGAGTATATATGGAAAATGTGTGGCTGTGGTCAGCGGATCATGACATTGACGACTCTCAAGACACCCAAATCACTGTCTATAGCGGCCGTGGTCTTTTAATCGAAAGTAGTACAGGCAACGTCTGGCTGTAAGTTTTCCATCCTTGTATCTGGTACCTCTCTAATCATCGGCAGAATTGGCACGGCCGTCGAGCATCATACGCTATATCAATACCAATTTACCAACACACAAAATGTTTTCATGGGCTTTATCCAGACCGAGACTCCGTAAGTAACTCCCCCCTCCATCACTCTCTAGCCCACCAAAGTTAATTTCACAAGGTACTATCAACCTTCACCCGAGGCCACCTCACCCTTCAGTCCCGTAGTTTCCCGAAACGACCCCGATTTTGGCGTCTATTGCGCCGGGAGACCCTCCACCTGTAATGACGCCTGGGCCCTCAGGATTCTGTCCTCCCACGACATGCTGGTCTATGGAGCGGGACTGTATTCCTTCTTCGACAACTATAGCACTGACTGTTCAGCCCACAACGCTACCGTATATAACGAGGTCTGCCAGACACAGATTTTTGGCATCGATGAAGGCGGTAGTAGTGAGACCTATTCTGGCAGTACCGTCTATATATATGGTTTGAATACGCTCGGGAGTGTGAGCATGATTGACAGGGATGGGACAAGTATCGCTGCTCAGAGCGCCAATACGAATATGTATACAGAGATTGTTGCTATGTATGTTACTTAGCATCCTGTAGATATTGGGGAGAGATAGTAGAAGTATGTTTCTGAGATATTGGGTAAATTAAGGAAACTAGGAATTCATATCGAGCTTTCAGAACGGTTTCCCTTCAAGCCTGTTCAAGCATTGAAACTACCTGGGTGGTTGACTGAAACTCAGCATCCGAACTTGCCCCAAAACATAGAAGAAGATACAATGAGAAGTAAAGCAGAACAAAGAAGTGAAAATCAAAGAAGCGAAGGAAGAAATGAAACAAAATATAAACTGCTTGATAAGTACTGCCTTCGATCAGCTCCCCCCGTGCCCTTCCGCCATCGGCCGCCGGAAGAACTGTAGACCCGACCTCCGGCAGCCGACGATTCTCCGAAACAATCAACCATCAAGATGTCTTCCGGGCTCTCTTAGAGCCTTCCATCCCTCTCCTGTTCCCACGGTGAAGCAATCCACAGCACCGTCCCACGACACAAGACACCCCGTTCTTAAGCATCTAGACAGCAACCCTCGCCACCCGTCACCATGTTAATCAAGTAAGATACTCCCCCGCCTTGGAGAGCGCCATGGAGCTGACGAGACGGAAAAGGGTCCGCACTTTGACTGGCAAGGAGATCGAGCTTGATATTGAAGCTGATTATAAGGTGCGTCACCTCTTCCTCCCTCCTCTTAATTTTCTATGCTTCTTTGCCTTTCAGTCTCTTATAGCAGGAGGGGATAGAAACTGATATCTTAACGGTGCTAGGTCGCTCAAATCAAGGAGAAGGTCGAGGAGAAGGAAGGTATCCCACCCGTACAACAGCGTTTGATCTTCGGCGGTAAACAGATGTACGTCCCCCCTCCCATCTCTCTCTTACATTTCAAAACCCGCTCGATCAAGTAGCCGGCCACACGAGCCATCAAGGAAATGGCATGTTCGCAACTATCTATCTATCTACCTACCCCACTACTACCCCGCCATCCCGTCCCGAAAAAGACAGAAGGAAAGAAGCTAACCCACTGCGCGCTCAGGGTCGACGACAAGACAGCAGCAGATTACAACCTCGAGGGCGGTGCCACGCTGCACTTGGTTCTCGCTCTACGCGGCGGCTGCGCGCCCTCCTCCTCCTCCTCCTAACCCCGCGAATCAATCCCGTCCGTCCCAATCTCTGAAACCCCCTCGCGCGCGCAGCACTGGAAAGAAGAGGATGGCGACACCGCTATAGCGGGTTTTTATGGAGGGCCGCGCGCGACGTATGCATGGATACTGCTACTGCTGTGGCTGGTTCTGATGGCGGGCAGGCTTATGCAAATTTTATCTTCCCGCTTCTCGTTCTGCGCTTCTTTCATGATGAGATGCCGGCATGATGGCGTGGGGGGCTCGGGGCGTTCCGTTTGTTCTCTTTTTTTTTTACTTACCTTACCTTATCACTTGCACGCATGCGGGGCTGGTTGATCATGATGCATCTCTAGTCTTAGGGTGTGATGGTGACATGAGGGGGCCGGATTTGTTGAATCTAGGCTTTTGTGTGAATTGCTGAAGCGTTTCATATTGTTTCTGATGCATGTGACTCTTCTTCCTTGTGAATATGCCTTTCCATTTCTCATCTACCTATCCATATATGCCCTAGCATTACGCCATATGTCCAACCCGAAGCACTCCTCAATATTCCTAAACTCCTCCTTTCATGCCCGTTAATTCATGGCGAAAATCGTTAGATGGAAGAAAAAGGGGAAAAAAAAATATAGCAAACTATCTATCTATTCCTCGGCCTCTTGGTCGCTGATCGATTGAAGATATCCACCTCGGCCTTCCTTCTCATGAGGACTGGTGGTGGTGGCTTCCTCTCCGCGCGGCTCGGACTCGGACTCCTGGATCGGGGTGCGGGATTCGGGCGCGTTGCAGGAGAGGATCCGGAAGGTTTGGGACGGCTGACGATAGAGGATATGTAATCTGAGGGTTTGGAGGGGTTGGTGGATGATGATGATAATGATGGAGGTTGGCGGGAGGTAGGCCGCTCGGTAGAAGGTGTGGGGCGAGATGACGAGGAGCTGGCTCTTGCGATCGGTCTGGACGAGGAGGAGGCTGGACGTGATGTGGAGGAAGTGAGGTGTCGCGGGTCGAAGAGATCATCCAAATCATCTCCTCCATCCTCTTCGTCGGAGGAGCCTACCAGAGTCACGCCCTCTGTTGTGGAATTCTTAGGTGGACTCATCCCAGCCTGAATCGCCGAGAGTCTCTTCTCCCTCTCTTCTAGACTCGGCCCAGTAATACCGCCTGTGATGTTGTTCCCCGCCGCCGGATTCTTCTTTCTCGACAGGATCCTGATCGCGGGCTGCACCGCCTTCTTATACTCGTTCACCATTCCTGCAGGTGCTTTCCTGACCTGCCCCGCTCGTGCTGTCAATTCGTGCGTCGGCTTCGCCAACTTGCTTCTCTGGCTAATCTCCTTCGCCTCCCTCCTGGCCCTCGTAAGCACACTCTTCCCGTCCGTCATCTTGGTCTTGGACCCAGCGCTCCAAACCAGACTACTCGGTCCTTCCTTCTTGAACAGCCCTGTTCTCTTACCAATCGGCACGCCCCCGTTATTAGCAAGCATCCGCGGGTCCCTGGGCACCTTCGGCAGGGCCCTCAAATCTACCACCTTCGAGACGTTCGTCTCCTTCTTCTTCTTGAGCTGCCCCATCGAAGCCCTGAGGATCTCCTCGTCCCTTGCTATCTCGCGCTCCTGCTCCCTTTTGTACTTTAGGTATACTTCGTACCATTTCAGCGGGTTCTTGGGAGCGTAATTCTTCTGCTCCCAGTTGACGAAGTCGCGCGCAATAAAGGCGCGCCAGAGCTCGGCGTCCTCGCCTCGAATCTGGGGCGAATGGGTTTCGATTTCATGGAGCTGGGCGGGGGACTCGAGCCGCAGCAGCACGGGGCGGATTTTCCAGTACTCAAAGTCGCCAACATCGTTTAAGCCTGGATGTGGTTAGTGAGACTCGGATTGGGGGGGAGAGGAGGGGGGGGGGGGGGGGGGCGGGCGGCGGAGGGA